TTGTACAGGCCACTGGGGATCTTAGTTTCACAACAACCAGCGCCAGAGCAAGAGTCCTGATCAACGCTGCCAAGGCCATCGCACCAGGCCGTGCACCCAGTGGCAAACATGGTTTCATTTCGGTAACCTTCGAAAATTACGTTAGTATCACAACCAATGGCTACCAAATTGTTTTTGGTATCAGAGATTGTGAAAGGATGCGGCATCCAAAGAGTAGCCGTGTTGTCGCTGGTACGCTGACCCTCCGTGTCATAACAATCTTTCGCAACGTACTGCTGGGTTTGCATCTCGGCATCAGGAAGGGATATGTTGGTAACAGCCACGTTACCCCAATATGTTGTCGGGGGTACAGTGGACGTATCACAAGTGAGATTAAACCATTCCCCAGCCATGTAACACCCATTTCCTATGCCAAATGGGTATGGGATTATGAGATTACCACATTTTTCTTGGCAACCAAACAAGGCTTGAGGCAGAGCTGCTATTGTTGCAGCCGCTAATATTACAACTGCCACCATTTCCAAAGAGGCTTGCACAATGAGCAGCATCCTCCCATGCAAGGCCATAGCACACCTTAACTCCTTCTGGATATATTTGTATTGAGTATGAAAAGTGTATGCTACTCATGAGTAAAAGTAAAGTAGCAAGCCTGGATATTTATAGGCAATCTACAATCAAATGACTAGTTAAGATGGGTATGCTCGCCGTGGCTCATGGGATCTAGACCTTGTATATATTATGCACGCCACAAAAGACAATAATTCAATACCATACATATACATATAGGGAGCATGTATATACTTTTAGTTGATGACGCGGACCCAAATGGAAACAACCATTTATGACATTGTTGTAATTTTTTTTGTTTTCCAAGGCTTTTACACTAATAATCAATTAAAAAATGATAACTGGCTAATTTTGAGTTTTTATCTCCAAATACGTTTTATATGGATTTTTGTATAATATGTCCGGCTAAAATAGACTTAATTATAAAAAATAAAATAAAAAACCTAAATATTTTGTCCCTTTGTAAAGTCAAATTGTTTCTTCCTCTTTACTAATTTGCTTGTTCCAATGTTATCCAGTCTACGACGGCTAGGTCGTCTCTGAACCAACGCCAAAGACGTATATACATATCAGCGTCAGCGTTTCTCACACGTTCATGTCGTCATTTAGCTTCTATACATAATCCTATAGTTGTACATGGAGTCCACCACTGATAATAGTAGTCAGCGTTCAGGTTTGCTCCAGCACGTACTTATGAAAATTCCAACTGGACAGTAACTATGGCCAACATTAATTCACAGTTGGAGATAAACAACCAAGCAAACTAACATATATATTGCAAGTTGCAACTGGAACAACTTCTCTTGGTTGGACATATAGTTGGCGCCATGGAGAAGGGTGCATGTGGTTTAGTATTCTATATCTCAAATAAATATTTGGAGAATAACTTGTAAGGCTTATTCCGGATTCTATTTTAATAATTCGGCAAAATCTATGACTTTCCTTTTGTGATTGTCTTGTAGGCCTTATTGCCAGCTTCCCAAATTTGATATCCAACATGCACTAAGAAAGCGATGTTGGTGAGAGATCCCAAAATAAGGGCCACATTCCTCAACTTTTTGTCCATTCCAAGACGTTTCTTTTTCTTATCGATTAATGGAATGCAAAAGAACAAGGGATCTAGGGAAACTGCAATAACACATGAAATTACAATTATCTTATTCCACAGTGAAGCTGAAGGAAGTTTTGTTTCCCATTTTTTCTTTGGACCAAGTCCTCCACTTTTGGATGTGGGATGTCGTGCTTGCCCCTTAGCATTTTCCGTATTGAAAGCTATACCTGGTGTAGTGCTAATTAAAAGAAAAATGCAATCAGAAAATTAAGAGAAGTAAAACGACTTAACGTAGAAATTAGAGTATCAAACCCAAGTCTACCTGGACTGGCCGGTCCATTTCTAATATCTTCTTATGATGAATTCTTTCCATATTTTACAAGGAAATCGAAAGCCTATTTCTTATATTTTTTCTTCCTTACTTCTAGAAAATAAAACTAGATGTTTTATATCAATTAACTCCAACTCGGCCAAGGGTTACTTCCAGTTCGTTTTATTGATATGTTAGTATTTAGATGTTATTCTTGTGGAACAACTTGTCTTTGGTCATTATGGGCTTATTTGGGAGTGTTTATGGAAGAGATAAAAGTGTTTATGATTGCGCTTGACAGAAAAAATGTAAACCGCTTATGGGCCCTTTCTGGAGAAGCACCCGTCAAAGTGTTTTTCTAAGAAGCACTTGCATTTTTAACAAAGATTTCAACATTCTTCTAATAAAGGTGCTTCGAACAAAAATGGTTATGAGCATAAGTACTTCTAATAGAAGCAATCCCAAGTGGTATGTGTAACATCCCACATCGACCAACGAAGAGGGGGTGATATGCCTTAGAGCAACTCCACCCATTTGCCCCTTGCTATGGCAAGGGGGGAGCTAGGGCAGCCACTATTCACGTGAATAGTGGTTACCCTTGCAAATAGTATTGTGTGTTTCCACCCGTTGCTATAGCAAAAGGGCAATTACTATTCATTTTTTTGTTTTTTTCACAAATTTGTTTACCTAAACAATTAATTTGGATAGTATTTTCGGATAAGATTTTTGGGTTCATACGTGTCAATATTTATTATAAAATTCATATCTCAATCGGATAAAATTTTGGTATTTATAAAAAAAAAAAAAAAAAAAAATCATTTTTTTGGTATTTTTTTTTAAAAAATTCAATTTTTTTCATTTTTTTATTGCACAAAAATTGGCTACTGTTGGATTGGAGAAAAAAAATCTGATCGGAGAGCCCAGAGCGCGACATGTGGACTTTAGCGGCACTGTAGCGCGTAGCACGTGGGGCACTATAGCAATGACGTCAGCACCAGCCCTCGGGCTGAACTGGCCTGAGGGCCAGCCCGACTTCGTGGGTCCCACTCCCAACTCGGGCTTAGGTTATACGCTGGAACTAAGTTTTTTTTTCTCCCCCCAACTTTTGGTTGGGTTGTCCGTTGGAGCTGCTCTTATATGTACATGCCCGCCTCCATCTAGCACGAGGTCTTTTGGGAGCTCACTGGCTTCAGAGTCATGAGAACTCCGAAGTTAAGCGAGTTCGAGCTAGAACAATTCCAGGATGGGTGACCCACTGGGAAATTGTTCTTGAGTTCTCAGAAACAAAATCGTGAGGGCAGAGAGGGGCCTTTTCTGAATTTTCTTATCCATGAATCCAAGAAATCTCTCACTTCTATCAATTTCATTTCATTATACTCACACATTCCAATTTCAATAAGAGACAAAGACACTGACTCAAGTGCATAAAAAACTCAAAAGTCTTTCTTCCCCCAACCGTCTTGACATGGACTAGTGGAATCAATTATGTTTGCGCGTCTACATTTTCTGTTTCAATGGTCTAGTCTCCAGTGGAGTGATTGACCCGTATGCTTTAATAAAAGAGGATAATATTAGGGATATATATATTTTTGTTGCTAAAGTGAGAAAGGGGAGGGGAAAAACTCACAAACACGGATACCACAAAGCTTGAACCGAGGGCCACTTGGAAGCACACTAAAGATCTGCGCCAATCCAACTAACATCCTTTGGCTCGTTTATCAATGAAATTAATTACGACAAATTTTGTATCACTAACATTTATGGGACCATGATAGAAGTAGATTTTTATGTTTGGCGGGTGCTACCAGCTTAAAATTATTGGAATTTCTTTTAAAATCTATAGTTATGATATATACATGTTTCAAAGAGTTGTACATGGGTAGAGAGGGCTAAGCCTGTGGTAACTCATTAGTCAGCATGTCATGCATGTTCACCTTGCCATATTATTAGGCCAAATAAAAATGTTAGGGACACCAAAAATTTGTTCCTTAAATTTGAATCATAAATTATGTGGTATACATTACATCATCATTTTTAAATTAATAGAATTTCCAATGTGTATTTAAAAGTGATCAGTACCACCATATCTCATCACCACCACCTAACATCCTTTTGCCGATGTGCTGCACCACCATGCAAGTCCGACTCCGACCCAATCACAAGTGATATGTGTCTATATTTTTGCAGCTTCCCCTGCATAAATATGTTTCCCTACAATTCCCCCAAACTCACCACGACATTCTTTGACCCAAAAAAAAGTAAAAAAAATCTTTATGCTTTATATCCTTTCAGTTCATGTGCTAATGCTAATTTTGGGGTGTGGGTAAAGATTCAGAGCAGAGGGCTTTGGCATCATCCTTGTAATCGAAGGAAATGGGTTTAGGCCAGCACATTTGTTGCAGAAACCTGTGCTACAGAAAGAATGAAAATTGAAGACTAGAAAACACCAACTAGCTTTTAGTTTAGTGGTATTTTTCGATCCTAATGTTGTAAGAAGTCTCAAATTCGAAACCCCGCAACCCTCATTGATTTAAAAATAAAACAATAAAATACAAAAGCCAGAAAACGTGGGTTATAGAAAGAATGGAAAATTAAATCTTCTGGTAAAACAGAATTTGAACATACCAAGTCTTTATTATGCAAGGACAACATGAATATACACAACTTTATTTCATCGAAAAGAAAACGTACAAAATGGTACGATCCAAACTACAAAAGTATGCTGGCAACTTTCTAACTTACAACTCAAAACTAAAACAAAGTCATTCAGCAGTGCATCCACTGGGGTGGGAAGAAGGAACAAGTCACATACTAATAAGTATTGCCCATTATATCGTAAGGCTTAATCATTTGGATTTGAGTTGGTAGGCTTTTGTCGTAGTCTGCACTGGTTATAATGCGCTTCAAGAAAGTACTAAAATTTCAATAACACTAGAACCAACATCATTCCCTTCAAGATCAACAATGTAAACAAGTGATCCAAGTAAGTGGTCGGTGTCTTTGGGAGACGGAAAGTAATTAGCCTTCCCTGCAGCTAGATGCCTTCCCTTGCTTATGATCTCTTCCAGCTCCATGGCTACTTGCTTCATACTAGGCCTTTCAACCCCTCTTAATACGACGTCGGATCCCGAGCTGTTGGGCCAATTGCTGTGTCCAAGGCCCAAGAAAGAAGTTGGAAATGATAACTGTGGGAGGAGGAAAAGGGTAGGTTTTGAACCACTCCAAAACGGGGTCGTTTGTTTGCCCAATGGGTTTGCAATATCAGGAGCAGATTGTATGGGGACGTTTTGGGGATTCTCGGGAATGGAGGGCTGGTCAGGTGGAAAAGGGTGGACTAAGGTTTGGATTGAAGTTGGGTGTGTAGAGAGAACGGGGTTGAGATAGTGGAGGTTTTTGGGTGTGAATAAAATGGTGATGGTTAGGCCACGAAGAGCGAGCTGGTGTGTTAGGGTCATGTAATCGGTTAATTTTAGGGTTCGCTCACCAAAGAAAAGCCTCGGCAAAATGTCCCTCGCACGAGCTCAGATGTCCACGCTATATTGAACTGAGATTGACAAAGATAAGGATGAAGATGAGGATGCTAACCACAAGCGCACGACCAGGTAATCGTTCTTTTATCACTCCCTTTCTGAGGCAGTGGAGTTGTTCTGGAAAATTGAAGAGAAAGGATACCCAGATGTTGTCACCTACAATACTCTAAATTATGGATTGTGCCAATCAGGCAAGTGGGAAAAGGCCAAGAGCTTCTTGATTTACATGGTTGATAGTGGATTTCCACCAGATGTATATACCTACGCTGTGCTAATCAGTGCTCTTTGCCGAGAAGAAAGAATTCAAGAAGCGCTTGCTCTGTTCGAGGACATGACTGGGAAAGGCATAAATCCTAATGTTTTCATTTTCAATTCCTTAGTTTCTGCTTCATGCAAGTGTTGCAAATGGGAAAAATCCGCACAGTTATTTCAAAACATGATTGATTGTGGATCCATGCCTGATATTGTAACATTCACCGCTGTGTTGGGTGCTTTGTGCAGGAAGGGAAAACGGTAGAGGCACTTAATCTTGTGGAAGAAATGACCCGTAGAGGTCAAATGCCTAATCTTGTGACTTACAACTCCTTAATTAATGGATTGTGCCAGTCTGGCCAATGGAGAGAAGACAAAGTTGTTGAATAAAATGATGGGTGAAGGAATCCCACCAGATGTTGTAACCATTAACATTGTTATAAAATATCTTTGCAAGGACCGAAGGACCAATGAAGCGCTCACTGTGCTAGAGCTAATGACTGAAGGAGGTCTAAAACCTGACGTTGTCACTTACAACTGTTTAATATATGGCATGTGCCATACAGCTCAATTGGGAGAAGCCACAAGGTTGTTTGATGAAATGGTAGGTCGAGGGATCTTACCTGATGCCATAGTGTTGAGAACACTTTTGGATGCTCTCTGCCAAGTAAGGATGACAGAGGAGGCTCGCAAAGTATTTGAGGCAAAAATTAAGTATGGTATGGAGCTTAGCACAATATCTTGCAGTATGTTGGTTAATGAATACTGTTTGCTTGGCAGGATGGATAAGGCAAAGAAGGTCTTTATTTTCTTGGTGGCTCTGGGTCATGTGGCTGATATTGCTTCTTGCTATAACGCCTTGGTGAATGGTTATGTGCAAGATAAAAGAATGGGTGAAGCTTTGAGGCTTGCTAGAGAAATGATCCAAAAAGGATTGATGCCTGATCTAGAGACACAACAAACTTTGAAAGGTTTCCTAGTCTGTGCATAGCAGAGTAGGTTTTAAGAACTGATACTTTAAGAATTGATGACTACCGTTGGCAATGGTCTTGGAAGGATGTTTCCACCAAGGTCCAGAACATGAGGCACCAATATCTGCTTGTCAAGCAGAAGATCAAGAAACAACAACCCGATGGTGGTGCTAGCAGTGGTGGTGGTAGTGGGGAGGAGTTTGACTGGATGGAGGGCCTTACCCATTGGTCGAATTTCTTGAGATATAAGGAGGTTTTTGGGGATGTGGGGATCGTGAATAGCAATGGTAATGAACTGATAGCATCTGTGGGGAGTGGAAGGGGAATGGGGCTTGTAGATTTGGGCAAATGGGCCATTCCGATGGGGATTTCGGGGCAGGGATTGATGGGGTTGAGAATGGAGTGATGGGTTTAGGATTTGAGTATGATGGGGAGGAGGGAGAGGAGAATTTTAATGGCAATGATCGGGTTAGGGAGGATGGAGATGACAGGTTTGTGTGCGAAGAAGTGGAGCAAAATGGTCGTAGTTTAAAGAAGAAGAAGAAGAAGAGGGAGGCGTCGATGGGGTTGGGAAAGAAGGCATGGGGATTTCTAGGTAACCAACTAAGCAAGTTGAAGGAAATGGAGGCTCGGTTTGAGCAACGTGAGGCAGAGAGAGAACGGGACAGACAGAGGAGTGAGAGTTTTAGAATGGAGTGTGAGCAAGAACGGGAATGGAAATGGGAGGAATGGGTAAATAAAAAGGAGGAGAAAGAAAAGACAAGGGAGAAGTTGAAGAAGCAGAGGATTCTAGAATGGGAAGCATTGGAGAAGGAGAGTGAAGAGAGAGAAAGAAGAAGAAAAGAGGAAGAGTTGATTCATGAGAGGGAATGGGAGGAGAGGATGGATAGGAGGAGATCAGAATGGAAGAAGAGGATTGACGAAATGTTGGGTCACCACCGTGCAGAGATGGGCCAGATGCAGACTCGTATGCTTCATGAGCAACAAAACCTTACAAGCCAGTTACTAGGGATTGTCTCTCAGTGGACTGCTTATCCAGCTGGACGACGATCATACGAGTGCTAGTAACCATTATTTATCACAAATGATGCAGAATTTGCACCATGTGAATAGTTTGGTTCATGAGGATGCTAGGGTTGAGGGAGAAAATCAAGATGATCAATTCATTGTTGATGGGTAACGTCTTTGCTTGAAGAAACTGCTCTCTGCTTATTAAGCAAGAATGTTTGCAGTGTTGGTGAGAACTGTAAAGTTTAGCAAATTGTTTAATGCATATGATGTGTACTTTGTTCAGTTAGGTATGGTTATAGACTGATCTGTCGAGCTTGAAATCAAGTCAATAAGGACTAGAGATTTCCCAATTCCAATTTTTTATGTAACTATCTTGTTTAAAATGAATAAAGTTTCTTTATCCCTCAATAATGTTTTGGCAATATGAGTGTGAGATCAGATCTTCATCGAGTGTGTATTAAAGTTTATGCATTTTGATATGGAGCTCTTTTGGTTGGCATATTTGACCTAATTCGGTGTCAGTAGAAATTAGCTTTGTTCTCTATGCGACATTCATGTTTCTTCAAGTATTTGAGTCCAAAGGAATAAGTACTCCAACAGAGACTATTCTTCCAATGCTAACTTTAATATGGACTTTATGTAGTTGCTGCAACACAACTTGCCTTTAGTATGATTCTCTGTGTGAATTTGCTTGTGAAGGAGCATGCATGCATGTGCAGGTGTGCCTTTGCACATGTGTGAAAAGAGGAGGATTAGAATCATTATGGTTTTCAGTACGTGATACAAAATTTTACTTAATTACATACTTGCATGCTTTAAGTGTAATTATCTGTCGAGCAGATAGAATCTGTCTATGCAGTTCCATGTAAAAGAAAAATTGGATGGATTTAGTTTTTGTTGGCTTCCTGAAATTGACATAAATCTTTCATTCCTCCAAATGGGGTGGCATCCCAACTAAGCCTTTAGCCCAAAAAATGGGTTGGCTATACGACTACTTCGCTTCTCCTAGATGAATGTAACTAGTCTTACCGAAATACGTTTCTGATAATTGTATATTTTGTTGCTGCTGATATCCATGTAATTTGGTTCTATTCTTGCTCGGGGGGTGAAATTATACTTTGCAGTTAAGGTAATCACCAATAAAGCTAAGCAACTTATCAGTCCTTTCAAATTGTTTTGAGGAATTGTGCTTTTGGAAATCGCTCTTGTTTCTTAACAGCAGATAATCATTTGCCTGCTCTTATTACAAAATTGATTGCCTATTGACCTGGAAGTGCTGTTGTCTACATGTAGTGGAATCTCAGATGCTTGTGAGATTTGATTCATGTATACTCATGCATACATGCATCTAGCTTTTATCTGCAGATCAGGTTGTGTTTACCAGGCTGTTGCTTATTTATAGGTAGGATATTTGGGTGTGCTTTTTTCCCAGTCTCTGCATAGGTTTTAAAGAAACCTGGACTGCTAAGAACTGACCCATATGAAGATAAAAGCAAAACTAATTACTGTTGTGGTAAATGTTACATGATTTGTTGATGTAAATTGAAATTCTACTGTGTATGTATGGTATGGGAAAAAAGTCCATATTGTTTACAGTGTGGAATATATAACTCAGTATAAATTTAGAATCAAATTTTCACTTCAGTGGCATCAGAAATTTTGGGTCTAATGCAGAACTTTTCTATAACTTATTTTGGCATTCTTCAACTACAATAGGCCCCCTGGCCCTCCAAATACATCCACCATCAGTCACAGATACAAAATATATGGGGTATACGTTAGAAAAATGTTACAAACTTAAAGAAATTATATTGTCCAAGAATTTATATAATTTTCAAGGCTTTGTAATTCAAGTGGTTAAAAGCAGTTATCCTATACTCGGGGTCATGTGTCCCAAACTATCCTCCTCAAAATCGAGTTGCGAAATTTTATAAATATTTATACATTATAAAAACGTATATAATCATGTCTTAAGAGCTAATTTCTTTTATCTTTCTGGACTTTCCTCTCTGTTTGTAATTAGCTTTGACATTATCAATTCCCATTAGAGTGCTAGGGAGAGCTTCATTAAGGTGTCAAAAGAATCTGACTCAATTTCTTTTGTTGTTTTATAGAATAGAGAAACCTTTATTAAGAAAACAGACAATACACTTCACCATTTTCAACAAGGTGTTCACCGCGAAAGAGGACAATGAAAATAAATACAACATTTGCGCACCTTACAAAACTAGCTAACAGCAACCTAATTCACAGCTTCTTTGCTGTCTAATAAAATCATGGACAAAGATATATGCCTAAACTCAATGGAAATCGAAGCCAATATTGAGGAAAAAAACCTGTCTCATGACTCCTACAACCCAAGTTCCTAGTAATCTTCAAATATGCTCCTGTTTCTGTCCATCCAAATAATCCAAGTAACTGCCAGCACACTACCACTCCATAGAATTTTTACCTCCTTGCCACCACCTATTTCTATTAAAAGGCGCCTCTGTCAGAAAATGCTTAGCAAATCTTTTTGTTTAGATGATGCATTCGGTAATATCAGGTGTAATATCAGAGGTATTTCAATTGAATTGAACTATATTTTCAGTTTAGAAAGATGGAATTAATTGATCCTGATAGCCCAAAGCACTGTTAACAAATCTACTTTAGTTCTGATTTCTATTTCAAATTGTGTAATTGTGCAGAATCTCCACACAATATGCAGAGAAGAATAATATGGAAAACTTGCAATTTTACAAGATTTCATTGTCGACTTGATCAAAAGGCGTGTTTTGAATCGGAGAGAACCCTTACCTTAGTAGGTGATGCAGATGATCCTTTGTATGCGGATGTACCAAGACCTCCAAGAAAAATGTCAGAGAGGAAGCCTTACCCTACACCCATGAAGGTTTTGATTCAAAGAGCGAAGGACGAGAAAGAAGCCCGAAAGGCCCAGCCTTGTAGGATGCTTGAAGAACCTCCTGATAAGGGATTGTTGGTCCCTGAATTGGTTGAGGTGGCTCATCAAGTTTACCGAGCTCGACAATCGGTCCTGTTTGGCTTGTCAAAGCTTCTTTAAGTTGTTCCTGTCCAACGGTGCAGGTAGCCAGAGGTTGCCTCTTTTATTTATGTTTGCTTGTGCTCATTCCTTCAGTTTGCTTACGAGTTCACATGTCAACTCTAATTTTCAGTTTCACCTTAGTAAACTAAACTTACTCGTCCTTATACATTGTGGTTCCTCTCTTGTCCAAAGCTCTTGAAAGAGTGAAGTTTGTGTACATTGTGGGCATCTCTTTTGTCAATTATTTGGCTTAAGGATTTATATCCTTTTAGGGTTTTAATGGTTAGTTACTGGCAGTGACTTATGTTGATTATGTAGGCAGGATATCTTTTGTAGATGTCCATATTCTCTTCCTGGCTTGTAATCTCAAGGTTGTATGTGTACTGCTTTGATGCATTCAACTTGCCAAAGCAATTTTCAATATGCACGGTTGGATATACAGCTAATTTGGGAAGATAATCAGAGCCTATGGAAAGAAATAGGGCACATTTTACTGAAAATATATGAATTACAAACATAATGATGATTCTTAATCTACCTTTTGTAGTAATTGGTTGATTTACTGAGTTTCATTCTGATCAGAATATCTAACCCTTAAGCTTGTTAATTGATTGTGTTATTGAAACAAGGCTTTTAATCTCAGGTTTTGCTCCGAAGTTCACATTGGCCATGCGGGTCATGAAATCCGAACTTGCACTGGCCCAAATAGTGGTTTTCGGAGTGCTTCACATGTTTGGAAGAAGGGAGGAGTTCAAGATGTGGTTTCCTTTCCTAAATGCTTCCATCTTTATGATCGTGTTGGAAAACCAAGAGTTGGGCATGACGAGAGGTATCGAATCCCACGGATCCCTGCCATTTTGGAGCTCTGTATACAGGCTGGTCTAGAGATTGACGAGTACCCAACAAAGAGAAGAATGAGACCTGTATATTGTATTGAAGGAAGAATTGTGGACTTTGAGATGGTTAACAAAATGGATGAAATGGATAGAAACTCATATCCTGGGATTGTTGATACCCTAGTAGATCCTAATGTAGGAACTAATATGGAAGAATTGAGAAATTCAGCTTCACTGAGTCATACTAACTGTGTAGATAAATCAAGTGATAAAGTGGGGAAATCTTCGACCGAGTTGAGTAGTACTACAATGGGCTCATGGTTTGAGATGATATCCGGAGCAAAGAATATCATGGAGAAATACAGTGTGAAGACTTGTGGATATTGTTTAGAGGTCCAGGTGGGTCCCAAGGGGCACAAAGTGAGGATGTGCAAGGCATCAAAGCATCAATCTTGTAATGGTTTGCATGCATGGCAAGAAGCAACAATAGAAGATCTTGTAGGTCTGAACTATGTTTGGCATGTCCGAGACGTAAATTGTCCTGCTCTGGATAACAATCTAAAGAGGTATTATGGCAAGGCTCCAGCTGTGGTGGAGCTATGTGTGCAGGCAGGTGCACCTGTTCCGGATGAATATAGGAGCATGATGAGATTAGATGTGGCTTCCCCTGAACGTGATGAGGTTGATCTTGTTGCTTGATATAAAGTTCCTGTATGCAGATGGATGTGATATACTAAAGAGATGTTAAAAGGGGTTCTGCTGCTCTTCCATATCGTGTCTGAAAGCTGCGAGTAAGTAGAGGGGAGGAAAGCTTATTCGAAGACATTTCTACTTCCATATTGTGTCTTATAAATGTGTGTGTTCTCTCTGCAGGTTTAGGTAGTCCATAGGTTAATTTGATTGCACTGCCCTTACTTCTGTAGTTTCTGTTGCTCGAATTTGTGGAGCAAAAGAGAGAACTAGGATGAATTAGTAAAGAAAAATGTATCTGTGCTTCAGAAGAAGCCATAAGATTGATTTAGATGCGGTCTCAGAGGTATGTGCATACAAATGTATGCCTAATAAATCATTTTTTAGGTCATCATAGTAACATTACGAGGTAATAAGAAGGATACAACCTTTATGCATATAGTACAAGAAGTAGCATTTAACAGATGATAGTATTTTTTGTGGAGTTGGGCGTAGAAGGTGGGAGATCAATCAACGGTCATTGTTTAAGTTCCACCAGCGTCGGCATTTGGTGGCTACACTTATCAAGTCCTTGGCTGAGAGAGCAAAGCCTTCTACTTTTGTATGACATTTCACAAATTCGGTGGAGGTAGGAACGTCAACCATAGGTTTGTTGGGCGATGCCCACATCAGAAGCTCTTCTCCATAAGCCTGCCCTCTCCCAAGTTGCTTGGTGGGAATTGATGGGGAGGCCCCTGTACGACCGGGATCAGAAGTTGTGCTGTAGGTGAAGACGGTGCCTTCTAAAATGAAGAGCATGCGATCAAGTGGGTGCCCACTTTGAAATATGATTTTATCTTCAGGGAACGTCACTGGCGTCGCATAGTCGCAAATCATTTTCAGCACTTTTTCATCCATAACCTTAAGGACTTGTACCTGCATTTATACGTAGTTTAGCTTACATTAATCCATCGATGCTTTTGGCACTCCAAATCTCATCTCCCACGCTGTACTCCTCACAAATGATGAGTGTATAAGACAGTTTAAGGGTGATTTTAGAGTGCCTCTCAGGATACAAAAGAATTGTCCTACATTGCCCTACATCCGAAAGTTAAAAATAAAGAGTTGGATCACTCCTAATTGTCAATTGATTTTGAGGTTGGAAGCTCAACTTTCTTCAGTGATCAATATTTAAACACAAAACAAGATTCATTCATCTATACAAGTTCAATGTTGATAATTTATGTGTGTGAGAGAGAGAGAGAGAGAGAGAGAGAGTCACTTGTGATAGAATATCCCAGCAAAGATGACGCTTCAGAATTTTTTTGGTATGCCAGGGAAGAACATCGAATAGATTCTCCAGATCGGCATCTTTGTCTTTTTCCAATTTTTGACGTATGTTTTTCTTGATTTCTTTCTTCAAATTTTCAGGAACATGATTTTTCTCCATCCATTTTTCCAACACTTGCTCTTTTGTTTTAATCTTTTGCCTTATGTCCTCCGATTTTGTGGTTGTCAACTGAATGAATGTCTGTACGTACATTTCACCACAAACAGTAAATTAGAAGCTCAATGATCATCAGCCCTGAAGCTGAAGGAAAATAAACGTGAACTAAATAGATATCTAGCAGAGATTCATTACCAACCTGCACATTTCCGATGAGATATACAAATAGTAGCACACCAGTGATAGAAATAATGATTGCAAAGAAGTTTTCCCACACATAATTACTTGTTGTGAGATTCGTGCCAAAGTTGCTGCAAAAATTAAGCGAAGGATCAAGCAAAATGTGTGACACTAAAAGTGATTCGTGGAAGAAACTCTTATTTGGTTATCTAACTTTCCTTCTTCAGATGTTTGTTAAGCTTTTATATGATGAGAGGAATTTAGGAATCATTCTCTTTGTAAGTTTAGTTATCACATCAAAAAGGAAAAGTAGTTGGTACAAGTGGTATACAAATATGACTTCGAACTTATGTCTAGTTTGAATATATATACAAAAGAAAATGCTGAAATTGTCAAATAATTAAAGGTGTACGTGCAAGCAAACCTTAGATTTCTCAAGCCCCACCAAAAAGAGAAGCATAACTTGCTTGGAAAATTTATATCCCCCGTGTTACCATCATTCTGAAGGGAATCAAGAAATATTCCATAATTAAATGGCGGCTTAGTGTCCCCTGGAAATTCTACACCACAACGTTCATTGAAAAATGTAATATTTCTTAAAGTAGTACTGCGATCATCACAATAAAAGGTACTCATGCATCCTGTATAATCTGTAGTATTTGTACAAGCTTGGTGCCAACATGATGTCTCTCGTTGAACGGAAAAGAAATACCAAAAGGCTCCAAGTACCTAAAAGTTAAACCAGTACATAAGCATCATAACAAACACTATGATAGATTAAGGAAAACTCTCCGGGAGGAAGATGTTCATAATGGGAAGAGATGTATTTGGAAAAAAAATTATATTATATTAAAATAACAGTACTCTTGTGGCGAGATGTGAATTTTCAGCTTAATTGCATTCAGAAAATTAAAACAATTATCTAATTATGTGGTAACAGTTGTTGATAAAGATGGAACTAGCTAGTGTTCAATAATTGAATTTTGGAAGTGCATTGACATCTACACTCACTCCACATCAATTAAGCCAGCACCATATGGTCACTTTTATTGTAAATGAAGTTCGAGTTCATCAAGCATTTTAGTACCAAAATAATTATTAAATGAAAAAAATAAAACTTACATGGCTGGCAAGAATGTACAGAAAAAAATTGAATACGGCTTTGACCCGTATTCCAGCTGTCTTTGTAAGTTTCTTGGATGATAAGATAATTCGAAAAATCCTCGGCAAATACTGACTGAGAAGAAAAAGGTTCAAAACCTTTCTGTGTTCCAAATATTCCTCCCCTTTTATTTTGAAGAAAATCACTACTACTAAAATCTGACATAATAAACAGTAATGGGTTAGAAATCTATTATTTAAAGCTGGACAAACCTAGCTCATAATCTCCAACCAAAAAAGAAGAAGAAAAAACTCGTACTTGTGGCATGGGAAGAACAGCGAGAAGGTCAGTTAAGAAAGAGAGCCATGACAAATACCCAGCAAACTTCTTAGCAAATGGAATTATCTCATTATTTTTCAACATTGTTTTTCCTCTTGTGATTGCCTTATAGGCCTTATTGCCAGCTTCCCAAATTTGATATCCAATATGCACTAAGAACGTGACGTCTGTGAGAGATCGCAAAATAAGAGCCACATTCCTCAACGTTTCGTCCATTCCAAGACATTTCTTTTCCTTATCGATGAATGGAATGTAAAAGAACAAGGGATCTAGGGAAACTGCAATAACACATGAAATTACAATGATCGTATTCCACAGTGAATCTGAAAGAAGTTTTGTTTCCCATTTTTTCTTTGGTGTAAGTCCTCCACTTTTAGCATTTTCCGGATTGAAAGCTATACCTGGTGTAATGCTGATTAAAAGAAAAATGCAATCAGAAAATTAAGAGAAGTAAAACGACTTACAAACCCAATTAGTGTACAAAAAGAAAAAGAAAATAAATTTAGAGAGATAATCATTTTAATATACGTGACAATTACAAATAAACATAACTGCTAACTTTTCACACAACAAATAGGATAATGCTGTGATTTAAAATATACAGTTAAATCCTCTTAAAATGATATCGGTATAAAAGAAACAAACCTTAGGAAAACGATCGAATCATCATCTTTAGGATGCTGTCCTGCCATAACTAGCCTTTTTATATGTTGGATAGGAGTGAATAGATAGATTAGAAGAGTAGAAGAACCTTCAAGAAATAGGGATGATCTGTGAGGCAGAAACTGAATGGAAGTTCGTGAAATTTATAAGTAGGGGCAATGAGTTCTGTTTCCCTCCGTTGACTGACCAAGACTTTGTTTTTTGGACTGATGAATTCTTTCCATATTTTACAAGGAAATCAAAAGCCTATTTCTTATAGGATTTTTCTTCCTTACTTCCAGAACATAAAACTAGATGTTTTATATCAATTAACTCCAACTCAGCCAAGGGTTGCTCCCAGTTCATTTTATTTTAGATGTTACTCGATCTTGTGGAACAACTAGCCTTTGGTCATTATGGGCTTATTTGGGAGAGTTTATGGAAGAGATAAAAGTGCTTTTCTAACAATTAAAAGCGTTTATGACTGTGCTTGACAGAAAAAAAATGTAAACCGCTTATGGGTGCTTTTTGGAAAAGCACTCGTGTCTCAAAGTGTTTTTCTAAGAAGCACTTGCATTTTTAACAAAAATTTCAACGTTCTTCTAATAAATGCTTCCAACAAAAAAGGTTAAGAGCATAAGTACTTCTTATAGAAGCAATCCCAAATGGTACGTCATATTTAGTTTAGCATAAAGTTTAGTAATTCAAACTTGAAACACCAATATATTTTGGAGTCCGGAATATTTAGAATTTTGAGATACATTTTCATTCCAATCCAATTCTTTTTGGAATTTTTGGACATCGGATTTAATTTTGACGTGCCAAAGTTGAAAATCTTTGGATCCAAATTGGCAGCAATGTGAATTTCCAATCCAACTTGCAACCTACTCATATCAATCCAAATTGACAAAACTAATATATCATATAGAAATACTTGACTCGTGCTATCAATGTGATATTGGCTGGACTTCACCAAAGAAGAGACGACTCGGCGTAGACTGGAAAATTGGAAGAGACAAATCAGTAAAGGGGAAGACCTTTTATTTCCCCTAGCTAACCATGACATGAATATATACCTACCTCCAGGGGTGGTCCTGAGGGTGTGCAAGTAGTGTCACCTCACAGGGCCCATGATTTTTGAGGGACCTCAATTTTTTTTATGTGTATAATATATGTTTAACAATTGTTATATATATACCGAGTGAGCAAATTGTTGACACAAAGACGTTCCTTGTTGTGTTGGTTTGTAGGGCCTCAACTTCTATTTAGGGCACGACTTCAAAACTTGCTTGTGTTAAGGGCTTGTCCGATGTCAACACCAACATTCAATATCCCAGCTACTTTCACAACCACAAACTGAAATAATAAATACCCGATCACAAAGGAATTAGTCAGTAATCAAGAAAAGAAAAGTGATATGAAAGAAGATACTGGAAAGACTTTTCAAAGTCTGAAATTTAGTGATGAAGACTTGTGAATTTATTGTGAAGACTTCTTCTTTTTTTGGCTCTTACTTTGTCAACTTATTTTCTTATCTTTTCAAGAATCTTCCATACAATTGTGCGCTAAAATAGCTTCTTGGTTTTTGAGTGATCATATTAGGGAGCTTCAATTGAGGGATTTATTAAATTATCTTATTCGAGATGCACTCTTATAAGGCTCATTCCGTATTGTATTTCAATGATCCGAACTATTTAATTTTTATGTATTCCCTCAAAGATTATCTATGCAAAAATCCACTTAAATATGAAGCTATTTCACCATTCAATTACGTGGGCGTCATTTTTGTATTTTCTTGAAACTCCATGTCAAAAAGTTAAAAAATAAACGACTCCTGTCAGTGAAGTAACTTTGTAGTATACCACACAAGGTAGAAAAATGCAATCAGAAAATTAAGAGAAGTAAAACGACTTAACGTAGAAATTGGAGTATCTAACCCAAGTCTCCTTGTACCGGCAGGTCCATTTCTAATATCTTCTTATGATGAATTCTTTCCATATTTTACAAGGAAATTGAAAGCCTATTTCTTATATTTTTTTCTTCCTTACTCCCAGAAAATAAAACTAGATGTTTTATATCAATTAACTCCAACTCGGCCAAGGGTTACTTCCAGTTCGTTTTATTGATATGTTAGTATTTATAGATGTTATTCTTGTGGAACAACTTGTCTTCGGTCATTATGGGCTTATTTGGGAGTGTTTAGGGAAGAGATAAAAGTGCTTTCTAACAATTAAAAGCGTTTATGACTGCGCTTGCAGAAAAAATGTAAACTGCTTATGGGCCCTTTCTGGAGAAGCACCCGTCAAAGTGTTTTTCTAAGAAGCACTTGCATTTTTAACAAAAATTTCAACATTCTTCTAATAAAGTTGCTTCAAACAAAAATGGTTATGAGCATAAGTGCTTCTTATAGAAGCAATCCCAAGCGGTATGTCATATTTAGTTTAACATAAAGTTTAGTAATCCAAACTTGAAACAACAATATATTTCCGGAATATTCAGAATTTTGAGATACATTTTCATTCCAATCCAATTGTTTTCGAAATTTTCGGACATCGGATTTAATTTGGACATGCCGAAGTTGAAAATCTTTGGATCCAAATTGATGGCAATTGGAATTTCCAATCGAAATTGCACCCTACTCATATCAATCCAAATTGGCGGCAATAGGAATTTTCAATCCAACTTGCACCCTACTCATATCAAGAACGAAGCGCAATAAACAACCAAAAAGATAACCACACACATTAGGTAGGACATGCTAAAATATGAATATGGTTTGAATACTTTAAGTTGTATTTTATTCTTCTCCATAAGGAGGTATATATAGGAGTTTACATGAGGGTCTTACAAGGAATTAGATATAGTAAAGAATTAGGAAAGTATCTCCTACAAGGAAATCGACATGCTGTATTATAAAAAGAATTTAGGTTTTCAGAGGGAAGTTGGGACAAATTTACCATGGCGGTAACGAGTTGTTTGCATTGTTCCTCTAAGAGGCCAGCAAGGATGTTGAGGATGGGCCCCAAATGAGAGGAAGGGATTGTCTGAGAAAAGGCGGAACATGTATTGTTGTTGCTATCACGTGGCTGCTGTAGATGATTCCCAGCAAGGACATTGGAATTGCCCATGGTGAAGACAAGGGAGTGAAACCCTCAAAAGTTTCAAAAGAAAATAAAGATGTAAATCACGAGCCACCGGATCGGTGCTCTAATACCATGTAAAGAATAAAAGAGATGGAATAATCGTTATGTTATTGATATGCTGCTATACATAATACTATCCTTTATATACTAGGTTTACAATCTCCTATTCTAGCATAATTCCTAATTAAGGCTACAATCTGGGTTTTACTCATAACCTTGGGGTCTAATATAGGAAAGACAATATTTACAGTCCTTCAATTACAAGATTTGATTTCCAACAAATCATTTGGATTTGAGTTGGTAGGCTTTTGTCGTAGTCTGCACTGGTTATAATGCCACTAGAACCACCATCATTCCCTTCAAGATCAACAATGTAAACAAGAGATCCAAGTAAGTGGTCGGTGTCTTTGGGAGACGGAAAGTAATTAGCCTTCCCTTGCTTATGATCTCTTCCAGCTCCATGGCTACTTGCTTCATACTAGGCCTTTCAACCCCTCTTAATACGACGTCGGATCCCGAGCTGTTGGGCCAATTGCTGTGTCCAAGGCCCAAGAAAGAAGTTGGAAATGATAACTGTGGGAGGAGGAAAAGGGTAGGTTTTGAACCACTCCAAAACGGGGTCGTTTGTTTGCCCAATGGGTTTGCAATATCAGGAGCAGATTGTATCGGGACGTTTTGGGGATTCTCGGGAATGGAGGGCTGGTCAGGTGGAAAAGGGAGGACTAATGTTTGGATTGAAGTTGGGTGTGTAGAGAGAATGGGGTTGAGATAGTGGAGGTTTTTGGGTGTGACTAAAATGGTGATGGTTAGGCCACGAAGAGCGAGCTGGTGTGTTAGGGTCACGTAATCGGTTAATTTTAGGGTTCTTTCACCATAGAAAAGCCTCCCGCAAAATGTCCCTCGCACGAGCTCAGATGTCCACGCCATATTGAACTGAGATTGACAAAGATAAGGATGAAGATGAAAAGAAGTGAATTTCATTCTGATGCTGATAATAATGTTAGTGATATGGAGATTCTGATTCAAACACGGTGAAAATCTGGAACACTTAAGTCAGAGGAAGCATTGGGTTACTTCAATTCCATGATTCAAATGAAACCCATTCCCTCTTATTGGACCTTTAACTGTTTGTTTGGGGCACTTTCCAAGATGAAGCAATATTCTGCCGTGGTATCTATGTATAAACAGTTGATGGGTTGTCGTCAATTCCAACCTGATGTCACTACAATGAATATTTTCATGAATTGCTTGTGCCGTCTGAACAGGGTGGACTTGGGTTTCTCTGTCTTAGCACTTACCCTTAAATATGGTATTGAGCCTGATGCTTATTCTTTGAATGCTTTGCTTCACGGGCTTTGCAAGAATAGCTCCCTGTCTGAGGCAATGGAGTTGTTCCGGAAAATTGAAGAGAAAGGATACCCATGTGATGAATTCACTTATTCTACTATAATTAATGGGCTATGCAAAGCCGGGAAAACTTGTATGGCACTCAAGATGCTAAAGGAGATGCAGGAACACAGAAAGTCTAAGCTGAACCCATCATGCTACAATCCAGGCATTGGTAACCTTTGTAAAGGAAGGCGAATAGAAGAGGCCTTGACCCTATTTCAAGATATGATCAGCAACGGTGTTGGACCAGATATCTTCAGTTACAATTCTCTAATTAAAGGATTACAATTCTCTATTCTCTCTGCTTGAAAAAATGAAGGATCAAGGACTCACGCCAGATGATGTCCCCTACAATACTCCAATTCATGGATTGTGCCAATCAGGCAAGTGGGAAAAAGCCAAGAGCTTCTTGATTTGCATGGTTGATAGTGGAATTTCACCAGATGTATATACGTATGCTGTTCTAATCAGTGCTCTTTGCAAAGAAGAAAGAATTCAAGAAGCGCTTGCTCTGTACGAAGACATGACTGGGAAATGCATAAATCCTAATGTTTTCATTTTCAATGCCTTAATTTCTGCTTCATGCAAGTGTTGCAAATGGGAAGAAGCCGCACAGCTATTTCAAAACATGGTTGATAGTGGAATTTCACCAGATGTATACACCTACGTTTTTCAAATTAGTGCTCTTTGCCGAGAAGAAAGAATTCAAGAAGCGCTTGCTCTGTTCGAAGACATGACTGGGAAAGGCATAAATCCTAATGTTTTCATTTTCAATTCCTTAATTTCTGCTTCATGCAAGTGCTGCAAATGGGAAGAAGTCGCACCGTTATTTCAAAACATGGTTGATAGTGGAAGTGGAAAAATAATACAATTGAATTGAACTATTTTTCAGTTTAGAAAGATGGAATTAATTGATCCTGATAGCCCAAAGCACTGTTAATAAATCTACTTTAGTTCTGATTTCTATTTCAAATTGGGTAATTGTGCAGAATCTCCACACAATATGCAGTGAAGAATAATATGGAAAACTTGCCATTTTACAAGATTTAATTGTCGACTTGATCAAAAGGTGTGTTTTGAATCGGAGAGAGCCCTTACCTTAGTAGGTGATGCAGATGATCCTTTGTATGCGGATGTACCAAGACCTCCAAGCAAAATGTCAGAGAGGAAGCCTTACCCTACATCCATGAAGTTTTTGATTCAAAGAGCGAAGGAGGAGAAAGAAGCCCGAATGGCCCAGCCTTGTAGGATGCTTGAAGAACCTCCTGATAAGGGATTGTTGGTCCCTGAATTGGTTGAGGTGGCTCATCAAGTTTACCGAGCTCGACAATCGGTCCTGTTTGGCTTGTCAAAGCTTCTTCAAGTTGTTCCTGTCCAACGGTGCAGGTAGCCAGAGGTTGCCTCTTTTATTTATGTTTGCTTGTGCTCATTCCGTCAGTTTGCTTACGAGTTCAGATGTCAACTCTAATTTTCAGTTTCACCTTAGTAAACTAAACTTACTCGTCCTTATACATTGTGGTTCCTCTCTTGTCCAAATCTCTTGTAAGAGCGAAGTTTGTGTACATTGTGGGCATCTCTTTTGTCAATTATTTGGCTTAAGGATTTATATCCTTTTAGGGTTTTAACAGTTAGTTACTGGCAGTGACTTATGTTGATTATGCAGGCAGGATATCTTTTGTAGATGTCCATATTCTCTTCCTGGCTTGTAATCTCAAGGTTGTATGTGTACTGCTTTGATGCATTCAACTTGCCAAAGCAATTTTCAATATGCACGGTTGGATATACAGCTAATTTGGGAAGATAATCAGAGCCTATGGAAAGAAATAGGGCACATTTTACTGAAAATATATGAATTACAAACATAATGATGATTCTTAATCTACCTTTTGTAGTAATTGGTTGATTTACTGAGTTTCATTCTGATCAGAATATCTAACCCTTAAGCTTGTTAATTGATTGTGTTATTGAAACAAGGCTTTTAATCTCAGGTTTTGCTCCGAAGTTCACATTGGCCATGCGGGTCATGAAATCCGAACTTGCACTGGCCCAAATAGTGGTTTTCGGAGTGCTTCACATGTTTGGAAGAAGGGAGGAGTTCAAGATGTGGTTTCCTTTCCTAAATGCTTCCATCTTTATGATCGTGTTGGAAAACCAAGAGTTGGGCATGACGAGAGGTATCGAATCCCACGGATCCCTGCCATTTTGGAGCTCTGTATACAGGCTGGTCTAGAGATTGATGAGTACCCAACAAAGAGAAGAACAAGACCTGTATATTGTATTGAAGGAAGAATTGTGGACTTTGAGATGGTTAACAAAATGGATAGAAACTCATATTCTGGGATTGTTGATCCCCTAGTAGATCCTGATGTTGGAACTAATATGGAAGAATTGAGAAATTCAGGTTCACTGAGTCATGCTAACTGTGTAGATAAATCATTTTCAGCACTTTTTCATCCATAACCTTAAGGAATTGTACCTGCATTTATACTTGGTTTAGCTTACATTAATCCATCGATGCTTTTGGCACTCTAAATCTCATCTCCCACGCTGTACTCCTCACAAACGATGAGTGTATAAGACAGTTTAAGGGTGATTTTAGAGTGCATCTTAGATACAAAAGAATTGTCCTAATTGGATCACTCTCCTAATTGTGAATTGATTTTGAGGTTGGAAGCTCAACTTTCTTCCGTGATCAATATTTAACACAAAACAAGATTCATTCATCTATACAAGTTCAATGTTGATAATTTATGTGTGTGTGAGAGAGACAGAGAGACTTACTTGTGATAGAATATCCCAGCAAAGATGACACTTCAGAATTTTTTTCGTATACCAGGGAAGAACATCGAATAGATTCTCTAGATCCGCATCTTTGTCTTTTTCCAATTTTATGTTTTTCATTATTTCTTTCTTCAAACCTTCAGGAACATGATTTTTCTCCTTCCATAATTCTAACACTTGCTCTTTTATTTTAATCTTTTGCCTTATGTCCTCCGATTTTGTGGTTGTCAACTGAATGAATGTCGGTACCTACATTTCACCACAAACAGTAAATTAGAAGCTCAATGATCATAAGCAAAGGGTCAAGCAAAATGTGTGACACTAAAAGTGATTCGTGGAGGAAAGTAGTTATAAAGCAACACTTATTTGGTTATCTAACTTTCCTTCTTCAGCTGTTTGTTAAGCTTTTGTATGATGAGAGGAATTTAGGAATTAAAAAAGGATTCATTCTCTTTGTAAGTTTAGTTATCACATCAAAAAAGAAAAGTTGTTAGTGATAAATTAATGCGTATTCACAGCTGTATCAACGATATGCAAATCGAACCATTGTTCTTGGCTTTTCAAAATAGCAATCACTTCCTGCAATTCTACAGTCTCTCGGCTCTTTGTGTTTTCAATGACAAGACATATAGGATCATATGGTTTACTGAGACCAATCAAAACCTTTTGAACAAGCCTCCAAGGATTAAAATATCGGCCATGCAGATAATATCGGGCCTCCAATTTACGGATATTTCGGGGGATATATCGTTATCGTTTTAGGTATCGGGAAAAAATCAACAAAAATGACAGATATAGGCATTGAAACACATAATTTTGGTGTAAAACTTTCATAGATGTTATGTACATTATCAATGAATGTATTGAACAAATAAAACTCAAAATTTACTAATAATAAGATATACATATGATGAAATATAAGTGGTATGTAATGCGCGTTAATGAAAAGTTTGAAAATAAAATGTTAATTAGAATGAATAAACCATGCAAAAATCCATAGTTTGTTTAAACATTGGATTACAATTTAGATAAGTGTCAATCTACATAAATGAAGAGCTCCTATGAGTTCAAATAATGAGGAACAACCATCTAGATTCATACAATAGTCATACCAAGTCATGTAACCCGAGAAGTTTGTAAGCCATGTTTGAACATGGTGCGCATAGGTCTCTCTTGAGCTCCCTATTGTCCTCCCATATATGAGATAGTTAGGATTAACCAACTAGTAGGTCCATAATCTGTTTTATCATCTTGAGCTCCATAACGAGTTCCACTATAATCAGACATGACAACCATAGCCATCATAAGATTCATTTGAGTTAGTACTAGGTTTAGTTCCTATGCTCATAGATCCAAAACTGATCGCCATGTCCTCTTCAGATGGATTGGAGGTATGTAGGCAGCGGACTGTGTATAGATTCTTCATATTAATAAATTATAGGGTTTTGGGCAAGAATTAGCTATTTTTGGGTTTCAATTTGCTTCAATTGCCTTGAAAAATTTTGAATTTTTTTTGGGTTCTGTTATGGGTATCAGGAAATATCGAGGATATCGACAAAATATCGGGGATATCGCACTTATCGGGGATATATCGTCGATACATGGGAAGATATGGCCTTACCCCCCAGTATCGGTGTCGACAGTTGAAAATACCGATATATCGGCAGATATATCGGTGTATCGGCCGATATTTCAATCCTTGCAAGCCTCTCATTCGAAATTCCATCAAATCGTTTCATCTTATGGTTTTGAAGAGAACATAGCCAATCAATGCATTTATCTGAAGAAGTGTGGGAGCCGATTTATTTTTCTGGTGCTGTATGTCGACGATATACTTTTGGCTACGAATGACCACAGCTTATTGAAAGACACTAAAGAGCTACTTTCAAATAATCTTGAGATGAAGGATTTGGGAGAAGCCGCTTTTGTGTTAGGCATTGAAATTCAGAGAGATTGAGCTCGAGGCCTCCTAGACCTGTCGTAGAAAACATACATTAAAAGGATACTCAAACGTTTTGACATGTGTATGTATTATGGACAAAACGTTCCGTTAGCTAAAGGAGATTTAAAGAATGAGTATTGCCCCAAGAATAAAGAAGAAGAGGAAGAGATGAGATGAGGAACAAGCTGTATGCTTCTCTAGTTGGAAGCATTATGTACGCATAAGTGTGAAATTAGCCTTGTGCATTAGCAAGATGGGGAGATTTTAGTCAAATTCGGGAATGCAACATTGGATAGCTGGAAGGAAGATTCTAAGGTACCTACAGAGAACAAAGGCTTATATGTTGATTTACAGACGCACAAAGAATTTAGAGCTTGCTGGTTATGCTGATGCGAATCTTGGAAAAGCAGAAGATGATTACATCTCTACTTCAGGTTTTCTTTTCAAGATGGTAAGAGCAACTGCTGCTTGGAAGAGTGCTAAACAATTTGGTATTTCGAGTTCAACCATGTTTTTAGAATACATAGCTTGCTATGAAGCTACTTCTCATGCAGTATGGATAAGGAATTTTATTAAAGGCATTAAGGTGGTGGACTTGATTTCAAAACCAATACAGATATATAATGACAACACTGCGGCTGTTTTTCATTACATGAACAACAAGATGTAGTCTGGACTTTAGCATATTGATAGAAAATATTTCATAGAGAGGAAGAAGGTAGTAGACAAACTAGTCAGGTTTGATCATATCATAACTCAAGATATGATAGCAGATCCGTTCACAAAGTTTTTGTCTTCAGAAGCTTTTCTGAGACATGTTAGGAGCATGAGATTATTTCCTAGCTTTGATGCTACAATCTAGTGGGAGTCTTGTTCCTATTATGATATTTTACTAATTTGTTTATTTTGCTGTTTTATGGATTAAGGGATTTGCATTTAAGGATGTTAATTTGGTTGATAGTTTTATTTATTATTGAATAAATTCTACCATTTTGACTATTTAGCTGTTTAAACTTGTTATGCAATTTTGTTTATGCATGTGAGTTATGGTCTCTTTTGAGATACTATTGTTTTAATAACATTGCGGATTGACCCTTGCTAAGTCGTAAAGGGGCACATGTATTGAAAAGCATAAAGATTCACATTACGGATCAGTATATATTAAGGTTCGCATTTGTAGATGCTTCATGTGTTTTGAGATTGCATTATGTGATTATAGATTACCTGTTTTTAATAAAGAGAGTAGTGCTTGTCTATAGTTCGTTTTGTCTAATCTCTTTTCACTGTAGCTTGAGAGGAATGACTTAACTATTTTAAACTCATGGCCAATAAAGATTATCAAACCTTTCAGAATACAGAAGCTTAGTGCTCTAGTGCTTGACCTAGTGGGAGAATGTTATGTTTTCCTATTTAGATCAGTGCACTAGATACTAAGTTATATCAGGTTTTGATAAGAGTTTAAATTAAGTTATACCTTGAGGCCCAAAACCTTGTGGAATAAGGAAATGTTTTGAAGCCTATTAAGGGGACCTATTTATTTCCTTTTTTTGCTTGAACCGTTTTAGTGGGCTTGGAAGATTAGTCAAGCCGGCCCTAGGTGATGAGTAGAGACGACTTGACCTAGCCCTAAATAATGCTTAAGGCCCTGCTCTCATCAGACACGTTCTCTATCCCTATTATCATAAAAAAAAAGAAAAAAAAAGAGATGAAACAGATTCTGAGAGAGAGCAAAAGTCTTGAGCCATTCTTGTTCTTGCTGGGATATTGTTGTTGCGGTTGAATGAGTTCAGAGGTCGTATACTCAAGAAAGATGACACTAGGCATGTCTTTACGTATTTCAAATTGTGTGAAAGATCTTGAACATGCATATTATAGAAATCTAACGTTTGCATCTTTCATGAAGATTGCAGCCATTTTCTCATCATCCTTATCTTCTAAAATTTCCTCAGCTTTCTTTTTCTTCTTCGAATCAAGAATCGTAATTCCATTTTCCACCAGATTCCATAACCCAAACGACTTGAATATGGTTACCATCTTGATTCTCCAGAACTCATAGTTCTCACTGGAGAAGATCGGGGTTCTCACTTCTGAACTTCCAGATCCAGCCATTTATGATATCAGATAAACCAAAAACAAGTTGTTTCAGGTCAAAATCAAGCTTCAGCAACCCTCACCGGACCTTGAGAGAGCTTCGATATGACTCGATTTCACAATTTAAACGCCCATATTCAGATGATCGACCCAGGCTCTGAGGCTATGTTCTTGTGTTTTCTAGTTTCTATGGAATCTCAATGCATATGTGAGAAAGATGATGAAGAAAGAAAAAGAAAGAAAACGAAAATGACAAAGAGAATGAATTGTTCTCTCAGTGCTTGCCATAGAGGAATTTCCTTCTTCATATCTGTATATCCTCACACACAGTGTAAGGCATATTACCGTTAGCACTCTTAGCTGGATCCCTTACATCACAAAATGATCTCAGCCATACATCAGCTATGTACTAGGATCATTACATGTGGCATTGTATGCCTTACAATCTTATTTAACTAATTCTAATCAGCTAGAGACTTATAATATTTAACATAGGCATGTTGTTGCTGGTACGCTGACCCTTGGTGTCATAACAATCTTTCGCAACGTACTGCTAGGTTTGCATCTCGGCATCAGGAAGGGATATGTTGGTAACAGTCATGTTACCCCACTGTTACCCCAGTATGTTGTGGGTGGGGGGTACAGTGGACGTATTACAAGTGAGATTAAAGTATTCTCCAGCCATGTAACACCCTTTTCCTATGCCAAATGGGTATGGGATTGTGAGATTACCACATTTCTCTTGGTAACCAGGCAGGGCTTGAGGCAGAGCTGCTGTTGTTGCAGCCGCTAATATTACAACTGCCACCATTTCCAAAGAGGCTTGCACAATGAGCAGCATTCTCCCATGCGAGGCCATAGCACACCTTAACTCCTGGATATAGTTGTATTGAGTATGAAAAGTATATGCTACTCATGAGTAAAAGTAAAGTAGCAAGCTCCTGGATATTTATAGGCATATATCAAATCAAATGATTAGTTAAGATGGCTATGCTCGCCGTGGCTCATGGGATCTAGACCTTGTATTATGCACGCCACAAAGGACAATTATTCAATACCATACATACGTATAAGGGAGCTTCAAGTGAGGGATTTATTAAAATATTTTATTTGAGGGACACTCTTATAAAGCTCATTCTGTATTGTATTTCGATGATCCGAACTGTTTAATTTTTACGTATTCCCTTAAAGATTATCTATGCAAAAAAACCACTCAAATATGAAGCTATTTCACCATTCAATTATGTGGGGCTCATTTTTGCATTTTCTTGAAACACCATGTCAAAAACTTAAAAATAAATGGCTCCGGTCAATGAAGTAAAATTGGTAGTATACCACATAAGGTCTCTCAAATAATTCATCAATAAATGATTTTACACCTTATCAAGTCTTTGTTATTTAAGTTGTCAAGGAATCATGGAGCCACAATATATAATTAAGTCCAAAAAGCTTGTAGCTCAAGTGGTGTGTTTGAAAATTCACTCACATGTATAGCTTGTATCAAAAAAGGGAAGTGAAAAAAAAATTACAATGTATCAACACACATTTACACTCTCCCTTGCATGGATGGTGGAGATGAAAGAGATAAACATTATCAGTATTGTCTCGGGTTTGTGTCGTGGCACCTAATTACAATCCTACTACTTATCCTAATTACAATAAACTGTTTATGGCCTTTCTCAAGTTCTTATCGGCAGATGGAAAAAGACATGAGGAAGATATATAAACTCATGTCATGGTTAGCTAGGGGAAACAAGGTCTTCCCCTTTACTAATTTGTCTCTTCCAATTTTCTAGTCTATGCCGGGCCGTCTCTTCTCTTGTAAAGTCCTGCCAATATCACATTGATAGCACGAGTCAATATCCTACGGGAATATATGAAAACAATTTAAAAAGTTATTTCCGTTGTAGTTTTCATTATATGTAGTACTCTATGAACACATTTTCTTTTACCTCTCTTGCACCATCATTCGTCCATCTTTCTGAATATCTTCCTTTCTCCAATACATTTTCTCTGTACGCTTTAAAAAATTATATGAAAACTGAAAATCAAAATCGAAAAATTACAAAATGGGTCGTAAATCACCAGGTAAGTTGTATTATTTTTCCATATATCAGCATGTATATATGATGGATATATTTTATATTATATATTTAACCTCATTCTTAGTATATTTTGGTTAATATTTTGGAAGAATTTTGATACTTTGAATTATATTCCCAATATAGATCTTTCGACTTCCTCTGGAGCAAAACATAATCAAATAGACGAATTTTTGGAGGACGTTCGTAAGTCGCTTACCTTGATCGCATCGAAATTTCAGATTTTTCTACCAAGCGGTTATTTTCTGGCAATAAAATAAAGAAGCAGTGCGCTGTGCTGGAATAGTGACGTTTTGGGCTTTTATTGCGTTTTGGGGCCCAAGATGACCTTGGATGGGTTCGTGGCCTTCTAGAGAAGTGTTCAGAATATTTTTATCTTTAAAACAAGCTATCTTGGGCCAGATTTGGAGGATATTTGAGGCCAAAACGTGGCTGGGCAGATTGTGAGTAGATTCTCATAATCCAATTTGGATTTTATATCATAGTATTATTTTATTTTAACTTAGTTTCCTAGTAGGGATTGGGCAGCTAGGTTTTAGGAGGTATTTAAGGTTTTAGTTGACCGGAATTTTGGAGGACTTTCCTTTTAGGCAATTTTGGGGAAGACAGAGACTTTGGCTAGGGTTTTTGAAGAGCTTCTACTTCAAGGTGTTTTTAATCCTATTCATTTGAATGATATTTTCTTTGATTTTAATTATGAGTATGCATAGCTAATTCAAATTGCTAGGGGGAGGCCATAAGCCTTAGCATGAATATGTAATTTTATTAATTTGCTTATGAATGGATGCATGTTTACTTTGAATTATTAATCACTGCGTTTAAAACTATCTATATATTTTAATGACTGATCACCATTAGGTATGTAGACATGTAATTTGATGCAATTTCTGTTGGAACGTCACCCTGAAATTGAGGAGGGCTTCTTGTGATTAGTAGTTGTAAGTTCACTTAAGGCGAACATCACGCTCTTAAGGGTTGCATGGTTTTCAAAGGGATTTCACAAAGCTTAATGAGTCTTGCATGTTTATATTTGATCTGAATATCACAGATGAATTGCATGTTAGATATATGTTTTCGCTTGAACGTCACAAGGAAAATATGCATTAGGAAAACCTAACCTTCAAAGCATATATGTGGAAATTCATAAGTAATTGATAGAATTGCATAGTATTGGGACGGTGATGGCTAAACCCTAGTTTTCTCTAAATTTTTAGTTTTTAAAAAGAAAACGTTTTTCTTCTTTGCTGTAATTATTTCCCAACTTTCAGATTTCTTTTATTGTTAATTTCATCTTTTCAAATTCATAAACTTCAAATCTGTGATAAAATCTATTTTAATTATTAATTAAGAGTTAGTTTAATAACAAATTAGTCAAACAATCTTTGGGGACAACGACCTTGCATGAACACTTATACTACAATTACCTTGTATTCTTGCAAGTATTTTCAGTGATTTTAACCTATTGCGTAGGTTTTAAAAATCCTATCAATATACTTTCAGTTAATGACGCGGACCAAAATGGAAACAACCATTGATGACACATTGTTGTAATTTTTATGTTTTATGAGGCTTTTGCACTAAGAATCAGGTAAAAATTGACAAATGGCTGTTTTTGAGTTTTTATCTCCAAATACATTCTATATGGATTTTTGTATAATATGTCTGGCTAAAATGGACTTCATTATTAAAAAAACCTAAATATTTTCTCTTTGAAAAGTCAAATTATTTCTTCCTTTACTGATTTGTTTGTTCCAATGTTAGCCACTCTACGAGGGCCGGGTCGTCTCTGAACCAAAGCCAAAGACATATATACATAGCAGTGTCAGCGTTTCTCATACGTTCATGTCGTCTTTTAGCTTCTACATGACTCGTACCTGGAGTTAGATCATTTTCTCAAACTAGTCATAGCTGCTAAAAAACTGAGTAATCAATCTCTCTCTCTCTCTCTCTCTCTCTCTCTAGAGTATATATTATTTTATTATTTTCAACGACTAGTCACAGCTGTAAAAAATCTTTGTATGCAGTTTCAAATTTGAACAACTAAAACATCACCCATTCTTGTTACCTACCTCTGAAAGATATTGGTTTGTAACTCGTATTTTTCCACATCTCGACTTGATGGAAAAATCTAGAAGCTATAAACAATCTTTGTATGCAATTTATAGTCGGAGGTAAAAGTACGTGTGAGAGTTCCAACAAACCCCTTCATAATCCACATCAACATCCAAATAGGGGAATCCAATCCAAGAAGTACCAAAACTAATAAATCACTGTAAAAAAAACCTTAAAAAAAACATAAGATACATTGGTTTCAAGAGCATTATCACATCAAATAGATTTAAGTGAGAAAATGTTCTCTTCATAACTCATTTGACATGTTATGTTAACATTCAAGGTCTATATTAACATCATACATAATGATATCGTAACATGTCAAACCACTATGGATTTGGGTACATAATAGATAAATAATAGTGGCTTGACATACATACATAACTAATCAAAGTATGCAACACCTAAATAATAATGATTAGTCATTTTACATTAGAGGAACAAATGTTTTAAATAATAATGATTAATCCAGATGTCAATGATTAATCTTTAGGTCAGTTTGTATTTATTTGTTATGATAAGAATTTTTTATAAATATATTTTATATATTGAACTTTGTGTGTTTTTTTTCGTTTTTTTTCCTTCAGAACTCTAATTGAACTATTTTTACCCTTTAGTCCAGAAAGATAACCAACGGTAAAGGTTATCTGGACTCCCAAAATATTATGGTCGCGAGCAAAGGTGGAAATCTATTTACAAAGGCTTGGCTGTTAAATAGGCCAGAGACAAACCATTCAGACGATCCTACCTTTAGAGAGCAATTTGAGACATTGGTTGGAATGATCCTTTATGATCGACATGACTCGTACCTGGAGTTAGATCATTTTCTCAAACTAGTCATAGCTGGTAAAAAACTGAGTAATCAAGCTGTCTCTCTCTCTCTCTCTCTCTCTCTCTCTCTCTCTCTCTCTCTCTCTCTCTACAGTATATATTATTTCATTATTTTCTCCGACTAGTCATAGCTGTAAACAATCTTTGTATGCAGTTTCAAATTTGAACAACTAAAATATCACCCATTCTTGTTAGCTACCCCTGAAAGATACTGGTTTGTAACTTGTATTTTTCCACGTCTCGACTTGATGGAAAAATCTAGAAGCTGTAAACAGTCTTTGTATGCAATTTATAATTGGAGGTAAAAGTACGTGTGAGAGTCCCAACAAACCCCTTCATAATCCACATCAACATCCAAATAGGGGAACCCAATCCAAGAAGTACCAAAACCAATAAATCATAGTAAAAAAAACCTTAAAGAAAACATAAGATACATTGGTTTCAAGAGCATTATCACATCAAATAGATTTAAGTGAGAAAATGTTCTCTTCATAACTCATTTGACATGTTATGTTAACATTCAAGGTCTATATTAACATCATACATAATGATATCGTAACATGTCAAACCACTATGAATTTGGGTACATAATAGATAAATAATAATGGCTTGACATACATACATAACTAATTAAAGTATGAGACACCTAAATAACCATGATTAGTCATTTTACATTATAGGAACAAATGTTTTAAATAATAATGATTAATCGAGAAGTCAATGATTAATCTTTAGGTCAGTTTGTATTTATTTGTTATGATAAGAATTTTTTATAAATATATTTTATATATTAAACTCTGTGTGTTTTTTTTCGTTTTTTTTTCCTTCAGAACTCTAATTGATACTATTTTTACCCTGGAGTCAAAAAAGATAACCAACGGTAAAGGTTATTTGGACTCCCAAAATATTATGGTCGCGAGCAAAGGTGCAAATCTATTTACAAGGGCTTGGCTGTTAAATAGGCCAGAGACAAACCATTCAGATGATCCTACCTTTAGAGAGCAATTTGAGACATTGGTTGGAATGATCCACAACTCATTGACATGTTATGTAAACATTCACGGTCTATATTAACATCATACATGATATTGTAACATGTTAAACCACTATTGATTTGGGTACATAATATATAAGGTAACAGTGGCTTGACATACAAACATAACTAATTAAGTATAAGGCACCTAAATAATCATGATTAGTCATTTTACATTAGAGGAACAAACGTTTTAAATAATAATGATTAATCGAGAAGTCAATGATTAATCTTTGGGTCAGTTTGTATTTATTTGTTATGATAAGATTTTTTTATAAATATATTTTATATATTGAACTCTGTGTGTGTGTTTTCGTTTTGTTTCCTTCAGAACTCTAATTGATACTATTTTTACCCTTGAGTCAAAAAAGATAACCAACGGTAAAGGTTATCTGGACTTCCAAAATATTATGATCGCGAGCAAAAGTAGAAATCTATTTACAAGGGCTTGGCTGTTAAATAGGCCAGAGACAAACCATTCAAACGAGCCTACCTTTAGAGAGCAATTTGAGACATTGGTTGGAATGATCCATAACTCATTGACATGTTATGTTAACATTCACGGTCTATATTAACGTCATACATGATATTGTAACATGTTAAACCACTATTGATTTGGGTACATAATATATAAGGTAATAGTGGCTTGACATACATACATAACTAATCAAAGTATGAGGCACCTAAATAATCATGATTAGTCATTTTACATTAGAGGAACAAACGTTTTAAATAATAATGATTATACAAATTTATAAATAAACCCAATCCTAGACATGTATTTATAAAAAAACCCAAGCACTATTTAAATATAGAAACACACCCAAAATCAACCCCAAGATCAACAATTGTATATTTTTTGGGTGTGTTTATAAATGGGTTTTGAGTGTGTGTAATGATGGGTTTTGGGTGTGTTTATAAAGTGTTTTGGGTGTTGGGTTTTTTTATAATTTCAGTCCCCATTTTGGGTGTTTTAGTGAAACTCCCTAATGATTAATCAAGAAGTCAATGATTAATCTTTAGGTCAGTTTGTATTTATTTGTTATGACAAGAATTTTGTATATATTGAACTCTGTGTGTTTGTTTTCATTTTTTTTTCCTTCAGAACTCTAATTGATACTATTTTTACCCTGGAGTCAAAAAAGGTAACCAACGGTAAAGGTTATTTGGACTCCCAAAATATTATGGTTGCGAACAAAAGTGGAAATCTATTTACAAGAGGGCTTGGCTGTTAAATTGGCCAGAGACAAACCATTCGGACGAGCCTACCTTTAGAGAGCAATTTGAGACATTGGTTGGAATGATCCATAACTCATTGACATGTTATGTTAACATTCACGGTCTATATTAACATCATACATGATGTCGTAACATGTTAAACCACTATTGATTTGGGTACATAATATATAAGGTAACAGTGGCTTGACATACATACATAACTAATCAAAGTATGAGACACCTAAATAATCATGATTAGTCATTTTACATTACAGGAACAAACGTCACTTAAATCTATTTGATGTGATAATGCTCTTGAAACCGATGTATCTTATGTTTTTTTTAAGGTTTATTTTTTATTTTTTATTTTTTATTTTTTATACTGTGATTTATTGGTTTTGGTACTTCTTGGATTGGGTTCCCCTATTTGGATGTTGATGTGGATTATGAAGGGGTTTGTTGGGACTCTCACACGTACTTTTACCTCCGATTATAAACTGCATACAAAGATTCTTTACAGCTTCTAGATTTTTCCATCAAGTCGAGATGTGGAAAAATACGAGTTACAAACCAGTATCTTTCAGGGGTAGGTAACAAGAATGTGTGATGTTTTAGTTGTTCAAATTTGAAACTGCATACAAAGATTGTTTACAACTGGTGACTAGTCGGAGAAAATAATAAAATAATATATACTGGAGAGAGAGAGAGAGAGCTTGATTACTTAGTTTTTTAGCAGCTATGACTAGTTTGAGAAAATGATCTAACTCCAGGTACGAGTCATGTTGATCATAAAGGATCATTCCAACCAATGTCTCAAATTGCTCTCTAAAGGTAGGCTCGTCCGAATGGTTTGTCTCTGACCTATTTAACAACCAAGCCCTTGTAAATAGATTTCCACTTTTGCTCGCGACCACAATATTTTGGGAGTCCAGATAACCTTTACCTTTGGTTATCTTTTTTGACTCAAGGGTAAAAATAGTATCAATTAGAGTTTTGAAGGAAGCAAAATGAAAACAAACACACAGAGTTCAATATATAAAATATATTTATAAAAAATTCTTATCACAGGAAATAAATACAAACTGACCTAAAGATTAATAATTTGATAATGGTAGTCAGCGTTCAGCTTGCTCCAGCACGTACTTATGAAAATTGCAACATGACAGTAACTATGGCCAACATTAACTCACAATTGGATACAAAGAACCAATCAAACTAACATATATATTTCAACAGGAACAACTTCCCTTGGACATATAATTGGCGCGATGGAGAAGGGTGCATGTGGTTTAATGGTCTATTTCTCAAATATATATTTGGGGAATACCTTGTAAGGCTCATTTCGGGTTCTATTTTAATAATTTGAATTGTCTAATTTTCGAGTCTTAATGCATAAATCATCCTTGAAAAATATTTGACAAATCATAATGTGTAGATCATGTTAATGGTGAACATTGTTTCGAATGTAAAGAAACCAAAACACTTGCTCCTTCTAAACCACATCTTAATTACATGAACAAGACTGGTAACCCCCTTAAAAAATGAGCATTAAAGTTAATCCATTTCCTAATTCATTTGAAAATACATCAAATATGATCCAAACGCCCGGTGCCTTAGTATTTCATTTTGCGGGGCACACCCTTTTATCACGAGGCCTCTCCCCGCCACATGATCTTTGAACCCATGTGGGATCATGCTCTGATCCTCTTCATCAACGTCCGCTCCTTTCATTGGGGCCCTCATGGCCAATATGAAGAGGGCCCCACTTCCTATAGTGCACTGGCTACAGCCTACATCTGCCGTCTGTTCATTGTAGGGTTGTAAATTGGATTGGAATATGATTCCGGATTGAAAATTTCCAAAAATTGGACTCCGATACATCTAATATCCAAAAGTGTTGAAATCCGAAATTTCTGATAAAATTCATGTCGAAATCGGAATGTATTTGTAAATTTTGAAAATTTCGAAATTCTGATCCGAAAATTTCTGAAATTCTTCGAAACCTTTCCGATCTGATTTTTCCAATTTTTCCCAAAAAATTCCGACTTTATAATACTATTTTATGATTTATTTGTTTTTAGTTTATAGGTCCTATATATATTTCATTTCTTATTTGTTATATTCAAGTGCCCTCCAACATACAAACATTCATATATACATGTATACTAAACATAGGAGTATGTATTACTTTAAGACTAGGTTTTTTGGGCTAACATGTTTGTTTGAATATTACAAAAATTCATGTGTGTGGTTATCATATACAAACATACCATATAACAAAAACGCATGTATACTTATGTATTCTATATATGTGTATCTATTTTTTGTTATAATGTATGTATATATATAAAACACATATACATGTATACGTCAGAATTATAAACATGCCTATATATGCTAAAGGTTTATTATATATACATAGGTGTGCTTGTCTAGAGCAAGACTAACCATTTTTTTTTAAAGAATGAACAAATATACATCAAAATATTTTTCCATTAAATGCATGTATACTTATGTATTCTATATATGTGTATCTTTTTTTTTCGCTTACAATGTATATGTATACATAAAACATAAAAGATTTCCCAAGTTATATTTATACAAACCAAGATTTTTTTATTTTATTTTATTGATGAAAAGGAATTTCATTGAATAACCAAATAGCATAATACACGGAGAAGAAAACAAAAGGATGTGCAAGTTCGGGCCTCTGTAAAAAACCTTTAGCATAAAAAAACCCCCAAAAAAGGAGGAAAATCCGCCAAAGGAAAAAGAGTACCTCCCACTTGCCATCAAACATAAAGATCAGCCATTAGCTTCTAGATCTGCAGAAAGAAAAGGAGTTAGCCACAATGGCTCATCCTCAATCCATGTGAAAAAACTAGCGTTCTGAGTGTTATTTTGAGCCAGCTCATGGGCAACCTTGTTACCTTCTCGTCGTTGCCAATTACAGGAGAAAGATCTAAATCACCCCTGCATCTCCTTGATATCTTCCACAAGATTCCCTTCAGCTTCAAAACACTCTTCATTAGAGTTGATTCTATCTACCACCCCCTGCGCATCCATTTCTAGCACTATGTCACGAAAGCCAAGATCATATGCGAACTGAAGACCTTCCTTTGCAGCAATTAGTTCCATAGCTTGTGCACTAAAATGTCCTACCATTTGTCGAGAACAAGCAGTCATAAACTCTTTATACAAACTAAGATTAAACATACATTTAATTATATCAAACATAAACTATCTATCTCTCCCTGTATAAATTAAACATGCATATAATTTAAGTAATGGTGCTATCTACTATACTACTATTTCCTTTAAAAATAAGATTTAATAAAAAAATTTACATTAAAAAAAAATAATTTAAACAAGTGCATTCATTGTTAGTTAATCTATATATATAAAGCAAAAGGCAAAGAATGGTGAAACATTCAAAATACCAATAAATGCCCTTGGTTAATTCAATCATTAAAAATTGAAATTTATAATTAAATGAGGATAATGTGGTAAATTCACATTTTTCATATTAAAAAAATTAAAATTAAAAACAAAATCAAATAATAGGTCATATTTTAAGGAACATAACTACCCATGTTTTTTTTTAAATTCTAAAAATAAAATTTAAAAGAAAAAAGAAAAAAGAAAACCAAGATATAATATTTCCAACAAAAATTGAAAAACAAAGAGATATTTAGTGATATATCAATTTGTACCACTAATATTATAAATAAACCCTACACAATTGAATTTCCATAAACAAACAAAAAAATAAACCCAAAAAATGACAGCTGGCTTTATTGAATTTAATATTGATTATTAAATTACTTTGATATCCTATTAAGTGTTTTGAGTATTTTTATGATATTGTGGGGTTGGGCTTGTTTTAAGAAAATTGATGGCAGTTTTGTAATTTATAAGAAGTTAAAAGCTTTTTGTTATGTTGTAAATGGACTTTGGGTATTTTTATAATTTGGGCCCTCATACTGGGTATAATAGTGAATCTACCAAAAACAAATCCCAGCCCATTTCGCAGCAGCCCAAATGCCAAATCCCAATTCTAATCCCCTATTTCTTTATTTTCTCATCTTTGTTTCTGTTCCGGTCAAATTACAGGCCTAAACAACACCAAAGAAAAGCCTCGGCAAAATGTCCGTCGCACGAGCTCAGATGTCCACGCCATATTGAACTGAGACTGACAATGATAAGGATGAAGATGAGGATGCTAACCACGAGCCCACGACCAGGTAATCGTTCTTTTATCACTCATTTTCTGCTGAAAAGAAGTGAATTTCATTCTGATGCTGATAATAATGTTAGTGATATGGAGACTCTGATTCAAACACGGTGCAAATCTGGAACACTTAAGTCACAGGAAGCATTGGGTTACTTCAATTCCATGATTCAAACGAAACCCCTTCCCTCTAATTGGACTTTTAAATGTTTGTTTGGGGCACTTTACAAGATGAAGCAATATTCTGCCCTAGTATCGATGTATAAACAGTTGATGGGTTGAAGGAAGCCACAAAGTTGTTGAATAAAATGATGGGTGAAGGAATCCCACCAAATGTTGTAACCCTTAACATTGTTATAAAATATCTTTGCAAGTGCCGAAGGACCAATGAAGCCCTCACTGTGCTAGAGCTAATGACTGAAGGAGGTCTAAAACCTAACGTTGTCACTTACAACTGTTTAATATATAGCATGTGCCATAGAGCTCAATCGGGAGAAGCCACAAGGTTGTTTGATGAAATGGTAGGTCAAGGGATCTTACCTGATGCCATAACGTTGGGAACACTTTTGGATGCTCTCTTCCAAGTAAGGATGACAGAGGAGGCTCGCAAAGTATTTGAGGCAAAAATTAAGGCTGGTATGGAGCTTAGCACAATATCTTGCAGTATGTTGGTTAAGGAATACTGTTTGCTTGGCAGGATGGATAAGGCAAAGAAGGTCTTTAATTTCTTGGTGGCTCTGGGTCATGTGGCTGATATTGCTTCTTGCTATAACGCCTTGGTGAATGGTTATGCGCAGGATAAAAGAATGGGTGAAGCTTTGAGGCTTGCGAAAGAAATGATCCAGAAAGGATTGATGCCTGATCCAGAGACACAAAAAACTTCGAAAGGTTTCCGTTGTAGAAGGCATGCTGCATCTGCAGAATAAGCTTTTGACTCCTCTAATGCGAATTATCTCATGCTGAATCTCTTTAGATGGATTTTTAAATTGTAGAAAGCATAGTGGTCATATGCCATTAAACTTCTAATTGATGTAATTGGATTCCCTAATTTGATGGAACATGTTAGATGGATTTTGATATCCTAATTTTAGGGATTATGCTGCCAATCCAGTCAGGATGCAATCCAAATAAAACCAATTCAACTATACTGCATAACGACATGCTTTATTTTCCTCTACTTGCTGTCTGGAGTTGAAGACACCTCCCCAACCTTCTTGGCGACGGCCTGGGCATGGAGTTGTGAAGGCCAATTGTGATGGTGGTTGTCCTCGGTTCAATCAGCTTGCGCCTTTGGGTAGGTGTTTCGAGATAACCATAGTTGGTTCAAGGCGAGGGGTTGTCAGGGGCTCAGTCCATGTGTGTGTAGTGCCATGCCTGAAGTGTAGGCTATTAGAAGAGCTTTGGAGGTGGTGACTCGACATGGGTGGAGGAAAGTTATTGTAGTATCCGATGCTAAAGTGCTCATTGAGGCTCTACTTGGTAAGTCGCTCATTTATGCTCTCTTGTGGGGCTTGTTACATGATATAAGGGCTCTTTCCAGGAAGTTGGTTGCTGTTAGTTTTGCTTTCATTCTGTGATATTGTAATATGGCAATCAAGATGGTGGCTTCTTTTCCTTCCCAACTTGGTCAGTGTTATGAGTGGCTGGGGTTGCAGCCATTTTGGCTTCTCCCCACACGCTACAATTAATTCCAATAATTTGTATCATTAGTAGACTCTGCAACATGGGTAATTGGGAAGAATTACTTTCTCTATTTGAAAAAGTGATAGATCAAGGAGTCTAGCCAAATGTTGTCTCTTACAAAACTCTAATTTGCATGGTTGATGTAGGAATCGCAAGATGTATATACCTATAGGCCTTGTTTGGTAGGTTGAATTGGACTAGACATCACCATTAAATTGGACAAAAGTCATAGCTGTTGTTTGGTGGACTTAAGTGTGACTCAGACTGGATATGGGTCTTGGAGCCAAATCCAAAATAACCGGGACTCTGGAACCCGAGGTGAGGCAGCCAAATCCAATTAAAAAAGTTTTATTTAATGTAATGGTACTAGGATCCTAAATTACACCCCTTGCCATATACACAAAGCCAAGCTAGTTATCCAGATTATTAATCAAATAATAATAATAAATAGTAAATTTATTGTCTTTTGATTAAGAATAATACTAATTTTCTTCTTATTATCGATATTGTTATGCTTTGTGTTTCGTTACATATGAAGGTCAACTGAATCATGGTTTATGTTGCATATTTTACCCTCTGTTGTCTCTTTCCCTTTTTTTTTCTTTTTTTTTCTCCAATTGAACTTTGAAGCCTCTCTCTTTTCATTCCTTAATTTTAGGGAAATAAGCTGGTGTAATCAGCTTTCAGAAATAGTGTGCTGAAATGATCAGGCTACAAATTGTGTTCTAATATAATCACTTGGGGATGTGAAATGACCAAAGTGCCCTCCATATAAAAGCAGATGTATCAACCCTTTAGCGCCTCTTTTCTGAACTCTCTTCTCTGTTTTCGCAGTTTGCCAAAAATGGGGGAACTCTAGGTTGCGAGACATTTTGGCACTGAGCAATCCAGTTCGCAACCCATCCATAGTCACAACCCAGATGTCCTAAACTTTGGAACCCTAGTTTGATCGTAGCGAAGCCGGCGGAACGCACCGCCTCCATTGTTGACCTCCAGATCGAAGTGACTATTGCGACTCCATAGAGAAGCGAAAGTGGCGACTTTCGGCGTTGTCGTGAACGGAGGTGAGTTCAGATATTGGTTTTGTAGTGTATGTGTATTATAAAATCATGCATCCCCTTTTCACCACAGAAGGGCAGAAGAGCTTAAATTTTTAGTTTGAAGGCGTTATGATATGTTGAAATTCATAGTTTGTGTTATTATTTGCAGTGGGATCTGTGTGGTAAACTTGAATTTTGTTTAAAATTGACCGAATGCTTGTATAATGTAGTGCAATGTGTTTGATAATGGGCAAAATAACAGCACACAGAAAAATCATATGTTAACTTTGTCTGCCCTAAAAATAGGTTTGTTAGGGTAGTTTTAGGCTCAATTTAGATGCTAATGTGGGGAATTTATTGGCTTTTTGGGTTTGTTTTGGTAAGAAGTATAGTTTGTGTGTTTTGGTTTCCAATTTGGTAATTGAGCTTATACTACATAATACGTTTTGTATCACAACCTGAGCCTTTTGTTGAAGGTGTTTACATTTGTTGAAAACCCTTAGAGGTTAGAGGGTTCACATTGCTGCCATGGTATGTTTATGTGAGTTTGTTAATAACTTGGAACCCACAACTATGTACAAAATAAGAGAAAAGACAGAAAGGAATAAAAGTTCCTTGTTGAAGCAGCTACAATTTGAGTTTTGAAGATTTGAGGATTTATAAAATGATACGTGTAGTGGAATGATTGTTGTGTATGTTTTTATTTGATGGAATTTATCTTTTTTAGTGTTATTCATTGCTGTAGTAATTATCTATGTTATTTGCAAAAATAGATACTGTTGGAATATTGGTATGCTACAATGGAAGTTGAGTTAAGAAGGATAACATTGAGAGTTACAAAGGTGGGGAGGCTAAAGGCATAATAGTGTCATGGAACGTAACGTTTTCCGACCTTGTTCAGCGCATTTATAAGATAATGGATGCAGATCCCACGAAATGTATTGTCACACTGAAGTATTCCGTTCCTGTATCCTCATCTGTCTGTAAGCACATAAGGGTTGAAGACAATGATGATGTTCAATATTTTATAAAGTACAACACAGATGTTATAGTCTCTAAAGTAACCCCTTTAGTAGCAAGCTTGAAAAATATCGAAGGTCATGGTATTGAAGGGTGCAATGGCATTGTAAGTGTTGAGAGTAGCAATGCTCCTGCTAACTTTGTTGTGGAACAAAGAAATGTGGTAATTCGGGACAATGAAACTGAAAATGGTGGGAATGATTTTAATTGGAGTGATTGGGTTGAAGAAGTGAATTTTGAAAGTGGTGAAAACATAGTTGTTGATTTCAATGAACCTAGCAACAAAGAGGAACCGCACTCTGCTCCGATTGTGCATCCTCATGAGGACAGCAATGTCGAACCGTCCACTGTGCAGTGTAGATAGGTGCAATCTGAACCTCCCCGACAATCAAGTTCGACTGAAATGCATACAAGTCGGGCTGATTTGAAGCATGGTCAGAGTTTGGAATATATTCATTATGGTGGAGGCCTTTCGTGCATAAATTTCGAAGCAAATTTGAAGGTTGGCCGAGTTTATCCAAATAAGATTGCCCCTTTTAAAAACCATCAGTTTAGCAGCAATCACAGGCCACTTTCGATTGAGAACTGTCCAATCTGCGAAGCGTCGGTTGTGTGTTCGCTGCTGGCAGCTTCCTTGCCCTTGGAAAGTTCGGGGGCATATAAAGTTGGATTACATGAGTTTAAGGTTGTTATATACGATCCACTTCATGAATGTGATCTAAGGTATGTAAGTAGTCATCATTCTCAAGCTACGACTGAATTGCTGTCTGACTGTGTTAAGTGGAGATTTCAGGATTCACGCAGCATTTATACTGCAGCTGATATCAAGAAAGATGTGAAACAAAATTTCGGTGTGAGCATAAGCTACTCTACAGCGTGGAGAAGCCGAGAGTTAGCTTTCAAAAGAATTAGAGGGTCTGCAGAAGAGTCATATTCCCTTCTCCCTTCCTATTGTTATGAATTGGAGCATACAAATCCGGGAACTTTGACATACATTGAGACTGATGCAGCTGATCACTTCTCATATTTTTTATGGCAATTGGTGCATGCATACAAGGATTTAAGTCGTCAATGCGGCCCGTGATTGCTGTTTATGGTACCCATTTGAAGTGCAAGTATAAAAGTGTTTTGTTTGTTGCGACCGCATTTGATGGAAATCGGAACATATATCTTGTTGCCTTTGGGATTGGAGATTTGGAGACGGATGCAGCTTAAGAGTGGTTTTTGAGAAAACTACATTGTGCAATTGGTGATCGCTCGAATCTTGTTGTCATGTCATATCGCAATGTTAGCATACAAAATGGGTTTGCGTAGAGTTTTTCCTGGGGCAAGCCATGGTATTTGCTTTTATCACTTGAAAGGCAATATGAAAGCCTCATTTCAGTTGAAGCAGCAGGATCCGATATTGGGGTCTTTTGTAAGGGCAGTTAAGTCTTATCGTCTACCGGAGTTCAATCGTCACTTTTCCAGGATAAACAATGACCGAGTGCGAACTTATTTACTACGTGCAGGCGTCCATAAGTGGTCTCGGGCCCATTGTGATGGACGACGATATAATGTGATGACAACGAATATTGTGGAGTCCATTAATTCAGTTCTTCGGTTTGCAAGGATGCTTCCGGTGCTACACTTGATTGACGAAATTACAAATCTACTTCTGTATTGGTTTAGGCAATGTCGAGATTTAGCAATGAAATCTCATTCTACGTTGTGCCCTGATTTTGGGGAAAAGAAGTTAAGGAAGAGGTTAGATGCTGCGTCAAGGATGAATGTGGTCAAAATCAATGATGTCGATGTTCTGGATGGTGATTTGAACGGTCTGGTGCACTTGCAAAACCCTAGTTGTACATGCAGGAAGTTTGACTTGGAGCAACTCCCGTGTAAGCACGCTTTTGCTGTATGTCGACACTTGAAATTGAACCCCTACTCCTTTGCCTCTTCTTATTATACACGAGCTACATGGGCAGTTGCATATGTTGAATCTCTTTATCCTGTACCACCTGAAGGCACATGGGTTATTCCCGAAAATTTGAAGAAGGTCAAATCCTCCCTCCTCTTTCTAAGGTTATGTCGGGGCCGTCGCAAAACGCAAAGAATAGCTTCTAAAGGAGAGGAGTCCCGTCAAAAAAAATGCTCAAGGTGTGGTGTGAAGGGCCACTACCGAAATACATGCAAACAATATGTCCCTCTCACCAACAAGCAGCACGTTGCGTAGATGTTACACTTGTTTAGTTTCTACCTTTGTTTTCGTCAACTGCGAAGTTGATGAATAGCTTCGGTGATGCTGCAGGGATGGAAGTCGGTCGACACAACAGTCATGTGAAGCATATGGAACAAGGTAACAAGTCCTTTGCAATGAGAGCCTAATATTAGTAGAAATTGGTGAACATATAGTGCCATCACCACAGTGAAACCAGCTGTAAATTAACAATGTTCCACTGGCCAATGTGTGTGTTAGATTAACATTTTTGTTCGTTTGTTATGTACCTTTTATTTGAAATTGAATTGAATTCGATTTGGTGTTCTCTATTGTGATTGTAGTCACATTGGCATAAACTGCTTTCCTTTCCTAGACAACGTCATGTATTCCTGTCTGTATATTCACACTATCGTCATGCTGTTGTCCTTTTGTTGCGTCCAAAATGAAAGGGCCTAGAAGGCTAACTACAATTGCATCTCGTACATAAAACTCCCTCAAATGCAAATCTTACGCAGTTACTATGATACTGGTAGTACTTCATGATTGCTCATTGTTCTCATTGCCATAGAACACAATATATAGATAATTTTTGGGAAAGTATCCATGCAGCTACACATGTTCAACAGATTGCGATATTATCTATAATATCGCGATCTATCGTGATGTGAACTTTAAATAAAAGCATTATTCACTTGAAGTCACACACACAGAGGATGAAACCCTTCCCCCTACTAGGTTCTGAGCTACTTAACCACAACGGCAGTCATCGCTTTTTGATTACTGACTATGGACTCTGGTATTTATAAGTCTTCCAACCTGTTTTGAAAAATAAAAATTAATTAGTTAGTGTTCTATATTGTTGCTCAAATATTTCATTACTTCATGTCATTCATTTCTATCATATTTAATCCATTTCATGTTATTGCTTCTTTAATTCGAAGGTTCATTATAAGTACTGAAATGACTAACTATCCCTTCAAATTGTTGCTTCATTACTTAAATGTCGATAATACTTTTATTTATTTCCTATTTAATTCTTCCTTTCATAACTGTATTTGTGTTCCATGTAAAAATTTGCATGTATGTATACTGTCCGTGGTTTGTATGGAATCGATATCTTTCCGATCTTTCCATGGATATTTCCGTGCTTCAAAACCACCGATCTTTCCTAAACCCTCCATCTTTACGACCTTTGCTACAGAACCTCTTTACCATTACTCAGATGGACAAGCTATATTTTATGGTGCCAATCAATAAAGCATCAATAAAACCACAATATACCTACCCTACGATTACAATATGACACAATACAATAGCAATACAAGCACAATAAAACAACAATATAACTACCGTACGATTCCAATATGAGACAATAATATAGCAATACAAGAACAATATAAATACTTTACGCTTCCAATACGAGGGCAATAAACGTACAATAAGCACACATCCACTACACAACACTTTACATTTATACAAACTTACTAATTTGCCACTCAACTGTGAGAATAAGAGGAAGGCGTAAACAAGGCACCACATTCATACAAAATCCATTTTGTGTCCACAAAATGCTTTGAACACATACTTACCCTGACCCAGCTACACAGACCCTACCAAAATCCAAATGGGTATAGGTCCATCATTAGATCCATGTCCTTGGTCTTCTTCCTCGCTGCATGCACAAGGCTATGATCAGCCATTCCTTGGCCACACCTATTCAGCACCTGCCAGACACTAGCAACATTTATTTCTCTCCAATTGTAGTCTAGTGAGATGACGGAAGCATAATCTCGGAACATCTCGAACCCATTGTTAAAAGATTCAACCATTTGATGGTTAAATTCTTCAGATTGAGTGAATTTGTGCACAGCATCTTTCTTTGTTTCTTCCAACTTGACCTTCAACCAGTCTAACTTTGCGCTCCGACTTTTGGCTTTCATTGTTTGCTTCACTTCTCTAGCATATGCTTTGTTCAGCTTGTTGGTCAAGTTTGCCATCACCTGGCCATGAATATCACATTTCGTTTCCCACCAATCTGTAGCCGTACACAAATATTGGAGGTCCTGCTTCACTTCAGCAATTTTGTCTAGTGGATCATTGTTGTCAGCCTCACTTCTAGATGACGTGGGATCGTTATTTGGAGTCCCAGGTAGAGATGGGAAAGGGACATGCCATGGCTGGTCTCCCGGGTAACTGCCATGGTCGTTTGGAGGGATTACGTCTGACATCTTCAACTATGGATGGGGAAATTGCACACATGCACCGTGCAAAACAGTTAACATCAGGTTCAGTCTGTTTTTTTTTTTTTTGTTTTAACCAACCAATAGGGTGAGCTTTAGTATAGCTTTGCTCTCTGATATATACGAAGTACTCTGTTTGATATGGAATTGAATGAGTAAGTTAAACCCTCTTATATACAGGAAGTTGTGCGTTTTATATTTATTTCAAATAGTACATTACAGGTCAGTCTGCACCCTGTCCTCCTCTCCCTCAGTGAGAGCATTGTAATATGCCCATTACAGCCTTACCAAATACGAATAAAGGTATGTCAACGGTGGAATAATCGGCTGTACAAATATACACACCTAAACAACTGTGAATACACAAAATAAACACAACCTTACTAAAAAACTGTATACTATCTTAATATTCAAGGTCTTGACATAGGAATACTACAAATGACGACCAAGTTCCCTAATTATCAATTTACGAAATATACAGAAATGTTTATAAATTATTTAGTATTCCCTACAAATGACAAGAATATATTTTGTCCATATGAGAAAATTAAATAACACCAAAACAGTCATATACAGTCCCGACCAAAATTTCAAGGCGAAGATAACGTAAAGTGGGCGGAATACACCTCAACATATTTGCAAATATCAAAATTCACAATTCGGAATTTACCGATATATTAAAAAATGGAACTCATATACATCAATTATTTGGAAGACAACAAAAAGGAAATTGGAAACACATATACATTCATGGTCCTTTTTTGTAAACCTCTGCATTTGTACATTGTCAAATGAACGTACTCATAAATTTGGGACATTTTGTACTTTTGGGACTTTGTACTTTTGGTACACGAGGGAAATTGGTCAAAGAGGACAAAAGGAATAAATTGCAAATACAACAAAGGTCCCATACAACAAACACCAACCACTAACCTAATTACACAAACCCCAAGTCTAACGTGTTGGCCAACAATTGGACCCCAACCACTCCCGCCAAAAATTGGAGCCAACAACTCTCGCCAATAACCCCCGCCAGTTGCTGACTGTCATTTACTCCTGCTCATTATTACCTCCCACTATTTAATTGTAACCCAGCTGCATCCACCCAACATTTCCATCACATTTACTCCGTCAAACCCCCCTTGCTTGCGCAACAATTTCACCCACATCACAATTACTTCCAGTTTGGGCAAACTAATGCCCACACCAACCCGCAGTACATACCCAACACCCATGGACTGAAACCCCACACCAAACCCAACCTTTGCCATTACTGAAGGAGGGGACACTGAAACACCTACCAAATCAGCAACAGAAGACACTGAAGACTGGGTCCATGGACTGTAGCAATGTCGAGCCAATACCATGTTCTGGAAAAATCTCCATGTAGACATAGTGTTAAAAATTAAAGAGGGCCAAGCTAGGTGGGGTGTCATAAAAAACCGCACAATTCGGGATCGTTATCAAGATCGGATGCATCTCCTACATATAAAGGTTGTGAGAGCTAAAATTGAAAATGCCCCTGCCACTGCAGTTATTGTATTCAAGGAATCTGACAAAATGGCTCAACTGAAGCAAAAACAGCTGGAATCCGGTTTCGAACTATTTAGGAAGTTTGCAAAAATTGTGTATGCAGAAGGAAAGTGGGACATCACTGTGGGAGGGGTCATGAATTTAATGGGTCGCGGTCGCCGTATTTGAAGGGTATGCAACTCGAAATGTGTCCACAGACAGAAGGTATGACTTGTAATACGACCATGTCAACGATTGTGGACAAACTTTGTACAGTGGAAGTATGACGTGGCCACTTTTTGTATTATGTACGTATGAGGTGCCCTGTTTATGTATTTATTTTGTATTATGTAAGTTTGAGGGGGCCTCTTTTGTAGATATGTATAATGTAAGCTTCAGGTGCCATCTTTGTTAACATTGTATTAAGTAAGTTTGTGGTGACCTTTTGTTTTGTTTTGTTTTTTTATTTTTTATTTTTATGTAAGTTTGCGGTGGGATGTTATTTTATTTTGTATTCTGCCAGTTTGAGGTGGCCTTTGTATTATGATTGTTCCTGTTGCCTTCTTTGTTGTTGTATGCTGGAAGTTTGAAAACTGCAGTTGATGTAATTTGGATGCATTCATTTCAGATCCGAATGATAACGTAATTACCTTCCACATAGTTCAAATTTGTACACTTGTAAAATGACATTGCAAAACCAATACGGAAGACAGTATAAAACAAACAATTTAGAATAGCAGTACCAACCAAAAATAATGCACAGGTTACATTGCAATTCCAATATACGTGCAATAGCAGGCATTAGAAAACCAATAAAGAGCATTAGAAAATCAATAAAGTGGCAATAGCAAACCAATATAGTTGCACTATAACACCAATACGTCAGTAATAAACCAATATACACGCAACGAAGAATTAGCATGTACTGTATTTCCAAGTGTATACCATGGCGTATGTGGATTCCAAAATAAGGGTATTGTTGGCTCAATTCCTAACAACTAAAATGAGTTATTAAAAACAGCAACTTTAATTCTCGCAAGTGCACGAACCGTTTATAGTATAGCTTATGTAAATACGAGGTCGATCCCACGGAGAATGGTAACTTGGTTCCAAGTTAAATTACTTAGAATGCTAGAAAAACATAAAACAAAGAAACTGACTAACTAGCTAAAGGCAAGTTCGAACTCAACAATGCCTCTTGCTAATTACTCAAGGTCTAGGACAGAATCCTAGCACCACACACGCACTCGAAATGGGGGGGGTTTTGTTGTTGAAATGAAAAGAAGAACGTGAAATGAAAGTGCTCGAAAATAAACACTGGCAGCAATCAACAAGTTGTGAAACAAAGATTGAGAGGTGTTAGAGCCTTGGAATCTACCACTAGTCTTCCTATCCAAGTTATGAATGCATAGAAATTGACTCAAGCTTCATCAACAATAGATTATCGCATACAAGCCTATGGTATCTAGGTGCAGGATGCATGATTCTCCTAAGGCATGTGATTGTGCATGGTATCTACACAACACTTGATCTCTAATATGCAACCTAAGCATGGTATCTACTTAGAATAAAGCATACAAGAGTCATTAAGCTCCTTGAGAATATGATAATCACACAAGTCCTAGAACATGGTATCTGTCCTAGTCAACTTATGGTTATTAACCCCTTGAATGATTCTTAGGCCATTCATGTGTTGCTTGTGAAAGGAGAGTAGAATTGGTGAATCTAAACCCCTTCCCAACCTGTGCTAGATGCATAAAATCCTAGTTAGCTACTCTAAGCAAACATACATCAAGCACATGATAAACTGGAGATTAACAACTTGATAATGAAATAAAGGAAATCAATTAACTATAAAATCATCCATAACATTGAATATTCATGACTAGGGCTTCATCCTAAGCCCTAACTAAATGGATTAGTTAGACATAACTATGAATACAGAAAATAAGAAATACATAGATAGGATAAAGAGAGGAGAAGAACTAGATGATGGCAGCAAGGAATTCCCAGGACAGCTCCAAGCTCTCTTCTCTCTTTGTGGTGAATCTGAATTTGTGTATGAGAGTAATGGGTGAAGTGAAAATGTGTATCTGACTCTCTCTCCCTTGAATGAGTGTGCAGCCCTCTATTTATAGAGTGCAATTTCGTCCTCCCCTTTGGCTGGTGAAGCACACCTCTCTTAGCTGCTCCCAACAACTCCAGCAGCCCATACTTGCCACCTGCTCCAGATGCCCATACTTGCCACCTGCTCCAGCTGTCAAATACATGCTTTGGTATGGTTTTTTAATGGAAAACTTGACTTTTGTTCATCATTCTGAGTTTCTGAACTGATTTGACTCCCATGTATGGCTGCCCATGCTTAGCACATGGCTCTAGGGATGTAGATGTGATGGCAGCCAGTCATGACATTTCTGTGAACTTGATTCAGTCTTTGACGTGCTGAGGGCTCCAGATTTATCCAATTGGGCTGAAATTTGGATATGTTATAATAGACACCAATTGGAACAACTTCTATCAAGGATGTCTCCTCATCCGACCTGTGTAAGTTGCTGAAATGAGGACTGCAAGATGACCCACGAAACTGGACTGACAAGGATTGTGGCCCAAATTGGGTTTGTCCTTAAGCTCATATTCCTCTTATCCCAATCAGCCCTTATCAAGCATGGATTGCATCAAATGTGATCTCTTGCTGTCTTAACCTACAAAACACACAAACATAGGTAAGAGACTCAAAATAAAGAGAAGGTAAACAAAATTACTAAGCAAAGAAGGCATGCAAATGTGTGAAATTATGACCTTATCAAATACCCCCAAACTTAGATTTTGCTAGTCCTCGAGCAAAACAAAGGAAAAATACCATTTAGAAAACAGGAAATAAGCTGCTAGCCTTCCAAACAATATCCTCAAAGAATCACCGAAATATATGGTTCCAAAGAAACACAACAATCACAATCTAAGTTCCACACATGATTCAAGGGTAACCAAGGCTCACAATGACATCCTTAAGTGTAGTGTGTGAATGCCAAATCAGAACAACACCTGCAACTCAAATAAGTACATGCGCACACACTTAGAGCAAAATCAAAAATTCCGAACCCCATAAGCTCATTATCCAATCTGCTCTCCACATAATACCATGCAACACCAAGGATCAAAAGGACTTTACAAGGGTAGTAATGAGGTTTAGGGTAGTGGTTGAATGAAAGAAGGGATATGAGATATACAATATTTTGAGCATAATTAAAGCATAGGTAAGAGCAAAAGAGATTACTGAATTTTGTAACAAGCAAGGAACACATACATGAGCAGATTTTCAACATAATTTCAGCACCTTCAAATCTGTTTATTTGGCCTAATTTTGTGGCTCTTTACCCTAGATCACCATGATCTTCTCTTTTATAACACCCTAGGGCCGTGACTACATTGGTCACACTTCATTACCTCTTTTGATTAGTTACCAATACCCCCAAACTTATTTCTTTTCAACACTTGGGTTATGGCACTAATGATTCATTTTTTTTTGCTCCAAAAACCTTGCATTCTTTATAACTCTCTTTTGAAGATAGCTTTAATTGCTCATACGATAAGTAAGAATAAGAAAACAGAGGTTCATTATGGTAGGAAGGGTTTACACAAAGAAAGGCTTAACGTAGGCTCAAATGGGTTGACTAGGGATGAATACATGTAGAGGGATGGTTAGAAAGGCTCAAACGGTTCAAACATGGCCAAAATCACTTCCTAAGCATTGTATGGCAACAAAATGTCTCAAGAGATATTCAAATAAGTTCTAGAGTACAAAACCAAGATCATGAGATAAGTAGAATTGCATAACATCTCTAAGTAACAAGAAATTGGACTAACTTGGCAAAGTGCTCAATAAGTGCAAGGATGGCATGCAAGACAGAGTTAACTCAGAACCACACAAAGTCCTTAAACAATGACTATCAATTTCTGAGAAACCATATTAGTATTAGATCCAAGTCTTATCATAGGTGTTTGGAAGGATAACGAAACAAGACACAAAATCCTGCGTTTTTGGCCATTAGACACACTCAAAATTTTAAAATTTGATAATTTGAAACAACATAACTAAATCCTTCCCCCCAAACTTAAATGAAACATTGTCCTCAATGTTTAGAGTGTAAGAAAAAGCAATGCCTCATAAATGAAAGGAAAGAAGATAAGGGAAAGACATAAGCAAAGGTTAGAGTTCAGAAAAACTCCCCTTTGAAGCGATTAGGACAAGCAGGCTTCCTTGCATGTTCTGTCTTCTCCTCGTCACCTTGGGTTGCCTCCCAAGAAGCGCTAAGTTTTATGTCTTCAGCCGGACGTTCAAACTCTGGTGAACATCAAGAGAGTGGTAGAGGCTCCTTGAGTGCTTGAGACTCAATATTGGCATCAAAGTTGGCATCAAAGTAAGGTTTCAACCGATGTCCGTTCACCTTGAAGGTGCTGCCATCCTTAATATTTTGAATCTCCACTGCGCCATGATCAAACACATTAGTAATAACAAAAGGGCCAATCCACCGAGAACGAAGCTTACCTGGAAAGAGCTTAAGGCGTGAATTGAATAGGAGAACCTTCTGCCCTTTCTCAAACGTCTTCCTAAGAATTTTCTTGTCATGATATTGCTTTGTTTTCTCCTTGTAAAGCTTAGCATTCTCATACGCTTCATGTCGCAACTCCTCCAACTCATTGAGTTGAAGCCTCCTCTTCTCACCAGCAGCTTTCATATCAAAATTGAAGGCCTTGATTGCCCAATAAGCCCTGTGCTCAAGCTCCACTGGTAAGTGACAAGGTTTACCGAAAACAAGCCTATACGGAGACATACCTATAGGTGTCTTATAAGCAGTCCTATAAGCCCACAATGCATCATCCAAACGCATGGACCAATCCTTCCTTGTGGTGTTCACCGTCTTTTCAAGTATGTGCTTAATCTCCCTATTGCTTATCTCAACCTGCCCACTAGTTTGGGGATGATAGGGTGTTGCCACCTTATGCGTGATTCCATATTTCTTCAAGAGTGCTGCAAAAGCTTGGTTAACAAAGTGGGAGCCACCATCACTAATGATTGCTCTAGGTGTGCCAAACCTTGTAAAAATATTTCCTTTGAGAAAACCGATCACAACCTTAGCATCATTAGTTCTAGTGGCAATGGCTTCTACCCATTTAGAAACATAATCGACAGCAACTAATATATATTCAAATCCATAAGAGGTAGGAAAAGGGCCCATGAAATCAATTCCCCAAACATCAAATATTTCAATGATTAGGATATTGGTGAGAGGCATCTGATTTCTAGCATGTAAATTACCCATCCGTTGGCATCTATCACATGAAGCACAAAAAACATACGCATCCTTAAAAAGGGTAGGCCAAAAGAAACCTGATTGTAGCACTTTGTTGGCAGTCTTCTTTGCTCCAAAATGTCCTCCACATGCATGGGAGTGACAAAACTCCAGAATGCTCTTAAAATCACCTTCAGGCACACACCTTCGAATTACTTGGTCTGGGCAATGCTTGAATAGATATGGATCATCCCCAAAAGTAGTATCTTGCTTGCTTCCTAAGCTTGTCACGTTGGAACGTAGATAACCCTGTAGGGAGTTCATTAGTGCACAAATAGTTAACAATATCAGCAAACCAAGGTAATGGATTGAGAGAATTCAAAACACAAATGGAGAAGAGTTGCTCATCAGGGAAGCTTTCACGCAATGGCAATGAATCCTCCTCTTCGTTAGACACATGCACCAATCTACTCAAATGATCAGCCACAACATTCTCACTTCCTTTCTTATCTTTTATCTCTAAGTCAAACTCTTGCAACAAGAGAATCCATCTAATGAGTCGTGGCTTGGCATCCTTCTTGGCTAACAAGTATTTTAATGCTGCATGATCAGTGTAAACAATAACCTTGTTAGTAATCAAATATGATCTGAACTTTTCTAAAGCAAATATGACAGCTAATAACTCCTTCTCTGTGGTGGAATAGTTGAGTTGGGCATCGTTGAGGGTTCTACTAGCATAGTAGATGGCGTGTGGCTTCTTATCAACTCGCTGTCCCAAAACAGCTCCAACGGCATAATCAGAGGCGTCACACATCAATTCAAAAGGCAAGCTCCAATCTGGTGGTATAATGATTGGGGCAGTTGTGAGCATCTTCTTCAAAGCATTGAAAGCATTCTCACAGTTTTGATCAAAGACAAATCCATGTCCTTGGCAAGGAGATTGCACAAAGGCCTCGCAATCTTAGAAAATTCCTTAATGAAACGCCTATAGAAACCTGCATGGCCAAGGAAAGAACGTACTTCTTTGACAGAAGTAGGTGAGGGCATGGAGGCAATCAAATCAATCTTAGCTTTATCTACCTCGATTCCTTTACTAGAGATGACATGACCAAGAACTATGCCTTGGTTAACCATAAAATGACATTTTTCCCAATTAAGCACAAGGTTAGTCTGTTCACATCTAGCCAACACCTTGGATAAGTAATGCAAGCATTGATCAAAAGAATCACCAAAGACAGAGAAGTCATCCATGAATACCTCAATGAACCTTTCTACCATGTCGGAGAAAATGCTCATCATGCACCTTTGAAAAGTGGCTGGGGCATTACAGAGACCAAAAGGCATCCTCCTATAAGCGAAAGTACCAAAGGGACACGTGAAGGTTGTCTTCTCCTGATCCTCTGGGGCTATGGCGATTTGGTTGTAGCCTGAATATCCATCAAGGAAGCAATAGTGGCTATGGCCAGCCAATCTCTCAAGCATCTGATCAATGAATGGAAGAGGGAAGTGATCCTTGCTTGTTGCTGTGTTGAGCTTCCTATAATCGATGCAAACTCTCCAGCCCGTGGTCACCCGTGTAGGTACAAGCTCATTTGCTTCATTCTTCACCACTGTGATACCTGACTTTTTGGGAACAACTTGCACTGGGCTCACCCATTTACTGTCAGAAATAGGGTAAATAATACCAACATCTAAAAGCTTCATTACCTCTTTTCTTACCACCTCCTTCATGTTCGGATTGAGACGTCTTTGGGCATCCCTCTTAGGCATTGCATTGTCTTCCAATAATATCTTGTGCATGCATAGTGTTGGACTTATGCCTTTGATATCTGCAATGCTCCACCCAATTGCAGTTTTGTGCTCTTTTAGAACTCTCAAAAGCTTCTTCTCATCATTTGGTTCGAGGTGTGAGGCAATGATAACAGGTAGAGTCTCATTTTCACCTAAATAAGCATATTTAAGGTGTTTTGGCAATTCCTTTAATTCCAACTCTGGTGCCTGCACAATAGATGGTAAAACCTTATTAGTAGGTGGGGGTAATGATTCAAATTGATTTGCATACCTCTTTCCAACTTCTATGTAGCTATCCATGCTGCAAACAAGCTCAAGAAGTAAAGGAGAGATCACAGCCTCTAAGCTGTCCACTTCTTCTTTCCTTATGCTTTGTGTGATGCATGCTTCAATGGGCTCCAAATAACTCATTGGCAGTGCTTCTTTCACCATAGTATCAATTGCATCAAGCTGGAAAACTTCATGCTCATCACTTGGAAACTTGGAGGCTTCAAACACCTTGAATGCTATTGTCTCATCAAACACGTTCATGGTCAATGTACCCTTCTTCACATCAATAATAGCACCGGCAGTTGCCATGAATGGCCGACCTAGAATGAGTGGTAACTGATTGTCATGAATTGGTGCTTCTTCCATTTCCAACACCAAGAAATCTGCCGGCAAAATTAGCTCTTCCACTTTCACCAAAACATCTTCTAGAATGCCCTTAGGGTACCTAATAGTTCTATCTGCCAATTGAATGCTCACAGATGTGGCTTGCAACTCACCAAGGTTAAGTTTCTCATAAACATGATATGGCATAAGGTTTATAGAAGCACCAAGATCAAGCAAAGCTTTTTGAAACTTAAAATCACCAACTATGCAAGGTATAGAAAACGAACCTGGATCCTTTAGCTTTGGAGGTAGCTTTCTTTGTAACACTGCACTTACCTCTTCACTCAATGCAACTTGTTCATGCTCTTTGAATCTCCTCTTGTTAGTGCATAGATCCTTCAAAAATTTTGCATACTTTGGAATCTGAGCAATGGCATTGAGCAATGGGATGTTGATTTGCACCTTCTTGAATGTTTCCATTATCTCATCCAAGCCTTGATCTTTCTTTGACTTTGATAACCTGCTGGGAAAGGGTGCAATAGGCCTAAAAGCATTAGTTGAAATTGGAACTTGATTAGCATTAGATGATACCTTAGGGCCTGTGCTCTTTCCAGGAGCATTGAGGGGCTGTTTGTTGGAAGCTGTGGGCTGCCCATGTGGTGGCTGAATGATCTCCACGTTTTCTCCATCTTCTTGCTCTTCGTTGACATCTCCAACCTTGTTATCAACTTGTTTACCACTTCTCAAGATGTGTACTGCTTTAGCATGCTCTTGATGCCTTGGATTCACCTCTGTTTGGCTTGGAAATGTTCCGGATGCCCTATTGCTCATGGAGGATGCAATCTGCCCAACTTGCACTTCTAGTTTGTTCACTGCATTTTGAAGATTCTGATTGGTTTGCATCTGTTGCCCCCATGAACTTCTTGAACATGTCTTGCAATTCTCCCATTTGATCACCCCTTTGCTCTTGCACTTGTTGGGGAGCTTGCTGGAATTGCCTTTGTTGTATTTGAAATCCTGGGGGAGGTCCTTGAGATTGTTGCACATTTGGGTTATTGCTCCACTTGAAATTAGGATGATTTCTCCACCCCGGATTGTACGTGTTTGAGTAAGGATCATTATTAGGATTCCTTGCTTGAAGGGCATTTGCTTGTTCTAGCATGTGCTCTGCAAAAGATTGATCTTGAACTTCTACTTTGTTTCCTAGAGGGCCAGTCACTGCCTGTTGAAGCAAAGAACACATAACATCAAGTTTTGCAGCAATCTCATTATTAGTACTTACCTCAGAGACCACAGCTTTCATAGGAGCTCCTCTTCCTTTATTGTGGCTCCATTGTTGAGAGTTAGCACTCAAGGATTCAAAGAGAGTAAAAGCCTCATCTGCTGTTTTGTTCATCAGTCCTTCTCCACTTGTTGCATCTACCATCATCCTTTCGGAATCAAGCAAACCTTCATAGAAAGATTGCATTTGCATCCAACTCTCTATGTTGTGGTGTGGGCAAGAACTTATCATCTCCTTGTACCTCTCCCAACATTCATGAAAAGCTTCTCCTTCCTTTTGTGTGAAACCAAGGATTTCCTTTCTAATCTTGTTAGTCTTTTGAGCCGGGAAGAATTTCTGCAAAAACTTATTAGAAAGCTCTTCCCAAGTATGAATTGAAGCATTAGGCAAAGAGTATAACCAAGACTTAGCCTTATCTTTTAAACTGAATGGGAATAGCCTCATCTTAATCTGCTCATCATCAAGGCCATGAATTTTGATCGTAGCACATATTTCAAAGAATTGCTTAATATGCATGTAAGGATCCTCAGTGGTATTACCATAATAAGTTGGAAGAAGATGAATCATACCACTTTTAAGCTCAAACCTATCAACTGTGAGTTGAGGATAGACGATGCACGAAGGTTGATCGGTGACTTTGGGAATGGAAAACTCACGCAGGGGTTTTCGAGGTTGGACAACAAGCGCACCACCTCCTTCAACATTATTGTTGTTGTTCGGAATCTCTGCCATCGTGCTTGAACCTTCAGATTCGGAACTTCTAGAATCAGCGCTTGAAGAACTATAATTCCTCCTCAAACCAGCACGTACAGCAGCGGTTCTTGGTGAAAGTGGCTCAGGTGAACTTTGCTCCTGGTCAGATTCGGACATGCACACACCAAGGAACTCAATTCAGTGCTTTAAATGTAGATAACAACTAAATACAAAAACTGAATACTAAAAAAAACAACGACAAGAAACAAATGAAACAAACAAAAACAAAACAATCAAAGTAATCTAACTATAGCACCATCGTTACCGGTTCCCCGGCAACGGCGCCAAAAACTTGTTGGCTCAATTCCTAACAACTAAAATGAGTTATTAAAAACAGCAACTTTAATTCTCGCAAGTGCACGAACCGTTTATAGTATAGCTTATGTAAATACGAGGTCGATCCCACGGAGAATGGTAACTTGGTTCCAAGTTAAATTACTTAGAATGCTAGAAAAACATAAAACAAAGAAACTGACTAACTAGCTAAAGGCAAGTTCGAACTCAACAATGCCTCTTGCTAATTACTCAAGGTCTAGGACAGAATCCTAGCACCACACACGCACTCGAAATGGGGGGGGTTTTGTTGTTGAAATGAAAAGAAGAACGTGAAATGAAAGTGCTCGAAAATAAACACTGGCAGCAATCAACAAGTTGTGAAACAAAGATTGAGAGGTGTTAGAGCCTTGGAATCTACCACTAGTCTTCCTATCCAAGTTATGAATGCATAGAAATTGACTCAAGCTTCATCAACAATAGATTATCGCATACAAGCCTATGGTATCTAGGTGCAGGATGCATGATTCTCCTAAGGCATGTGATTGTGCATGGTATCTACACAACACTTGATCTCTAATATGCAACCTAAGCATGGTATCTACTTAGAATAAAGCATACAAGAGTCATTAAGCTCCTTGAGAATATGATAATCACACAAGTCCTAGAACATGGTATCTGTCCTAGTCAACTTATGGTTATTAACCCCTTGAATGATTCTTAGGCCATTCATGTGTTGCTTGTGAAAGGAGAGTAGAATTGGTGAATCTAAACCCCTTCCCAACCTGTGCTAGATGCATAAAATCCTAGTTAGCTACTCTAAGCAAACATACATCAAGCACATGATAAACTGGAGATTAACAACTTGATAATGAAATAAAGGAAATCAATTAACTATAAAATCATCCATAACATTGAATATTCATGACTAGGGCTTCATCCTAAGCCCTAACTAAATGGATTAGTTAGACATAACTATGAATACAGAAAATAAGAAATACATAGATAGGATAAAGAGAGGAGAAGAACTAGATGATGGCAGCAAGGAATTCCCAGGACAGCTCCAAGCTCTCTTCTCTCTTTGTGGTGAATCTGAATTTGTGTATGAGAGTAATGGGTGAAGTGAAAATGTGTATCTGACTCTCTCTCCCTTGAATGAGTGTGCAGCCCTCTATTTATAGAGTGCAATTTCGTCCTCCCCTTTGGCTGGTGAAGCACACCTCTCTTAGCTGCTCCCAACAACTCCAGCAGCCCATACTTGCCACCTGCTCCAGATGCCCATACTTGCCACCTGCTCCAGCTGTCAAATACATGCTTTGGTATGGTTTTTTAATGGAAAACTTGACTTTTGTTCATCATTCTGAGTTTCTGAACTGATTTGACTCCCATGTATGGCTGCCCATGCTTAGCACATGGCTCTAGGGATGTAGATGTGATGGCAGCCAGTCATGACATTTCTGTGAACTTGATTCAGTCTTTGACGTGCTGAGGGCTCCAGATTTATCCAATTGGGCTGAAATTTGGATATGTTATAATAGACACCAATTGGAACAACTTCTATCAAGGATGTCTCCTCATCCGACCTGTGTAAGTTGCTGAAATGAGGACTGCAAGATGACCCACGAAACTGGACTGACAAGGATTGTGGCCCAAATTGGGTTTGTCCTTAAGCTCATATTCCTCTTATCCCAATCAGCCCTTATCAAGCATGGATTGCATCAAATGTGATCTCTTGCTGTCTTAACCTACAAAACACACAAACATAGGTAAGAGACTCAAAATAAAGAGAAGGTAAACAAAATTACTAAGCAAAGAAGGCATGCAAATGTGTGAAATTATGACCTTATCAGGTATCAATAACATTCCAATTTGGATTAGGCCCTGATTGTTGCCTATGGTAAAGTTTGATATTTTTTGTAAAAAACACCCCATAAACTCCAGGTTTCATGTTGGTGCGCTCACACGGTTTTAATATCCAAATTTTGCACATGCAAGTGAAACCCATTGACTACAAGATGAGCCTCTTGACCTCTCCAAATAGCGCACAAGTTGAACAACAATTCATACAGAGAAAACAAGGAGATGAGTAGGAGGAGCCTCCGTAGCGGTGCGGCTGAGTCAGTGAGGTCTCCATGGCACTCTCAAGAGTCGACTTCAAGGTCTCGCTGGGAAATGGAAGACGCGAGTTCAGTATGTTCACGGCTGTGCTACTGTGGGAACGTTGTCAAAACGCATACATCGTGGATGGTTTCTCATCCTGGAAGGAGGTTTCAAGTATGTGCAAGGGTAAGTTTATTTCTCTGTAAGTTTGACCTGACATTTGGCATTTTTGTGGATTCCAATTGTGATGATGCGCCTCTTTGTAACGGAAATATTGTTTCTGTTTATGCAGACGAATGGATGTACATTTTGGGAATGGGCTGACCCAGAGATGTGTGACAGATCGAAGCACATAATTCTAGGCTTGCTTAGGAAAATATAAACCACTTGGAACAAGAAAGAAACGCTGGAAAAGTGAAGATGAAAAACCCATGGTTTTGGGTCTCTGTTTTCATGTTTGGAATGGTCATTTATTTGTTGTTTTCCAAATGTAATAGGAGGTTTGTTCATCTACAGTTGGCAGGTTAAAGGTGGTTAGGTTATGGATGTAATGGAAGAGGTTTGATGAAGATGGTGTTAATACTTTGTTCTATACTATAATTGAGCATTTTATTGGAACCCCTAGTCATACTAATGCTAGAATACATGATCAACTGAGTAATCTGAGATGTCCTAAGCTGTCTGATTTTAGATGGTATAAAGATGTTTTCATTTCTAGAGTCATGATTCATGAAGATAATAATCAACCGTTTTGGAAAGAAAAATTCATTAACGGTCTTCCAAACTTATTCGCCCATAAAATAAGAACTGAGTTAAGCAATGAGCAAGGTCAAATTGATTGGAATAATTTAACCTATGGAAATATAATTAGTAAAATTAACCAAGTTGGTATGAAAATGTGCGTAGATATGAAAATTGGTCGACAAATACAATTTGAGCTACAATCTGCTAAATATGAGTTAGGAAACTTCTATGAACAATATGGTCTTACGTTAGTACCTCCGTCTAGGAAAAATAAGTCCAATTACCCGAGTCACATTAGGAAAAGTCGTCATTACTCACGAAGAAAACAAGCCTTTGAACGGAATAAAGATAATCATGAGTTCTATAGGAAAAAGAAAGTTTACCCTAAGAAAAATTGGTCAAAAGCACCGAAAAATAGTCGCTTTAAGAAAAGTTCAGACAAGAGCAAAGTTAAATGTTTTAAATGTCAAAAGTTGGGTCATTATGCCTCTGAGTGAAAAGTGCAAGATACTATTAAACAGTTGAAAATCACGGATGAGGAAAAAGACAATTTAATTAAAGTTTTAGAGTTGCGAGACTCTGAAACAAGTGAGATAGAAACACTAGTCGACAGTTCTGAGTCAGAAGTCTACCAGCCCTCTAATTCCCAGTCTAGTTCACCTCGAGTCCAATTTGGTTGCCAAGATAAGTGTTGTAATTCAAAATCACTTAGAGTCCTTACTAAGCAAGAAGAGCAAGAAGAGTTATTAGTAGAATTAATAAGTAAAGTAGAAAATCCTGAGCTAAAATCGGAGTACCTCAAGAAACTAAGAAAAGTCATTAGCCAAGAAAGACCTAGTCCGTCAACTATCCCTAATAAAATAAGTCTAAATACAACACTAGAAAAGTTTAGCAAGAGAAAAAAAGTCACCCTTCAAGACCTACAATCTGAGATAAAATTAGTCAAAAAGGAAATCATTGAGTTAAAGCAAATGAGTCATAAACTTCAAACTGAGAATTATGAAATCAAACAAAATTTAATTAATCTTCTAGAAGAGGATCATTCTGTGTCTAATAGTTAGTATGAAAGTCCGACCAATTCTGAAGATGAGCCTTCTAATAAAGATCAAGCCCTTAAATTAGTAAAACAAGTTAATTTTAGAAAGTGGTATTCTAAAGTCAAGATAGTTGTCAAAAATTATGAGTTTCACACAGTCGCATGTTTTGATTCAGGAGCCGACCTTAACTGTATTCAAGAATGTCTTATCCCCACTAAGTATTACAAGAAATCCACAGAGTCATTAAGTACTGTGTCGGGAAAATCCTTACAGTTGAATTATGAGATTCCAAAAGCCCATGGTAAAAAACATCACCGATGAAGTAATATTAGGAGTACCATTTATAGGTTTATTATATCCACTCCAGGTTGAACGTGATGGTGTTAGTTCTATTTATCTAGGAGAAAGAGTCAAATTTGAATTTTTAACTAAGCATGAGTTACATAACTTGAGAATCCTTCGAAAAAATATAGTTGCAAAAACATTTAGTATAATTCAAAACAAAGATCGACAGTTGAAATCTCTTAAAGAAGAAGTTAAGTTTAAAAGAATAGAATAGCAGATTAATGATAAATCTTTACAGTTGCAAAATCGAACATTTGAAGAAAAAATTAAGTCTGATATTTGTTGTGATCTTCCTAATGCTTTTTGGCACAGGAAACGCCATGTAGTAAGCCTCCCTTATAATAAGTCTTTCAATGAGAAAAATATACCCACAAAAGCCAGACCAATACAAATGAGTCAAGAAATAATGGAATTATGTAAAAATGAGATAACTGAGTTATTACAAAAGAATATCATTAGGAAAAGTAAGTCCTCTTGGTCTTGTCCTGCTTTTTATGTTCAGAAAAATGCTGAGTTAGAACGAGGTGTTCCCAAATTAGTTATCAATTATAAGCCTCTTAATTCTGTCTTAGAATGTATTAGGTATCCTATACCCAACAAAAGAGATTTAATTAATCGATTAGGAAAAGCAGTTGTCTTCTCTAAATTTGACATGAAAAGTGGTTTTTGGCAAATCCAGATTTCTGAGTCTGATAGATATAAGACTACTTTTGTTACTCCTTTTGGTCATTATGAGTGGAATGTCATGCCCTTAGGTCTTGAAAATGCACCTAGTGAGTTTCAGAATATAATGAATGATATTTTTAATCCATATAGTCATTTCTCTATAGTCTACATTGATGATGTTCTTATCTTCTCTGAGTCCATAGAACAGCACTGGAAACATTCGCATAAGTTTCTTTAGATAGTTAGCCAAAATGGTCTAGTTGTCTCTGCTAAGAAAATTAAGTTGTTTCAAACCAATGTTAGATTTCTTGGTTTTAACATAAGCCAATCCCAAATTCATCCAATTGACAGAGTCATCCAATTTGCTGACAAATTCCTTGATCAAATTCCCTGATCAAATCTTATACTACTTTGTAATTGCCCCAGCCGAGGGTTAGGGATATTGTTTCGGCTAACCAACCCAAACATTTCCGTCCAGATCAGATGAAATAATTAATATACAAAAGTAAGTATTAAACCGAACCAAACAAAAAAAAAGGCTACAATGTGGGTGCCCCACAAAAAATTGAATATGGCTGCAACTTCGGCCAAATTCAGGATATTTTGTTATATGCCTGTACAAAATATGTGAAGTACAGAAGGTCAATAACCGCATTGTAAGAAAGGAAACGTGAGTACAGCCCTTCTACTATGGAATACAAGTACTGGCGAATTACGTTACAGAAATGAACACCCTGCAACATAGTACAAAATCATCACCCTTTATCGCCATCTGTACAAAAAGTCAAAAATGGTGCCATGTAAGGCAAAACCTCACATTAATTTTCAGGATTGATGAAACGACGAAACAGCCTGCAACTTCTGTGACATACGTGTACAGAATCTGTGATGTCAATATGGGTATGAACCTGGAAGGAACACCTGTATAAGAAGGCCATATGTGCCACTTCAGCATTCATAGAAAGGGAAAATTGAACGTCGTAATAATTGGAGCAATTTTAATAAGTAATTCTATTCACCTTTCATAAACAACATGATACAAGTTTTGGATGATACACAGTCGGAGTTTGGAACATATGCCATACTTAAATCAGATGCCAGTTGCAAAACATGTACATTACCATCTACAGTGTTGAAATCCCCAATACCCTAAACTTTGATTAACAACAGTAGGCATTCGTATTCATCAAACTTGGAAAAGTTGCCAACATAATGTAAGTTGTCTTAAATGAAGACTGAAATCACAACTCTGTACGTACCACATAATTGAAAGTAGGTAAATAACAAGGCAATTCCTAAGGCAGTCCTTAACAGTGAATTGAAATGAGGTCAGATATGGACTTTTACCTCATACATAGGCCTCTCCCCTGAAAACCTCGATTGCAAGCTTCAATCGGTAGTAGCCAAACTTGGCTGGGTCAATGGTATTACAAGGAATGCCAGCACCGAGATACTCAATATATTTAACGGTCATAATGCCACATGAGGTACTGTCCACCCGAGCAGTACAGAAGTTAGAAGTGCACATACTGACAACATCCACAAAGTGCTTTAAATGAACACAACTTACCCATCACTTTGCTGAGGAACATCGGAAATTCTGCAAATTGGGAATGGGTTAAACGTTGACAAGTCAATCCCCTTTCTCTTCCCCGCTTCAACCTCCGATTTCTCATAAAACCTCATGTCATACAACACCTTTGCAAGCGTATGGGTAATAGGCTCCATATGTCGGACAAGCATTCGGTTGGAGGTAAAAATAGTATACGAGTCATAGACAGTGGCAGTATGTCGCACGAAGTCAATTTCTATAACCACCCAATGGGACTGTGGAACATTATACGGGAGATAGATCTTGCGCACTTTCGTCCATGCTTGTGCATAACCATGTTGCCATGAATCGTAGACAAAGTGGTGTACATTTCTGAGGTAGTTAGGCGGAGGGTCAACAGTCCTTGAAGCAATTTGTTTCCTCGTAACTCGTTTCGCAATTGCCGGTGTAAATGGCTATAAAAATTGCTGCAAACAATTGTGAAAGACATGTTACATGAACAGGATCCAATGCACCAAACACAGCCAACAACAGTACTCCTACCAATGCAACAAATTCAATGACACATAATATGAATACAATAATACCTACAGACAAAACTCGGCAGTTCTCCACTCCGTTCCAAATACTTGAGGATGAGAGAGTTGTCTTTTGCGTATTAGAAACATGGCCATGTCAAGGTGCTGACATTTCACAACACAACAACGACCTCAATATAAAAAAAAATTGACACATACTCAAAGTGATCAAATAAGAAATTGATCGAAATAAAGCACAGTTCAAAATTGTTACCCTCGAGCTCATCCATGCAGTTTCATCTACAAGTTTGTAAAAAAAATCTGCCCCAACTACAAATGGTTCGAGCTCCTGCTCCGCACTACAAAAAAATAAACTTGCAAAGGTAAATTCAACAAAAAAAAACAATTGGACACCTTGCATAATATGACAATGACACACACATGAAGAATTAGCTACATAGATATTGTTATTGTACATGATTGCATACATCAAAAAACATGTATATTGGTTTTGCCAAGTTACAAATCCTAACTTGATGTCACTTTTCGAAGCCTTGCAAACTTGTATCATAGCCTTCACATCATCCATGGCCACGGGTTTTGTTGGATCAAAACGGGCCTCAGGTGTCTTTGCATGAAAACCAGTAGCTGGCCTCTTTTTCCTAGAGGGATCAGTGAATGGACTCAACAATGTTTTCGCGGGCCACTTCAGTCTGCATCCTTTGCCTTCCGCATTTGGTTTTTGAACCGTGGCATTAGCCTCCTTGTCCCCTTCATCACCAACCAGATTTATACTAGTTTCCATGGGAGGCCTCGCCTTGCTTCCCACCCCTTGAATTTCTGTCTTATTCCAATCCTCTAACAAATGTAACATTGTTTTAAAAATAACTCTATACCCATCCCTATCTTCTGGAGTAGGAAGGAGGGGATCTTCAAGACTAGGAACTTTCACATCTTCAGAAGTAGGAACCTTGTGAGGTTGTTAGTGCACTTGTTTGTCACCAACTGAAGTGTCAATTTCAGCAGCTTCGACTTCCATGGCTGGGAAGGCTTCCACTCCATCAGCAGGGACTTCCGCTTCCCTTTCAGCCCCTTCTATATGCATGGCTGGAAAGGCTTCCACTCCACCACAGACTGTTGCTTCCATTTCAGCCCATTCTGTATGCATGCCTGGGAAGGCTTCCACTCCATCACCTGGAACTTGTGCGTCGGAGTAGTAGGTTCATTCAAGGGTGACATTTCATTCCGCCCTCCTTCATTCATCTGAGCAGTACACACTTCCTCATGCCTTTCTCCACCATATATTTTTTTTCACTCCTCCATCTCCAACTTAAAATAATGTTCCACTAAAGCAATTGTTAGGGTCAAATCCCGAATAGCCTTTTTATTTCTATCACACTCCTCATGCTTCAAACAGTTCTTGTCTACAATAGCTTCCAAGTGACGAACTCTGTTCCTAAGCCCCTGATTTGAACTACGTAGCTTTGCCAACTCATCCTTAGTGCTTTCTAATTGATGCTTCAAACTGCCAAAGTCATTAAAAGACCCTTTGCCCTGCATAAAGTTATAATGCAACAGTTAGAAAGCTTACAAAAATAAGAAAACTGTTTCCACTTCACTCGTATCGTATTCTCTACATTTTCACAACATTGGAAAAAGGTCATGCTCACCTTAGAAGAGGAGGGAAGGGTAGCTGTTTCCTCAACATCCGCCTCTTTTTCTTCACTAGAAGTGTTGGTTTTGTCTTCGCCCTCATCCCCAAACAATTGAACAATTTCTTCATTGTTCTCATCATCACCCTAACTCCAGTAAGGTTGTTGCTTCTCAATATCAGTCGGCTGGAGAAGTTGCACATCAACCTCCAATTGAAACACATCTAATAAATCAGTGAACTTTTTACTTGTTCCTAATCATGACATGACTAATACAAACTGAACTAACCTCAAAGTTTTCATAAACCTGACTCATAACCTCCCGAAAACGGGCCACCGTGTTGCTCCTCCAGTGTAATATTCGAGGATGTGCCTATTGTCTTCATGGACAGTGAAATGCAATGCTTCCAATGCTGGGAAGACTTCAAAAGCCCAAATCTGTTGACAACAATCAAACATCAAAATCTGTACATGTATTTAAATGAACTAAAACATTGTTGGATATGTGTTCACCTGAACAGCGAAGCCAAACCCCCTTATGATGTACTCTCTTGGTCTACCGCATTCCATTCTTGTCTGTGCTCTCTTTCCACTTTTGTTGGACTTTTTTCTGTTTTGGGGCACCTTCACTCGTTGGTAATAAGCAGAAACTGCCCTCAAAAGTGAAGCATTTGTCATCGCATATGACACGGCGCCCCATGGATACTTGTCAAACTCTTCTAAGTCTTCGGCCAACTTCAAATAGCGCATGTCAATAAGCACATGCTTTTCAATACCCAGTAGCACAAAAATGGCAAAATAGACCATTCCAAGCTTTAACGCATCGTCATCCTCTGTGCACTCGATGAAGGCGGTGTATAGGTCCAAAAGGGTGGCAGGTTTATTGCTGCTGAAGTATTTTCGCTTCAAGGAGCAATTGTCATTTGTCGCCTTCGGAATGAAATGGAGCTTTCTGAACCTTAGCCCCGTGATAAGGCAAAAGTGTTGGGCTGTGAATTGTATCAACTTGTTACCCACAATGAATTTTATCTCGTTCACCTGTGTAACTGTCTTAGGATCAGCCTTCCTCATCAACAGCCCGTGGACAATTTGTGAATTCCACTTCAGGTCCTCTATCAATAATAGATGACCAAAACAACTCCCCTCGAACCTCTGTAACTGCTGCGTATTGAACTTCGCCTTTATTGTTGTAATGGCAGTCCTTGCGTGTGAAAGGGCAAATGGCTTTCCTTCATACTTCTCATCCTCAGGAATCATAAGCTTTGCTTTACAAGCCATTCTCGAGTTCCCTGCACAACAACATCATACATATGGATCATTGGTTACCCATATTTCATACGTACATTACTCAAACTAATACTTTCAAGCCATTTTAATAAATGTATATACATATGACAAAACCAGAATTGTTTTGAAGCCTTTTTTCTACTCTCCAACTCTCTCCACACTCTGCTGTTATCTACATTCCCTACTACCAAATGTACATTCGATTCCATCCAAAAACCAAACTAGACACGTCAAAATGTTACTGCAACTGCAACTGCTAAACCTAGCTGGATGAACATGAAATTTCTAAACAGATACTAAAGCCTAATAAAATACCATTTTCAGACATATATGAAAAGCTACAAGCAAGGAATAACAACAAAATTTAGCAGGTTTTATAGCACAGGGAAGAGAAACATCCCACGCCAACTTACATTAGTATTTCAAATTCACATAATTAACCATTAAGACTGGAAGGGTGCAAAATATGCTACTAGGTGCTGAAACAGCAATGATACCAACAAATTTACTTATGCATTATTACTCAACAGCTAATTTAGGGCCTACTGAGGTAAAGCTGTGTTATAATGGAATAGCCATTGCCACTAGAATAAATTCCCACACTAAATATGCATCATAAAATGGAAGTGAAAACACGCATCACAAACGAACCAATCCTAGATGACAAATAGCAAATTGAGGCACTTCATCGTCCATAGAGCAAAATCAATACACCAATACAAGTTTCATCCAAGCATGAAGTAATTCACAATTAAAATACATTATTATTGCAATCTCTGTAATTACTAAACTTGACAAAATCAGTCACAGGTTAGTGAAATTATCCTTCTCAAATGAAAACCATACAAATGCACAAACTAGTCAATAACAATTAGAAAACCAACCTTAGAATCACTCGTTTTGTGCACAGAACCGAATTGGAAATCCCAGCAACACCTACAGAAAATCACGAATTTTGTTTGTGACAGGATTGAGAAGGAGGAGGAAGTATGTGAAAAAAGTCTGAACCGAAACCAAGATTTATGGTTTTTTGAGGCCCTGAAGGAGTAGAGGAGAAGAGAAAGACGTCGATTTAAGACATGAAAAGAGAGGGAATTGAGACATCGTTTAAGGGAGAGAGCATTTAACGAAGAAACCCTCTCTTTCACCATCAAGAACCGCCTCACCAAACCCTTACATTGATTGCAGAGGTTTTCAGGACAGAGGGAGACATAGAGTGGTGGTGGCCGCTGGAGAGAGAAAGCACCGAGAGAGGAAGAGACAACCGTCACAAAGAGCTGAGAAAGAGAGAGAAGCCACAAGTGTTAGGTCGGCAATCCATAGCCAATAACTCCCCAATAGATATGTTTTTATATGGAGGGCACTTTGGTCATTTCACATCCCCAAGTGATTATATTATAACACAATTTGTAGGCTGATTATTTCAGCACACTATTTCTGAAAGCTGATTACACCAGCTTATTTCCCTTAATTTTATCACACAAATTATAGTTTAAATTCAATTGAAATAGCTCTGCCATTTGTACTCTTTTTTGGGAATGGAAATCATAAACTTAATTCAATTGAAGAATATAAACAATGAATCTTCTCATCCACGACGCCTATAGTGGCCTCATTTTGATTAAGAATAAATGCTCTTAAACCGTTTAAGCTATAAAAAAAAACCCCCTTGCAAAGTATTTTTTTAAATCTCTATTTGAATGAGAAAAAGTACTTTGTTGGCCAAACAAATTGGTTGGCTTTCGAGGAAAAAATAACAACTTAAAACGAAACGAAAAATATATTTGCTTGAAAAAATAACAACTTTAAACGAAACGAAAGATATATTTTGCTTCTCAACTTTAAACGAAAGATATATTTTAAATGAAAGATATTAGAAATGGACCGGCCGGTACAGGGAGACTTGGGTTTGTAATCAGTCCAAAAAAACAAAGTCTTGGTCTGTCAACGGATGGAAGCAAAACTCATTGCCCCTATTTATAAATTTCACGAACTTGCCTAGTACCCCAACAACTTTTTTTTACTAGCAAAAGAACCCTTTTGATTCAGTTTCTACCTCACAGATCATCCTTATTTCTAGGAGCTTGGTTCTTCTTCTCTTCTAATCTCTCTATTCACTCCTATCCAACATATAAAAAGGCTCAAGTTATGGCTACACGGGGCCATGAAAATGATGATTTGATCATTATTGTAAGGTTCGTTTGTTTTATACCGCGATATCATTTTAAGAGGATTTGACTGTACATTTCAAATCACATTATTATCCTATTTGTGTGAGAAGTTAGCAGTTGTGTTTATTAGTAATTGTCACTGTGTATTTTTGCAGTTTTAACATCTCCGGAGTTTCGTAATTTCACCATTTAAAGAGTTGTGAATTTTATGCTTATATAGTTAGTTTTTGCAAACCGTGTAATAATCAAATGATTATTTTTCTCTCTTCTTTATTTTCTTTTTCTTTCTGTAAACTAATTGGGGTGCCTAGTGAGTATCATATCATTTTACAAGTATATATTACTTTTCATTTTGATTTTGGGTTAGATACTCTAATTTCTATGTTAAGTCGTTTCACTTCTCTTAATTTTCTGATTGCATTTTTCTTTTAATCAGCAATACACCAGGTATAGCTTTCAATATGGAAAATGCTAAGGGCCAAGCATGACATCCTACATCCAAAATTGGAGGACTCAGAGCAAAGAAAAAATGGGAAACAAAACTTCTTTCAGCTTCACTGTGAAATAAGATAATTGTAATTTCATGTGTTATTGCAGTTTCCCTAGATCCCTTATTCTTTTACTGAAAATTCTATGGTGGACCTGATACATGGATGCGCCAGGTCCTATTGACCGTTAGATTTCGCTAAAATTTTATGAGTAAATCTACACCAAAATGTAAACCCTAGACGTGAAGACCAAAATGTCTTCAATTTCAATGACTTATTTAATGCAACATGACTTCCTCCGAAAAAGCCAAAACCAAAGCCAGAACTTGCTGCCCAATTTACTACATGGGTCCCGTATGAAATTTTTACCAATCTCAACAGCCACTAGAATCAGTATCATTCTCTTCAAGATCAACAATGTAAACAGGTGATCCAAGTAAGTAGTCGGCGTCTTTGGGAGATGGAAAGTAATTAGCCTTCCCCGCAGCTGGATGCCTTCCCTTGCTTATGATCTCTTCCAGCTCCATGGCTACTTGCTTCATACTAGGCCTTTCAACCCCTCTTAAGCTTAAACATCTCTTTGCCAGATCAACCACTTTGTCGACCGTCTCGAATTGCCCCTCCACTATTTCAGCATCAAGGATTGGATCCACGCGACCCTGTTCCACTAAAGAAACAAAAATTTTGCTAGGCTTCTCTTTGCCTCAGGCTTCTGAAAAGAAAGAGCCTTTTGGCTCGTCAACAGCTCCGCCAGGACAACTCCAAAACTATAGACATCGCTCTTTTCTGTCAGTGTGTTTGATTGGAGATATTCGGGGTCCAAGTATCCCATTGTTCCTTGCACCAGAGTTGATACTTGATTTTGATCTTCAGGAACTATTTGTACCCAATTTTGGTAGACGGGCCAAAAGTGGTCGCACGGTTTGAAAAATATTTTAAAAATGGAGTGAAGCCCATCAGCACTTACCTGTCTCGAAAAACCTCCCTCCTCACAACTGGGCCTCTGAGAATGAATAAAGAAAGAGGCCCAAGGTCAGGAAAAGCCTCTATCCCATGCTACACGTCAAAAATTGATAAGCCTGTTTTCTGAACCCACGTGGGAAGCAGAAGGAGATAATCACATTTAATGACGAATTGACTTCTTACTCGCCCAGCAAGAAAGCAAGTCGTACTGAAGCCCCCAAAACCAGAAGATCAAAATTGCCAGCCAGGTTTTTGAGTACAGGAAGTCAAATCAAGAAAACCCCACAAAGGGAACTGGCGGTCCTTGCCAGAAATCCTCCATCATTCCTGCTATGAACTGGTTAAGATCAACGAACTAGCGGCTGACCTTGAACTACAAGCCAAAGGTCTTGTCGCGGTTTCCATCATTACAAGTTCATTCCCCCTCTATAAATAATAAGGGTCTACTTCAGAAAAAAGGGACTCTCTCCAAAAACCAGACGAAAAGTCTTCAAAAACTCTCTCAAGATAACAATCTGCCTACTTTGCCACTAAGATATCCAGTTGACGAATACTGTGATTATCTCTTGTAGCTCTGCCATGTCCATGGTATGATTTTCTTTCAATATATATGATGTTTCAATTCATGTAATCTCTGGACTGGATTGAGAAATCTCTAGTCCCTTTTATCTTTTACTTCGTTGCTTGAATTTGAGTACAAATTAATGAATTAACCGAAGAATCTCTTGTGGTTTAGTTTGAAAGCGCTAAGTAACATATAAATTGTGGAAGATTCGGCAGTTAAATTCTAATTAATTATCTGATAAAACGAGCTTTAAATAGTTTAATATTTAAAAATTGGATTCCCACCATCTTATTCTTTGAAAAGCTAGAAAAAAATGATATTCGGGCCCGAAGAGGAGTAGAGGCCCGAACGATATAGTAAAAGAAAGGGACATGGGATTGAGTTGGGCCCGAATATTGTATTGTTAGGCCTGAATCAATTACTAACTTAGCCCAAAAAAGAGAAACACATTGAAATAGGTTAATAAAGCCCAGGCAGGGTCTTTATTAATCACGGACTTATTCTCACTCTATTGCCTATTCAGGTGTTGCTCATACTTGTCAGGGTGATACCCACGAAGAAAAGAATATCGAAGTCCTCCTAGCCGAGGCGCAGAAAAGAACCCATCCAGGCCAATACCCCCCTGGAGCACGATGGCCTGATAAGAAGTCCAGATAGAAAGTGCAAACTCCACAAGCATCCATCATTTGCATTCATACCAGATCTATTGGGCTGGTTGTATACCCAATAGTGGCACGCCTACGCAGCAACAAGAGTCAGTATCAAAGAGAGCTGTTTGACAGGGCCTCAATCGGGTCCGTTTGCTCTCATAGTTGATTCAACTTTCAATTTTGTTCGAAAAATTGAAGAAGTCCTCTCCGCGAGCCGAGAGACACCATTCGATCGAGGCATTGGTGTTGATCTACCAGCTTCACCTCCGTCCCCCAGAGCTGAACTGACCCCTGCAGTTAGTAAAAGGACGAAGAGAGGAAACAAGGACCAACATAATTTTGGCGCACCCGGTGGGACTTTTCTCTGTGTATGGTGAGAAGGACTAGAAAGAAAATATACATGGCTGATTTCACCCAAGCCAGCTACGAAAAAAACAAAGAAGTAGCAAAATCCAATTCAATAGAATCATTGGCGAAAGTGCCTTTCGAACGACTTGAGAAAGTCATGAGAGAGGGTTTCCTGGCAATGACCAGCTCTATGGATCACTTGTCTCAAAGCGTCACTCAGACCATTGAGAGAGGACATCTAAATACGACCCTACAAGGGAACGAAACGAGAGCATATTTAGGTCACCTCTTCGAACGGGCCATGCAGGAAGAGCAAGAAGATAGAATGGTCCGAAAAGAAGATGGGAGATTATCAAGTACCAAAACACCATTATTGATACAAGGATATGCTGCAGGGCAAACAAGTGGGCATGCCCAATCAGCGCCTTCAGAAATGGCTATCAAAGACCCTCTTAGATCGTCTTATCAAGTAGACCAACCCACGGGGTTTAATGTCACCACATTGGCACTGCATATGCCAAAGGTGATTTCTCCTCCCAAGGAAGTCGCCAGTCAGCATTTCACTTCGTTTGGAACTCCCTCCAAATACCAGGCTCCAAAAACTGGCGAACCCGCTTTACCACCAGAACCAGTCCGAAGAAATATGCACGCTGATAGATGGCGACAACCAACAGGGTTTAACGTGCATATCGCCCACAACAATGGCAACAATAGAGGTAACAGACGGGAAAGGCAAAACAATGCCTAGGTACCCGAGAAAATCCAGGAATCCGATGACGAAGAAGATGCAGGGCAGGCTCCCCCAGCTGGTGCCGAACCTACACCTAGAAATCATCCAAATGTGGATATTCGTAATGAAATGGAAGCATTAAGGCAGCTCGTATATAATGGTCAGGCCAGTGTTCGAAGACCAGCTCGGCCTACTTACCAAAAGCCTTATCCTGCTTACATTGGTGATTTACCCTTCCCAAGGGGCTTTAAAGTCCCAAGTTTCAGCCTGTTCAATGGGGAAGACTTATACGCATTAGCATTGGAACATATAGGGTGGTTCTCAGCCCAATGCGTATCCATAGAAACCCAACCCCTCTTGAAGTTGAGATTATTTGGTAGCTTTTTATCAGGTCAGGCTTTTACCTGGTACTCCAATCTCAGCCCGAACTCCATCCTCGGATGGGCAAAGATGGAAGGAGCCTTTATGGAATAATATTATAGGCCCGAACCTAAGATTACCATCAACGAGCTCACAGACATGAAGCAGGGGAACCACGAGACAGTGCCAAATTTCATGACACGATTTAAAATGCTTAAAATGAAGTGCAAAATTCCTATCAATGAAAAACATTTCATAAAAATGGCATAGAATGCCCTTAGACTATCTCTTCGAAAAAAGTTTGATGACATAGAATTCATGGATTTACAGGATGTGGCCCAGCGTGTTGGCAAATACGAGTTGTTGATTAGGGAAGAAATCCAAAGGAAGAACAATTCCAAACCTGCATACTACAAGAATCCAATTCATCAAGTAGAAGTAATGAGCACATTGGAAGGAGAAGTCGAAGAAGAGACCAGCCCCGAAGTAGCATTAGCTGAGATCGTCCAGATGAAAAATCATATCACCTGCAAAGCGGTAGTACGGCCAGGGAAGGAGCAGCGAAATATCCTTGCCCCGACTGGGGGATTCATTCCATACAAGCAGAAGCACAAATTGTACTCTTTCGATTTGTCAAAAGCCGAGAATATCTTCGACGAATTGCTACGGGGAAAAGCAATCAAGCTTGACGATAAGCACATATTCCCTAAGCCAGAAGAGCTGAAAAACAAAATGTTCTGTAAGTGGCATAATTCCTTTTCACATGCTATTAACAACTGTGTTCAGTTCAAGGATGTCATCCAAGACCTCATCGTTGAAGGCTAGATCCTCATGGACAAACCAACCACCATGAGAGTGGACAATGAACCTTTTCCAGCACACATGATTGGCGTTAACTAGCCCGACAGACGTAACAAAAGGAAAATCGTGGTGGATGTGGGTGAAGAAGGCGACATGAGCTAGAGATACCCGTCGCAGGAGCAAAGATTGATGAGCAATTAATCCACACAAGGAGGGAGATCGACCGATATCCCGGCAGAATGGCAAGTCAATCATATAGACCTTCAGCCCAAGAAAGGGCCCGAATAAGTCTTACGAAGCATTTCGAAGAATAGATAGAAAGGTGGCAGACGAAACCTCCAGGCAACAGGAGTTTGATTCAACAAAGCTAGAAGAAAGAGATAAATGGCGGACAAGACTCAAACAGCCTAAGTCTAGGGCTTTTCCATCATATCCACATGAAGCAACCAGTTGCAGCAGGCCTTCTACCATGTCCAATTCAACCAATGTCAGACCATCTGGCCCAGTAAAACCAGCAATGGTGTAGGATGGGAAATGGTACTTAGTCGGGAAGGGTGGCAAGCCAGGGAAATAACTAACTAATACCCACGCTAGACGAATCAAAAGACAATATGGGAAAGCCTGAAGGGAAATGGAGTATCAAACAGTTTAATCAAGTCCGCAGAGGTCCCACCAACATACCAAGTGCGGATCTTAGAATGGAGGGAGATCAATGGTAGGAATGCTTAGACCCAAAGGTGCACCTGAATTTGCTTCCCGACCGGAGAAAACTGAGTTGAGACCATTCCTGGAACATAAAAAAGCAGCAGAAAGAATAAAGCACGAACCATTTCAGAAGTCGGGTCAGGAGTCACGGCCATCATGTTCAAAAATGCCAAAACTAGGAGTAGGCAAAACTATTCTGAAACGACCAACACTAACAAAGGGCCAGAAAGACTCCGCCGAGGAACACAACAAGACCACCCTCCCAGAACCCCGGAGAAGGAGCGGCCAGACCAAGTCTGCAAATCACGATCCCCAAGAAGTTGCAACGAGCCAATTTGACAATGGAGGAAGATGAGGCAAATAATATGTTCGAAGATGATAACGACGATTGGTTGGATTACGAGCTCAATCATGAAGAATTCAAAGCAGCCCTAGGATTAAGAACCAAAGATGAGGATATTCAGGCGCTTGAGGAAAGCCAGCCTAATCACATGCCAGCCATAATGTTTGGAACAATAGAAGAAGTGGGCGAGTCAATAGTCGGAAAACCAGCCGTTGTGATTAAGGAATCAGCAGTTCAACATGAACCTATGAGGGCGGAATTTGACAAAGAACCGTCGACAGATCAACCCATCAAGTATACAGAGGAGATTGCGGCGCAGAATACTATGCCAATAAATATGGTATACGTTCTTCCGGCCCTCTATAGATCAATAAAGGGGCAACCATGCCACATGGAGGGTGATATCTTGATCGAAGAACATGTCACTGCTTTAATTGGGATACCAGACGACTATGATGACAGGCCCAATGATCCGCAGATTAATGATTCGGGCCTAAATAGCAAAGGCCTAGAATCCCCAAAGAAGAATACCCCTCAAGTTTTCTTCACTAGACCAACCAGGTCAATGACACGACATCTAAGACCATTGTTCATTTCTGCTAGAATCAATGGCATGCCTTTTAAAAAGGACCTGATCGACTGGGGAGCAGCTGTCAACATTCTTCCTTTTAAAAGATTGGAAAAACTCGGAAAGAGTAAATCTGATCTTATAGCCACTGAATTAACGGTATCAAATTTTGCATGGACTATCACTACAACACATGGGATTTTGATTGCTGAATTCGAAGTTGGATCAAAAAATTTGATGGTGTCTTATTTGGTGGTTGACAACACGTCTTTCTACCACGCATTGATGGGTAGAGATTGGATACATCAGAGCATGTCCATACCTTCCTCCCTTCAGCAAGAATTGTTAATGTGGGATGAGGAGATAGAGGATTATGAGATGATCAAGGCAGATCCACAGCCTGTCCTACCATCAGCTAATAATGTTGACGCAAGATTCCCCGCACGGGGGTATGGTGTTGAGTATCTTGGCTATCCTCAGTCGGCATAGCTGAGTGTGGGGTGAAGAAGAGGCGACGGGGCCTGATGGGTGAAGGAGCCAGTTGGGCTGGTAGAGAAAAATGGGATTCAAGTGTCGCTTCCCACAAACGGCGCCAAACTATTGATGCTCTTTTTGGGAGGTCAATTTAGAGAGAAGTGGATTGTCTTCAGCAGTGGAGAAGGTGAGGACCTTCGGTAAGGGACTAGCCTGCAAAAGACAAGGTAGGAGAAGCAATCGTTAAGCTTCGGACACCGGTGTGGTGCCGGCCGAAGGCTTTCCGATGCTTAAGTCAGCTAAGAGTAGTAACTTTGGTAGAGTAACAGTAAAAGTAAAAAAGTAGTTACCCTTTTTACTGGGGTACTGCTCCCTATTTATAGGGAAGTGAAAGTGGGAGGTTTGTATAGAATTTCGATGTGGGACTTTGTACAAGTTGCTGTGGTGGTGACACGTGTCTTGAAGATTAGGTTTGGCAGTTTGAGAGCTTCGGCAGTCGGGAGCTTCGGCAGGTGTCTGGCATCTTGGAAGAGTGTCTTCCTTCGGCAGGGGAGAAGACGTGTATGCCTTGGTGCTAGTTGTTTTGAGGCTGGATATGCTCGGTTGATTATGGTGTAAACAACATATATATATTATACAGATATATAGCGTCATTTGAAGAAGCAGATATTAAAATATCTCACCTTGGCAACCATTTGGGTGGTACGGGTTTCCTTGGTAACCTTTCAAACATCCACAAATGTAACCAGACTGATTGGGGGGGTTGACACATGTGGTATTTGCCTTGCATGCATAATCCGTTCTCTTCCGAGCTGCACCACAAGGTCTCTGTCCCAATTGCCCAATTAACCACCATTGGAAGCTCCTTTTGGTGCTCAGTGTTGAAACTAAACATGCTTTATAAATTAGATTCATGAGTTATGTATTTAGTTAATGTATAAGCATTTGGAAAAACTCTAGAAGTTGATTGGGTGCATGTATTCAAGACTAGGAAGTAGTGGGGCTTTATTACTGACAGCACATTTGAGATGGTTGCAAATGCGACAACGGCAAAAAATGCATGAGAGATTTTGCAGAATTTTTATAAAGGAGTTGATAAAGTAAAGAAGGTGCATCTCCAAACCCTTAGAGGGGAGTTTGAAAGCCTACATCAAAAGGAATCTGAATCAATTTCAGACTATATGTCAAGAGTTCAAGCCAATGTCAACCAATTGAGAAGAGATGGAGAAGAAATTAGTGACTGTTCACCCTTTTTTGTTTGTTCCTATGATGGTAGGGTAAAGCTCTCCATTGTCTTGAAAACCATTAACTGGTCAACAAGTCAACTTTCTTTAGTGTGCGAATGTGCCACTGCAAGCAATAACAATTCTAACAGACTTCTTAAAAATAGATAACTTGTGCCCCAAGTTACAAACTTCTAAAACAAGCGATTATGAATTTGGGTGAGGAATATCTGCCAAGTAAGTTCTTTTCTTACCTCAGACTAGTGAGGACTTCACAATTTATCTCAGTACAAAGTTAGTAGTTCTGGCCAGAATAAATGATAATAAAGTGGGTTGTTTTAGACAGAACTGCCTTTTACAAGACTTAGAACGAAAAATCAACTCTACAAAGGTAAAAAAGAAGGCTGGAATTCCATTTTGTCTGGATAGAAGCTTCTGATCCGGGCTGGACTGAGTATGTCTTTGCTGGACTGAACTGTCAACAACTCCAACTACTAAGCTTCAGCTGTAAATCGATGCCAAAGTTTGATTTTGGCAGAGCTTTAATTTATTTCAAGCCCTGGAAAGCTTTTTGAACGAGCAGAACTGCAACTTCTTTAGTCTGAACAGGGCAGAAGTGGCTAGACTTGAGGATTACTGAGCCGGAACTGCACTATGGTACCTGTTCTGCTTGATCAGGGCTCTCCATAAATTTGTTGAGGTTTTCATATTAGTGAAAACTCAAACTTTGCATGTTTTGGCTTTTGCTGAACCAAATTTGTAACGAAAGAAATCTCGTTTCAATGACTTATTTCTCTAAGTCTGGACTTGGAAGTTATGATTTATAGCTGGCTTCTTTTGTGGCTTGAAGGAGCTTTTGGTTGCTCCACCTTGTTTTGAAGGTTCTCAGTGATCAAGTGATCATTTTGAGTTTTTGCCTTTGGTTGATTTTTGATTGTTTGATTGATTGTTGAGTTGAGTCTTGAAAAATGTGTGTGTTGCTCTGTTCACCCTCTCTTATATTTATAAGAAATGCTTTGGAGTAGGGTTTCTTTCTTTTAATAATGGGCGGCAAAATTCTCAAAAGATCTTTCATTTTAAAATACAAAGAAGGAGTGGTTTTATCAATTTTGGCAGATAAGCTCTCAATAGTCATTTCTTTAAGACAAATCACTTCTCTGTTTTTTGAAAGAGAACTTAACCCCTCTTTAATTCCAACTGCCCCCTTGTGAGAGCTCAAACCGTGACGGTTAGTTTGATTTTCTGTTTGAACAACTCCCTGTTTCCTACTTATCTTCCAGACGCAGTTTGCTTATCTTTTGAAAACAGTGCCGTCTTTTGGCGTGAAAACAATATCTCTGTATATATATATATATATATATATATATAAAAGGGTTTTGATCTTGTAGTGGCAGAGATTCAGAAATGTCTCCTCTTTGTTGCCTGCCTTTGTTAACTTCTTGTCAACCCAGTTGAGAATATTGACTTTTTTCCAAAGTCTTTTCAAGCGGTCACATGGGTATGTCTTTCCTGTTTTTTGGGCTTCTTCTTCTTCTCTTTTAATCATGCCAAGCCCTCTTGATTTTTCTGGAGTTATGGGCTGATTGCTCTCTCATTTCCGAGGCCCAAGTTCTATTTGCCATCTTTTGATAGATCCTGGGTTGGGCCTCCTTGGATCTTGGGCCTTTGATTTCTTGTTTATTTGCAAAGTCTGGATTTGGGCCCGCAGTGTTGGGCTGAGTGTATAATCTTGGCCCAATTACAAGGGAACGTTGGTGGCTGGTTTAAAATTGATATGGGCTTTGTGATCTTGGGCTGGGTGTGCCAAATTAAGTCCAAACAATGCCCCCTAAGTCTGGAATAGTTTTTTTTTTAACAGTTCCAGACTTAAATGACTTGGCCATTAATTTTGCGCGCTAGTTTCTTCCGTTTGCCCACGTCTGCCACGTCTGCCTACCACGAGCTAGACTTCGTGGGAAAGTGTTCAGTTACTAGCTAGTTATTATCAGGTGGCGTCTCGTCTTCTTCTTTCCAAGATTTCAAGCCCTTTTAAGATTTTCGAAGCTCCATCTCCTATTCACTTTGAAATCTAGCTTTTCTCCGACCTTGACTTTCTCAGTTTTCCTAGAATTTTCACTTTCTTCTTCGACCGGACTCTGCCTTTCTTACCATTTCCTTTGTTCCTAGTTCAAGAACTTCTGAATATGTCTTCTCCAAAAACTCGTGCCCAAGGTTCGTGTCACGCCCTGAACCCGGGGGTGGGTGGAAACCTCGCGCCCGGTGCGTGAGAAAGTAAAAACTAAAAGAAAATAAAAAGAAAGCCGAAACATGAAATAAAATTCTCTTATAAAAATAGCTTTAAAATCTTACAACTTTACAAGAAATAAATAAAGCTCTACTACTCTCATCTAATTCAGCCTTAATCAATTTAGTCCTCGTCTTGCCTACTAATTCATCTGAAAAAAATTAAATAGGGTGAAGGGTGAGCAACTACAGCTCAGTAGGGACATGAGACCTTATCACAGTAGATTGATATAACTAAATTAAGTGACATACAATCACACAACCACATATCACATTAATTTATTAATAATAATGCATGAATGAATGCTCTTCATCTATTCTCGTTAATTCATATAACTGGACAAGCAGACCTGCACATCCCATACCATGCTTATACCACTTGGTCCCGAATGCCCATTTATATGAACTAACACCCATTTCAATCTTCCCATAATTTCCCTTTTGTTAGTCATCTTGTCTAACTCCCTTCCGCCAGTCCCGAATCACCTAATAAAAACTATGTGCACTGTGGGATCCCTGAGACCTGGTAACTGCCAAGAGTTAGACTCAACTACACAAAAGACTATTTCCATTACCCTCCTTTTCATCATTATTTTCTCCAACCAACATCTCCAACTAATTTCCATGACATTTCACATATCTCATAACAACAATGTAATCATTTAAATATCACCAATGTACATATAGTCATGCCAACATTAATTAAATAATTAACAACACGTAAACACCCAATATCAAGAACATCCATCAAGTTATAATATCACGCATAATATAGTGCTCACGAAATTTAATTAAATCAATCTCCGTAAAGGCTCCCAAGAAATCCCTACCTTGTTTCCAAAGCTAGCTTCAAGTTAAGAAAATACAAGCTAAGTCCTATACCTCCTCCAAGAATTTCATCATCATCTCTCTCTCTCTCTCTCTCTCTCTCTGTATTTTACTTCATTTCTCTGTTTCTCATTTTGTTATTGACAACATAGGGGAGAGGCCTTATTTATACTCTTACAAAACTTGGGCATGAAGTAAGAATAGATATATGGATAAGCTTAATGAATAAGGATAAATACGAATATAGGAAGATAAAATCAAAATATTAATTAACTAACTTCTTACAGGAGCTATCAAAACATACAAGCTTTGAGCTTTGAAACAATGACACATATAATGTTGACAAGGATGAAATATGCATGTGCCTAATCCACACGTCCACTCCACCTTAAGATGAGTAAATTCATATGTGTATATATATAATAATAATAAAAATTACCATGTCAATCCTTTTGTCCAAGTTAACTTGCTCAGAAAGATAAAAATAGATTTTCTTTAGCTATTTAATACACAAGAAATATCTAAGGATTTAGAGAAAAACAAATAATATAATTTCTAGTTATTCAAATGTATATATATATATTTACTAATACAAATAATTATTAAAATAGCATTATAAACGTAAAACAGTACATATATATATTTATAAACATTTAATCTTCTTTAAAGAATTTTAAGAATATGGATTCTCACAGGTCGTCTTTTTCAGTTCCACCCGATTATATCACCGGGACTGGGGTTGACAACCATGCGATAGAGGTTAGGTGCAAGCTCCACCCTTTTGCCAAGAAAAACCAGGATGAAAATGTCCTTCCTCTTTTCGAGAATACCTTAGTCTTAGGCCTTCACTGGTTCAGTTCTATTCCTGCTGAAATGGCAGAATTGTTCAAGAATGACGCTGAAGCTCCCCTTTGTTTCCAGAGTTCCTCTGCCTTGGCCTCCTCGGTAGTTCTGCTTGAGAACAGACATCTGGCAGAGGCTCTACACAACCATATTGATGTGGGGGTTGGACCCATAATTCTAGCCCATTTATTCATGAATTTGCACACAGCCACGCTGGAGAATCCTCTGAACATGTCTGCTCCTGGTGCGTTCTGGATGATCCAGATTTGGCTGCAGGTGTATTTCCCTGAGTTGAGGTTTCCAGACATAATTATGCTTGAAGACCAAGTTCTGGCTCTACCCTTGATATTAGCAGAAGTGCCCAAGAGGTCCATTAAAGAGTATCTGATGCTTTTTAGGCATTGTACAAAGAGGCCAGCAGCTCAATGGCAGATCGTGATCAGAAGGTCCTATCCTTGGTTCCAGCCTGGAGACCGGCTACTTGTGAAGGAGCCAGAAGAGGAATCTGCCAGAACAAACTTCAGGAAGAAATTCCTAAGTGTTACCCTGCCAAGAGATCTGCCCCATGGAGGAGGAAAGCCTCCAAATTATCATTTGGGGGCAAAGTCTATCATCCCAACTTCTATGCAAGGCAACTTGGCTGCCCACAGCTCATTCTACTCAAATCCTATAGGAGTTGCAATCATGCCACTTCTTGGAGGGACCTGGATGACTTGGAGGTGCACAAAGATGCCAGGTGTGTGGTGAACAAGATAAACAATAGTGCTAATGCTCTCTATCCAGCCTGGGAGCCAAATTCCTGCAGTTCTGCCGAGTTCGATACTTGGTGGAAAGCCAGATTTTAAGGCCTGCCTACCTCCAGCACTGCACTCAAGGTGCTTTTTTATGGCTGGGACTCCTGGGTTGTTCATGCAGGGGAGGAGACCCATAAATTCATGGTGCAGACTATCAAGGCCATCAATGCTCAAGCCATAGAAGGTAGATTCTTTGTTTTTGTCTGTGTTTTATTCATTTTTTTTTGTGATGATTCTAATATTTTGTTTTGCTTGCAACAGATCCTTCTTTGACAAGGGACATAGGTGGCCAGTCTGTCCAGGCTGGGGAAGTGATTGGTAAGCTTTCCTTCATTTATCCCTTATGTTTATTTTTCCTGTTGGATTGATTTCTGAGCTGTCTGTTTCCTGTGCAGTTACTTTTGTCATTTCTGATGGGGATTTGGAGCTTCCTTTTGGAGATGAGGAGGATGAAACCCTGGCAGAAGAACCTCCTGTTGAGGCTACTCCTTCTGCTAGAAGGAAGAGAAAAGAAACTGCTCCTGCTCAGGACAGTGCTGTCATGCCTGACACTTCTAGTAAGATTCTGACATTTCTTTGAATCTGTTCTGTTTTGCCTATTCTTCTAACATTCATTTCATTGTTCTGTGCAGTTGAAAGTCCTCCTCCTGCTCCTACTAAGTCAAAAAGACTTAGAAAGAGGACTTTGGTGGAGTATGTGGCCACAGAAGAGCCTGCAGCAGCTCCCACAACCACTTCTGGCACAAATGCAGAACTTAGGGAGACTTTTGAAGCTGTGGAGTAGGAGGAGCAAGGAGAAGAAAAAGAAGAAGCTCAAGAGAATACGAAAGAGATGGAGGAGGTGAGTCTTGTTTTTTGGCTGTACCAGCAATTTCTATCTTTGTATTTCTTCTGTTTATGATTTCTGCCTACTTGCAAGAGGAAATCCCTGCCGAAGTGATTGCAGAAAGCATCGCCTCTTGGCGCAGAGACAACAAGAGGTCCCAAGGGCAGAGCTGACTAGTTTAGAGTTGGCTCTTTTTGAGGATGCAAAGGCAGAGCACTCCACTGCCATTCCAGCATCTGAGGAGCAGGCGGAGCACTCTTCATCAGAGCTTGTGGAGCAGGCAGAACTACCTGTTGCAGTCCCAAAAGCTGGAGTGGAAGTGGCTGCTACTGTTCATGACGTTGTGGTAATTTTTATTTTTTAACTCTGTTCATCTGTTTCCTGTAGTTCTGTCCTGTCTTTGCCTCTTAACTATTTCGTATTTTCAGGTAGAAGTGCTTAGAGCTACTGGCGTTTTGGTAGTGATAACCAGCCCTATGAAGCGTCCAATTGTTGTCGTAAGTGTAATTACATTTCTGGGCTTCTTTCTTTTCTATTTCTGCCGGGTTCTGACTTACGTTCTTTTCTGCAGATGCCTATCCATTCCCTTCCAGGTTCATCTGTACCGCTTCCTATGCTAATCTAGAGTTGGCAGAATTTGAGGCTATGGATCTGGACGCCTAGCTGGATAAACTGGAGAAACTCAGTTCTACTCCTGGCAAAGCCAAGTCCAAGGCAGTGGAGGAGGCTATGGAGAGACTGAAGATCTGACAATCGACTGAGTTGGAGCTGGATGAGGACAGAGAGGCTGTTGACCAGTTGATGAAGGATTTGGACCTCCTGCACAGACAGAACATGGCTCCCAAACCCATACTTGAGATGAGCCTTGGCTTGGCAAGAGATGTGCTCAACCTCCACGACCGTTATGAGGGTTTTGAATTCTTTTGGCAGTGAATTCAATGCAAAATGCATCATCATATCATCATCTATAGTCATGTTTAATCCCTTTAGCTTGTTCGCAATGTCTGCCATATTCATTATGTGAGCTCTTACACAACCTCGCCCATCATACTTTATCTCAGTAAATTTGTTCAGCTGGACACCTTTCTCTCCTTTATCAGATTCTTTAAATTTCTGACCAATTGCAACAAGAAAATCTTTGGCGCAATCTGATCTTGGAATACTTCCTCTTAAAGAAGGTGTCATGGTTTTCAGCATAATCAATGTACCCATCCTGTTGGCTTTTTCCCATCTTTCATATTTCCTTTTGACATCTGCAGTTGCATCTGCAGCAGGTTCCTTAAGTGCATCCCATTTTAGAGCTATATCATAGTCCATTAGCCCTAGTGAGATTTCCAGCTCTTCTTTCCACTTTAGATAGTTTGAACCGGTCAAGATTTCGATGGAGTTGTAGCTTGTAGTATTGACTGTAATTTCAAGAAAAACATAAATACAAATCCCAAATAACTTTAATTAAACATTATTGATTTGCATCTGTAGATCACAAATCAAACATGTTCCATGGTCCTAGAACAACAAATCTGTAGAAGCAATCTTGAAACAACGAATGATTCCACATATGTAGATGGAGAAACACTCATTGTTTGCTCATACAATCTGTTTTTCTAATCCATTCCATTATAATCAATCCTTCTTGCACAATTCACATCTATGGACAGAGATTTGTACAAGAGAGATTGAATATAATGCAATCTTGATCAGGAACTTTGAATGAAGAATTTCTTGTATCGATTTAGTTGATGTGGCTCACTTAATTGATTCAAGATCCTCCCCAAACTATGATCAATCAGTCTTTCAAGCATGATTTAAGCAGAGAACTTTATGCTTAACTCATACCTTAACAATTAAGATATGCAATCAAAACTTACATGCTTATAATGACAATATAAAACATATTCTTTTAAGGCGAATTTAATCTTGTAATTAGGTTAAGAACATATAACCTAAGCTCTAATATCACATGTAAACTTGAATAGGTTTATATGCTCTAAACACATACCTTTGTCAGACATCCTTGATTTCTTGCTCTGGAAGAAAGCTGGAATTTGGAGTTGTGTTCTTGGCTGGTTCGTTCTTGGACAGATTCGCAGTATCACAGTAGGGTAGTTTCTCTATGCTATCCGGCTCTTGAATCTCTTCTTGATGGGGTATAATAATATGAGAGTGATTTGCCGTTAGCATAGGGACCTCCCTTTTATAGGCATAGTTCACTACTACAAAAAAGGCCAAAGACGACGGGAATTCACCGTCGTGTATTCGGTTTACAAATCGTCGTGAAATCGACCGACATCTATTTGGGTGTCAAACTACGACGGCTTTTCACCATCGTTGTTTATCCATAACGACGACGGTTTTTAAAGAAAATCGTCGTTGTTTAGAGGTAAAGATCGTTAATTATAGGAGGAAAGACGACTGTTTTTAATAAAACCGTCGTGTATTGTATGTAAAGATGACGATTTTTTTATGAAAACCGTCATGGATTGTTTATAAAGACGTCATCTTTACATACAATAGACGACCTTTTTTTATAAAAAGCGTCATCTTTACATACAATAGACGACCTTTTTTTTTATAAAAAGCGTCATTTTTACGTACAATAGACGACGGTTTTTTTTTATAAAAAGTGTCATTTTTACGTACAATAGACGACGGTTTTTTTTTATAAAAAAGCGTCATCTTTTCGTACAATAGATGACGGTTTTTTTTATAAAAAGCGTCATCTTTACTTACAATAGACGATGGTTTTTTTATAAAAAGCGTCATCTTTACTTACAATAGACGACGGTTTTTACAAAAAACAAGGTCATCTTTACATACAATAGCCGACGGTTTTTATAAAAAGCGTCATCTTTACATACAATAGACGACGGTTTTTATAAAAAAAAACGTCATCTTTACGTACAATAATGCTTTTTGATTTCCTATGATGCTATACAATGATTTTAACTAGAAAACCAACCATAATGCTTTATTAATGAATATATAATAGTTTCTTTCATAAAACTTGAAGATTCAATAGTTATTACATAGTTAACCAATCTTTATTCTACAACAAACATAATTCCTAACAAGACCTATGTACTCCTAATCCAAGCATTCCTCATCCAAACATACAAATGATGTACAACTGAAGTCTCCTCCATCATCCCTGTAAATAAATCAAAATGACAAAGAGAGAAAAAAAGAAGAAGCTAAGATTATTTCCATAAAAAATTAGGTGGAAGAGAAATTTTACCATTGGTCCATCTTATGTTATATTTAACGAAAGTATAAATAAAATTTTAATTGTTAGTGAATATTTTTTTTATGGCATACGCATTTTAAGAAACTAGTTTCAACGATCCAACCGTCAAACTTGTTTGTTTATACTTCGAGATCATATACGCCAAAAATAGGAAAAAATAAACATTCAGAGATCAAGTAACGGGACAAAAAATTTCGACGGTTATAAATGAAAAATCATGATTTAACGGTTATTTTAACTCCGATTTTGATGATTTTTTACCACTATACTCCTTGACCCTATATGAATACAATGACTGAATTTGATCTTCAATTTAAAATATTTACACTAGTGGATACCACAAAATCTTATGTTATATTTAACGAAAGTATAAATAAACTTTTAATTGTTAGTGAATATTTTTTTTTATGGCATACGCATTTTAAGAAACTAGTTTCAACGATCCAACCGTCAAACTTGTTTGTTTATACTTCGAGATCATATGCGCCAAAAATCGGAAAAAATAAACATTCAGATATCAAGTAACGGGACAAAAAATTTCGACGGTTATAAATGAAAAATCATGATTTAAAGGTTATTTTAATTCCGATTTTGATGATTTTTTACCGCTACACTCCTTGACCCTATATGAATACAATGACTTAATTTGATCTTCAATTTAAAATATTTACACTAGTGGATACCACAAAATCTTATGTTATATTTAATGAAAGTATAAATAAACTCTTAATTGTTAGTGAATATATTGTTTTGATGGCGTACGCATTCTAAGAAACTAGTTTCAACGATCCAACCGTCAAACTTGTTTGTTTATACTTCGAGATCATATACGCCAAAAATCGAAAAAAATAAACATTTAGAGATCAAGTAATGAGACAAAAAATTTCAACGGTTATAAATGAAAAATCATGAATTAAAGGTTATTTTAACTCCGATTTTGATGATTTTTTACAGCTACACTCCTTGACCCTATATGAATACAATGACTGAATTTTTTCTTCAATTTAAAATATTTACACTAGTGTATACCACAAAATCTTATGTTATATTTAACGAAAGTATAGATAAACTCTTAATTGTTAGATGACCCTTTTTTTTAATAAAAAGCGTCATCTTTACATATAATAGACGACGGTTTTTTTATTTATAAAAAACGTCATCTTTACATACAATAGACGACGGTTTTTATAAAAAGCGTCATCTTTATGTACAATAGACGATGTTTTTTTTATAAAAAGCGTCATCTTTACGTACAATAGAATACGGTTTTGAAAAAAAACGTCATCTTTACATACAATAGACGACAGTTTTTATAAAAAAGCGTCATCTTTACATACAATAAAGGACGGTTTTTATAAAAAACGTCATCTTTACATACAATAGATGACGGTTTTTATAAAAAGCGTCATCTTTACATACAATAAACGACGGTTTTTTAAAAGCGTCATTTTTACATACAATAGACGACGGTTTTTATAAAAAGCGTCATCTTTACATACAATAAACGACGGTTTTTTAAAAGCGTAATCTTTACATATAATAGACGACGGTTTTTATAAAAAGCGTCATCTTTACGACAATAGACGACGGTTTTTATAAAAAGCGTCATCTTGACATACAATAGACGATGATTTATAAAAAGAGTCATCTTTACATACAATAGACGACGAGTTTTATAAAAAGCGTCATCTTTACATATAATAGACGACGGTTTTTATAAAAAGCGTCATCTTTACATACAATAGACGACCTTTTTTTATATAAAAAGCGTTATCTTTACATATAGTAGACAACTTTTTTATAAAAAGCGTCATCTTTACATACAATAGACGACGACTTATAAAAAGAGTCATTTTTACATACAATAGACGACGGTTTTATAAAAAGCGTCATCTTTACATACGATAGACGACGGTTTTTATAAAAAGCGTCATCTTTATATATAATAGACGACGATTTTTATAAAAAGCGTCATCTTTACATATAATTAGGGGTGGTTGCGGTTCGGTAACCGCGAATTTTTACTCAAACCGCAAACCGACCGACTATTTGCGGTTTTATGATTTTTGAAACCGCAAACCGACCGCGTTTTGCGGTTTACCGCATTGCGGTAAACCGCAAAATGCGGTCGGTTACCGCGAATTAGCAGTTTAAAACCGCAAGTTCTCAAGCATTCACAAAATATAAATTCACAACCTAAATAAATAAATACACAACCTCAATTTCTTAAGCATATATAAATTCACAATCTCCTTAACTTCTCAAGCATTCACAACCTAAGAAAATTAAAGTTACAATTCCAAGCATTCCAATTAAAGTTAAACTTCTCAAGCATTCCAATTCCAAATTCTTTAAAGTTACAAACCAAAAGGAAAATGCAAAGCAAAATGAATTAAAGTGACAACCAAAAAGAAAAATCCAATTCAAAGTTAATTAAAGTTACAAACTAAAAGGAAAATGCAATGCACCAATGTTACAAACTAAAGTTACAAACTTAAGTGTTGGTAGTGAGTGGATTTGAAGAATCCCGTTGTGTTGTTTGAGCACTAATGTTATCTACAAATAAAACAACATAGTTTAGTACATTTTATTATAAGAAGAAGCATAAATAACATTAGCATAAATAAACTAATTACTTACAAGTTGTCATATGTTCCTTGTAGAATTCAACATCATCATTCGTGTGGCTATACTTTGCGGTTTGCGGTAACCGCAAGTTTTGAAAATCAAATACCGCAACCGCAACCGCGAATGCGGTTCGGTTCTTAATACCGCAAATGCGCTTCGGTTTACCGCGATTGCGGTTTCATTGCGGTAAATTATCGGTTGGTTTTTGCGGTTTTTTTCGGTTTTTTCGGTTTAAAATGTCACCCCTACATATAATAGACGACAGTTTGTATAAAAATCGTCATCTTTACATATAATAGACGACCGGTTTTATCAAAACAACCACATCTTTACCAAAAAAATGACACTTGATTTTTAAAAGACGACGCTTGTCATACCTGCTGTCGTTGTTTTTTGGTCAGATTTTAACTCTGAAGAAAACCTTTTTAATAAGACGACGCTTTTTTATTTGTGTGCGTCGTTATAAAAAAATATTCAACAGTACCTCCGGTTTTTAGTTGTTTAAGTCACTTATCCACGACGGTTTTTTGTTACCGTCGTCTTTTTAAATACAACGACGGTTTTTTCTTCTATCGTCGTCTTTTTCTGGTCGTCTCTTTCACTTTTTGTAGTAGTGGTTTAAGAATCCTCCTCATCATGGATTACTTAAACTCCTTTAACCAAAAGGATTAGGTATCTCAATCCATTTAATATAGGAAATCTTAAGCACTTGTATTTATTTGAAAAGTCATATATATCAAGCCTTAAAATAAATCGATCCATGTAATCCTAATTGACATTGGACTAGTTATCCTTAAGTGCTTAGAAGACCATCTTTAGAGTTTGTATTAGAATGCAAATCTTACAATGGGTTGCAAAATTTCAATTATATTACTTGTCACACTTCCAAATAACTTGATCTTTGACGTCAGAATCACTTCCTTTCGAGGTTCTAACTAACTCAAACAGTCCAGGTGACGACTTTGGCTCATTAGCATTTCCCAAGTTATGGATGATGATGAATTTTAAAGAGTGCAATGTATCAGACATTGATTCCTTGGAGAATTTTTGTTGCTGGCCCCACTTAAGGAGTATTAATCTATCCAAAAGCAATTTTGTGTCTTCCTGTGTGCATTAGTAAATTTGTCAACTTGCGGGACCTTGATTTGAGGGGTTGCAAGAGGCTTGTAGAAATTCTAGTACAACTTCCAGCATCTATTGAATGGGTTGGCGATAATATAGGGTTGAATGTTTCAAAGATGGAAAAAATTTTACCGAATCAGGTGACGTATTTATATTTTTCTCTCAATTATTTCTATATATTAATATGCATACATTACATATATATATTGTTAATACTATACTATGTACGTTGCACGCACGACTAATTAATAATAATATATATGTCTGTGTTGGTGTTACAGATGAAGAGGAGTGAGAAGATTTAGGTTATACTACCTGGCAGTAAAGTTACAGAGTGGTTCACTTTTCGTAAGTACTTTGCTGGCACGAGTTTTTGTAAGGACGTCAGTGATGATATGATGAGAACAAAACTTATTACGAACTTGCCTTTGAAATTCCGCATTGGAGACACACAAAATTGGTTTTGTGTGCTGTTTGGGAAATTACGGCATCAAGAAGCCTCTTCCTCTGTTTCATGAATTCACATTGGATGCAATTTGCTCGCCAATTGTGACCAACTTTCCTACCTCAGTTAACATTTTAAGTTTGGATTTTTCCAACTCCAACAATCACCCTTCAGTCAAATTTGTCACCGACTACGTCTGTAGGCATAGTTTCTTTTATGGAGGTTTTTTTTTATATAAATTGAATATAGGCATTTCGATGAAACAACTCCTTGCCTAATAAAACGCTGAAGAGGTGATTCTCTAAAGAAATGAAGCAATGAAAATAAAAAGAATTCGGTTAAGAGTACAATTTTTTTTTTCAAATGTAGATTTTAAGAAAGGACATGTCTTAATTTGTGGTTGAACTACATTACTAGGAAAGGATAATTTGAGTAGTAATATCTGAGTAACAGAAAAAGAAAAAGAAATTAGGCAATAATAGATTGCAGGAATTACAAGTTCATTCCCTTGTTGAAGGAAAGTACCCATTTTAAATCTCTATTTGAATGAGAAAAATAATTCTAGGCAATTTAGGCTTCGTCCTTGTTTAGCCGACCAGAAGTTGAAAGTTTATTCTCCCTTGTCGGCTCTTCATCACGTGAAAACACGTCAATAATTGAAAGACTCTAAGTTTCGTGTATGAATTCACATTGGATTTCAAAGCAATGTCGAATTTCCTTTTACTACGGAGGCCAAAGGTTGCTGTTCAAAAGCTGCGGGGCCCACCTGGCTTATGTCAGTATGCCGAAGGATGGCGATGATAGCAAAATTGACGAAAAAGAATTAGATGATGATGATGTGGGTGATGACGTTCGACCCAGAAAGAGAAAAAAAATATATCACCTCTGACTTTCGAAGCCTATTTGAGTTTAAACAAATCCAAAAAAACTAAAAAATATCACACTATTTAATTTTTATAAACAAATCCAAAAAAATTAAAAAATGACAGCTGACCCTATTGAATTTAATTTTGGTTATTAAATTATTTTGATGCCCTATTGAGTGTTTTAAGCATTTTTATGAAGTTTTGAGGTTGAGTTTGTTTTAAGAAATTAATGACAGTTTTGTAATTTAAAAAAAGTTAAAAACCTTTTTGTTATGTTGTAAATGGACTTTGGGTGTGTTTCTAAAATTCATTTCATATAGAGTTTTTTATTTTATAATTTGGGCTCTCATATTGGGTATAATAGTGAATCTCCTTTCTAATTATTGGCGTTGTGTTGTTCAAAAGCTGTCATACGTCCATTTTTTTTTCATTGGGCTTTGTTTTTATAAATTTGATTTGAAATGAAAACGTTTTTGATGATCAAAGAAAAAAGTTATCAAACTAAAGTACATTCAAATTTTTTTCAACAACTAATGACATGAGTGATTGATAATGTTTTTCAATAACTAATAATTGTTGGATGAAGAGGTATCAGACCTCTATATATTGACAATTCGTCCAAACTAAAAGACAGAATTTAGAATTACATTATCATTCTCACACATAAATACTTCCTGAGAGAAAGCATATCACTGTTCGTCAGAAATCAAAGCCACAATGCTTAGGCTTTGATTTGTGATAGTTTAATCCTGGAGGGCAAACTCCTATCGAACTGCAAGCACAAGAATAAAGGATAAATACTATCTAAAAGACACTACAACTCTGTAAGACTATATCATCTATCTAAGTCAGTATTTCGTATTGTTTTTATTCTGTTATTTAGTTACTATTCTGATTGTTGTCCAACAAATTTGTCAGCCTAAACGGTAGATGGTTGCTCTTCAAAAGCTGCGGGGTCCACCTGGCTACTGATACTCATCAATTTTTTTTTTTTTTTTTTTTTTCTTTTTCTTTTAAAAACTAAAAAAAAAAAAAAAAACCAAAAAAAAAAAAAAAAATTTCTAAAAACCCCGTCAATAATTGAAGTAAAGAGAGTTTTCCCCACCGACACTTCCTCGCCGACACTTCCCCAATACTGCACATGAGAAAAAGTGGCATTTCATGGTCCTTATTTCTCTTTGTTAGCAAATATTGGAATAGACCATTCTGTCAATTATTTCCATCCATTACAATATCTAAGATTTGTGAGATAGTATTTGGATAACTGTTGCTAAGTTATCCAATCATTGACACGGCTCGTATCAGGGAAGTTGAAAGTTTTTTCTCGCCATTTCATGAATTCACATTGGATTCAAAGCAAATATAAAGCTTTTTACATTTGCTCACTCACACCCAAACTCTTCAAGTAAGTAAGCCTCATCTTTTTTCTGACGACAGCCAAACACTGAAACAATTATGTTGGCTTCCATGGCCAATCAACGAGCCCCTTCTTCTGCTTCTTTCACCAAGTCACGGAAATACCATGTCTTCCTGAGCTTCAGAGGTTTGGACACTCGCTCCAATTTCACAGGCCATTTGTATAGCGCTTTATGTCAACACGGCATTAACACCTTCATGGATGATGATGGGCTCGGAAGAGGAGAAGAAATATCAAGCACGCTTCTCACAGCAATTGAAGACTCAAAGATTTCTGTCGTTGTGTTCTCAAAAAACTATGCCTCCTCAAAGTGGTGTTTGGATGAACTTGTTAAGATTCTTGACTGCAAAGAATCAAAAGAACAACTTGTCATCCCAGTTTTTTACAAGGTGAATCCGTCAGATGTACAGAATCATAGAGGCAGTTTCGGGGATGCACTGGCTAACATGGAGTGTAAATATAAAGATAAAATGGAGAAGGTCAACAGATGGAGGGCAGCTCTTTCACAAGCAGCAAATTTGTCAGGGTTCACTCTCTTGGACGAGTAAATTCTCTCTCTCTCTCTCTCTCTCTCTCTTATATAATGCTTGTTATTTTGTTTTGTTTGTAATAAGTATAGCGCTTCTGTTTTTTTTTCAAAATATGCTGGCCAAAACGGCGTCGTTTTGGTGCAGCCCAGCGATTTTTTTTTCAAAGACCTGGCCAAAACGAACTCGTTTTGGTATAGGTCTTTTAAAAACAAAATTAAAACAGATTTAATAGACCTCCTCCCGACTTCAGAACTCCAAAACCCCCATTCCTAAACCCTCAAACCTAAATCCCTAATCTCAACCCCCCAAAACCTTTTTTTTAAAAAAAATTGAACTTTTACACTATGACCCTATGAGATAAAATTCTTGGGTCCGTCCCTGATTATAGCTCTGGTTGTTAATGTAAAAGAAAGTTCTTTGTTTTGATCCCAAAAATAAAAAAAGTTATTACAATTTTTTTGTTAAAAGAAATCAATGAAACTAATTTTTTGATGTCAATAGTTAATTAATAGTGTGAAAATTATTTTTAGAAATTTATTATACTACTAAGTAGTTGAAAAATATAAGATATTTTATATGGTGTATTTTAAAAATGAAACTAGTTTTGATTCCAATTCTTGACACACTTTTACTGGAATCAGTACTATAAAAGAGTTGGTCAAGAGCATCTTATTTTTGTGTGTACAATGTTACTTGCCCTTTTTTTTTCTTTTTTTTTATATTTAAAAATGCCATGTCAAGTCACTAAATGTTTCATATTCTTTTCAATTGGCAGACATGAATCTGAATCTAAATTTATCCAAAACATCATTGAAGACATTTCATGGCAAATAATAGACCATACATATTTATATGTGACAAAGTATCTAGTTGGAATGCACCATCCTGTACAAGATATAACTAAGCTTTTAGATTTGGGGGAAAACGATGTTCGTATGGTAGGGGTGTGGGGGACTGGTGGAACTGGTAAGACCACAATTGCTAAAGCTGTTTACAATTCAATTGCCCACGAATTTGAAGGCTGTTCTTTTTTGGCAAACGTCAGAGATTGTTCAAAGTGGCAGGGAGGAGGTTTAGCCAAACTACAGAGGACTCTTCTTTTTGAGATTCTAGGGGGGAAAAAATTGGAGTTGGCCAACGTTCATAAAGGGGCCACTATGATAAAGCAGAGGTTGAGTTGTAGAAAGGTTCTCTTGGTTCTTGATGACGTGGATGACATGGAACAGTTACACAAGTTAGTTGGGGCACGTGATTGGTTTGGTGTGGGCAGTAGAATTATCATAACAACAAGGGATAAGCAACTGTTAACTGCTCATGATGTTAATTTAATACACGAGGTCAAGATTTTAGATGATCCTGAAGCTCTTGAGCTCTTCTGTTGGCATGCCTTCAAAAGAAGTGGGCCTCCTTTGAGTGATTATGTGAAACTAGCAGAACGTGCAATACGCTATGCTCAAGGCCTTCCTTTGGCCTTGAAAGTTCTCGGTTCTTGTCTATGTGGTGGAAGTATAGATAAATGGGAAGGTGCATTGGATGGTTTCAAAAGCACGAAAATTCTGGACGTTCTCAAAATAAGTTACGATGCCTTGGATGATGAGAGGGTAAAGGAGGTTTTCCTTGACCTCGCATGTTTCTTTAAGGGTAAAAGTAGAAAGTATGCGATAGAAACACTAGAAGCTTGTGACCTCAACCCTAGGTATGGTATTGAAGTGCTCATAGAAAAGGCCCTCGTAAGTGTTGAAGGAGATTATATTTGGATGCATGACTTATTAGAAGAGATGGGTAAGAACATAGTTCACCAAGAATCACCCATTGAACCTGGAAAACGTAGTAGATTGTGGTCTTATGAAGACATCGAGCATGTTCTTGCTAGTAATACAGTAAGTAAATTAAATTATACATTTGAGTGTGCAATGTTTTATTCAATTCAGTAACTAACATCTTGCATTTTTTTGTAATAAATACTTTGTAACAATTGTACATTTTTCTTTTAATGACAGGGAACAAATGAAACCACACGCATTGTGTTAAATTCCCCCAAAAAAGAAGATGAGATATTCTTGGATGTTGACTGCTTCTCAAAGATGAAAAATCTTAAAATTTTCATAATCTATAACGGGTGCCTTTCTGGTGATGTTCATTATCTCCCAAACTCGTTGAGAGTTCTTGATTGGCATGGATGTCCATTCCAATCTTTTCCACCCAAGTTTCTTCCAAAGAAACTAGTTGTGCTCAATATGCCTCACAATCGCATCAAACAACTAGGGCAGGGATTGAAGGTACTTTAAACTATTTCTCATCCCTTATTTTTTTAAAGAGGTCACGTTTATTAACTGATGTATGTGGTAAATTTATTTAATGCCATCCATTTGATTTTTATTATTTTTAATTTCACAGTATTTGACAAAGTTGACATCTCTGAATTTCACTGGATCTCAATTCCTAACTCAAATCCCCGACCTATCCGGCATCACAAACTTAAGGTACTTGAATGCAAATGGTTGTAGGAGTTTAGTCGAGGTCCATCCATCTGTTGGATATCTTGATAAACTTGAAGTATTGGATTTTTGTGACTGCCATAAACTCACGAAGTTTCCAAATAAAGTTAGGTTGAAATCTCTGATAATTTTTTGTCTTTACGGTTGCATAAAGTTGGAGAGTTTCCCAAAAATTGTGGACAAAATGGAATCCTTAAATGAATTGAACCTTGGGAGAACTGCTATAAAAGAGTTACCAGCATCAATTGGACATCTCATTGGGCTAAAAATATTGCGCTTATCTGAAAGTGCTCTAAAAGAGTTGCCTGCCTCAATTGGACATCTCGTTGGGCTGAAAGAATTGGGCTTATCTGGAAGTGCTATAAAAGAGTTGCCTTCCTCAATTGGACATCTAACTGCACTAGAAGAGTTATATTTAGAAAGAACTGAAATAAGAAAACTACCTTCATCTATTGGAAATTTGATTGCCTTGAAAGCATTAATTTTACAGGGAAGTGATATAAAAGAGTTGCCTTCATCATTTGGAAAACTCACTACCCTGAAAGCTTTATGCTTAGATGGAAGTGCTATGGAAGAGTTGCCTTCATCAATTGGAAATCTCAATGAACTTGAAGAATTAGATTTACGAGGATGTGAAAACCTTGCAAATCTGCCACAAAGTATTTACAGGTTGCACCGTATCTTTTATATTAATCTCACTAGATGCCCAAAACTTGTCACACTTCCAAATAATAATTTGATCTCTGAAGTTTTATCGAGTGCAGAATCACTTCCTTTAGAGGTTCGAACCAAATCATATGGTTCATTCAATGGATGCCCGTTATGTTGGTTGTATTTTAAAGAGTGCAATGTATCAGACGCTAATTCGTTGGAGAATTTTGGTGGTTGGTTTGGCATACTTACAATTAATCCATCCAAAATCAATTTTTTCTGTCTTCCTATGTGCATTAGCAAAATTGTCTACTTGCGGGACCTTAATTTGAGTGGTTGCAAGAGACTTATAGAAATTCTATTACAACTTCCAGCATCTATAACAAGGATCAATATAGCTGATTGCATATCTCTCGAAAGATTTTCAACATTGTCAAAGATATTGGAAGACGGAGACATGCCAAATATTAATAGGAGGGACGTATGTAATTGCCATAGAGGCGGTGATTTGGGGTTGACCTGTTCAATGATCGAAGAAACTTTACAGAATCAGGTGACTTACATATCTTTTTCTCATAATTATTTCTATATAATTAATATGCAGACATTACAACTATTTAATACTATACTATCTATGCACGTTGCACGCACGACTAATTAATATATATGCCTGTGAAGTTCCCGAGTGGTTCCAGAGTGTTACAGATGAAGAAGAAAAAGATTAAGATTAAACTACCTGGCAGTGGCAGTGAAGTTCCAGAGTGGTTCACTTTTCGTAATTACATTGTCAAAGATACGAGCGAAGCTACTTATTACGAACTTCCTATTGAAATTCCTTGGACTTCCGGATTGGAGAAGACAAAATTGGTTTTGTGCGCTGTTTGGGAATTTACGGAATCATTTGTTAGCCCTTGTCATCTTGAATTTAATGTATTTAATGCATTTAATTTTTGGGATGGAGTAAGGATGCGCTGTTTTCGAGATGAGTGGTGCGTGTCAGGAGGAGAGACAGGGGCAGGTTATGTGTGGCTGACATGTATACGTGCTCACGTGAAGCCATCTCCTATTTTTCGAATTGTTGTTTACGGCAAAGGGTTGATCATCAAAAGCATTGGGGCCCACCTGGACGGTGATGATGACGGAAAATGAATTAGATGATGATGTAGGTGATGAAGTTCCACCCAGAAAGAGAACAAAGATATGACCTCTCTCTGCATTCCAATGTGAGATCTCATCACTTTATTTTATTTTATTTTATTTTTTATTATTAGCCTACCTTTCAGCACAAAACTGGTAATGAGTTTTCATTTTTAATATTTTTACACGTTGTATTGTTGTTTACCATTTAGTGTGTTTCAATCGTAGAAGAAGTATAAGTTAATTACGTTTTGGGTACTCTCTTAGGTGTTGAAAACTTACTTTGAATCTAATGCCACGAGATTATTGTAACAATGTGAGAGTACTTTTTTTGTGGTTTATTGTAACAATGCCTCATTTGTTTTTATCTTGCAGATAATTGAGTGAGTCATTTTCCTCTAGGAAGAGATTATAAGCTGGGTACCCCAAGTGTTCGTCTTTATATCTTTAGCATGTCTTTATTTTCAGATATTTCTATTTTTTAATGCCTCTTGGCGCCGCGAGACACCTCAAGACGACTTCCTCTTGATTATTTTGATGCCATAATAATGACCTTGTGTTGTATTATTAGTCCTAATATGAACAGCGTGATGTATTTATATTTATTGTTTTGCTATCTTCTTATGTAACAACGTCGGTATATGCTGAAGAATGTAAAAATACATAAATTCATATCGGTGGAAGCTATCAGTTGGGTGCCACATGTAAGTCATTCGGACTCAAGGTTGTGGGCATGAGAGTTGTTTTATTGTGAACTAGCTTTTGATTGAACCAAAAGCTGGTCGTCCAGATTATTATATAATATATAACTATATATATATATTATTTTATAATTTTATTGTCTTTTGATTAAGTATGATAATTATTTTCTTATTATCGATATTGTTGTTCTGTTTTCCCTACATATGAAGGTGAACTGAATCATGGTTTATGTTGCAATTTCCCTTTCATGAAGTGTAATAAGTTTTTATTTTATTTTATTCATGATCAGTTTATCACTTGATTGAAAAAAAAAAAAAAAAAAAAAAAAAAAAAAAAACATCTTTGCAAGGAGAGAAGGACCAAGGAAGCCCTCCTCACCATGTTAGAGCTAGTGTCTTATTAAAAGGTTTCATATGGCGCAAAAATATCGAGAGATGTTTCATGTGCAGAATAAAGTCTCCATCAAGTGAGGCTGGGCGATGATGAATTAGTTTGAATCATAAGTTGAATGTTTAAGTGCTAAAATTAAATCCCTTAACAAGGTTTTGAAAATTTATATAATGGAGAAGAGCACTTGGTTGATATTTACTTTTTAAACTTCTTCCAATGCCCAAACTGTATTGAGAGCTAGCATGATCATATGCATGCTCGTACAGAAAACAATTAGAGCTCCCATTCAATTTAAATATGAACAAAATTCAAATAGACCTATGATCCAACTCAAATCACGTCTTTTTTCAAGCCAAGAATCTTTTTTCGCTCTGTAATTGTCCTGTTTATACCAAAATGAATAGCCAATGAACATCGGACACGTGGATCAAACCCGAGCTATGGGAGCCTTCGGCACCTATCTTCGGTATCATTCCTACCGGTCACATCTTTAGGGCAACCTCACCCCCAGGGACACGTGGCAGTCCCACAATCGACGTCCACAGTCCCACATCGAAACTCTAAACAAATTGCACACCTCCCAAGGCCTATAAAAGAGGATAGCTATCTCAGCCTGGAGGTAATCAATCAGAACTCACGGCATACTGCCTATGGATCTGTAGTCCAAACTTACTAAATCCGTACTTACTTAAACATCGGAGAGCCTTCGGCCGGTACCACACTGGTACCCTAGGACTTACCGAGCGTTTGCTATCTTACAGGTATAACACCCTACCGAGGCCATAGCATACCGAAGGAAAACAAAATCACTAAGTTATGCGGGAAAGTGCCGAACCATTTTTCTGCGTCAACATGTCCAATTTCCTACTATTGGTCGGCCTGTAAATCATCTGGTTAGGCAGACAATCTTATTTACATAATCAAGATACAATTGCAGTATGAAGTGTATTCGAACACAATCCTTAACTAGATGTTAGGCTCGTGCACAGATTTACGTTCAATAATCTCAGGAAATGCCTTCCTGAACGTGTACCTACAGGAAGAAGTTTACATGAGTCCTTCACCTGCACTAACTCTTAGTCTGCTTATTGTCTCAGCTGAGTTTAGATAATATTACCTCTTTCTGTATATGTGAATCATTTTCTCGTTGTGAGTGTTTTATGGAATCTTCTAAGGTTGCCTAAAGAAAAGGTAGAATATAGCACATAAGAAAACAGGGTCAAGCTTCTTAAATTCAGAACAACATATAGCACCTTTAAGGTAGCCTTTTAGAAAAAAAAGAAACATAAAAAAGTTCCAAACCCAACCAATTATGATTAACCTCTAAATTTTTTTGCTTTTTCCTTTTGTCCCTTTACAACATTATTATTATTTGAGTGCTGCTATTTTCGCTTTCTGTTTTATTTTTCCACTTACTTTATCTTCCCACCCAACATGTAAATTTGAAAACACGCAACCATTTCTTTCCACCCACCATTATTCCTGAAATACCCTTTAATTATTAAGTCAAGCAAGTTGTCTTTTCTAATCCTTAGATTAAAAAATATATATATTAACAAAAAAATGGCTTAATTGCACTAATGACCCCTGAAACTTCATCAAATCTCACTTTACCCCCAAAAATTAAAATGACCCACTTTCATACTTTGACCGAGGTTTAGTGACCCACTTTGCCCCATGCCGTCAACTTCATCCAAAACTCTGTTAAAACTGATGATGTGACATGGGTTTATTGGTAATTTCATACACATAGATCATTAAACCAAATGAGTGGGTGACGTGGCAAGTGGAGCCTACCTCTGCATTGATTAAAAAAAAAAATTCTAATAACTAAAAATTAAAAAAAAAAATTAGGTAGTAGACATAACTATCTTTACTAATTAGTATTTTAGACAAACAATATTTTTGTTTGGGTTTTAATACCTACGAACGAAATTTTGTTTTGGATTTGGCCAAAGAGGAGGCCCAGATTCGTTAGCCCACCTTATATTAATCACTAAAAAGACAATTATACCCTTTTTGTTTAAAAGATTCATTGGTCTCCCTTTTTTTTATCAGATTAGATCTCTCTCTCTCTCTCTCTCTCTCTCTCTCCACAGCAACACGACCACAGCCTTCACCTGCGATGGAATTCTCAAGCTACTCATCCCTTCGCCCTTCACCGGCAACTCCAAGGTCTTCTAGCTCAAGATGAAGAGCAATTACGATCGCTATCTTGCTGAGTTCAAGATCGGGTGTTTCTATGAGGTATTTAAGGAGGAGATCCATTAGGTAATTGTCAAAAACCAATTATTTAAGCTTGGCGAGTGCATTGCCCTTGGCGCCTCTGGTGGGAAAAGTAAACTAACCAAGCTATGCTTGTAATACTAGTTAATTCCATATTAGATTGTAAAAGTTATGTGGACCTCGGCTTTTCTTCTAATAATTACTTTTTATGTTATTAAATACTGTCAGATTCCACTGTCCTTTCTTATGTGTTATCGGAATTGAATAGGTGGCACAATTACAACCTAGATATGTTTCTGTTGTCAGTGGATGAGGGCATTACTGGCTACATGGATGATTCTCTTAAGACCATCAAAAGAAATGAAATCCAGGTGAAGTGAATATCAATTATGAGTTACTGGTCATATGTAATGCTTATGTTTTTTTTCATATATATATATTTTTTCCGTTAATCGACTCTTGTTCAAAAATTTTACTTTCAGTATGGTTTGCCGCTAAAAATAGTCTCATACAAGGATTTGTGTGGGTGGACTATGGATGAAATAGTTAAGATGATTGGTCTCAAGAATAATTGCACCTTCTGTGGTGTTTTTCGTCGTCAGGTATTTGCTTTTATTGGAAATTGACTGCTTGTGTATTTTTTAGAAATCTTGTATGCATGTATTTAGACATAACTTCAACATTCATATGTTTGGACAACATCAAAGTTGTGTGGTTACTCCACAAAAACTTATGCTACTTATTATTTAGTTATGACAAGCAATTAAAGCGGCTAAAACTATTCACACAACCTTGTTTTCCGTAACATCTATAATTTATAAATTCTAGCATAGATTAGCTTTCTGTCTCATTAAGCATGCAAGGCATGGACAACATTTATTGGTTGTGAGAGTGATATGAATTATTCCACTTAATGGATTTAATTTGTAGATTGAGTAGATGCACTTCAATTGTCACTGGTGAAGATGGGCCAATTCCAAGATGCAAACCTTTTAAATACACCTATGAGAAAGAGATTGTTATATATCCTTACTGCTAAAATACTCAATACTGATTTCTTTCTTTGATCACTATTATTCATCTTAATAATGAGTTGGAATTAGTTGTGAAGCCTTAACTAGATTTGCACGTATGCATATTTCAAGATGCTGGACTAGTTCTCCACTGAATGTAATTTAGTTTAACTCTAAGCTCTTTCAGATAAGTTCGCTCAAGTCTTGCTCTGTTATTTTCACTCCTCCCAACCACCCTTGCCACTATATTCTATGTTTTCGTGCTTTCAGGGTTAGATCTCATAAGCCATTGTTGTCAAAATTGCAGGCATTTATTCACCCAAAGCTTATCGTGGTTTTGCTCACGAGTTCATCAAGGATTTGGAAAGAATCAGGTGGGTTAGCTTGTTGTGAGTCCGTTTAGAAAAACAAACAACTACTATCTGATCATATGACAGGAATCAAGTTGAGAGAGCACATAACATAATTAAAGAAATGAAAAGTAAAAAAAAAAAAAAAAAAAAAAAAAAAAAAAAAAAAAAAGAGAGAGAAACTACTTATTAAAAATATTACTAGGTAAATGCAAATGTGTGCGTGTGTGTTGTGATTGGCTCGATAGTTTCTGCTGTGTGCCAGGTCCTCAATTCAATCATGGAAATCTGTCCTTTATTTTAGAGGGATTTGTTAGCTAAATGCCTTTTAATTATTGAAGCGCTACCAATTGCAGTAGAGGAAATATTTTTTTTTAGGGTTTGTCCAATATAGATCCCTACATTTTCTATTTCCTAGACATATACCCATCACTCTATAAATCTATGTGTAAAACCCAATTTCAAATTTAAATGACCAGTATGATATAAGAGGTCGTAGTATTTCTATGTTTTTACATCGTTGCCACTAAACTTCATATTTTATTTATAATTTATTTCAAGCATTTCATTAACTGCCATAATTGTAATTAATATACTCCCTATTAATAGCATATCAATCACCCCATTTCTTTTAGTTGTCATTCCCTCTCACATCTTGCCCCCTAAAATTGCAAACAAAAAAAAAAATCTGTAAATTACATATCCAATAATGTACCTATGAAAAATATAATATAAATATATACATATAAAATATAGGTATATTATTTACCCCAAAAAAAAAAGTCAGTTACTTTGTAATTGCGTATATTTTTCATAATTAAAAATAGGTACACAATAATTTATATAAAATATAGGTACATTATTTGGAGAGGAAAGATAGGTACATTATTAGAGGAAAAAAATTGGTAAGTTATTTGGAGAGAGAAAATAGGTTAATTTAAAAAAATTACGTTTAATAAAACAAATAATAGGTACTTTATTCAGAGGAAAAAGGCTATATTATTTATAGAAAAAAATAGGTACATTATATAGATAAATAATAGGTACTTTATTCGTAGTAGGTATATTATTCAAATGGTAGGTACATTGGATGACATATAATACCTAAATCCTAATTGTAAGTACATTAAAATTAATGTAGGTATATTGGAATAGATAATTATGTACACTTTTCATACTAGGTAAATTATATTTTTCATAAAACAAATAGGTACATTATTTTTTCAACATAATTAGTATGTACAGTTTTATTCATAAACAATTATAAAGTGGATTATTAGTCATGTATAATTCAAAAAAAGAAAATAACATAAACATTTTATTAAACAAACCAATTACCGAAATTTGAATTTATTGTTAATTTTTTTTTAAATGTTCCAAAATTAATTCCTATATCCATTACAACCATTTGGAGATCTTTCCAAATTCAACATCTGTCATTATATACAATCCAATTAAAAACTGTTTCCATATTGATTCCTACATTAATATACAAAATGCAATAATGGCTTAGTTGGGGGTATTTTTGGAATCTAAAAAGTACAATAAATCAGATTTTATGCTTAATTAGGTAACTTGCTGAATTGGATTCTAATCATGGGTTTTTACTTATACAAATTGGGTATTATTTATAGGAACAAAAAGTGTTTTGAAGTGAAGGGTTTTAGGTATGACAAATTGAATTTGAAAGGTGTAACTATTTTTTTTAAAACAAAAACAAAAGAATATAGCATGAAGACAACAACAAAGAAAGAAACAAATTTTAGAAATCATAAGACGGGTACTGGAAAAACAAACCTCAAAGACTTTGCAGCATCAAGAATATCGTTTATGATCATTTGGAAAAATCTGGAAAAATGAGATATCATCATCAACTCATTTAGAAGATGCACAGGGTGTTGAGCTTGCTTCTTTCTTCATTGTCATGTCGCAAATGAAAAAATACTCATCCCATCCACCTTTGACAAAGCAAAAAAGAAAGAGAAACATAATTGCAATTTCATCCCTCTATGAAATTACGTAAGAGAACAATTTTTTATTTTTTTTGGAAAGAACATTGAAGGGGCTGGCATGGCATCACCCTTGGGTGGAGCACTGCAATGTCAGCCCAAGCCATGTAGGCACTGCCACCATGGTTCAGCAACAGATGGGCACATCCCATGAGTGCTGTATTGTCTTTGATGTTATAGTAATAACTCTAATTCTAAGCTTTATTAAACAATGACACTAATGAAGAAAGATGAAATACACACACTCACAAGCAATGACCTTAAGACCTGTTAACCGCATCCTCAATCTGTTCTGTGTTGTCAAGCCTACATCAATCAAACAAAAAAACTGAAAGTATAAGAGAATAACTCTATAACAAGCTAAATGAAATACACACACTCACACAAAAATAAGGTCAAAGTGGCATAATTACCATTTAAGTGTACATTCTAAATCCTGTAAAGACTTCAATATTATATTGTTCTGCATTCACATTCATCGGATCCAACAGATCTTTCCCACATTTATGGTAATCAACATCTGCACCCAGTTTTGCTTTCTCCAGATCCTACAAATGGTACACAGCTATTATCTGGGAGGAAGATGTTCTCTTGTGGGGAGATGTGAATTTTCAGCTTAATTGCATTCAGAAAATTAAAACAATTATCTAATTATGTGGTAACAATTGTTGATAAAGATGGAACTAGCAAGTGCTCAATAATTGAATTTTGGAAGTGCATTGACATCTACACTCACTCTACTTATATGGTCACTTTTGTTGTAAATGAAGTTCAAGTACATCAAGCATTTTATTACCAAAATAAATATTAAAATGAAAAAAGAAAACTCACATTGCTAGCAAGAATGTAAAGAAAAAATTGAATATGGCTTTGACCCGTATTCCAGTTGTCTTTATAAGTTTCTTGGATGATAAGATAATTCGAAAAAATGAGAAGAAAAATGTTCAAAACTTTCATGTGTTCCTAAACCCTAAACCCTAAACCCTAAACCCTAAACCCTAGGGAGGTGAAAGTGGGAGGTTTGTGTAGATTTTCGATGTGGGACTTTGTGCAAGTCGCTATGGTGGTGACACGTGTCTGCCTTGGTGCTAGTTGTTTTGAGGCTGGATATGCTCGGTTGATTATGCTGTAAACACTTTTCCTTATCGATGAATGGAATGTAAAAGATCAAGGGATATAAGGAAACTGTAATAACACATGAAAATACAATTATCTTATTCCACAGTGAAGCTTAAAGAAGTTTTGTTTCCCATTTTTTCCTTGCTCTAAGTCCTCCAATTTTGGATGTGGGATGTGGTGTTGCCCCTTAGCATTTTCCAAATTGAAACTATACCTGGTGTATTGCTGATTAAAGAAAAATGCAATCAGAAAATTAAAAGAAATTCAAAACCCATTGTTCCTGTTCATCCGAAAACCTAGTACTCCAGACTTCACTCTTTTGAGCTTCTCTTTGACAACTCTCTCTTTGCTAGAACCTGCCTTGCCTTTCCTATCAACTTTCCCTTTTCTAAAACAAGAACAATTCTGAGAAATGTCTTCCCCAAAATCCCGTGCCCAGTCTTCCTCTGTTTCAGTTCCTCCTGATTACATTACTGGGACTGGGATTGACAAACATGCGATAGAGGTTAGGAGCAAGCTTCATCCTTTTGCCCAGAAGAACCTAGATGAGAATGTCCTTCACCTGTTCAAGAATACTCTGGTTTTGGGTCCACACTGGTTTGGCCTAGTTCCGACTGAGATGGCAAAATTGATGAAGAAGGATGCTGACGCTCCTTTGTGTTTTGAGAGCACTTCTGCTTTGGCCTCTCATTCTTGGGTCAACAAGAATCTGAGCCGTTCGTTCCCATCCAGTGAAGTGAGAAACAGTTCAGTGAAATGGGTAGACTGGATTGACAGACTCCTTCCAAGATATGGAGCTCACTGGAAGAGGGCTGGCATATATGATGTCATACTTCTGTCCAAGCATTCCATCAATAGAGATGAGAACCTCCTGGCTGCTGCTCTATGTTTCTGGAATTCTGCCAGTAACACATTTGACTTCGGTGTGGGTCCCATGGCTCCAACTCTGCTGGATATGGCGCAAATCTTTGGGTTCAGGCCCCATGGAAGACCTGTGGATGCAGTAGGAGATTACCATAGAAGAAAGAACCAGGAGAAACTAGCCAAGCCTTTCACTATCTCTCCAGCTCTTATCAACCAGAACTGCTCCTTCTCCAACTACCTGAGGAAGTTCAGTGCTGAGAAGGACAAGGACCAGCAACACATGCTATTCCTTATGTACTGGCTAAATAGGTTCATTCTCCCCAATCGTTCTTCAGCAGTTCTGCTTGAATACAAACATTTGGCAAAAGCATTGCACAACCATACGGATGTAGGGCTTGGCCCTACAGTTCTTGCCCATCTTTTCAAGAATCTGCATACTGCTACTTTGGAGAATCCTCTGAACCTGTCTGCTTCCGGTGCATTCTGGATGATCCAGATTTGGCTGCAGGTTTATTTCACGGAACTGAGGTTTCCGGACATCGTTCTGCCTGAAGATCAGGTCATGGCAGCTCCCTTGATGTCAGCAGAGGTGCCAAAGCGATCGATCAAGGAGTATCTGATGTTTTTCAGGCACTGCAGCTCAGTGGCAGGTGGTGATTAGAAGAACATATCCCTGGTTCCAGGCTGGATACAGACTATTTGAGAAGGAGCCAGAACAGACTTTAGGAAGAAATTCCTAAGTGTCACTTTGCCGAGAGATCTGCCTCATGGAGGAGGAAAGCCTCCAAATTATCATTTGGGGGCAGAAGTCTACCATCCCAACTTCTGTGCAAGGCAACTTGGCTGCCCTCAGCTCATTCCACTCAAATCTTATAGAAGTTGTAATCGGGGCACTTCTTGAAGAGATGCAGATGACTTGGAGGTGCACAAGGATGCTAGATGTGCAGTGAACAAGATAAACAATAGTGCAGACACCCTCTATCCCTCATGGGAACCGAATTCCTGTAGTTCTGCCGAGTTCGATGCCTGGTAGAAGGCTAGGTTCCATGATCTACCTGCTTCAAGCACTGCACTTGAGGTGCTTTTTAAGGGCTGGGATGGATGGACTATCCACACAGGAGAGGAGACTCACAAATTTATGGTGCAGACCATCAAGGACATCAATGCTCAAGTTATAGAAGGTAGTGTCTTACTTCTGTCTGTTCTGTCTATCCTTTTTGTAGTGATGACGTTTTAACACTTTGTTCTGTCTGCAACAGATCCCTCCTTGACACAGAACATTGGTGGACAGTCTGTCCAGGCTGGAAAAGTAATTGGTAATTTTTCTATCCTTCTGTTCCTTTTGCTTTTTGTCTTTCTCTTGATTGACCTTCTGACTATTTTGCTTCCTGTGCAGTCACTTCTGTTATTGCAGCCGGAGATTTGGAACTGCCTTCTGGAGAAGGAGAAGAAGAAGAAGAAGAAGAAGAAGATCGGGCAGAACAAACGGCTGTTGAGGCCGCTCCTTCTTCTGCCAGAAGAAAAAGAAAGGAAATTGCTCAGTCTGTGGCTTCAGGTGAATTTTGACAGTTTGAGTTTTTCATAATTATATTATGTCCTGTTCTGCCTGTTTTAGCTTATGTTCTAATGGCCTATCTTCTGTCTACTGTAGCTGGGAGTCCCTCTCCTCCTCCTACTAAGTCAAAACGACTTAGAAAGAGGATTGTAGAGGAATATGTGGCCCCGGAGGCAACTGCAGCAGTTCCCACCACAACTTCTGGCACAGATGAAGAGCTGAGAGAGGCTTTTGAAGCTGTGGAGCAAGAGGAGTTAGAGGCTCTAGAAGAGGTTGGAGAGAGACCTCAAGAAGAAACAAAGATAGTAGAAGAAGAAGTGAGTCTTTGATCAACAGATCTGTTTCTGTCTTTTATTCTTTCCATTTTCTAACTTTTGTCCGCCTGTCTGTCTGTCTGCAGGAAGAAATTCCTGCTGAAGTGATTGCAGAGAGCATCGCTTTGGCTCAGAAGCAGCAAGAGAAGACAAGGGCAGAGCTGACTAGCTCAGAGCTGGCCCTGTTTGAGGATCTAGAGGCAGAATACTCTACTGCTGCTCCAGCGGCTGAGGGACAGGCAGGACAATCTGTATCAGAACCTGTGGACCAGGCTGTGGTGGTTCCAGAAGCTGGAGTAGAAGTGGATGCCCCTGCTCCTGAAGTTATGGTAATTTTTCTTCCAATTCTGCTCACATTTTCTGCAATTCTATTCTGTTTTCTGCTTCTTTAATCGCTATAGTCTTTCCAGGTAGAAGTGCCCAGATATGTTGGTGCCCTGTCAGTGGTGACTAGCCCTTTGGGTTTTTCTTTTCTGTTTCTGCCTGGTTTTGACTTATGCTTGCTTTTGCAGATGCCTATTCATTCCCTTCCAGGTTCATCTGCCACGGCCTCCTTTGCTGATCCAGAACTGGAAGAGTTTGAAGCCCTGGACTTAGATGCCTAACTAGACAGATTGGAGATGCTTAGCTCTCCTGTAGGTAAGGCAAAATCCAAGGCAGTGGAGGCTATGGAGAGGCTGAAGATCTGGCAGTCTACGGAGCTGGATGAGGATAGGGAAGCCATTGACCAACTGATGAAGGATCTGGACCTGCTGCACAGACAGAACATGGCCCCTAAACCTATACTTGAAATGAGCTTTGGCTTGGCAAGGGATGTGCTCAACCTTCACGACCGTTATGAGGATCTCAAGCCCACCTTCAAAACTTCTGAGTTCTGCAAGGCCACACATGAAGCCAACTTGGCTGATTTTGCAAAGCAGAAGGCAGAACTGGACCAAATGGTGGCAGGATACAAGGAGGCTAAGTCCACTGCAGATAAGCTGGAAAAACATATTGAGGAGCTGCGGAAGCAATTGGCAGAATGCAGGGAGGTGCAGAACAGGCTTGGGGCTGGACTGAGCTCCAAGACCAAGGCTACTTTCCTTGTGCAGAGCATGGTTGCAACTTCCAGGCCAGCCCTGGAGATTGCAGAGGCTTCAATTCATCAGGGGGTGCTGCTTCAAAAGGAACTCTCCATTAAGAAGACCAACTTGCAAGAAACCCTCAAGAAATTAGGATTTTGATTTTGTTATTTATTTGTCCTTTTAGTTTTTTGATTTATGATGAACAATTTGCCATGGGAAAGGCCCCATGGTTATCTATTTTAAATAAAGTTTATTTTTCTTGCTGCAATTTTCGGGTGTTTAATTTCTTTTGATGAACTAAACAAAACTACAAAAAGGAACAAACTTTAAACAACTTAGAACAAAGATGACTCTAAACAGAAATAAAAGCTTTTTAGTGTTGCCCCTTCTCTATCCCAGGTTCTGTTTGTACAGCCTGTGAGTCCCACATGGTTAGATAAACCTTCTTTAACCATTTGCCATTGATTGGGGCAGCATGAATTTCTCCATCTCTATCCTGCAAGTTGTATGCCCCATTCCAAGGATCTGGTTGATTATGAAAGGGTCTTCCCATGTAGGTGACCACTTTCCATAACCAGCCACATGTGTTCCAAGGGGCAAAACTGTTTTCCAGACTATCTATCTCTCTTCAAAACTCTTGTTCTTGACTCTTTTGTTATAGGCCCTTGACACAGCTTGCTTTCCTGCCAGGAGTTTATTGAGGGTGTCAATTCTGCTTGCATCCAATCCTTCTAGTTCTTGCAGCATGGCTTGAGAGTAGTTTTCTCCTACCAGATTATGTTGGTGAGCAATTCTGAGGGACTGAACAGCTATCTCCATAGGGAGAATTGCATCATGGCCATATGTTAAGCGTAAGGGGTCATGTCAGTTGCTTCTCTCTTTGAAGTTCTATATGCCCATAGAGTTTCTGACAATTTCTCATGCCATTGCTTTGGGTTCTTCTCAAGCATTTTTCGGATAATGTTGATGATTACCCTGTTGCTTGATTCTGCCTGCCCGTTAGCTTGAGCATAATAAGGAGTGGATTGAAGCAGCCTGAATTTGAATGCCTCTGCCATATCCAGCATTTCTCTATATATGAAATATGATCCTCTGTCAGTTGCGATTGATTCTGGGATGGCGAATCTCTGTATAATCTATTCTTCTATGAAATGATGATCTCTTGAGATGTAGTGGATTTAACAGACTTGGCTTCTACCCATTTAGTGAAATAGTCGGTGGCAACAATGATAAAACAGTGCTGCTGGCTAGATAGATCTTGCCAATGAGGTCCATTGCCCATCCTCTAAAGGGGCATGGCTTTGCCACTGGATTCATGGGAACTGAAGGAGCCTGCTAGATTGGGCCGTGTCTTTGACAAGACTCACACCCCTTGGAATAGTCAATGCAATCTTTCATCATGATTGGCCAGAAGTAGCCATACCTTCTAATTAACCAGCACATTTTCCTCCCACCTTGATGGGCTCCACAGATTCCTTCATGAGTTTCCCCCATGACTTTCATGTATTCTTTATTTCCGAGGCACCTTAAAAGCACCTCATCCTTACTTTTTCGAACCAAATCTTCATTCCACATAAGATAGTTCAAAGCCATGATTCTGACTCTTTTTTCATAAGGTAAGGTTGGATATTGCAAATAGGTTATGATAGGCTTTCTCCAATCATCTTCAATGATTATGACAGAATTGACATCTATCTCCATCCCCCTAGTCAGAACTGATGGCAGGCTTTTCTTTCCCACCTTGATGATCCTCTGTACACAGTCTTCAGGTATTTGTATACCTGTTGCTACTTGGGCCAGTTCATTGGCTGCACAGTTTTCCTCCCTTGGGATGCGTTCCCAAGTAGCTTCTCTAAATTCTGTCAGAAGATTCCTAGCTGCCACTAGATATACAGCTAGAGAAGGACTAAGACACTTGGATTCCCCAGCAATCTGTTTTAATACAAGCATTGAATCTCCTGGGATTTCTACAGATTGGATTCCTAGTTCCACCAGCATTTCTAATCCTATGATTAGAGCTTCATATTCTGCCCTGTTGTTGGTGCACTGGAAAGAATAACAGTGTCTGATTCCAAGTGGTTCTTCCAAAACAATCCCTGCCCCAGAAGCTATATCAGTTTTTGATCCATCAAAATACAGCTTCCAAGGTGTGAGATGAACTGAATAAATAGGATTGTTAAAGCAAGTGTGAGCTCTAGTTAACATATCTGCATTTGCTATGTCCAAAGAGTCCATGTTCTCAATCTCCTCTCCAGGATGATCTGCTAGGAAGTCTGCCACAGCTTGTCCCTTGACAGCTTTCTGAGGAACATACCTGAGGGCAAATTCTGTCAAGGCCAAGGTCCATTTTCCAATTCTGCCTCTCAACATTGGCCTAGTTAGCATGTACTTAATCAGATCTGTCTTGACAATGATGTAGATGGTGTATGGCAGCATGTAGTGTATGAGTTTCACAGCAGTGAAGTACAAGGCTATGCAAAGTCTTTCAATTGCAGAATATTTTCTTTCCACCTCTGTCAGAGTTCTGCTCAAGTAGTAGACTGCCTGTTCCTTCCCTTCTTTGTTATCTTGAACCAACAAACTCCCAATGGATACTTCTGATGCAGATACATAGAGCTTGAGTGGTCTGCCTCTCTTTGGTGGGGACAGAACTAGTGGATTTGAGAGGTAATGCTTGATTTCCTCAAAAGCTTGTTGGTGCTATTCTTCCCAATTGAAGGTCTGTTCCTGTTTCAATCTTAACAAAGAGGAGAAAGGCTGGATCTTTCCTGCAGAATTGGATATGAATCTCCTTAAAAAATTAATTTTTCCTAAGAGACTCTGCAATTCTTTCTTGTTCCACTGCGGCAGAGCTTCTATGATGGACTTTGCTTTGTTTTTGTCGATTTCTAGGAAATTTCCTGCTTGAACTCCAACAACACATTTCTTTGGGTTCATCTTTAGTTTGTGCTGCCTCATTCTTAGGAATGCCCTTCTTAGATTTGGTATGTGGTTTTCCTCTTCTGGGGATTTAATCACCACATCATCGATATACACTTCCAAAGAATGTCCTATCATATAATGGAAGACAGAATTCATTGCCCTTTGATAAGTAACCCCTGCATTTCTTAAGCCAAAAGGCATACAGTGTACTCAAAAGCACCTATATGTCCTGGACACATGAAGGCTGTCTTGTGGATGTCTCCTTCTGCCACCATGATTTGATTGTAACCTGCATTGCCATCCATAAAAGATAGCATCTGGTTGTGAGCAGCTCCATCTACTAGCATGTCTGCCATTGGCATAGGGTACTCATCCTTGGGAGAAGCTTCATTTAGATTTCTGTAATCCACACAGATTCTGACTGCCCCAGTTTTTCTTTTCAGAACTGGTACAATATTAGCTAGCCAATCAGCATAGATGACTAGTCTGATGAATCCTGCTTTGAGCAACCTTTCTATTTCTTCTTTGACCTTCAGTTCTGTGTCCATGAACATTCTTCTTCTGGCCTGTTTGACTGGAAGGTATCCCTCTTTTATTGGCTGCTTCTGCTCCACTAATTCCCTATCTAAACCTGGCATTTCATGATAATGCCAAGCAAAACAATCTCTGAACTCTTGCAACAGTGCAATGAGCTCACTCTTGAGCGGTTCTTTTAATAGTGCCCTAAGTTTATTTCCTATAAAGGATCTTCCACTTCTGGCAGAAAGTCATCCAATGCTGCTAGCGCAAAATCTAACACTTCCTCCTGTAACTATTCTTCCTCCTGGTCTTCCGTGCTCTCATGCGTGAATTCTGCCATATTGATGGCTGGATCCTGCATGAAAAGCTTCCTTTCCTCCCAAATATCAACAATCTTTTTGTAATGGATTGGATTGTTGCAGCTCGATCCTTTTCTTGTTGATAGGAACTAAACATAAAAGTTCTGGAGGTTTAGAACAAAATGTCTATTCCAGTCTTCTAAGGAACTAGCTAGACTATCTTCAATGAGCCTCTGGGCCGTGACACCATAGGGACAGCCGTTCTGGTTGACTTCAAGGAAAGTGAAAGGACCAAGGTCATCATGGTAGTACCTTGCCTTAAAACACATGGCAGAATGCAGAAATGGTCGTGGATCGGCCTCTACTATCTCCATGTAACCTTTTTCATTCCACAGAGCTAATTGCTGGTGAAAAGTGGAGGGAACACACAGACTCTGGTGAATCCAGTCCCTGCCAAGTAGTGCATTATATGTGGTGGAAGTGGTGTCTACCACAAAGAATGCAACCTTCAGCTTTTTGCTTCCAACTATGACATCCACATCTAGGATCCCATGAGTTTTGGTGATGCCCCTTGCAAAGTTGGTGACGGTTAAGCGTGTTGGGATCAAGTCTTTCTCTGTTCTGCCCATTTTACTCAGCATTCTGTGAGGCAGAAGATTGATGGCTGCACCTCCATCTACCATGATTTTGGGAATAAGAACACCCCCAAAGTTTGCTGTTACAAACAAGGGTCTGAGGTGGTTTGCCATCTTTTTGGTTGGCTTGGAGAAGCAAAGCTGGTTTGCAGCCAGCTTGTTGTCAGTTCCTTCCGTCCTGGGATTGCCTGCTTGCTGTTCTGGTATCTCTTCTGCCTCTGCCAACCTGCATTCGAAACTTTCCTGGGAGAAAACATCCCTCTCCAGAGTGCTTTCTTGTCCTTCTACAGCTCTGAACTTTTCTGGCAGAATGAACACCATGTTGATGCCCAAATCACCCTGCAACAGGTTTTCCAATTCTGCACCAAAAGCTTCGATTTCTGCATCTAATTCCCCATCATATTCCATGTGTTCCTCCCCGAATCCTTCTGTCCAGTCTTCCTGTTCTCCTGTTTCGAGGAGTGCATTCTGGTCATCTGCAGATGGCTCATAATTTAGCTGCTCCTCTTCATTTCCCTCAGTCCAGTCTTCTGGCCCTTCTATTGGAATAGGTTCAGATTCTCCTTGTATCTGTGAAGGTTTAAATTGATTGTCTGAGGATGAAGCAAGATGGATAGAAGGCTTAACTGGAGATCCAGCTTTCAACATTTTCTGTGGCTGGATTACTTGTTCTGCCTGGGAAAGTATTTCAGGATCTTTCCATTTTCTGCCGGAAGTGGTCTCCGAAGGTGCCTGTGCATCACTTTTGTTCTTGAGGAACATGCAGTATTGCCTTTGAACCCTCCTCTTCTGGGTTCTGGTTAATTCCATAGTTGGTCTGCCACTTTTCCCGACAGCATACCACCTTCCTTCTATGATAGCAGCCAGAGGTTTCTCATTCCCGGGCATCTTGATTGATATTTCCTTCTTGGGCTGCTCTGTCATCCTCCTGCTGTGCTGGGCTGGTCTGGGATACTCCTTCTGCCCGGCTCTATCTCGGGATGAGGTTCTAATCCTATCAAAACACTCAGAATGGGTTGACTCTGCCTGTCCAGGACCACTTCTAGCTCAGCTTCACATTTGCATTTGTTGCAGAGCACTACTCCGGCTGAGATAGTTGCTTTTGGCCTTTCAATAGTTTCTCTTGAAACCATTCTGCCTCTGCTGGAACTGGCTTCTGTTGTTGGCCTGCTTCTCTTCTGTTCTTGCCAATTTAAGTTGACCATATTGACTTGTGGTTGGGGAAAAGGATCTGTTGTGACTGAAGGAGATTTCTCCGCCAGTTTCAACCTTCCTACTGCTATTCCTTCCTGTATAACATCTCTGAAAACTACACAACTATTGGTAGAATGGTTCCAAGAGTTGTGCCACCTGCAATACTGCCTGCCCTTGAGCTCTTCTGGCTTGGGTATCCTGTGGGGTGTCTCTTGCCTTTTGCAGCAACATTTCATCAAATAAAGCATCCACCTTGGTTAGATCAAAGGAATAAACCTTGTTCTGTGTTGGTTTGCTCGGGACAAATCCTCCTGTGAAAGGTGGTGGCTTCTGATCCTTTGGTGGCTTAGTAAGGGCCTTACAGCTGATGGGATGTTTCAACTTTGCCATTTCTGTTATTGCAACTTCTCCCTCCTCTAAGCATTCTGCTTCCTCTTCTGATTCTACCTGAACTAGATGTATTGAAGAGGAAGGTGACTTGTAATACGTGCCTTTGGATGAGTTCCTCTTCTGCTGTTCTTCCCTAAGTAGTTCCTCATACTTGGATGCTTTATTTGCCAATTCTGCCAGGTCTCCAAACAGCATCCCATCAAATCTTTTTCTCAGAGAGATCTTGAGGGCAGCTTGGGCTATCTGGATGAAGTGTCTTTCTTCCATAGGGATTCGACACTTCATTTTGAGCTTCCTGAACCTGGTTATGAAGTCTCGAGCATGTTCATCTTCACTCTGTTTGAGGGCAGCAAGGTCACTTATGATGACTTCTAGCTGAATCCTGTAATAATAGTTGTGGAAAACACTTTCCATCTGCTCCCAAGTTTGAACAGAATTAGCTGGCAGGTTCGTGTACCAAGTAAAAGCTTGTCCAGAGAGAGAATTGAAGAAAAGCCTCAACTTTAAAAGAGGATTGTTCTCTATGGCTATGCACTGGACAGAGAACCTGCCTATGTGCTCAACTGATGAAGCATAGGGATCCTCTCCGTTGAATAAGGTGAAGTTTGGCACTTTAAAACCCGGGGATAGAGGTATTTGATCGATATAAGCCGGATATGGCTTCCTATAGGTGGGCCTTTCTCCTCTTATGGCTTCAGGCTCCAATCTCTCTAATCATCATTTGTAATGCCCCCACGTCATTTAGAGCATTGACAGGGTGGTGATTTCGCTCCTGTTCTGGCTGGGCGTGATCAATCCTGGGCTCCGCTTTGTATGGCCTGGGCAGAACTTTCTCCCTGTGTTCTTCCTGTTCTTCCAAATTTGGATTATTCCTCCAGTTTGCCCCCAGCCTGTTCCTGTCATTGTTGGCGAAAAGGTTATTACCCCTTCCACCTCTTCTGCCTCTTGCAGGTGGAGGGAATGGATTGGGATCCATCCTTCTGGGTCTATAAGGCAACACTGCTGGTGGCTCAGGCAGAAGTGCCAAAGGTTGATCCTGTGGAATAGGGTGAGGTTCTGGCTGGTTCTGTTGCATCTGAACTGGTGCAGGGCCTTCTGGCCGAGCTGGGGCCTCACATTCTTGGACAGGAAGGGCTCCTCCCCTTTGTCCAGCCTGAATTTCCCCACGTTCTGGCATCCCAGCTATCTGTGCACTAAGAGGATTCTCTTGATATGGCCATGTCAATCCTGGTGAGGGGACCATAGGGAAGGTCTAGCTGCTGGACTACAACATCCGGATTTGGAATTCTGGCTATGGCAGCCTCACGGTCCTTCCTGAACTGCTTGTTGACCTGCCATTGCATCATGGCTGTCATATTATTGAGAGTGTCTTGGCTCCTTTGTGTTGTGACTTCTTGTCGCAACACAGATTCCTGAATCAGGTTCATCCTTCTGGAGCCAGTCCTGGACCTTCTACCCCCTGTGCTGCCGTGTGCTGAGTGCCTGGCATCACTTTCCTTTGACTCCAGTCCTTCCCTGAGAGCCACCTGGTTTATCTCCGTGGCGTGATGTGGGTTCCGGCTAGAGCTTCCAATATTCATAAAACTTGAGAGGAATTCTGTGAGAACATGTATACTGAGAAGTCCCACTGGGCGTGCCAAATTATTCACCCGTTTTGTGATCACTCCTGTGGTGGAAGGGCAAAGTTCCCTACTGCCTTGTGAACCATTGGCTGGTCAGCAAGTCAGCTTTCTTTGGTGTATGAGCGTGTCACTACTAGCAATTAAGATTCTAGTAGACTTATTCTAGAATAGATAACTTGCGCCCCAAGTTACTGATTTCCATAAACAAGCGATTGTGAATTTGGGTGAGGAATATCTCCCAAGTAAATTCTTTTCTTGCCTCAGACTGGTGAGGACTTTAACAATTTATCTCAGTATAAAGAGGTTGTTCTGGCCAGAATGGTTGATGGAATTTAAGCTGTCTTAGGCAAAACTGCCTTTTACAAAACTATAAACATAAATATCCAAGCTAGAAAGAAGAAAGGACAGTTGGAACTTCATTTCTGCCTAGATAGAGGGTTCTGATCCGGGCTGGTTTGGAAATATCTGGGCTGGACTGGACTGTTATCAACTTCTGTTGCTAAGCTTCAGCTGTAGATCGATACCAAAGGTTAATTTTGGTAGAGCTTTAATACACTTCAAGCTTTTGTGAGGCTTCTGAGTGGGCAGAACTGTGGCTTCTTTAGTCTGTAAGGGCAGAAGTGGTTGTTCTCGAGGACTTCAGTGGGCTAAAGACTGCACTGTAAAATTTGTTGAGGTTTTCATGTTTGGGAAAAAATCAAGCTCCACCTGTCTTGGTTTTTGCTAAACCAAATTTGTAACGAGAGAAATCTTGTTTTGAATGACTTATTTTCTAAGTCTGAGCCTTGGGAATTCTGATCTAAAGCTGGTTTTCACTTGGAATTCAAGTGAGCTTCTGGTTGATTTTGAGTTGTTTGTTTGATTGATGACTTGAATGTTTGATTCATTGTTGTTGAAATTGAGAGTCATTTTGCCCTGTTCACTCCTTCTTGTATTTATAAGAGATGTTATCTGGAGTAGGGCAATTCTTTTTAAATAATAGGCAGCAGTTTCTTAAAAAAGATCTTTCATTTTTAATTGTAAAGAAATGGGGTTTTGATCATTTTTTATAGATAAGCTCTCAATAGTCAGTTCTTAAGATCACTTCCCTGTTTTTCTTGAAAAAGAACCTAATCTCTTTTCCCAATTTTAACTGCCCCTTGTGAGATTTCATCCGTGATGGTTAGTTTGATTTCTTCAGTTTGAACAACTCCCTGCTTTCCTGCTTATCTCTTTCTGAGATTGTAGCTTGCTTATCTCTTGGGAGAATCACCTTTTCTGTAAAGTAGAAAAAATCTATGAATATATATATATATATGTGAGAGGGATTTGATCTTCAGATTTTCAGAGGTGTCTCCTCCAGTTTGCCAGCCACTGACCCTTCCATTTATCAACTCTGTGCTAGTTGGTTTTGTTGACTTTTCCAAACCTGATAATACAAAGATGTCACGTGGGTTCTAGGATGGGTCTCTTTCTTTATCCAAATCGTGTTGGGCTCATTTTGTTTGGAGCCCAATAGGTGATTTTCTTTTAAGGCCCGAGTCTATTGGTCTGGTTTGGGCTAGGCCTTTCTGGATCTTGGGTTTCCTCTTGTTGGGCTGGGCATGCTAATTTAGGCCCAAACAGACGCATAGCCTAGCTTGTTGGATTCCAATTACACAAAACGCAAGCAAAATTTAATAATAGTTACATCATCTCTTGTGAAATAATCTGAAAAAAAAATAACATTAGAACCAATATGTTCAACTAAGAACACAAATGTAATTCGAACCAGCAATTACAGAACTTCACCCAATATCCTCTCCAAACGCTTACTCCTAATGCCATTAAGCCTAAGTTTAGGATCTTTTACTTACATTTCATAATTTCCCACCCCCACCAAAAACAATCAACTAAATATATTGAATATTCATAAAATGACACATTATTGACGGCAGAAATGACGCATTATTGATGCCACAAATGATGAATTTCCCACCTTCACAAAAAAACAAACCAAACCCAATAAAATCAATCCAACAAGAGTGAACTTACCTCTCAAAGTCAATCGGGAGCTCCGAAGTCAGTCAGCTTGAGAGAATGTGGTGGACATTAGAGAAGACTCTTTGGTAGTGAAGACTCCATCTCCACCACAATCGAGGAACAATTGCTGCTGCAGCGTCTAGCTACAGAAAGAGATATGCAACTTTCCTTTCATCTAGAATCTCATCTGCTGAACGAAAAAGAGAATGGGTTCTCACTTGAGCCGTAGAATCAAAACAGGGCAATAGCTAGGTAAGAGTCATTAATCGTCATACCGAGGATACCATAGATCGTAGGCCTCCCAAGGAGATGATGATAATGGAGCGACTATAGGGTTTGGGAGCTTTGGATCTTTCTAATTGTGGGTTTGCGTTACATTCAAAAACAGAGGACTGAGGTTCTTGAGTTTTTCACAGAGAGGGAAAGATCTTCAACTGAAGTTGGGTTTCCAACAGGTCAAATTTGAACTCGGTTCTACATGCACCCTCTTTTAAAAACTCACCGTTGGATTTCATCTGACGGCTTTTACATACCCCGCAAAAACATCCCTTATAACTTCCCACTCGCTATAAACTCTCACAACTTTGAGGGGGGTAAATTAATGTTAGCCCAATAAAATATCATCCAAATTGATCTTTTATTATTTTTATTTTTTTAAATTTAATCCCTGTGTATATAACGGGCGACAAGGATGGCGAAGGACAACGCCCGCCACGCATAAAACTCAAGAGGAAGAGAGACTGCTCGATTTAAATTGAAATTGATCGTTTAAATTCAATATTTTCGTTCATTCATTCGAATATTGAAGCAGAAGAAAAAGAAGAAGAAGAAGAAGAATGGCGTTGAAATTTCTGAACAAGAAGGGATGGCACACAGGGAGCCTTCGGAACATAGAGAACGTGTGGAAGGCAGAACAAAAGCACGAGGCCGAGCAGAAGAAGTTGGACGAGCTCCGCAAACAGATCGTTGAAGAGCGCGAGCGCTCTGAGTTCCGCCTTCTCCAGGAGCAAGCCGGTCTCGTCCCGTAAGCAATTCTAATCTTATTTGTTTTTATTTCTTCTTAGGGTTTAGGTTTAGGGTTAGGGTTGGGGTCTTTGTTTTTTCTTCAAATTCGTCAATTAATCCCTAATCAACTGCAATTGATTGTTATTTGCAGGAGGCAAGAGCGGTTGGAGTTCTTATATGATTCGGGATTGGCCGTTGGGCGCCCTGGTGGTTCAGATAGTTTCAAAACCCTTGAAGCCTTACCCAAGACCGAAGAAGCTCCTTCCTCCTCTGCCGCCTCCAAGGTAATTGTATTTATGATCCTTAATTTCCCATTTGTGTATAAAATGTAGTGCAACTACAAAGTCATGTTTCTTATAATCCTTTGTGACTACTGATTCTCCAGCAGCAGGCATCAGCATCTGTGCCAGGAGCTCTGTTCGAAGAAAAGCCTCAATCTGCCAATGATGCTTGGAGGAAGCTCCACTCGGATCCTTTGCTTATGATTCGGCAGCGTGAGCAGGAAGCCCTTTCTCGTATTAAGAACAATCCTGTCCAGATGGCCATGATTCGCAAATCTGTAAGTTTGTCGTTTTTTACTTTTCTCTTACTCACTAATCAAGAATAAATTAGTTATGCCAGAGAGCATAGTTAGATATGACTTGATGATTTCAAATTCTGCCAATTATATAAATTTCTACCTCTCACTATACAGACAAAACAAAATCTGTAGATATAAAAATATGGTCACTGGCGCCATTTTGGTGTGCTGCATAGGTTTTAGGACCTGAAAGATAGGATTGGGGAATCATGATGTCTGATATGTGGAAGAAAAAGTAGTTTGTTGGGAAAATTAACGAGTTGGATGAGGAAGAAGTGTGTATAAAGGCAGGCTGCTGAGAAGAAAAATGATTTAACTGGCTCAGAGAGGATGGAAGTTTGAAGAAAAAAACAGGGAGAAGAAGAAAAGAGTATAGCTAAGACCAGAACTTTTTAGTGTAAACTAAATGCTCCCCCCAGAGAGCATTTCTGGACCAACCATTCACGAGGAGCTGATGCAGAAGTTAAGGGTGTTAATGGAATTAAATTAACTTGATTGTAGTAATGGGGTAGTTTTTATTTAAGTGATGCAGGTGCAGCCGTGGCTTGGTTAGACAAGACTTGTTAGTTACAGAAATCTTTAGCTAGCCTCTTATTCTGAGGAAAGATCTTTGTGTCCCTTGGATCATGACCTCAATAGACCTATAAGTCTTCACCATTTCTTTTTAACTTGAGTGAATAATTAGAGTTCTTCTAGCAGTAACTTCAAACAGCTGTAGCTGGGTTTCTGTTCACGTGGCATGGTTTGCACCCACAGTTTACACCACAATATCATTTTATTGCTAAGGTTTTTTTGGGTCTTTTGCTGGGTTTATCAGGGTTTTAGCAGATGTCTTTTATTAGTTTAAGAGAATGTTTGACTGTATATGCTGATCAATTTTTTTTCTCAATAAAAGGTTGAAGCAAAGAAGCCCGCAGAGAAACTGCATGAAAAGAAGGAACATCAGAAGAAGAAGCACCATACTGGTGCTTCAAAGCATAGCAAACATTCATCATCCATACAAGCATCAGATTCAGAAAATGACACTGCTGAAGTGGAAAGGAGGAAGAGTGGTCATCGTAAGATATCAAAGTATGTTAGGCATTCAGATTCGGAAGATGAATCACGTAAAAGAGCACGTCGACGTGAGAACACTTTCAAGCATTCAGATTCAGAAGATGAATCACGTATCAGAGCGCATCGAAGTGGGAAGAACCCTGTTAAGCATTCAGATTCCGAAGATGAATTCCGTGACAGAACACGGAGAAGTGAGAAGAACCATGTTAAACATTCAGATTTAGAAAATGAATCACATAACAGAGCACGTCGAAGTGGTAAGAATCCTGTTAACCATTCAGTTTCCGAAGATGAATCGCATTACAGAGCACAGAGAAGTGAGAAGAACCATGTTAAACATTCAGATTTAGAAGATGAATCACATAACACAGCACGCCGAAGTGGGAAGAATCCTGTTAACCATTCAGATTCCGAAGATGAATTGCGTTACAAAGCACGGAGAAGTGAGAAGAACCATGTTAAGCATTCAGGTTCAGAAGATGTATCACGTAACAGAGCACATCGAAGTGGGAAGAACCCTGTTAAGCATTCGGATTCTGAAGATGAATCCCGTTACAGAGCACAGCGAAGTGAGAAGAACCGCGTTAAACATTCAGATTCAGAAGATGAATCACGTAAAAGATTAGGTCGAAGAGAGAAAAACCTTGTTAAGCATTCAGATTCGGAAGATGAATCGCGTAACAGAGCACGCCGAAGTGAGAAGAATCAGTCCATAAAAATTGGAAGAGATGATGAAGCCAAGGGAAAACATGAGAATTTAGAACTAGAAAAATACCCCATGAAAGGTCGGAATGAATCACACTACAAGCGTCGAAATGTTGCTCCTAAACTTTCAGAAGAAGAAAGAGCTGCTAGGCTAAAGGAGATGCAAATAGATGCTGAGTTGCATGAAGAGCAAAGATGGAAACGATTGAAAAAGGCCGAGGAGAATGATGCACTGGAAGCTACCCAGGTTGTCAAATCCAGTGGCAAGAACTTCTTGGATGCTGTTCAAACTAGTGTGTATGGTGCTGAGAGGGGAGGAAGCTCAACAATTGAGGAGAGTGTACGTCGCCGAACACATTATTTGCAGGGCAGATCTGAAGCAAGTGAACGCAATGCTTTTCGCCGGTAATGCTGTTGTGTTTTGTTGTTTATCTAGTTCCATTAATCCAGGTGTTCTATACTTTTACCCCATTGTTCTGCGTATGTTTTCATATAACAATAGTTGTTTCCTCTCCATGTGTAATGATTGTTGTTGAATGTTAAGTTGCACAAAATGATCGAATTTTTTTTTTCTTTATTATCTATTTTTAATTAAATGGAAAAGAAAGATATTAATCAATTGCTCCGCCCAAACATAATTCGGGCCTCTTCATGAGCAAAAGAAGCCATGACCTCCTCCTCATCTATCTTTTAACTGCAAAATGCAGGGAATTTACCTAATTACATGTGAGAAGGGTCAAAGGGGGCATGCAATTATGATATTGTAGTAATCTGCTCATCATCCAAACATAATTAGCCTCTTCAATCTTTGAATAAAAATGGGAGCCCTTATCCAATCATGGCGTTGTTATATGCCCCTTCAATCTTTATCTCTCTTATATCAAATGTTTTTAATAAAAAGGAAAATCACAGGTTTAAATATAAAACAGAAATCGTGAAGTTACTGGCTTGCAGGCAACTTAAGACCAAAGCAAATTCCTACGGAAGGTTTTTCCATTCTTTGCACCAATAAAGTGGGAATTGAAAATAAGATTCTGCACATTATTGGGTTAAATTAAAACATTAAAAAAATTGCTCTCAAAACTCAAACGTAGGTTTAGAAACCCATGATCATAATCAATTTGTTAGTGTACAACGGTACAAGATGTACATGACCAACACTGCTTTACGTGGCCGGCCTCGCCTCAGTCCAGGCCTAAGGTCAAGACATCAGGGAGAATTAGTAAAACCCCAGTAAAAACTTCCGAGTTTTTCACCAAGAACCTAGGAAATACTCTTATGCGACCCTAAATGGGACTTTTTGATGAGTTTTTGGGGCTTTAGTGAGGGCTTACTGCTAAAAGTCTCAAAAAATTGAGGGTTTGAAACAAAACAACAACAAAAGTTGAGGGCTTAAAAATATTTATGACAAAACGTGTTGCTCTGGGGACCTACTTAAAAACCCCTTCTTTTTCTCATTTCAACATTATCATTACAATACTCCGAATAATTTCAGTCTGATTTTGTAAACGTAAGGAATCTGGAAGCTATTTTACATGTGATTAGTATCACAAGTGTTATACAAGTCATTGTTCAGAAGCATCACCATGGATTTCTGAGCGCATCTGCTCTACAAGTATTTCTTCAATAGCATCCACAAAACTCGATAGAGTCTGCCGAATTCGTAGAGCCAACGAATTTGCCAATTCCTAAACAATCAACAATTATGCAACCAAAAGAATTTAAGGGAAAAGTTCAGCAAAAAAGAACCAGGCATTGCAGTGGACTTTACCATTTTTTATTTTATTTTGTGAAATTTTGAATTTATACATGTAACAGAAAGACATGACACTAGGATCCAAAAGAGAGCGCAAGAAAACATAATGCACAATTATTTGAGAAAACACATAGTACGAAGAAACTATTATTGTAGAGACAATACATGAATGTCTGCAAGAACAATTACATGCTTAGAGGATCTGAGTTTGCATCAACACTTAACCTTTCTTTCATATTATTGAAAATAATAAACTTGTATGAAATCTAATAGCTTTTTTTGTATGAACAATTCACATTTTTGTATATTTTTATATAAGCTCAAACCGGTTCAAAAGAAACCAAAATATCCAAATTTTAAGCTCACCAGGCATGCTTGCAACTGCCATCAATTTGATGCAATTTCTCAAATATACACGAAATAGTCAACAGCATTGTAAACAACGATCTGTCAGTTTTTCACCCTAGCATTTCTGCATACGTATTTTCTTATTGTTCTTACATTTTTAATGTATACTGCTTTTGTAGTTTGGTTGTCCCTTGCTAAAAATAACAAATTATTGCACTATCCAAGAAAATCTATATAAAAAACTCCACGATTAAATTATGCTGTTTATTTACTTTTCCATCCAGGAACCAGATCTTAATACAAAACGGTCGGCATGCATGCTTATGACACGAAGACAGCATATTAGAACAAAATTAATTGGAGATAACATAAAATATAACTACTTGATTTAGGTGACTTCGAGATATAAACTTCATGGGCAAATTGATGCATTCCAAATGAGTCTTTCAACAGAGGAGAATTTGAAAGTAGATATATCCACCCCGACGTAAGGAAACTAGTAAGAGATAAGGAGGTGTACACTGACCTGAACCTTGCACAGAAAACTTAAAGAAATTCCCTTTGAATGTTGATCAGAGCTCTTGAGGTATATCAGTTTCAATGGAGAACTTAACAATGGCCAACCTTGAGGGACCTTGATGAATGCATCAACTCCTCCAACCACATGAGCCACTACTGTCTCATCTTTATCCAAGTACTCCAATGAGTGTCTGCACGGATTGATGCATTCCAAATGAAAACATTTGGATTTACTACGCTTTTGGTAATGAGCCCTTATATAATACTATTTGGAATCATTATTAAAAATATGGAATACAATTATCTTGGAAAATATTTAAGAGCATAATGAATGCATACACCAAAATTGCTAAGGAAAATGTCTCACCTTGATTTGTTTGCATTTTTTACCACTAGTCGCCTCATGGTGCATAGAACTATTCTGTCTTGCACTTTTGTTACAAACCACTGCAATGAAGATTTCCTGCAAAGTGCATTTCATGAACTCAATAAAACAATATACTGAATATGTTTTGTTTTTCATAAATAGCACCTTTTGTAGAAAAGTAATCAGAAATAAGGTCACCAAGTATATAATTATTCATAAGAATATTGAAATAAACCCTGCACTCACGCCCATATTCAGCAGATAGAAGAACATGAGCCAATTGAGCAATTATAGAAAGATAGAAAAACAAACAACTACTATCTGATCATATGACAGGAATCAAGTTGAGAGAGCACATAATTCAAAAGAAATGTCAAAGATTAAAAAAATAAAAACCTTTAGAGAGAGAAAACCTATTAAAAATATGACTAGATAATACAAGTGTGCGTGTGTGTTGTGATTGGCTCGATAGTTTCTGCTGTCTGCCAGGTCCTGAATTCAATCATGGAAATCTGTCCTTTATTTTAGAGGGATTTGTTTGCTAAATGCCTTTTAATTATTGAGGCGCTACCAATTGCAGTAGAGGAAATATTTTTTTTAAAACAAAAACAAAGGAATAGCATGAAGACAACAACAAAGAAAGAAACAAATTTTAGAAATCATAAGACGGCTACTGGAAAAACAAACCTCAAAGACTTTGCAGCATCAAGAATATCGTTTATGTATACATCATTTGGAAAAATCTGGAAAAATGAGATAACATCATCAATGTATTTAAAAAATCCAGAGTATAGTGCTCATAAGAAATTCGAGAGCAGTACCAACTCATTTAAAAGATGCACAGGGTGTTGAGCTTACTTCTTTCTTCATTGTCATGTCACAATGAAAAAATACTAACCCCATCCACCTTTGACAAAGCAAAAAAGAAAAAGAAACATAATTGCAATTTCATCCCTCTATGAAATTACGTGAGAGAACAATTTTTTATTTTTTTTGGAAGGGGCATTGAAGGGGCTGGCATGGCATCACCCTTGGGTGGAGCACTGCAATGTCAGCCCAAGCCATGTAGGCACTGCCAACAGTGGCCAGCACCTGCCACCATGGTTCAGCAACAGATGGGCACATCCCATGAGTGCTATATTGTCTTTGATGTTATAGTAATACCTCTAATTCTAAGCTTTATTAAACAATGACACCAATGAAGAAAGATTTCCTGAGATAATCATGTTTTGATACCTCAACATTCCTTAAACCCATAGTCCCCTCCAGAAGTTCAATTAGCAGCTCATGATATACTTCAGATGGCTCAGTGGCATCTCCAACTTTTTTTGGGGAGAATGGGTCTTCCAACTTTGGAATGTATGTCCTAAGTGACAACCTAACGCAGTTTCCCTCAAAAGCAATGACCTTAAGACCTGTAACTGCATCCTCAATCTGTTCTGTGTTGTCAAGCCTACATCAATCAAACAAAAAAACTAAAAGTATAAGAGAATAACTCTATAACAAGCTAAATGAAATACACACACACACACAAAATAAGGTCAAAGTGGCATAATTACCATTTAAGTGTACATTCTAAATCCTGTAAAGACTTCAAAATTATGTTGTTCTTCTCAATCTGATTTTCAAGTTCCAGTAGCTGCAAGTTAAACACAAGATATCTTAAAACGGTAAAAAGGTTATGGAAATTTCTTTAACAAGCTAACTCCTTACATAAGAATCAAGACCCTCAAAATGTCTGTATGTATTATTTCAGCCTTAACTAATATAATACCCTAGAAGCAAACAGTATTGGATAATATGATTTTGAATGAAACCTCAAACTTGTCTGCATTCACATTCATCGGATCCAACAGATCTTTCCCACATTTATGGTAATCAACATCTGCACCCAGTTTTGCTTTCTCCAGATCCTACAAATGGTACACATCTATTATCTTGAAAGATTTCATATGTGATTTCCAAATAAAATTCAAACATTCCCAACTTATGGAAATAAAGATATCATATACAACCTGGGGGGTGAGGTAGTCAAGCAAAAGTGAGAAAATGAAAAGAACATAGAAACAACCAACAAGGGATCACATAATGTGCAGATTACTACACCATGGAAATCTGGGAACTTTCAACAACTGTAACATTAAAGGGATAAAGGGATAAATTACAACATGTGTATGCATCAGATAACTGTAATTAAATTCAAACCCATTTGTATCAAACAAATTACAACATGTGTATACATCAGATAACTGATCCAAAAAAACTAATATTGTTTCACCAACGGAAAACCAACCTTTTCTTCAACAAAATCTAATGAACATTTCAACCGTGCAAGATCAGTGCCAAGTCGATTAAAATCTGCATATACAAAAGAAAAGGTCGGGAAAAAAAACATCATACATTAAATATCAATGCACATTGGCATGGAACACTAAAGACTGAGTCTTCACCTTCCCCATGGGTTCGAATGAGACCCTCAATTTCATTTGAGACCTTGGTGCTCTCAGCCTCCACAGAGTTGAGCTCCTGCTCAAAACGTCCTAAGTATGCTTCTAACAAAAATTGGACAAATCCCATAGTGCAGTAAGTTCTAGTACTAAATGTCACAAACCCACTAGCAAAATCGATTGCCCAGTAAAGAAAAACACAGTGACAGAGAGATTAAAGGAGAAGTTACCAAATTCTTGATCCTCTAAGAGACCAACATCAGAGCATTCTGATACTATCTGTTCAACTCTGCTCTGCACATTCACATGGAGAGTTAGGGAAATGCAAGGAATTGTGCAAATTGGACGAAAAAGTGGATTAATTTCAAAGAAAACCTGGAGGAGGAGACCGCAGTTTCTGATTAAATCATCAGAATCTGAAGGGGATAATTCTGAGGCATCGTCTTGGCGACAACTTTCGATAATCTCTTCCAGCTCTCTCACTTGTCTTCAAATTTAAACACAAAATAAACAATAATTCAGAAAATAAACAAAAAAGTAAATCCAATATACACAGACAGACAGACAGACAGATACCTCTGAATGGTGTTAAGGTCGAGTGGTTCTGAAGAAGGAATTTGGTCTTCTTCCATGTTCTTTTCTCTCTCTTTTGCTCCCGCCCTGTGTACTGTGTACACCGAAATGCAGCAAGCGAAATTCAAAATTAGAGAGAGAGAGAGAGAGAGAGAGAGAGAGAATTTACTTAAAAATCTGCCAATTTTTGGGCTTGGGTGGAAATTTGGGCCGACCAGTTGGACTTAGAATCCAGAAGCCGAACTTTCTTTTGATCCAATTTTGCCTTTTCTTTATCCAATTTATCCCCTATTTCTTATACAATCTTAAATCAATAATAAATGGGGTTCCAGCACTACTTGATCCATAAATTTTTATTTTATATTTTTTTTTATACAAGTGACATTGGGGAGTGGGAATCGAACATAAGACTTTAGGTGTATGGGTAAATGCTCTTTACCACTTGAGCTACAAGACTTCAGAAAAACTAGTTAAACGTCACTGAACGGCCTTGGTTTAGTTTTTTTTCCTTCTTTTTTTTTTTTTTTTTTTTTTTTTGGCAGTTAGAAGCGGGCATTCAAACTTAAATATCTCAAGTAACATTGAGAAGAAAAGTATGACTAGATTGAGACACAATTGCAACTTGCAACAGTAAGGGAATTTCCATTTATATTGAATGCCAATTACATTGTCTAAAAATGTTGGAAGACTACTCGTCTCAGCCTTCTCAACTGTTCTACCTGTAACTCCAAACTGTGTCAGGAAGCTAATGATAACAAGATCTAGAAGCCTAATTTCAAAAGTAAGTCTCAAAAAAAGACCCTCCGAGAGGAAAACAACTGAACTAGTCCATACAAGTTTTAAAAGAAAGTTCAATAACTGTAACTGTAGAGACTTGATAAACCAATGTTCTCTTCACTGGAAGCCTAGGATCGCAGCTGTGGAACAGCCAGAAGAATTACCATAAGAAGGGGCAGCTGAATCAGTGTGCCATATCAACTCACAATGCCTAAGAATTCACACCTTTCCTAGGAGCTTATCAGTTTAATGACCTGCTTCGTTTCCTGCATAAAGTGACAATAATATGCATCAGACTAAACTAGGATTGATGGTCACCTTCCTTCATATCCAACACTAGGATCTAGTGAATGAACAAATATGCAGAAAAAGCTTCTAGTTTGATAATTCAAAATCTTCATTTACTGAATTTTCAACCAAATAAGAAAAAGAGCAGTTCATAAGTTGGAACAAATATGCACAGAGAGAGAGAGAGAGAGAGAGAGAGTTTCATGCAGTCAAAATCTTCATCGATTGCATTTTCTACCAAGTAAACAAATGATGAGTTCACAAATTGGAAACGATACCTAAATTATTGCTTTTTCTAGTTTACTGAAAAATAAAGGAAAATAAAAGCATTTTGATCATTAATTTTATATCATACAAGAAAGCTGAGAAAAACAAGAACACAGTTACAACACCTCTAGAACTTCGCCACTAGGAGGTACATAATCCATTTAACTGCTGTTTGGAAGGTAGATCCTGAGGATATCTCGCTTTCTAAGTTTATGCCTGCAGGTAGGGCATTTGTGTTGAGTAGCTATGGCTTTCTCAATGCACTTCTTGCAGAAGATGTGACCACACTTTGTCGATGTTTCTTCAATCAACTGGCCTATGCAGATTGCACAAGTGAAACCAGGTGCCTCTGGCAGGAACTCACTCTGGGGCACAACTGGAGGCACGGGAACATTAGTTGCCTGCCATCAGAAACTTCCAAGCTTAGTTCCAGAAATTTGCACCAATCTGCTGGTTAGATATACATAATTAACAGTTTCATGCATACTACTCATAACTTCAACATGAGCTGTTAAAAGAAGTGCCAGATAAGTTCTTCAAAATAATTTGGAGGAGTCCGATAAACACTTTCTTGTCTTTCAAAGACAAATTACCAAACAAAAAATCTGGCATCTAACCAAATATGTCAGAGATCTGCAACTATATGCCACTACTATGCAAAGGTAAAAAAGAAAAAACAAATAAGAAATGAACATTTAAGTAATTTAAACTTCAAAAAAAGTTGTTTGAAGCTTCAAATTAAATCAGGTGTCATCCCCACTGAAGGTTGACATGTGATCAGTTGAAAAGTAGGATGTTCAAATTCAATCTTCTTTTTTTGGCTATTTTATACATGAAACATATGTATGTTCTTAGTGATGTTATTTAGTAGCTGTATCATATATGCAACAGAAGTGCCAATGTGCTACTCTATATAAAGTGAGAAGAGAAGTGGACATACTAAAGCAAGGAAATAGCATCATAAGAACTTAGGGAAGATTCTTACAGTATATTCTGGTTTGTTATGCACAGTATCCTCTGGTTTGTTACGAACATCAACATTGACCGAAACCTCCCAGTTGGAAGCTCCAAGTTGGCTAAAGGCACGGAAATTTGCCAATTCTGTTGATAGTAGATTAAAAGGTCAAGTGCAACCAAGAAAACTTCAATAAGACATAATTTACATTGTACATCCAACATCCTTCAATTTTGCAGAAATGGGTAGGAAAAGAATTCACCTTAAAGTATTTAATTAAACTATGAAAAAGTTTAGACTATCAAGAGAGACACTAAACAGAGAACCTTGGTAACACGACCAAAACAGAATAACAGTTAACTACCTACGTGAACTGTTATTTTAACAGAATAAAAGAACTAAATAGTCTACACTAATGTTAAAGAGTCCATAAGTAGAGTGGACCCTTAACTGAAAAAGAAGTAAATATCAAAAGCATGGTTCCAACTGAGGGGCATAGCTCAAGAAATATATTGAAAAAATAACATTCCAGAGACACATAATCCCCTACAAAGCTGTGGTCTCTTGCAAGCAACATGATGATGAGAATGTAAAGAATTAATCAGTAGTGGAGCGCAACTGTCTGAATTTGATGCTTGGATAATGTAAGAAGTACATGCAGAAGGGAAAACATTAATAAACCTGAGAGCCTGGTATAGAATTCTGCACCTTCAGAAAGACCTTCTATGACTCTACGGCTTCTCCGAGAAGGATTTCGTCGTGAATTATTCGTGGCCTAAAACGAGTTGACACCAGAAAATTAAAATCAACTTTAAGCATTTTTCATATAAGATTCAATATTAGAGATAAACATCATACTTCTGCAAATTTCCTTGGTGAGATTATAACAACTTCATCATCCACAAAATCCGCAGCAGCTGTAGCTTGTCCTTGATAATGCCCAATTCCTTGAACTTGTAGTCCCAAGGGACCAGTTAGAGCCATGTTCTCATTAGGAGGCGGATAATTAAGGTCCAAATCTATTATCCTTCCCATTGCAACATCTCTCACATTCCACCGTTGAAATTCACTAGATCCTTCTATGCTCATGCTAACAAGCTGATTTATCAGTTTTGAAACAAAAACCTGAACATTCAGAAAGAAATTTTAATTTGAGATAACCAGTTCTGAGTTCACAAACAAATTTTCCCTGATGTTATCTAGTTACTGAGGAAAAAAAAAAAGGGGTCTCAAACATTGGTCTTAACAATTAAAAAAATATCACTTACACTATTTTATCTTTTTTGCTAAGAACTTACAAAAATCTTTACATCGTTTTTGTTCTTGAACATGAGAAGAAAAATTCATCAGAATGCATCCAAATTGTAAAAATAAAAAAAAATAAAAAGTATATTCCCTAGAAGATTTGGCCCCTTCTCTTTTTCCCCACAAGAAAATATCCACCATGTCAAAAACACAATTCACAAACTTAAACCACCTCTACCCCAAAAACATATTCTCTAGCTTGAATTCTGCTTTTGTATACAAAAATCAATCAGCCAACATGGCAAACAGACTAACATAAGATAATACAATGAAAGCAATAGCCGTAGCACACACACATACATACAAAAACACATATATTTCAGATTTTTTTTTTAAATATACATCAAAATAGATCAAATAACGAATAAATCAAAACCCAAAACCCAAAATTTCCAAAGACAAAACTAAAAACTAAAAAGAGGGAGAAAAAAAAAAAGAAGCAAACCCAACAAATACATAGAAGAAAAAGAAGAAGAAGAACCCATACCTCTGGTGTGTAGAGAGAGAAATTCAATGTGAAAGAACGCCCAATAGAGAGAGCGGTGGATGAGACGGGAGGATAATATATTGAGCAAAGTGTTGGCCTCTCTTGCTTTCTTGGTATTACAAAACCCATATACTTTTTTAGGAAACAAAATCAATGTTTACAGCTTAGTCTTATTCTCTCCTCCATTTTAATTAATTGGTTCTTTGAACAGTTTTTGGGAATTTTTTTGGGTTTCCGTTTCAGTGTCTTCTCGCTTCTCATTGTCCCTTTCCTGTTTTCTTCTTCCCGCTCTTCAGCGCATTGTAACGCTGCTGCAGTTTTGAAATTGGATTGTCAAAGCCATTCGGCTCGGGCTTGGTGTTCAGAATGGGCCGGAAATATGGGCTTCAGCTGAGTTTATTACCTAATGGATCAATCTGAGGTACTGTAACAGGTCGATGTGTCCAGTTATGGGAGTTTCGTTTCTAAGAAGTCCATTTTGTGAACTAAATGAATTCAAAAGGAAATTATACTAGTAAGGGACTTATAGCTCAAGTTGTTAAGTATTTACTCATGCATCTGAGATCTTATGTTGGATTCCTCTTTTACCAATATCGCTTGTTTAAAAAAAAAAAATTAAAAAATTAAAATTAGGATCCTACATTCTACTTTTTGCACCCAACAATGATTCTGCAACTTTTAAAACCCAGCTTTGCCCTCTCAACAAATTTTAGAAAAGAAAAAGTGGCACTTATTAGGAATGAAAAATGTCATGAATCGGAAACCAAAAAGTAGGAGTTTTTGATTAATGAGTTTTTATTTTATTGCCAAATCCATAGCCAAGCCCAACAAACCCACCACTTATTGTCGAACCCTTAATTGATAAGCGACAAAGGTAAGGAACTTTGCTTATAAAATCCTATGAAAAAAATGAGGTTTTTGTCGATGTGAGACAAAAAGCATTGCATTGGCTTTCAAACAACAACATTTACAAAAGAGGAGGCATCCTTTTCCAATTATGTAGGACAGTTACATAAGAATAATTTTGTTCATTCTTTAGCAACATAACATGTCCTTGCTATAAGAACTTCAAAATATTTCGTTAGCACTTTTTAACATAATTAAATATTATTTTATTTTATAGCAAATTAGTATTGAATTGGCAAAGAAAAAGATATGGCGCGATACACAAAACAAAGTACATGATTTACATAAAGGGAGTTGTTACTAATACTCCAAGAAAATCATCATGCACTTCCATCATGCACTCCTTGTAAAAACACAAAGGAATTGCACTTGTACATAATGACTATTTTGGAGTGCGAATAATTTTGGCTATATAAATTGTTCACATGTAAAAAAAATTAAAACAAAATCATCTAAAAACTACAAATTATTCAAATAAAATTGCATATTGCTAAAGGGCTGTAATCTGGAATGTCATTGGGGCGGCAGTATCGGTACTACATCATAGCCTGCATCATCTGTCATCTGAGCCTGAAACTGTCCAAACTATCAACAGAAGCTTTGAGAGCAGCGGAAATCTCCTCCTCTTGCACCGTGGATCGCAGCGGTTCTGTGTGAAGATCAACCAAAACCTCTGTGCATGCAAAACAAATGGTCATGAACACGCCCAATGGTTCCAGGGGAAGTTTGTCACAGTTAGGAACATTGGTTTTCATTCGTTTTTGCAAAAGTTAGGAAGTTTTTTGGTTAGGTATAGGCAAAAATAATAGACAGATATTCGTATAGAAAAATTATAATACGTAGTACCTAAATTTGCTCAATCTTCCAATGCCCGAAGGACCAAACCCAGACGGCCTGATCTCATTGTCATAGTTTGTGATGTTTGTTGACACCAAGATTGGCCTCACCAACCCTTTGAGGCAAGATCCCCCAACTTAGTTATTAGACATCCCTTGCCATACCTTGCCCCTGCCGCCATGCGAACTACCAGTATGATTACAATCAAGCAAACTACCTACCACTACTTGGACTACAAAATGGAGGTGATCTCCAAGCTCTCTCTTTTACAAAGGCTCTCAAGCCTCTCTCTTTTACAAATGGCTCTCAAGCCTCTCTCTCAATTTAACAATATGTAAACCTCCATAGAGAAATAGAAATAGAAAACACAAAAGCTCCAAAGTGGATGTAGCCTAATTATAGGTGAACCACTCAAAATCATGTGTTTATGTGTGTGATTGTGATTTTCCTCTCTAATGATGGTGATCCAAAAATCTCCATCAACACTGTTGATATATGCAAAAATAATAATAATATCATTCATATAGAAAATGTAAAACACATGTACCTCATATATCATTAAATATATTCCACATGCAAACTACTCTAGAAACAATAACTGAAGTTACATACATTGAAACTTTGCAAGTGCATGCCTGAAGAAATAGCATTGGTCCAAACAACCTGTTTTACAAGTGCGCATGGAAGATAGCGTAATCGGGCACCTCATAATCTAGTAGCGTAGAAAATAGAAGCTTGCAGCTCTATATTTGCAGTCTATTTAGCATGAAAAGTAAACAGTAGCTTTCAGCTCTTTGTGATGTATTTATGGCATGCAATTAATATAAGACCAATAAGATATTAGGCAAAGAATATAAAAGACCGCCTTACGTTGATGGACAGAAACAGAAGGGAAAGGTAAGATGATGAATAGGTGCATGATATATGCAACCAGCCTAGCTAGTGGCTTGGGAAGCCACATTAACTAAAATCTAAATTGATTTATGAAAGCACCATTCGTCTCTATTGAGAAGAAGAGGTTAATAGAAAATATGCAAACTACGATAAAGTTGGTTTCCAACAAGTCAAAAAGGGAAAATAGAAGAATGGTAATATCATGTTTGATAGAAATTAAATCTTTTTCTTCTGTTCTTCCGGCCAGGAGATAGAAACGAAATTATACGCAAGTGCAACAAATTTAAAAATGTTATATGGATCAGGATTCTCACCAACTCAGGCCTTGAGTGAAAAAGGACGGTCAAAATTCTTGTTCCAATAGCATCGAGAGTTGGATTATACAACCTTCAAGAGGGAAAAAAGTTGACCCAAAAAAAAACAGGGTCAAAGATCCAAGCATAAGTTGTAGAATTGTCTGACAAAGGTTCCAAGTATCTACAAGCACTTCAATCAATACGGCAAGAAGTCAACACACCATGATGCATTGAATTTGGAGTATGCAATAAAGTTCAAAGCTAACCATCCTTGTCAATGAGAAAATCATCATGCTTGGGAGATGAATAATTATACTCAGATTCCATCAATGTCAAACGCAAGTAGGTTAGTATCTGGAACATAACCAGCGAGTTTCAATTGGACGAACATGTTGTCCAGCATCAAATATATATTATCTGATTCAGAATGTGATTTGCCAAAAGCAGCGAACTCAAAAATTGCACCATTGACTTCTATCCAGCTATACCCTGTTATCTTTTCAACACGTTTCCCTTTCATGAGCTTCCTTATGCCAGCAGCTATTTCCCATTTTTTCCATGTCGAGTACAAGTTTGACAAAAGTATGTATCGTCCACTGTGATTTGACTGCAGCTTGATCAGATGATTTCCTACAAGTTCCCCTAGCTCAAAATTCTTATGAATCACACAGGCACCAAGCAGAGCTCCCCATACACCAGCTGTTGGCAACATTGGCATCCCCTCAATCATTTTTCTTGCTTCTTCCAAGTACCCAGCTCTACCAAGTAAATCAACCATACAACCGTAGTGGTCTACAGTAGGCTCCAAATGAAAAACCTGCTTCATTGAACCAAAAAGCTTACGTCCCTCATCTACAAGACCTCCATGAGAACAAGCACTAAGAACACCAATGAAGGTTACTTCATTAGGTAGAACCCCACTCTGTAACATACGTGAGAAGAAGTTCAAAGCTTTTAAAGCATCCCCATCCATTGCCAACCCACTAATCATGGCAGTCCAAGTAAAGACGTCCTTGGTGGGCAACTTTCCAAAAACAGATAGAGCCTCATCAATACAACCACATTTTGCATACATATCTACTAATGCTGTTCCAAGTAACGAGTTCACTGGAATTTTATGCCTACATATGTAACCATGAACCAACTTTCCTTGATCTAGTGCCCCTAGGTGCGCACAAGAAGTAAGTACACTCGTGAATGTAGATTGGTTAGGTCTGATGCTCTCTGAAAGCATATATTTCAAGGCAAGCAATGCATCTTTATATTTGCTACATTGTGCAAAACCTGCGATCAAGGCACTCCAACAAACTACATTTTTAACTGGCATTTCATTAAAAACTTTACAAGCATCTTCATGGTAGCCGCACTTCATGTACATATCCAGAAGAGCGCTACCAACATAGGCATCCCATTGTACTCTACCTGCTTCCACATAGAACCCATGAACACACCGTCCAAACCAAATATCACCAGCCATTCCGGCAGCACAAAGAACACTAACAACTGTCACCTCATCGACCCTAATTCCCATCAATCTCATCTCCAAAAAACACTTGATTGCTTCCAGGCCACGACCGTTTTTCACATACCCGTCAATAAATGCAGTCCAAGCAACCACATCCTTGTGCGTACTTTCATCAAACACCTGGTTGGCAGACTCTAAATAGCCGCAACCAGAAAATGCAGATATCAATGAATTCCTCACAAATTGGTCAAAATTCAATCCAAACTTGACTATATGAGCGTAAAACTGAAATGGGTTTTCGTTTTCCAACTTGGAAAGGGCCTTGAGAAGCAAAGGGAAGGTGTGCTTGTCGGGAGCAATACCATTTGTGCGCATTTTTGAATAGGAAATGAGGGACCTGCGAGGTTCTGAACTCGTAGAGAATGATCTGATTATGGAATTCCATAACTGAGTGGTGGGTGCTTCTACCCCGTCGAAGAGCAGCGAAGTGTAGGCAAGATGGCTAGGTTGAGAGGCTGCAATGGAAGTAACAAGCTTGGCGAGGAAGAAAGGGTTTTGTGAGAGGCCAAAGGTGATGAGGAGGGAGTGGATTTGCTTCAAATGGCCAAAGGTCGTGTGCTTGTGAAACAGAGAGAGGATGATGTCACCGCCATGTAAAGGGTTGAACTTGCCAATGATGGTTCCCGACATTCAAATTCTCTTCTCCCAAAACCAAAAGCTTCTGAAGCTTTGGCTCTTCTTCCTGGGCTTATGCTCCTAAATGCCTTCGGTTCGGTTCTTATAAGGTGTAAGCATTTTATCTTTTAAATGATATTGCGTGAAACCATTTGAAGCTAACTAAATGATAGTTCTGCCGCACTCAATATGTGACAATGACAAAGTATATAATGGTTATAACTTGTAATTGAAATAAATGCACGGGACTCTGTGAATATTATACGAAAAATACTTAGAAAACAAATTAAGACGACTATAATCCTACACAGGCTATCCTAGCTAGCTAGTCAAATTGAGGTTAATTACGCTAATTCCCTAAACGCTTTGCTCATTCGTATTAAGCTTAGACTTTGGGCATGAACCGAACTGGAAAAACATCGAAGAGATAGACCTTGTGAGGTTGAGTTGGTCTAATGACCTGCAACGCCGATGAGAAAGGCTGTGTGGACAAAGTGGCATTGCAGCTTGAAAGCGGTGTGGTAAGCACTAGCCTGCAAGAAGATATCAAGGAGCCAGCAGAGGACGTCAAAGGATCCAGCAAGATTGAAAACACTCAATTCTTGATGGTTCTCGCAAGAGCAATCGTTGTATTTGCAGGTCCACATTGCAGTTCCACAGCAGCATCTATGAACATACGTAAAAGAAAACATAACAATTCTATAATTCAGTAAAACCATAGAGCTAACTTAGAATTGTGATTGGTGGTCTGGCCTACCAATGAACTTACATGGGAATGTTGGAGTAAGAAAAGGATCGGCGGCGTAGTGCAAAACGCAGTCCCTTGTATGTAGAACGCAACAACTAGGGACCTGGGGTCCTCATCAATATTGGCCTCAGCTTTTGTAACTGATGACTTGCAGAATTGCTGTGCACGCAATAACCAATTCTATGAGCCGCATTGACTCACCTACCTAGATCTGGAGTTCCGCCTCCTCCAAAAATAAGTGGTCATTCATTTACTTCTTGATATATGGTGAATTTCTTTTCTTTTTCTTTTGGATGGGTTAGAGTCTCAGAGACATAAGAGATTGACGCCCTTATGGAATGTCGTAGGAACAACTTAGAAAACAATTATTTAACATTTCCTAACTCTTGATCTAGTTGTATTTTTGTTACTAATTGTTCAAAGAGGTCGGACCCCAACATATAAATTGTCAAGATTTCAAGGAGGACCAACCACCTGTATTACCCAACAAGGTGTGGGGTTTCAGCAAAAAAGTCATCAAGACTAGTGAAATCACACATTATATGTTGTATTTTATTTTGTATAGTTTTCAATGTGAGATTGTAACTTTTTAAACATAAATTATTCAAACGGAAAAAATTGGTGGTATAGAGGCTTAATCCACATTAATTGTTTAATTATTCTTAAAGTGACATATGTGAACTTTGTTTCAATTTTTTTTTTTTTCAATGAGTTATTTATGTCTAACAATAAAATGTTAAGTTAATTCCAACAAGTTAAAAGGGAGTTTGGTGGAATTTGATAAACTTTTATGCTAGGTTGTGATTGAAACTTTCTTAGATTGCTATAAGAAAATATGGTGAATGTTTTCTGTACTCGTAAGTTTACAAATATATAACAATCCGAAAGATTTACAAAAAGGAAAGAATCGCTAGACGCTATGTCTAAGCTAAGGTGATTATACATAAAAGAAGGAAATAAAGTGATGTCTATGTAAATCAGCTGTACAAGGCAATAAACTTCAATCAAAACTCATCCTTCAATAATTCAGGAGGCTTGATTTCTAGCAAATTAACTTATGATCACTTGCAAAATTTATGTGCACACAATATTAACCAACTAATATTGTATAAAGATCTTGCAGCAATAAGCTCCAAGAGGACAACTTGAGGAAAAGTTTCAATCCCAATCTAGCACATAAACCAATTAGTTTCAAATGTTTAGGGGGCGTTTGGTATCCTATTCAAATAGGGAGCTCAAAAACTTTGATTTTTCTTAAAAACGAGGAGTTCTTAAATCTATTTTTAAGATTCAAAAACTTGTTTGGTATGCAACTTGAAAACTGTTTTCAAATCTTAAAATTTTGAGAACTTGTGGGTTGTTAGAAAAAAACTGAAAAAGTAGATATTTTTTTGTTTTTAATAATTGAGGTGTTTTTTAGTTGTTCTTGACTTCGAGTTTTTAAAAATAGAGCTACCAAAAAAGTTTTCTTTGTTTTGGACTCAAATTCTATTTTTGAGTTTAAAAAGTTGAATTCAAGTTAAATACCAAATAGGCCCTTAATTACTTCCATTTAAATAGAAGAATTACCTTGCAAGACAATATAGAATCAGAGAATGGTTATTACTTTTCATCATCGATCCTCTTGCATTTTTATGAAGGTGTTTATATATATGCTACTCTCTATCAACTATTAGGCATTGATAATGTTTTCAGCCAACTCATCCATGCGCAGTGTGGAACTGAAGACATCACACTTGTTTCTGCGAGAACCATATGAAAATACCTATAGGATGGCTTAAAACACTAAAAGAGTAAAGTCTGCGCTTTGAGTAGTCAAGAGTAATACAATAATATATAAAAACACGCCAAAGGGATTGATACGATGTATCAATCCTCTACAGTACATAACGTAAAAACAGATAAAAACACAGAAGTTATTTTACGTGGTAAAACCCCACCTATGGGGAAAATCCACGGGACCTGATAGTCTAAGGCAAATCCACTATAGAACAATGATTACAAGAAGTATACAAACTTGTTCTAGACACTCTAGACAACGTACCAACTTCTTCGTAACTCAACTTCTCGCAGGATGATCTTTCGACACTCATTATGTTGAACGCAATACTGATCACGATTGCTTCAAGCTCGCCGGAGTTCTTCCAACTCTCCTTATGTTGAATCCGATACTGGTCACGATCGATTCAAGCTCACGGGAGAAAAATCGCCACAACGGTCTTGGTGCCCTCAACCGTATGAGTCACCGAATATGCAAATGAATGCAATATGAATACAAAGATAAATCACCAAGATAATCTTACTCTTGATGATTTATCCTTCTGGAAAATAAAGCACAACAACTTTCTTTTGTGTATATGAAAACTCAAGAAATACTCTGGTTGTTGAAAGTTGTATCTTAATGAAAACACTAGCCTTGCTTTCTATAAAGGTTTTCAAAACTAGAAACAAAATCAATTACTTCCTAATCAATATATTAATTTTCCAAAATTAGACTAATTGATTTCCAATCAAAGAAGACTTTTTAAAGTTTAGAACAAGAAAGCAATTTAATCTTTCTTAAAATAAAAAGTCTTCTTAATCAAAATGTTAAACAGATTGTGACTGTGAAATAATGCTTGAAATACCACAATCAAGATGCATGATTGAATGAAGAATTTACCTTAGTGATCGTTGATTGATATATGAGCCTTCAGAGCATATCTTGGAATTTTGACAGTCACCATTACAACTAATTTACCATCTATACTCAGTCTAATTTGTCTCTAGGAAATGCCAATCACAAAATCAATACTAACAATCTCCCAATTTGGCATTTCCTAGACAAAACACCTATTACAACTCAAAAAAAATTGCATGGGATTTAACAATTGAAATCATACTCTAAACTCCAAGCTCTAAATCCCTGCACTTTATGAAACAACAAAACCAGTGAAGCATGTGGGAGAAGAAATGTAATTCAAAACAAAATTACAACATCACTCCCCCTTAATTCTACAACACAATCTCTCCCACTTTTTATCATAATTCCACGCAATCATCTCTCCCCCTTTTTGTCAGGAAATCCAAAGGGCAAGAAAAGAACATAAGGGAGCAAATATAATATCATAACAAAATCACTAATTTAATGCCCAAGAAATAGCAAGATGTCAGAAGCCAAAAAGAGAGGGATAACAGTAGTGTGCATTAAAGTGGCAAAAATAGGAGAGAATGATTATCACAAAAAATAAGAAAGATTAACCATTGAAGTCCTTGAGGAACTTTGTCTTGTCGTGACTAAAGGAGGGACAGATTGAAAAGATCAGTGTGTCGGATTTTAGATGTTCAAAGGGTGCAACAGTCTCATCATGCATAGCCATCTTCACCTACAAGAACAACACACACAATGTTAGTTTCAATCATATAAACAATATATGATGCTCACCTCTTTGTTTATGTGTCTTATGCTTTTCAGTTTGTGATACATATTTCCAAAGAAATATTATTGTAAACATGATGTGCTACAGGTCTGCAATTGACAGGATTGATAATGACATTGCAATCCTCATATTCAGTTTATCATGCATCTATCTTAGTAATTCTGATATTCATGCAAAGGTCAAGATGCAACATGAAACAAAGTCTAGCTGCACAATTAAACAAGAAGCATAAAACGACACTATGTTTGAAAAGAAATATAAACATGATCATATCATCTTGTGCACTTGAACAATAACTCTCCCCCTAAAGATATGCCAAGGATGAAAACAATTATAGCACCCAAGAAAAATAAGATGAAAAATAAAGGGAATAAACTGAAACAAGAAAATAAAAGAAACATAATTAAACATCAATGACTATGCCAACATTATAACAAGACTCCTTCTTCATACATGTCAAAAAAAATTCATGAGTACGTGCCAACGCTATGCATATGGATAGATAAGCAGAGCCAATACCAATATATGTCTAGAAGCATTTGAAGCAAAGCCTTTTAGGATTTAAGGCACATCAAATCACAAAGGTTTAATCAAATACAAGGATTATAAAATGGAGAATCAAAAGTATTTGTAAGAAATAAAGTCCATCAAATGAGTAAATATCAAAGCCATATCTCGTGTTATGTGACTAAACTTGCTTAATAACAAAGAAAAAAACCAACCAAGAGCAAGCCAAGAACATAGAATAAGCACATACAAAATGCATACAGAGGTCACCACTTTCAACCCCTTTTTAAAAATAAAAAAAATTATTTATCGATTTAAATGCTAACTTTATCAAGCTTTCTACAAGACACATGTAACGGGTGTTAAATCAATGTGCTCAAGTCAGTTGACTTTAAGACAATGGGTGTTAAAGCACCCCTAGGATGTACTAACCCGAGTCATGTAGGCTACAAAGAAGAACAACGTGTACAAGATCAAAGCTTTTTTACGCGAACCTCGACGTTGGTTAGACAAGAGGCCCGGTTACTTCACCACGATCAATGTAACACCCCGACCCCAAATTATCCCATGTTTTAATTTATTTAAGTGGAATTGAGAAATTACCCGTGGGATAGGGGTATTTTAGTCATTTTCTTATCCGGAAGGAGTTTGGGAATTCCGGTTGTACCGTTGCGTAGAGCACGGTGAGATGAGTCCGTAGACACGTAGTGGGCTCGAATCGGAGTTGTAACGAGAGAGATATGATCAAATGAAGCTCAGTGGCATAATCGTAAATATTTTGAAGTGGGATTTTTGGTTAAAAGACGGAATTGCCCCTGTCTCTCTCACACTCACTCTCTCTCTCCCGCGCGTCGCTCTCTCTCTCCTCTGGTTCGCGACAGCCACCGTGGCCGACCACGTTTTGGCCGGCCGTGCTCTCGTCCGGCCACCAAAGTCGACGGGGCCGGTACCAAAATGACCGGGCCGCCGTCCTCTTCCTACCCCAGCCGGCTCTCACCGCCAGCCGCCGGGATTTCGCCGGAAAATCGAAGAAAACAGCCCGGTTTCGCCTGAAACTTCGCCGGCTTCGTTCTCCGTCGTCCGGCCACCGATTCCGGCAAGTGAGGTATGATTTCTCACCTATTTTCCGAGCTCTAGCTGATGGTTGGGTAGGATTTCATAAATTTTGAGGCTAAGTAGCTCGATCTACGGATTGAAATTCGGCCGGTTTTGCGATCGCGATTCCGGCCACTTCCGGTCAATTTTTGGGGTAAGCCCAAGAACAAAAGTGACTCCAAATTAGGTGTATTACCTAGGGTAGGAGTCTGGGCTCATGATTTGGAAGTTTTCCGGCGATGGGTATCGCTTTGGACACCCACGCGCTGCCGGCGCGTGTGGCGGCGCGTGGGCACTGTAGCTGAGGGGCATTTTTGTCCCATTGTGATCCTATCGATGTCACGAGCGCGTAGGTGTGCTCGGATCTCATTTTGGATACCGTTAGAGTTCCGAACGGATATCGCATATCGCGTATTTTCCGGGTTCGCTAGGTTTGGACCGTTGGATGGTCCTGAAGTTATAATATGTTGATCTGGGTATTACCAGGATCATATAGGATTCGACGGATCGTAAAACGGAGTCCCGGATACTCCGGAAATGCCAACCTTGGGGTTAGGGTTTTAGTAACCGTCCGATTGTGCGATCGTGAGCAATCCGACCGTCCGATCTGGACCAAACTTGCAGGACATGTGTCCTAGAGCTTGTAGAACCTCTAGGAACTTTCGGATCGGAATTTGGAGGTTGTGGGCCCCGCAGGCCCGTTTGACCCTAGGTTGACCGTGAGACTCCCGAGATAGTCTTACCTTTCCTTGAGGGTTAGGATGACCTTAGTGACAGGTCTTGAGCGTTGTTGAGTTAAATGGATATTGTGGGTTTAGGATATAATTTGGTGAATTTAAATGGGGGGAGTTTATGGAATATTTTATTGGTTGATGTTATTGTATGATTAGAAATTACTTGATATATTTAATTGGTTGTGTGGATGTATAATGATATATAAGGAGATTGAATGTTAGTTTACAGTGCTATACGCACTACTCCACGTACCCCCCCATATTGTGATTATGTTGAGGCCCAAGTGATAGTGTGAGGTCGCACGCGTCTTTGGGTTAGCCGGCGTGTTGACAGACCCCGTACGTGGCCGGGTGCGTCCCGACGTATGAGTGGGAGTTATGGTTGTGTGAGGGCTGGTGAGAATGTAGCCAGGCCCAGTGTGAGGTCGCACGCGTCTTTGGGTTAGCCGGCGTGTTGACAGACCCCGTACGTGGCCGGGTGCGTCCCGACGTATGAGTGGGAGATATGATGGTATGAGGGCTGGTGAGAATGTAGCCAGGCCCAGTGTGAGGTCGCACGCGTCTTTGGGTTAGCCGGCGTGTTGACAGACCCCGTACGTGGCCGGGTGCGTCCCGACGTATGAGTGGGAGATATGATGGTATGAGGGCTGGTGAGAATGTAGCCAGGCCCAGTGTGAGGTCGCACGCGTCTTTGGGTTAGCCGGCGTGTTGACAGACCCCGTACGTGGCCGGGTGCGTCCCGACGTATGAGTGGGAGATATGATGGTATGAGGGCTGGTGAGAATGTAGCCAGGCCCAGTGTGAGGTCGCACGCGTCTTTGGGTTAGCCGGCGTGTTGACAGACCCCGTACGTGGCCGGGTGGTCCCGACGTATGAGTGGGAGATATGATGGTATGAGGGCTGGTGAGAATGTAGCCAGGCCCAGTGTGAGGTCGCACACGTCTTTGGGTTAGCCGGCGTGTTGACAGACCCCGTACGTGGCCGGGTACGTCCCGACGTATGAGTGGGAGATATGATGGTATGAGGGCTGGTGAGAATGTAGCCAGGCCCAGTGTGAGGTCGCACGCGTCTTTGGGTTAGCCGGCGTGTTGACAGACCCCGTACGTGGCCGGGTGCGTCCCGACGTATGAGTGGGAGATATGATGGTATGAGGGCTGGTGAGAATGTAGCCAGGCCCAGTGTGAGGTCGCACGCGTCTTTGGGTTAGCCGGCGTGTTGACAGACCCCGTACGTGGCCGGGTGCGTCCCGACGTATGAGTGGGAGATATGATGGTATGAGGGCTGGTGAGAATGTAGCCAGGCCCAGTGTGAGGTCGCACGCGTCTTTGGGTTAGCCGGCGTGTTGACAGACCCCGTACGTGGCCGGGTGCGTCCCGACGTATGAGTGGGAGATATGATGGTATGAGGGCTGGTGAGAATGTAGCCAGGCCTAGTGTGAGGTCGCACGCGTCTTTGGGTTAGCCGGCGTGTTGACAGACCCCGTACGTGGCCGGGTGCGTCCCGACGTATGAGTGGGGGATATGATGGTATGATGGCTGGTGAGAATGTAGCCAGGCCCTGTGTGAGGTCGCACGCGTCTTTGGATTAGCCGGCGTGTTGACAGACCCCGTACGTGGCCGGGTGCGTCCCGACGTATGAGTGGGAGCTATGTGATTATGTTGGGTGTGTTGTGATGGATAAACCCGAGAATGTATGAATTTATATGGATGTAATGGTTTAATTGATATCAGGAGCCAGGATTGATAGGAAAGAGCTACGTGTGGCTTGATCCCTTAGTAGGGTACGTAGGCAGCCTGGGATAGCGCCTAGGTGCAGCCACGACCTAGACACCACTTAGGTGGTTTTATCGAGTGTGATGCGGACCTCGTGGTTGGTCCCGAAACTTGGTTGAATTGAGGCTTGTCCGGTGGACTGAGTGAGTGAAGGTGTGCATAGATAGATTTGGAATTTGTTATATGCATGTTTGATGCATGGAGCTATTTTAAAAGCAGTGTGAGTAGTTCTGCTAGAATCATTTGAAGGCTGGAGGCCATTTATGTAAATCGCATGAGATTATATTGTGCGTGCTGCTGGTTGGGTTATAAAATGTGTTTTATGCAGGTGGAAATTTTTGGGGAATGTTCAATTTACTGGGGAGACTCTGCCGAAATTTTGGGCAGAAAGTCTCGTGCCCTAAATCCTCTCTGGTAAAAGAGGACATAGGTTTAAGGAGTGAACCCGGCGTGGGTGTGATGCCGGGGTCTCCGCAGGGTTCGTCTCGGATTCCGAGAAATTCGGGGCGGGTCCTGTCAATCAAGCACTTATTTTATTTTACTTTTAATTAAAGAGAAGTTATAAGTTTGTGAGCTCAGCAGCAAAAAGTACAATGCCAATCTAGTATCAAGACAAAGGCAAGGTGAGGATTCATTCAAAATTATTAAGAAAGATTAGAGTGTATGTGCTATATGTGAAACATGAGATTTAATATAAAGAGCATTTAATTGACTTTATTAAAAACAAGGACAGTCGAGAACCATTCACATAAACCCAATATTAATCTACCCTAAGTGATCCAATGCCAAAAATCCAATCTAAGATCAGCAAAAGCTTCCAGACCTCGATAGGATTGATATCGCTTATCAATCCCTGCACGTGCTGAACGAAATACTTAGAATTTTAATCCAATTTCAAAAATAGAGAAGAGAATAGCTGAAGTCTTTTTGCATGCATACAAGAAATTATTCAAGAGAAAAAATACCTAAAGACTTTCTAAGAGTGTCAAATCGAAGATTATCCAAAGGTTTCGCAACAAGACATTTAAGATCCAAATTTTTTAAAGCAACAAGTTCATGCACAACATTAGTAGAGGCCAACATACAATTATGATTTTCCTTTTTCCTCCAAACTAACTTTGTCTTAGTTGATGGCAAACAATGAAAAGAAGATAGTTTGGATAAGCGGTTTACCTCTTTCATAAGATTTGAAATCTTATGTTGGACACTTACTTTTCCACCCATGACATGAGAGTTTGAACGAACAAATTCGTTTCGAAGCTTATTGCATTGGTCTTATGTGCCCACGAGTTCCACAAAAGTGACAAATTGGAATGAATTTCTTGACTTCATGAGTGGCAGAAGGCTCAACAGGTGAAGAGGATTTGACAAACTTTGTTTTAGACGGAAGACTTATTACTTGGTTCAAATCCCAAGCCACGTTTATCACCATCTCTTCTTCCCATGCTAATCATTCTGTCGACTTTTTCTGCACCAATAGTCAAAGCAATAATCCTTTCTTTTGAATTTTTAAGTTCAAGTTCCAGGTTTTGTTTATCAGTGGACAAGGAGACAATTAATATATGTTGGTCAGCGCATTTTTTCTCTAAAAATTGAATTTTTTCGTTCATACCTGTACTTACCATTCTGGGAGCAGTATCAGAGGATGGCAGCTCATTAGCAATCTTGCTTTTGTCCAGTTTTAACACAGCAACAGTTTTGACGAGTTCTGCATTATGTTTGCTGAATTTCTGAGAGGCAGCCAGTAAATCATCATATTTTTCCAGCACAAATTCAATATCCAATCCTTCATCATCATTTTTCTTTGATGCTTCGTCCAAGCTTACGGTTGTGATAAGTGCAATGGCCTTCTCATTATTTTCAGTGTCAGAATCACTGTCACTCCACGTAGTATGTAGGGCCTTATTCGTCCCATCCTTTTGCTTCTTTAAAGTGTTGGCACATTCTGAAGATATGTGTCCATATCCTTCACATTCGAAACATTAGACCTTTTCTCTTAGATTCATTCATTCATTTGACCTGCAAGATTTAAATCCACTATCAGTATAGTCAACAAATCTATTTTTAGAATTTATACCTTTTGAATCTCGACTTCTTGGATCCTGATTCTTGAGAAAGTTCCTGAATCGTCTTGTGAGAATCATTAATTCCTCATCACTGCAATCTTCATTTGAATGCCCATCATCTTCTTCATTCACAACCTTAAAAGCAACACTTTTGCTCTTTTTAGGAGCTAGATGTTTCATCTCATAGGTTTGTATGAACCCTATGAGTTCTTGAACTTTCAAGGTGTTCAAGTCACGGATCTCTTCAATAGCTATGACCTTCGGTTGGAACCGTTGAGACAACGATCTCAGAATCTTTTTCACCACTCTAACTTCTGAAATTTTTCCACCTAAGTTTGAACAAGCATTCACAATAACACACAATTTAGCATAAAACTCATAAAACATTTCATTATCATCCATCACAGTGTTTCAAACTGTAGGTTGTATAATTGGAGCTTGGCGCCTTTTACTATGTCGGTTCCTTCATGAGTTACCTGCAAAATATCCCAAGCTTCCTTAGATGTATCACAACCTGAGATGTATTCAAATTTATCAGGAGAAATTGCAGTAAATAAAGCGTTTAACCCCTTTTAGTTATTGGTACTGTGTGTGACTTCTGCATTTGTCCATTCCTTTCTGGGTTTAGAAGTGTGCGGTCTTCATCTCCTTTTCCAGTTATTTTTGTGGGTTCAAAAAATCCATGAACCACAGTATTCCAGAGACGTTCACCCAGAGACCATAAGAAAGACTTCATTTTAGCTTTCCAAGCACCATAGTTATACCCATCAAAATATGGTGGATGCACAACTGAGCCTGCGGCACGCTCCATCCTGAGGTATGTCGAATCCTGCTGAGAATGTTCAGCAACCTGCTCTGATGCCAATTGAAAATACCTATAAGATGGCTTAAAACACTAAAATAGTAAAGTCTGCGTTTTGAGTAGTCAAGAGTAATACAATAATATATAAAAACACGCCAAAGGGATTGATACGATGTATCAATCCTCTACAGTACAGAACGTAAAAACAGATAAAAACACAGAAGTTATTTTACGTGGTAAAACCCCACCTATGGGGAAAATCCACGGGACCTGATAGTTCAAGGCAAATCCACTATAAAACGATGATTACAAGAAGTATACAAACTTGTCCTAAACACTCTAGACAACGTACCAACTTCTTCGTAACTTAACTTCTCGCGAGATGATCTTTCGACACTTCTTATGTTGAACACAATACTGATCACGATTGCTTCAAGCTCGCCGGAGTTCTTCCAACTCTCCTTATGTTCAATCGGATACTGGTCACGATCGATTCAAGCTCACGGGAGAAAAACGCCACAACGGTCTTGGTGCCCTCAACCGTATGAGTCACCGAACATACAAATGAATGCAATATGAATACAAAGATAAATCACCAAGATAATCTTACTCTTGATGATTTATCCTTCTGGAAAATAAAGCACAACAACTTTCTTTTGTGTATATGAAAACTCAAGAAATACTCTGGTTGTTGAAAGTTGTATCTTAATGAAAACCCTAGCCTTGCTTTTTATAAAGGTTTTCAAACTAGAAACAAAATCAATTACTTCCTAATCAATATATTAATTTTCCAAAATTAGACTAATTGATTTCCAATCAAAGAAGACTTTTTAAAGTTCAGAACAGGAAAGCAATTTAATCTTTCTTAAAATAAAAAGTCTTCTTAATCAAAATGTTAAATAGATTGTGACTTTGAAATAATGCCTGAAATACCACAATCAAGATGCATGATTGAATGAAGAATTTACCTTAGTGATCGTTGATTGATATATGAGCCTTCAGAGCATATCTTGGAATTTTGACAGTCACCATCACAACTAATTTACCATCTATACTCAGTCTAATTTGTCTCTAGGAAATGCCAATCACAAAATCAATACTAACACCATATCAGGCGATAACTTGTAAACCCTCATGAAGACATCACAAGATGGAAGCACTTCTACCAAAACAAAACAAGTTTTCATATTTAATTAAATTTTAATTCTTTGGGAATTTTGCATAAATACCATATAAACTTTTAGGTATGTGCATCATTACCACCTGAACTTTTAATTTTTATTTTGAACCACCTAAACTTTGTGAAAGTGTTGCAATTCACCACCTACGTCTAACTCCGTTAAAATTTCTGTTAAATGTGTAAAGGTATTTTCATTAATTTGCTATAACTAAATATAATTATAAAAAATATAATTTAAAAAAGTAAAATGAAAAATAAAGTTAACATAATTATCAAGAATTTAGTTTGGAACTCATCACCAACCAAGAATGTTCTTGGTCGTATCAAAACTGCACAATCCCAAGAATTGTTCCTTGATTGTGTCTCAGTTTCACTACTTTGGTGCTCTTGTGAAGTAGCCTATTTCAAATCTCTCAATATTAATTACAGAACTTAATAATAATGTATTATACACTCCACGCCAAGAGATGCCAAGAGACAAAGAATAGGGTAAGTTAAATATATATATTTATTTATTTATTTTATGGTTCTGTCTCTATCCAAAATAACACCACCTGTTTATACCCGAAGTTTTCCATCTATCTAACAAAATCCAGCGAATCTTATTGTCAGTAGTTTGCTCTTTCTCCCTTGTTTATTTATTTATATTCTTCCATGAATAGCTACGATTCCAACACACCCACTCTACTATTCAAATCTTGGCAAACTCCAAAGGATCTATTTAATTTTTAATTTCAAGCATGAAAACTTGTTATGTTCGACTTTTGTTAAAGAAATAATTTTTGTTATGTTTGACTTTCTTGGTTTATGGAGATCTGGGAAATTGGGGACGATTTGAAGATGTTTTTGGTTTCTTTTGTATGTTTATTCTTCTAGGTTTTAAGTGGAGCATGTATGTAGGAGTCAAATGCTTCTTCTATTCTTTTCCTTGGCACAGCTGGGCCATTCTAGACTTGAACTAGAGACCTCGGTCAGGTATGTGTTAAGAATTAGGGCTTGCTTAGGAGTGATTTTGGATAGGTTAGAATCACGTTTAGATAGAAGCATCTCCCACTTGCTTCTCCCCGCTTCTCCATATAATCACTTTAGTGATTTTAAGTGATTCTAGAGAGAAACATATGGGAGGTGCTTCTCCATAAAATCACTTAAAGTGATTACATGGAGAATTGATTTTCCATATAAGTGATTATTGGCCTATCTAAAATCATTCCCAAACGAGCCTTTAGATTATTAGCTTTTGGGTCTTTTTAAGATTCGAGTTTGATTGTCATTTTAAATGAATTTGTGGTTATTGAAAGTAATTTTGGTAACAGAGGATGATAATTTGTACAATAATTGAGATGTAGCTTCATGTGCCTTGGTTTGAATGTCATTTTGGAGGCTGCAATCTAATTACGGGAATTGAATTTCTAGGCTTAATATGTCTTGAAGTCTTCCCTTCCACAGTTTGTTGTATGTTTTGTAAGTTTATAATCCAATTGGTTGCTGAAAAGTCGTAAGAAAGTCAAAAATCCAAGAAAAACTAAGAATTGAATGGTTTTTTACATTTTTTATTTTGTTAGTTAAATAGGGTGTACTTACTTAATTTTACGTTTTGATTAAAATATTAGGGTGTACTTTGTTAATTTTGGGGTTTGTTTATCAGCACTCTAAAAATAGGCTCTTCGGATTTTTTTATTTTAATTTTACAAACACTCTTTATCTTGAAAATAACATCTTTTGTTTATCTTAATTTTACTTATGAATAATTTGGGCAATGACACAAGAAATTAAGCCATACACGCTGGATTTCTTCACTCAGATTAAAAGTTAGACAAATAGGGGACTCTCCAAACCCAAGCAATCTGACTTTGCATATGAATATATAATTGTATATTTTGTTTATGTATAATCATTTGATTTTTGAAACTTTTTTAAAAGTTGAATTTACTACGAATGACAATTGCATTGTTTTTTGTTTTTCTTTTCGGTTGAGTTTTTAATTTTTTAAATATTGCCCATTCCTTGCAACATTCATGGATCCACTACTGCTTGTGGACAACAGGTCTCAAGTTTGAACTCCTATGGCATCTTGAGTGTGTGTGAGAAACTCACACACACGAAGGCACTATGGGAACCTGAATTCAGGACCACTACTAACACCCCATTGGTAATATTGTGACTATTTTTTTGGGTGGTAAATCCTTGAATTCTACTGGTATATGGAATGTGGAACGGTCAAAATCAAAGTCCCCAAAACTCAAGGTTATCACTTTGCACCACAATTCCCTCTTATCTCATAAATGACAAAAACAAAAATTCAGGTACAATGATCAGCACTTGCAGAATGAATCAGTGCACTCTGAAGTCTGAATAATCACAGTTAACTGCTAGTCTGAAACTTTTAATAGTTCAACACAAATACAAAGTATATTTTTCTATCAGAAATGCAACAAGGTTACAAGGTTACAAGAGGCAGTAACAGGTTGTTGGAAGCATTTGCTTACTTTTGTGGTTCAGTAAACACTGCTGCCTGCTGCCTGCTGTCTACTAAGCCAAAACGGATGCTATAAATTTTATTAAAAAAATACATTGTCCAATTAGGATCTAATATTCCTCAACCTCGAAGGAAACAAAGAATTTTACTAGCACAATATAGAAACACCAAAATGCCATAATGAGGGTTATAAAGAAACCATTTTGACAAAGCCCACTGTTAGAATGTTTGGGAAACTGAGATATTCTGAACTTTACAAATGCCTGAGCTAGCTAACCTATAAGTTCAATAACTAGCAGCCCCGATACAGCATGAAGACCCTTATTACAAGCATAATAAGGTCTAGGGTAATCAATAGATCTCGTGCAATCTTCACCAAAATTTTCCTTTTCCCATGATGGTACCTAACCGCCTGCATCATAAAGTGGTATCAATTAGCATACTCAATGAGTAATTAGTAGCAAAGATCAGGTATCTTCCAACATGGGAGGGCTTGCCTCATTTGATGCCATGAAAGACATTTATACATAGATTTCTTAACTTACTCAAATGCTTATAAAGAACCCTAACCTAAGTTTGAAAAATAGTGTTCATCAAGTATTTTACAACAAAATCATCTACTCGAAACAATAATACCAGGGAGGCCACAGTTTTGTACCACATTTAATACCAGATGATGAAGCAAGTGATGTGTACATGCCATGTGAATAATTAATTTTATCTCATTGGATGTTTTATACATCGCTTGCCACATCATGTGGTTTTAAAATGTGGTACAAAAATATGGTGTCCCTGGCATTAGTAACTCGAAATAAAAGGTCATAAACACAATCACCCCAATTAAAGAGAGAAATATACTCTGCAATCACTTGGTAGGAAGGTAGACCCTTATAGTGTCTTTCATTCTAAGCCTTTTACGACAAGTTGGGCATTTGTGCTGAACTTTTATTGAGGCTTCAATACACATCTTGCAGAAGATGTGACCACACTTCGTTGATGTCTCTTCACTCAACGGGCCCAAGCATATTGGGCAACTGAAGGCGGGTGTCTCTGGAGGTGGCGTGCTCTGAGGAAGTTCTGGAATAGGCACTTCCTTTGTCTGCATTAGAAAACTCCACAGGTTTAGCCTTAAAACTTTGACAATCAATTAACAATTGATTAAGAATGAGAAGTTTATCATAGCCAGAGTTTGTAACTAAAATTATTGAAGGCCTCTCCAAGCTAGGTATGGACTAGGTGTTCACACAAACCATATGTCTACAGAACTTGACTCTTTTATGCAAGGTCATATTCTTGACCATCCATGCAGTGAAAATATAGGTAGAATTCCAACCTAATAAAATTTTGAGAAATGAACATTGAACATAGATACTATTAACCTTCAGAATGTTATGTGTTATTTCCTAGTCTCCTTTCTGATTTTCAACTTAATAAAATGTTCTGTGATAAGTTCTTTTTAGTTGCCCATGTATGAGTTTATTATTTGCTGACAGTCATAGGGAAATCTGAACTTGGAAAAAGAGTCAACCATGAGGCCTTCCAACACCTGCTAGATACTATTTACTTGAAAGCTGAATTAAAGATAAGGATTGCATTCAGTGTTGCAGTTCCATAATTTAAGTGCACCAAGCTTCTGACCCAGACAAAAAAGAAGGGGCTCTAGACCAAACATCTGTTACGTCATCAATATCTAGAAGAAAAAACCTTTGCATACAAATATAAAAATAAAAAAATAAGGGAAGATGGCACCGCGAGTGGAGACAAATTACAGAAATAAATTACACTTAAGGAAATATCATGACAAGAAATTGTTATATCACCTTGTTTGCATCACTGTCTTCAGAGCTGAAGTGAAGCTCCCAATTTAAAACTGCTTGATTTCGTAAAGTTCTTCTACGCTTGTGGCAATGAAGAGGAATTAGATGTGTTTGAGCAGCCACATCTGAAGATAAACGAAAGATGTAAGAAGCTTCTTATACCAGAGAAGTGACCACAATAAATTGACTTGGCAACCTCAACTGCTAGCTTCAATAAGAACTTGAAGCATTTATAACTAAGTTCACTTTGAAATAGTTACTTAAATTGCAATATTCACTAAAAGTAAATAGAACATGTGTAAAAGAGTGAACCAGTAGTCCCAAAAACTGCAGAACCAAGTTTGAATACTTTCTATGTGGTATTAATACAAAATTCTATCTGTGTTTACCCCATTCCTTCGCAAAACGATTAACCATAAAGCAATCATGAAGTTCTTTCTAGGAAAAAAGAATGAAAGGGAATGCCAAGTTATTTATCCTTTCCTAGAGGGAAATGAATGAATGATGTCAGACTAAAGGCTCTTCAAAAATAAGAACCTAAAGCATCAAAATGCTAAATAAGGTGTAGATGACTAAAAAGAGCACTGCTATTCACAGTCGCTCAAAAGCGACTGCACACACAGTCTCCCTCACTTCCACCTTCAAAGGATTACACATGCATCTCTCTTTCCAAAGAATTAAAATAAGTTTTGTTCTCTGCTTACTCATTAATCAATTATTTCTAGAGATGTAGAAAAAGAGATCAGATTTATGGGTTACGGGTTATGGACATGAAGAAATAGAGATTTCTGAGGTGTTGTTTCTGTGCTTTGAAGTCGACGCAAGAGATTTTTTGGGGGTTTTTTTTTCAGTCAAAATGGTGAAACTTCATTGAAACATGGTGCAGCAGCCCATAAGTACAAGCGAAGCAAGACAACTTACAAAAACCAAACACTGGAGGGGGAAACAAGTCTCCCAGAATCAAAAAGGAGATTTTGTTTTTTATAGAAAGAAAAATGAAGTGGCTGTTGGGTTTTCTATGGCTATCGTTGGGTTTAGGAGAAGGGGGGTAAAATGAAAATTCAGTTCATAACAAAAACTCATTTATTTCTTTGACAAGTAAGATACATGTGTATTATTTAATAGGAGTAAACTGGCGACGGTCCTCACAGTCGCTGTGGATAGCAATTCTCGACAGACAATGGCTTACACAAAGAATACTGGCAGAATAATAGATCTTAAAGAGCTTGCTACGCATATAAAAACTGCCAGACATAACTGAAGAAATATCTACCTAAAACTTTTAAACTTGAGCCACAATAAGTTTAGATAACTATAATTTCTCCTGAACTGAATTCAATGGGATCCTAGGGTCCTCCACTTTAAAATAAATAAATAAATAAAAAATAAAAAAACAAAGACAAACTGTAGTTTAGAGGAACTAAAAGAAATAATTCGAATGAAATTAGGCTGCCAAGAAATAGCAGGCATCACGGTTTTTTGAGACAATAAAATTTTAAAAATGGTTTCAAGCACAACCATTTTTGTTTATGAACAATATGGCAATCACTTACAGAAGAAGGGATCTTATAAAATGTGTAAACAAATCAAATCAAACAAAAGCACGGTTTAAGAATAAAAGAAAAAGAACTATGCAAGAAAACCTGATAGGCCATTATGCTGTTCTGTATTTGTAGGAGGCACATCCCGCACCTCCAGGTTTCTACTGGAGTTATTCTTGGCCTGACAGCAGGAAGAAGAATCAATAAGTATGCTTATACGAAAACAATGAAAGATTAAAAAATGAATCATAAAATAAAATCTAAAATCACTTACTTGGGCATATATCCTTGGGGAAATTATGACAACTTCATCATCAATGACCTCACAATCATGTGAAGCTTGTGGTTCTGACCGACTATGTGCTTCATCTTGACCTTGTTGACTATTGTCCCAAGTAAATCTGGCATTTAGAACCATGTCCTCACAAGGAGCTGGATAGTTGAGGTCCACAGTTAGTGGCATCTTCCCCCTTTGAGAATTCCTCACTTTCCCTTCTGTAAATTGCCCTAATGAGTGTGAGGCCATGCTACTGTGAAAAGGTCAAAATCCTATACATCCAGAAAGAAGCAGAATACTGGTTGTTAACAAAGGAAATCTACATGCTCTACTTTAAAGAACTTAAAATCTTTAAAAACCAAAATGCAGGCATGACAAGTATACCAAACAACTACAAGATCTGCAGCATCTCCAATAAACAAAATAATATACAAGATCTGCAGGGTCATTTAGTTGGCAACTTGGAAGGAAAAAAAAGGCTAATTCCAAAGGAGAACTCTTTTCCTTTTGTTTGGAAATAGGAAAAAACTCAAGTAGGACAAAACAAATATATAGTACATAAGCAGTTCATTATTAAACTTTTTTTCCTAAATGTTTTACTCAGTGGCACAGCAGCCCTATGCCATGACATCAGAGCCCCACGCAGCGGCGTACACATACACTGATGGGTGTGAACAAAACGTTTGACGAGTCATGTAAGCAGCCTCATCATGAAGTAAAACGATCCTGTAAAAATGTTCTAATATGCGTAATGTTTTCCTTTATATATGGGGAAACATAAACCTATTAAGTGATCATCCCCCTATGGTTTCAAAAAGGTATTCAAAGTTGCTACCAAGTCCAATTTGATCCAAATCAAACACAATTTTTGAAAGACACCTAAACAACCCAACAGAACTCTTCTACGCAAACAAAATCTCATAGTCACAATCTTAAAGTCAATAATAGGCCCCGAGTGCCACCAAAAAATAAAATTAACCCCTTATTATTTCATTAATCTAATCAATTGGGGTCCTTCTTAATCGATCAAACAATAATGATATAATCTCCAACTACATGTACGTTCTATGTAACCAAAGATGCAACTGGCAAACAAATACCCACGAATCAAACGATGAAAAAATCCAAAACCCAGAAGTTATCCATCAAGAAGAACAAGATTCAACACAAGAACATACGTCAAAAAGGCAAAAACAACGTACCTTTAGAGTCAGACCCGGAGCGAGAGAATCAAGAACAGGTGTTTGGATGCAAAGCACAAAATGGGTTGAACAGAAATTATATTATGGCAATCAATCAATTTATAGACAGAGAGAAGCAGAAAAAGATAAGAACGGTGAGGGGGACAAGGATGCGTAGAAAGTTCGATGTATCTTTCTCTTTTCCTTTTCCGTCTTTCTTTTCTTTCCAAGTTTTCGCTACTGATTGAGAGAGAGAGAGAGAGAGAGAGAGAGAGAGAGAGAGAAAATCAGAAAATCTCTTTTGGGTTCTCGTAGAATCGCCCTTTTTGTTATGCGACTTCCTGGAAATTCAATTCCAATTTTGTTTCCATACAATTTTTTGTTTTGTATGAATTCGAGTCTCAGTGGCTTTCTCTCTGTCTTTGTTTGTTGTTGGGGTCTTCTCTCCTCCAGCATTTCGAGTACGTGGACTCGCAATTTAAGAAAAAGTCAAACTCATGGGTCAAGTAATCAATCGAGTCCGTGGTCGGTGAGTGTGAACCGGGCCAGTGACCCGATAGCTGTATATTTTCTTTCTTTCTTTTAAAAGTGAATCACGACTTTTGCAATTATATAAAAGGTTTTATTTATTTTAGTAATCACATTCCGTCTAGGAAATGTTATTTGGAGTATAGTTTTTATTTTTCTTACAATATTATTATTTAGTCTATATTTATTAAAAAGTGCTATATTTAGCAATATATTAAACAAGAAAAAAAATATATACGTATTACTTTGTTTATACCAAAATGAACAGCCAGTGAGCATCAGACACGTGGACCAAACTAAAACTACGGAAGCCTTCGGCACCTAGCTTCAGTACCGTTCCTACCGATCGCCCGATTAGGGCAACTTCATCCCTAGGGACACGTGGCAGTCCCACAATTGAAGTCCACAGTCCCACATCGAAACTCTAAACAAATTGCACACCTCTCAAGACCTATAAAAGAGGACAACTATCCCTGCTTGGAGGTAATCAATCAAAACTTACGGCATACTGCCTATTGATCTGTAGTTCAATTTTACCAAACCCGTACTTACTTAAGCATCGGAGAGCCTTCGGCCGGTACCACACCGGTGCCATAGGTCTTACCGAGCGTTTGCTATCTTGCAGATCGAACACCCTACCGAGGCCCAGAGCATACCGAAGGCCCAACATCTCTAAGTTGCGCGGGAAAGTGCCGAACCATTTTTCTGCATCAACAGTTTGGCGCCGTCTGTGGGAATCGATAAAAATCAACCTACAATTCCTAAGAAAAAATAAATAAATACATGGGAACCACTTTAGGACCATTGTTCTTACTCGAGGACGGACTACCGTACGGCATGCCAAGCTAGGCCTCGTCAATGGGCCGGGCCAGGCTAGCCCGGCCCAAAATTTATGGGCTTGGGCCGGGTCGGGTCGGGCTCAAACACGTAAAAGAATATTAACGGGCCGGGCCGGGCTGGGCTTTTTTCAATAATTCAAAGCTCATGCCCGAATCATAGGTCGGGCCTTAATGGGCCTTATCGGGCTGGGCCGGGCAAGCCCAATTGGGCCGGGCCAAAATGGGCTTACTATTTAAAGAGTCAAATATATAAAATTCATTTCATTCTTGCTAAAGTATAAAGCTTACAAAATGTCTTACAAATCTTATACCCTTCCAAACAAAAAGGTCTTACAAAATCACAATCAAATTAGATTCACTCACAATCTAATCAAAAACTTCACTGCAAGGCAAACACTCAAAAGCATAATAAAGTCCGAAAGTCCATTACTACAACAAACATCCCATGCTTGCAAAATAAAATATAATCCTATTACATAACATTTCAACTTTGAATGGTCTCATTTTCAGATTCACCAACAATCTCAACTTCACTGTCTGCCATCCAATCTGGTCTTGATGCTCTTATGTTCATTAATTCTTCAGTTTGTTGCTCATCTACTGCTGCATCTTGCTTTCTTGAATCTGCCAAAGCCCAATCTTTCAAGCAAATTAAAGCTTCTATTGTACTTGGACTCAAACTGGCCTTTTTCTCTGATACAACTCTACCACCTGCACTAAAACATGATTCTGATGCTACAGTAGAAGCTGGAACAGTTAGCAAATCTCTAGCCATGAGGGAAACAATAGGGTATGTTAATTTATTGTTTTTCCACCAATCCAAAAGACTAAATTGATTATCATCAACTACTTCTATTGTTGGTAAATCAAGATAAAATTGTAATTCAGAAGTGTTGGTGGAAGAAGAAGAAGAAGAAGAAGAAGATAGCCTTTTTCTTTTCAAGCCTTCAATCGAGAAATTTCTCATTATAGGGACAGATATAGGACTAGAAGTTTGACTCAAAGTAGTAGAAGTTGCAACATTTTGCACATTTTGAACCACATCAGGAATTACATTCTTCTTGTAGATATCAAATAATTGAAATAATAAAGTCTTTAAAGCTAAAATTTTGAGTCAATGGTTAATTGATCAATACCTATCATGTTCAACCATTCAGCAATTGCAAATAATTTAAACCTAGGGTCCATAATAGTAGCTAAGCAAAAAATCATAGGAAACTCTTTCCAATATTTATCAAATTTTGTTTTCATTTCAGTCAAAGCATCCTTAAGAACAGAAAATTCAGAATATGCAGCAAATGATCCATGAATATCTATTAAACAATTAATAACACGACTTGAAGTAGGATAATACACACCAGAAAATATCTTAGTTGAAGAATAAAAAATTTGTAAAAACCCACTAACAAGTTGTGCTATTGTCTAATCTTCTTCACTAGATACTTGTAAATTACAGAAACGTGATTCATTTACCTTTTGAACATACCTATGCAAAGGGGCTTTATATTTTATAGCAACATGTAAAAGCTTATATGTCGAATTCCATCTATGAGGCATATCAATATCTATATTTTTCTTTCCCATATGGAAATCACTACAACATTTAACCCAAATTTCATGTCTCTGTTAGATGAATTCATGCTACGAACAATATCAGTAATTTTTTCAATAGAAGGAGATAAAACTTTAAGCCCATCTTGCACAATCAAATTCAATATATGACAACAACATCGTACATGAAACAACTTTTCATGCACAGAATCCAACAAAGAGTTGATGGAAGTATACTTGCAGTTGAATCATTATTTGATGCATTATCTAATGATAAAGTAAATACTTTGTTGTGAATGTTCCAAGATAACAATTCATCAAATATATGAGTTGCAAGTGACTCTCCGGTGTGTGGGTACTCAATCATTTTAAAGCAAATTATCCTTTTATTCAAACACCAATCTTTATCGATAAAATGTGCAGTAAGTGACATATAACCCATTTTCTGTCGTGATGACCAAACATCAGAAGTTAAACAGATTTTTGAATCAAGTTGGGCAAAAACAGCAAGCAAATTAATCCTTTCTTTATCAAATTTTTTTAGCACATCCCTTTTACATGTTGAGGCTGAAATTCCTTTATATTGAGGACAAAATGCACGCTGAATCAAGCCTTTAAAATCATGGCTTTCAACAAATTTAAATGGCAGCTCAGCTCTAATAATAAAATCCACAAGTTCTTTTCGAGCAATATCATGATCATAAACAAAATTAGTCAAATTTCCAGCAGCATCAACATTTAATAACATTTGACCTGGTGTTCACCCGTTTTGTGTTTACTCCTATGATGGAAGGGCAAAGTTCCCCACTGCCTTGAGAACCATAGACTGGTCGACAAGTCAGCTTTCTTTGGTGTGCGAGCGTGCCACTGCTAGTAATGAACAGTCTAGCAGACTTAGTCTGGAATGGATAACTTGCGCCCCAAGTTACTGATTTCCTAAACAAACGATTGTGAATTTGGGTGAGGAATATCTCCCAAGTAAGTTCTTTTCTTGCCTCAGACTGGTGAGGACTTTAACAATTTATCTCAGTATAAAGAGGTTGTTCTGGCCAGAATAGTTGATGAAATTTAAGCTGTTTTTGGGCGGAAGTGCCTTTTACAAGACTACAAAAATACATGTCGATGCAAAAAAGATAAAGAGATAGCTAGATCTCCATTTCTGCCTGGATGGGAGGCTCTGTGATGGGCTGGACTGGGAATATCTGGGCTGGACTGGATCGTAGACAACTACAAATCGATGCCAAAGGTTGATTCTGGCAGAGCTTTAATGTACCTCAAGCTTTTGCGAAGCTTCTGAGTAGGCAGAACTGCGGTTTCTTCAGTCTGAAAGGGCAGAAGTGGCTGTTCTTGAGGACGTTGGTGAGCTAGAGGCTATTCCGTGAATTTGGCTGGGGTTTTCCATACTTGGAGGAGGCTCAAACTCTGCTTGTGTTGGTTTTTGCTGAACCAAATTTGTAACGAGAGAAATCTCGTTTTGAATGACTTGCTTTCTAAGTCTGGATTCTGGGCATTCTGATCTGGGACTGGTTTTTCACTTGAAATTCAAGTGGACTTGTTGGTCGACTCTGAGCTTGTTTATGTGACGGTTTGCCTGTGTAGGACCTTTGTTTGGTTGAGTGATGAAATTTTTGGTAAGATTGATTGTCCTTTTGCCCTGTTCACTCCTTCTTGTATTTATAAGAGATGTCTTCTGGAGTAGGGTAATTCTTTTAATAATGGGCGGCAAATCCTTTCAAAAGATTTTCTTTTTAAAAAAATGGAAAAGAAAAAGAAAGAAAAAGGTTTCCTCAGTTTTTGGTAGATAGGCTCTCAACAGATAGGCAATCTCTTTCCCTGATTTTTCTTGAAAAGGAACCTAATCTCTTTCCCAATTTCAACTGCCCCTCGTGATATTTTGCCGGTGATGGTTAGTTTTGACTCCTTTTCTGGACAGCTTCCTACTTTCCTGCTTATCCCTCCCTGAGATTGTAACTTGCTTATCTCCTTGGGAGAATTACCTTCTGAAAAGACAGGGAAAAAAATCTCTGAGTATGTATATATATATCATGTATGTGTGAGAGGGATTTGATCTTTAGCTTTTCCAGAATCAATCTTGATATTATGAACCCTTCAATTACTTCTCCTGTGACAGTTGCCATTGCTGACTTTTCTTTTTTCAGAGAGGTCACGTGGGATTGTTCCTACTTCTGGGCTTTCTTCTTTCTTTTATATTGGGTTTTGGGCTGGTCTCCTCTGGCTTTTGGGCTTCCATCTTTCTTTGATTTTTTGCAGCTTCATTCTGGGCCTAAATTTTGCTGGGCTGGGTATGCCAATTAGTGGCCCAAACAATGCCCCCTTAAGTCTGAATCGTTTTGAAACGGTTTTCAGACTTAAATGACATGGCCATTAAATTGGCGCGTGGTAGATTCCTTCATTTATCCCACGTCTGCCACGCTTCCCCACTAAGCTAGTGCTCGTGTGGCGCAGTTCTTCAGTTACTAGCCCTTTATTAGCTTAGTCACTATCAGATTGACGCTTTGTCTTCTCCACGTCGCTGTCATCTCTTTCCCACGTTTTCTGGCTTCTTTAAAAGTCTTTCGAAAACCACTGTTCCTGTTCACCTGAAAACCTAGTATTTTCAAACTTGATTCCCTTCGTGTTTTCGAAGAACTTCCTTTTGCTTGATCCTGCCTTGCCCTTCCTGTGAACCCCCCTTTTAGAAAAAAATAACTTTCCAAGAGATGTCTTCCCCGAAATCCCGTGCTCAGTCTTCCTCTGTTCCAGTTCTTCCAGACTATGTTACTGGGGCTGGAATCGATAGTCATGCGATAGAGGTTAGGAGCAAGCTCCATCCTTTTGCCCAGAAAAACCTGGATGAAAATGTCCTCCATTTATTTGAAAACACCTTGGTGCTGGGGCCTCACTGGTTTGGCCCCGTTCCTCCCGAGATGGCGGAGTTGATGAAGAAGGATGCTGAGGCCCCGCTATGTTTCGAGAGCTCTTCTGCCCTGGCTTCTCATTCTTGGGTCAGCAAGAATTTGAGTCGTTCGTTCCCATCCAGTGAGGTGAGAAATAGTCCAATCAAGTGGGCTGATTGGATTGACAGACTTCTTCCTCGATTTGGGGCTCACTGGAAGCGGGCTGGAATCCATGACGCCATTCTCCTATCCAGGCAATCTATCAACAGGGATGAGAATCTGCTTGCTGCTGCTTTGTGCTTCTGGAACTCTGCCAGTAACACTTTTGATTTCCGTATAGGCCCCATGGCTCCCACTCTGCTGGATATGGCCCAGATTTTTGGTTTTAGGCCTCACGGAAGACCTGTTGATGCCATTGGTGATTATCACAGGAAGAAGGACCAGCAGAAGCTAGCCAAGCCATTCACTATTTCCCCAGCCTTGATCAACCAGAATTGCTCCTTCTCCAACTATCTTAGAAAATTTAGTGCTGAGAAGGACAAAGATCAGCAGCATATGTTGTTTCTCCTGTATTGGCTGAACAGGTTTATTCTGCCCAATCGTTCTTCTGCAGTTCTGCTTGAGTACAGACATCTGGCAGAAGCTCTGCATAATCACACTGATGTTGGCCTTGGACCTACAGTTCTGGCCCATCTGTTCAAGAACCTGCATACCGCTACTCTGGAGTATCCGCTGAATCTGTCTGCTCCTGGTGCCTTCTGGATGATTCAGATCTGGCTGCAGGTCTATTTTCCTGAGTTAAGGTATCCAGACATAGTTCTGCCTGAGAACCAAGTTCTGGCTCAACCGTTGCTGTCAGCAGAAGTCCCCAAGCGGTCAATTGGTGAATACCTGATGATGTTCAGGCATTGTACCAAGAGGTCTGCAGCGCAGTGGCAGATGGTGATTAGGAGGACCTATCCTTGGTTTCAGCCTGGACATCGTCTGTTTGAGAAAGAGCCAGAAGAAGAATCCGCCAGAACTGATTTTAGGAAGAAGTTCCTGAGTGTGACCTTACCCAGGGATCTGCCTCATGGAGGGGGAAAGCCTCCAAATTATCATTTGGGGGCGGAAGTCTACCATCCCAACTTCTGTGCAAGGCAGCTTGGCTGTCCTCAGCTCATACCCCTCAAGTCATACAGAAGCTGCAATCGGGGTTCTTCTTGGAGGGATGCAGATGACTTGGAGGTCCATAAAGACGCCAGGTGTGCCGTGAACAAGATTAACAACAGTGCAGATGCCCTTTATCCTTCCTGGGAATTGAACTCCTGCAGTTCTGTGGAGTTTGATGCTTGGTGGAAAGCCAGATTCCGTGATCTGCCTGCTTCTAGCACCGCACTTCAAGTCCTTTTTAAAGGCTGGGACAATTGGAATGTCCATTCAGACGACGAGACTCACAGATTCATGGTGCAGACCATCAAAGACATCAACATGCAAATTATAGAAGGTAATCTCTCTATTCTGTCTGTTGTTGCCTATTCTGTGTTTTAGTGATGATGCTAATCCTTTCTATCTGTACTCAGATCCTTCTCTGACAAAGAATATAGGCAGTCAACCAGCCCAAAGCGGAGAGGTGTTTGGTAAGTTGTGTTTTTTGTCCAGTCTTTGGCTACTCCCTACTGGATTGACCTTTGACTTTTGTCTTCTGCATAGTCAATTCTGTCATTGCTGCTGGAGATCTGGAGTTGCCCTCCGGGGATGGAGAGGAGGAAGAAGAAGAAGAAGAAGAGGGAGATCAGGCAGAACAGACTCCTGTTGAGGCCACTTCTCCCGTCAGAAGAAAAGAAAAGAAACTGCCCAGTCTGCGGCTCCAGGTATTCTTTGATGATTTCTCCCCTTTTTTGATTTCTTCATAATCTTGTTCTGTCTTATCTTTAAGACTTATTCTGTCTGTTTGCAGTTGGAGGTCCCTCTCCTCCTCTTACTAAGTCAAAAAGACTTAGAAAGAAGATTGCAGAAGAATACGTGGCCCCGGAGGGAACTGGGGCAGTTCCTACCACCACTTCCGGCACGGATGATGATCTGAGAGAGGCTTTCGAAGCTGTGGAGCAAGAAAGGGAGCTGGAAGAGCTGGAAAAGGTAGGAGAGGAGCCCCAGGAGAAGGCCAAGTCAGTGGAGGAGGAGGTGAGTCTGTATTTATATCTGGGAGCATTTGTTCCTGCTGCACCTTGATCTATTCTGTTCTGACTTCCGTGCATTCTGTAGGAGGAAATTCCTGCTGAGGTGATAGCGGAGAGCATTGCCTTGGCTCGGAAGCAGCAGGAAGATATAGGGGCAGGGCTGACCAACTCAGAGGTGGCCCTTTTTGATGATCCAGAGGCAGAACATTCCACTGCCGCTCCAGCAGCTGAGGACCAAGTGGAACAATCCGGATCGGAGCCTGGGGATCAGGCAGAACAAGTGGTTCCTACTCCTGAAATTGTAGCAGGAGTGGCTGCTGCCGTTCCTGGGTTTGTGGTGAGTTCTGTCCTTATTCTGTCGTTTTCTCATTTCGTTCTGTCCCTTGGTCCCTTCTGACCCTCGAATCTTTACAGGTGGAAGCACAAAGAACTGCTGGGACTTTGGCGGTGAGGACCACCCCCTTTGCAGCCTCCGATTGTTGCAGTGAGTGTTTTTTTTTGCGGTTCTATCTTCTTCTTCTTGTCTCTGCCCTGTTCTTGACCTTATGCTTCCTTCTGCAGATGCCTATTCATTCTCTTGCAGGTTCATCTGCCACGGCTTCTTTTGCTGACCCGGAGCTGGCAGAATTTGAAGCCATGGACCTAGATGCCCAGCTGGATAGGTTGGAAAAACTCAGCTCTCCTGTTGGTAAGACAAAGTCCAGGGCAGTGGAAGAAGCAATGGAGAGACTGAAGATCTGGCAGTCTGCTGAATTGGAGCTGGATGAGGATAGAGAGGCCTTTGATCAGTTGATGAAGGATCTGGATCTGCTGCATAGACAGAACATGGCCCCAAGACCCATTCTTGAGATGAGTCTTGTCTTGGCAAGGGACGTGCTCAACCTTCACGACCGTTATGAAGACCTGAAGCCTACCTTCGAAACCTCTGAGTTCTGCAAGGCCACTCATGAAGCCAACTTGGCTGATTTTGCAAAGCAGAAGGCAGAACTGGACCAGATGGTTGCGGGGTATAAAGAAGCCAAAGCTGCTGGGGATAAATTGGAAAAAGAGATTGCAGAACTTCAAAAGCAGCTGGCAGAGCGTCGGGAAGTGCAGCACAGGCTCGGGGCTGGATTGAGTTCTAAGACCAAGGCTACTTTCCTTGTGCAGAACATGGTTGCAGCTTCTAGGCCTGCCCTGGAGATTGCAGAAGCTTCAATTCATCAGGGTGTGCTGCTCCAAAAGGAACTTTCTACCAAGAAGACTAACCTGCAGGAGACTCTTAGAAAACTAGGATTTTAATTTCGTTATTTTTCGCTTTTCTGAACAGCTTGCCGTGGGGAAGGCCCCATGGTTTATTTATTTTTAAATAAAGTTCATTTTATTTCTATTGATGGATCGAATGGAAAACAGAAGTAGGAATACAACAAAGGGATAGACTTAAGGTAAAAACAAGGGTAACTTTCAAAAGATTTTTAGTTAAACTCCTGTGTCTATCCCCGGGTCTGTTTGTACAGCCTGTGAATCCCACATGGTTGGATAAAACTTTTTTAACCATTTGCCATTGATCGGGGCCGTATGAACTTCTCCATCCCTATCCTGCAACCTGTATGCCCCCATTCCAAGGATCTGGCTGATTATGAAAGGGACCTTCCCATGTAGGTGACCATTTTCCATAACCAGCCACATGTGTTCCAAGGGGCAGAACTGCTTTCCAGACTATCTCCCCTTCTTCAAAACTCTTGTTCCTGACTCTTTTGTTGTAGGCCCTTGATACAGCCTGTTTTCCTGCCAGGAGTTTGTTGAGAGTGTCAATTCTGGCTGCATCCAATCCTTCCAGTTCCAGCAGCATGGCCTGGGAGTAGTCTTCTCCTACTAAGTCATGTTGGTGAGCAATTCTGAGGGACTGAACAGCTATCTCCATAGGCAGAATTGCATCATGACCGTAGGTTAACGCGTAGGGAGTCATGCCAGTCGCTTCTCTCTTTGAAGTTCTATATGCCCACAGAGTTTCTGACAGCTTCTCATGCCATTGTTTTGGATTCTTTTCAAGCATTTTCCTGATAATGTTGATGATTACTTTGTTGCTTGATTCCGCCTGTCCATTGGCTTGGGCATAATAAGGAGTGGATTGGAGCAGTCTGAATTTGAATGCCTCTGCCATGTCCAGCATTTCTCTAGATATGAAAGATGACCCTCTATCAGTTGTGATTGATTCTGGGATGCCAAATCTTTGGATAATCTGTTCTTCTATGAAAATGATGATCTCTTGAGATGTAGTGGATTTAACAGCCTTGGCCTCCACCCACTTGGTGAAGTAGTCTGTGGCAACAATGATAAAGCAGTGCTGCTGGCTGCTGGCTGGATAGATCTTGCCAATAAGATCCATTGCCCATCCTCTAAAGGGCCATGGTTTTACCACTGGATTCATGGGAACTGATGGAGCCTGCTGGACTGGGCCGTGTCTTTGACAAGATTCACACCCCTTGGAATAGTTAATGCAATCTTTCATCATGGTTGGCCAGAAGTAGCCATATCTCCTAATTAACCAGCACATTTTTCTTCCCACCTTGATGTGCTCCACAGATTCCTTCATGGGTTTCCCCCATAACTTTCATGTATTCTTTCTTCCCGAGGCACCTTAAAAGCACCTCATCCTTACTCTTTCGGACCAAATCTTCATTCCACATAAGGTAGTTTAAAGCCATGATTCTGACTTTCTTCTCAGAGGGCAAAGTTGGATATCGTAGATAGGTCATGATAGGATTCCTCCAATCATCTTCAGTGATTGTGGCAGAGTTGACATCTATCTCCATCCCCCTGGCCAGAACCGATGGTAAGCTTTTCTTTCCTATCTTGATGATTCTTTGTACACAGTCTTCGGGTATTTGTATGCCTGTTGCCACCTGGGCCAATTCATTGGCTGCAAAATTTTCTTCCCTTGGGATATGTTCCCAAGTGGCCTCTCTGAATTCTGTCAGAAGATTCCTAGCTGCCACCAAGTAGACAGCCAAGAAGGGCTTAGGCACTTGTATTCCCCAGCAATTTGTTTTAGAACCAGCATGGAATCTCCCAGGATTTCCACAGACTGGATTCCTAATTCTACCAGCATTTCCAAGCCAATGATTAAGGCTTCATATTCTGCCCTATTGTTGGTGCATTGGAAATCTAATTGGAAAGAGTAGCAGTGTCTGATTCCAAGTGGTTCTTCCAAAACAATTCCTGCCCCGGAAGTTATATCAGTTTTTGATCCATCAAAGTATAGCTTCCAAGGTGTAAGATGACTGAGTAGATAGGATTGTTGAGGCAGGTATGAGCTCTGGTTAATAGATCTGCATTTGCTATGTCTAAAGAGTCCATATTTTCAATCTCCTCTCCGGGATGATCTGCTAGGAAGTCTGCCACAGCTTGTCCTTTGACGGCTTTCTGAGGGAACATATCTGAAGGCAAATTCTGTCAAGGCCAAGGTCCATTTTCCAATTCTGCCTCTCAGCATTGGTCTTGTCAGCATGTATTTGATCAGATCTGTTTTGGCAATGATATAGATGGTGTGGTAGCATGTAATGTCTGAGCTTTACAGCAGTGAAGTACAAGGCTAGGCAAAGTCTCTCAATTGCAGAATATTTCCTTTCCACTTCTGTCAGAGTTCTGCTTAGGTAGTAAACCGCCTGTTCCTTTCCTTCCTTGTTATCCTGAACCAATAAACTTCCAATGGATACTTCTGATGCAGATATATAGAGCTTGAGTGGCCTGCCTCTCTTTGGCGGGGACAGAACTGGTGGATTTGAGAGGTAATGCTTGATTTCCTCAAAAGCTTGCTGGTGTTGTTCTTCCCACTTAAAGGTTTGTTCCTGTTTCAACCTTAACAAAGAAGAGAAAGGCTGGATCTTTCCTGCAGAATTGGATATAAATCTCCTTAAAAAATTAATTTTTCCTAAGAGACTTTGCAATTCTTTCTTGTTCCTAGGCGGTAAAGCTTCTATGATGGATTTTGCTTTGTTCTTGTCGATCTCTATGCCTCTTTGGTGGACCAAGAATCCTAGGAAATTTCCCGCTTGAACTCCAAAAACGCACTTCTTTGGGTTCATTTTTCAGTTTATGTTGCCTCATTCTGAGGAATGCTCTTCTTAGATTTGTCATGTGGTTTCCCTCCTCTGGTGATTTGATCACAACATCATCAATATACACTTCCAAGGAATGCCCTATCATATCGTGGAAAACAGAATTCATTGCCCTTTGATAGGTAGCCCCTGCATTTCTCAAGCCAAAAGGCATTACAGTGTATTCAAAAGCACCTATATGCCCTGGACACATGAAGGCTGTCTTGTGGATGTCTTCTTCTGCCATCATGATCTGATTGTAACCTGCGTTGCCATCCATAAAAGATAGCATCTGGTTGTGGGCAGCTCCATCTACTAGCATGTCTGCCATTGGCATAGGGTATTCATCCTTGGGAGAGGCTTCATTCAGGTTTCTGTAATCCACGCAGATTCTGACTGCCCCAGTTTTCCTTTTTAGAACTGGTACAATGTTAGCTAGCCAATCAGCATAGATGGCAGGCCTGATGAATCCTGCTTTGAGCAGCCTTTCTATTTCTTCTTTGACTTTCAGTTCTGTGTCCATGGACATTCTTCTTCTGGCCTGTTTGACTGGAAGGTATCCCTCTTTGATTGGTAGCTTGTGTTCTACCAATTCCCTGTCTAATCCTGGCATCTCGTGATAATGCCAAGCAAAACAGTCTTTGAACTCTTGTAGAAGTGCAACGAGTTCATTCTTAAGTGGTTCTTTCAATAGTGCGCTGATGAAGGTTGGCCTTGGATCCTCCTCTGTTCCCAAATTTATTTCCTGCAAAGGATCTTCTACTTCTGGCAGAGAGTCATCCAATGCGGCTGGTGCGAAATCTAGCACTTCCTCCTGTAGTTCCTCTTCCTCCTGGCTTTCCGTACTTTCATGAGTGAATTCTGCCATATTGATGGCTGGATTCTGTGCAAACAACCTTCTTTCCTCCCAGTATATCAACAATCTTTTTGTAATGGACCGGATTGTTGCAGCTCGATCCTTTTCTTGTTGATTGGGACTAAACATCAGTGCTTTGGAAATTTAGGACAAAAGGTCTGTTCCAATCCTCCAAAGAATTGGTTAGACCTTCTTCAATGAGTCTCTGGGCCGTGACACCATGGGGGCGGCCGTTCTGGTTGACTCCAAAGAAAGTGAAAGGACCAAGGTCATCATGATAGTACCTTGCCTCACAACACATGGCAGAAGGTAGGAATGGCCGTGGATCGGCCTCTACTATCTCCATGTAGCCATCTTCGTTCCATAAAGCTAACTGTTGATGAAGAGTGGAAGGAACACACAGACTCTGATGAATCCAATCTCTGCCAAGCAATGCATTGTAAGTGGTGGAAGTAGTATCTACCACAAAGAATGCAACCTTCAGCTTCTTGCTTCCTACCAAGACATCTACATCCAGAATCCCAAGGGTTTTGGTGATGCCCCCTGCGAAGTTGGTGACGGTCAGGCGGGTTGGGATTAGATCCTTTCTCTGTTCTGCCCATTTTGCTCAGCATTCTGTGAGGCAGAAGGTTGATGGCTGCACCTCCATCTACCATGGTTTTGGGGATAGGAACACCCCCAAAGTTTGCTGTTATGAAACAAGGGTCTGAGGTGGTTTGCCATTTCTTTGGTTGGTTTGGAGAAGCAAAGGGGACCTGTTGTCAGCTTGTGGGTTGCTCCTTCTATCCTGGGATTGCCTGTTTGCTGTTCTGGCATTTCTTCCGTTTCTGCCAACCTGCATTCAAAACTTTCTTGGGAAAATACGTCTCCATCCAGAGTGCTCTTCTGTCCTTCTACCGCCCAGAACTTTTCTGGCAGAATGAACACCATATTGATGCCTAGGTCAACACGTAACAAGTCCTCCAGTTCTGCACCAAAGGCCTCAGTTTCCGCATCCAACTCTCCGTCATATCCATCTGTTCTCCATCATATTCCTCCGTCCATTCTCCCAGTTCTTCTGTCCCGAGGAGGGTATTCTGGTCATCTGTAGATGGCTCATAATCCAGCTGCTCCTCTTCATCTTCCTCAACCCAGTCTTCTTGTCCTTCTCCTGGAACAGGATCGGTTCTTTCCTCTAGTTGGGGAGTTTCAAGTAGACCTCCTGAGGCGGGAGGGCAGGATGGATAGAAGGTTTCTCTGAGGATTCTGCTTTTGTCAACTTCTGTAGTTGAGAGATTGCTTGTTCTGTCTGGGGAAGTATTTCTGGTCCTTTCCCTTTTTTGGCAGAATTGGCATTTGGAAGCACCTGTGCGTTTTTCTCGTTGTTGAGGAATGTGCAGTACTGTCTCTGAACCCTCCTCCTTTGGGTTCTTGTCAGCTCCATTGTTGGTCTGCCATTCTTCCCGACAGAGTACCACCTGCCTTCAATGATGGCCGCCAAAGGTTTGTCACTTCCGGGCACTTTTATTGATATTTCCTCCTTGGGCTGCTTAGTCACTCTTCTGTTGGATTGGACAGGCCTAGGGTAATTTCTCTGTCTGACCCTATCATGGGGCGTGGTTCCGATCCGGTCAAAAACACTTGGAGTGGGCAGCTCCTGTTTTTCCAGGACTACTTCCAACTCAGCCTCACAATTGCACCTGCTGCAGAGCACTATTCCAGCTGAAATGGTTGCTTTTGGTCTTTCCATAGTCTCCTTTGAAACTATTCTGCTTCCACTGGAGCCAGCCTGCATGGCTGGTCTGTCCTTCTTCCGTTCTGGCCAATTTAGGTTGACCATGTTAACTTGTGGCTGGGGAAAAGGATCTGTGGTGACAGATGGAGGTTTCTCTGCTAGCTTCAGCCTTCCTGCTGTTATTCCTTCCTGTATGACATCTCTGAAAACAACACAACTATTGGTAGAATGATTCCAAGAATTGTGCCATCTGCAATACTGTCTGCCCTTGAGTTCTTCTGGCTTGGGCATTCTGTGAGGTGTCTCTATTGCTTTCTGTAGCAACATTTCATCGAACAAGGCATCTACTTTGGTCAGATCGAAGGAATACACTTTGTTCTGCATGGGTTTGTTTGGAACAAACCCTCCTGTGAATGGTGGCGGCTTCTGATCCCTTGGGGTTTTGTAAGAGTTTTACAACTGATGGGATGCTTTAATTTTGCCATTTCCGCAACTGCAACCTCTCTCTCCTCTGATTCCTCCGCATCTTCTTCTGACTCTACTTCAATCATATGTATTGAGGAGGAAGGGGATTTATAATACGTGCCTTTGGAAGAGTTTCTCTTCTGCTGTTCCTCTCTGAGCAATTCCTCGTACTTGGCCGCTTTATCTGCCAGTTCTGCCAGATCTCCAAACAGCATCCCATCAAATCTTTTCCTCAGAGAGATTTTGAGGGCAGCCTGAGCCATTTGAATGAAGTGTCTTTCTTCGATGGGGATTCGGCACTTCATTTTGAGCTTCCTGAACCTGTTTATAAAGTCTTGGGCAGGTTCATCTTCACTCTGTTTGAGAGCTGCAAGGTCACTGATGGTGACTTCTGGCTGAATCCTGTAATAGTAGTCATGGAAGACGCTCTCCATTTGCTCCCATGTCTGAATGGAATTTGCTGGCAGAGTAGTGTACCAGTGAAAGCTTGTCCAGAGAGAGAATTCCCAAAAAGCCTTAGCTTTAGCAGTGGGTTATTCTCTATGGCTATGCATTGGGTAGAAAATCTGCCTACGTGCTCAACTGATGAAGCATGAGGATCCTCTCCGTTGAATAAAGTGAAGTTTGGTACTTTAAAGCCTGGGGACAAGGGTATCTGATCAATGTAAGGTGGATATGGCTTCCTATAGGTGGGCCTTTCCCCCCTCCTGGCCTCAGGCTCCATCATTTCCCTGATCATCCTCTGCAATGCCCCCACGTCATTTAGAGCATTAACAGGGGGAGGTTTTGTCCCTGTTCTGGCTGGGCATGATTGAATCGTGGTTCTGCCCTATATGGTCTAGGCAGAACTTCTTCCCTGTGCTCCTCCGGCTCCTCCAGGCCTGGGTGGTTCCTCCAGTTTGCCCCCTGCCTGTTCCTGTCGTTATTAGCATAAGGGTAATTTCCCCCTCTGCCTCTCCTTCCTCTTGCAGGTGGAGGGAATGGATTGGGGTCCATCCTTCTGGGCCTGTAGGGTACCACTGCTGGCTGTTCAGGCAGAATTTCCATAGGGTGATCTTGTGGGGCCGCTTGTTGCGGAGCAGGCTGAGGCTCTTGCTGATTCTGTGGAACTTGTCCTGGCGCAGGACCTTCTGGCCGTATTGGGGCCAGACGTTCTTGGATAGGAAAAGCCACTTCCCCGTGTCCAGCCTGGATTCCTCCCCGTTCTGGTATCCCAGCTATCTGTGCAACAAGAGGATTCTCTTGATATGGCCACGCCAACCCTGGTGGGGGACCATAGGGAAGGTCTAGTTGCTGGACCACCTCATCGGGATTGGGAATTCTGGCCATGGCAGCCTCTCGATCCTTCCTGAATTGCCTGTTGACCTGCCATTGCATCATGGCTGTCATATTGTTTAGAGTATCCTGGCTCTTTGTGTTGTGACCTCTTGTCGTAACACAGATTCCTGTATCAGGTTCATCCTTCTGGAACCGGTCCTGGACCTCCTACTCCCTGTGCTGCCATGTGCTGAATGCCGGGCATCACTTTCTTCTGATTCCAGTCCTTCCCTGAGGGCCACTTGGTTTATTTCCATGCCGTGGTGTGGGTTCTGGCTAGAGCTTCCGGTATTCATGAACTGGTGAAGAACTCAATGAGAATATGTATACTGAGAAGTCCCACTGGGCGTGCCAAATTGTTCACCCGTTTTGTGTTTACTCCTATGATGGAAGGGCAAAGTTCCCCACTGCCTTGAGAACCATAGACTGGTCCACAAGTCAGCTTTCTTTGGTGTGCGAGCGTGCCACTGCTAGTAATGAAAAGTCTAGCAGACTTAGTCTGGAATGGATAACTTGCGCCCCAAGTTACTGATTTCCTAAACAAACGATTGTGAATTTGGGTGAGGAATATCTCCCAAGTAAGTTCTTTTCTTGCCTCAGACTGGTGAGGACTTTATAATTTATCTCAGTATAAAGAGGTTGTTCTGGCCAGAATAGTTGATGAAATTTAAGCTGTTTTTGGGCGGAAGTGCCTTTTACAAGACTACAAAAATACATGTCGATGCCAAAAAGATAAAAGATAGCTAGATCTCCATTTCTGCCTGGATGGGAGGCTCTGTGATGGGCTGGACTGGGAATGTCTGGGCTGGACTGGACCGTAGACAACTCTGATTGCCCGATTTTCAACTACAAATCGATGCCAAAGGTTGATTCTGGCAGAGCTTTAATGTACCTCAAGCTTTTGTGAAGCTTCTGAGTAGGCAGAACTGCGGTTTCTTCAGTCTGAAAGGGCAGAAGTGGCTGTTCTTGAGGACGTTGGTGAGCTAGAGGCTATTCCGTGAATTTGGCTGGGGTTTTCCATACTTGGAGGAGATTCAAACTCTGCTTGTGTTGGTTTTTGCTGAACCAAATTTGTAACGAGAGAAATCTCGTTTTGAATGACTTGCTTCCTAAATCTGGATTCTGGGCATTCTGATCTGGGGCTGGTTTTTCACTTGAAATTCAAGTGGACTTGTTGGTTGACTCTGAGCTTGTTTATGTGACGGTTTACCTGTGTAGGACCTTTGTTTGGTTGAGTGATGAAATTTTTGTTGTAAGATTGATTGTCCTTTGCCCTGTTCACTCCTTCTTGTATTTATAAGAAATGTCTTCTGGAGTAGGGTAATTCTTTTAATAATGGGCGGCAAATCCTTTCAAAAGATCTTCCCTTTAAAAATGGAAAAGAGAAAAAGGGGATTTCATCAGTTTTTGGTAGATAGGTTCTCAACAGATAGGCAATCACTTTCCCTGATTTTCTTGAAATCTCTTTCCTAATTTCAACTGCCCCCTGCGATATTTTGCCCGTGATGGTTAGTTTGACTCCTTTTCTGGACAGCTTCCTGCTTTCCTGCTTATCCCTCTCTGAGATTGTAACTTGCTTATCTCCTTGGGAGAATTACCTTCTCTGAAAAGACAGGAGAAAAAATCTCTGATATGTATATATATATATATATGTGTAAGAGGGATTTGATCTTCAGTTTTTCCAGAATCAATCTTGATATTATGAACCCTTCAATTACTTCTCCTGTGACAGTTGCCATTGCTGACTTTTCTTTTTTCCAGAGATGTCACGTGGGATTGTTCCTACTTCTGGGCTTTCTTCTTCTTTTATATTGGGCCTGTGAGGCCCAGATTAGCCTTGTCTATTTTGACGAGTCTTGGGCTGGTCTCCTCTGGCTTTTGGGCTTCCATCTCTCTTTGATTTTTTTTTTTTTTTTTTTTTTTTTTTTTTTTTTTTTTTTTTTTTTTTTTTTTTTTTTTTTTTTTTTTTTTTTTTTTTTTTTTTTTTTTTTTTTTTTTTTTTTTTTTTTTTTTTTTTTTTTTTTTTTTTTTTTTTTTTTTTTTTTTTTTTTTTTTTTTTTTTTTTTTTTTTTTTTTTTTTTTTTTTTTTTTTTTTTTTTTTTTTTTTTTTTTTTTTTTTTTTTTTTTTTTTTTTTTTTTTTTTTTTTTTTTTTTTTTTTTTTTTTTTTTTTTTTTTTTTTTTTTTTTTTTTTTTTTTTTTTTTTTTTTTTTTTTTTTTTTTTTTTTTTTTTTTTTTTTTTTTTTTTTTTTTTTTTTTTTTTTTTTTTTTTTTTTTTTTTTTTTTTTTTTTTTTGTGTTTACTCCTATGATGGAAGGGCAAAGTTCCCCACTGCCTTGAGAACCATAGACTGGTCAACAAGTCAGCTTTCTTTGGTGTGCGAGCGTGCCACTGCTAGTAATGAACAGTCTAGCAGACTTAGTCTGGAATGGATAACTTGCGCCCCAAGTTACTGATTTCCTAAACAAACGATTGTGAATTTGGGTGAGGAATATCTCCCAAGTAAGTTCTTTTCTTGCCTCAGACTGGTGAGGACTTTAACAATTTATCTCAGTATAAAGAGGTTGTTCTGGCCAGAATAGTTGATGAAATTTAAGCTGTTTTTGGGCGGAAGTGCCTTTTACAAGACTACAAAAATACATGTCGATGCAAAAAAGATAAAGAGATAGCTAGATCTCCATTTCTGCCTGGATGGGAGGCTCTGTGATGGGCTGGACTGGGAATGTCTGGGCTGGACTGGATCGTAGACAACTCTGATTGCCCGATTTTCAACTACAAATCGATGCCAAAGGTTGATTCTGGCAGAGCTTTAATGTACCTCAAGCTTTTGCGAAGCTTCTGAGTAGGCAGAACTGCGGTTTCTTCAGTCTGAAAGGGCAGAAGTGGCTGTTCTTGAGGACGTTGGTGAGCTAGAGGCTATTCCGTGAATTTGGCTGGGGTTTTCCATACTTGGAGGAGGCTCAAACTCTGCTTGTGTTGGTTTTTGCTGAACCAAATTTGTAACGAGAGAAATCTCGTTTTGAATGACTTGCTTCCTAAGTCTGGATTCTGGGCATTCTGATCTGGGGACTGGTTTTTCACTTGAAATTCAAGTGGACTTGTTGGTCGACTCTGAGCTTGTTTATGTGACGGTTTGCCTGTGTAGGACCTTTGTTTGGTTGAGTGATGAAATTTTTGTTGTAAGATTGATTGTCCTTTGCCCTGTTCACTCCTTCTTGTATTTATAAGAGATGTCTTCTGGAGTAGGGTAATTCTTTTAATAATGGGCGGCAAATCCTTTCAAAAGATCTTCCTTTTAAAAAATGGAAAAGAAAAGAAAGAAAAGAGGTTTCCTCAGTTTTTGGTAGATAGGTTCTCAACAGATAGGCAATCACTTCCCTGATTTTCTTGAAAAGGAACCTAATCTCTTTCCCAATTTCAACTGCCCCTGCGATATTTTGCCCGTGATGGTTAGTTTGACTCCTTTTCTGGACAGCTTCCTGCTTTCCTGCTTATCCCTCTCTGAGATTGTAACTTGCTTATCTCCTTGGGAGAATTACCTTCTGAAAAGACAGGGAAAAAAATCTCTGAGTATGTATATATATATCATGTATGTGTGAGAGGGATTTGATCTTTAGCTTTTCCAGAATCAATCTTGATATTATGAACCCTTCAATTACTTCTCCTGTGACAGTTGCCATTGCTGACTTTTCTTTTTTCAGAGAGGTCACGTGGGATTGTTCCTACTTCTGGGCTTTCTTCTTTCTTTTATATTGGGCCTGTGAGGCCCAGATTTGTGAGTTTTGGGCTGGTCTCCTCTGGCTTTTGGGCTTCCATCTTTCTTTGATTTTTTGCAGCTTCATTCTGGGCCTAAATTTTGCTGGGCTGGGTATGCCAATTTGTGGCCCAAACAATGCCCCCTTAAGTCTGAATCGTTTTGGAACGGTTTTCAGACTTAAATGACATGGCCATTAAATTGGCGCGTGGTAAATTCCTTCATTTATCCCACGTCTGCCACGCTTCCCCACTAAGCTAGTGCTCGTGTGGCGCAGTTTCTTCAGTTACTAGCCCTTTATTAGCTTAGTCACTATCAGATTGACGCTTTGTCTTCTCCACGTCGCTGTCATCTCTTTCCCACGTTTTCTGGCTTCTTTAAAAGTCTTTCGAAAACCACTGTTCCTGTTCACCTGAAAACCTAGTATTTTCAAACTTGATTCCCTTCGTGTTTTCGAAGAACTTCCTTTTGCTTGATCCTGCCTTGCCCTTCCTGTGAACCCCCCTTTTAGAAAAAAATAACTTTCCAAGAGATGTCTTCCCCGAAATCCCGTGCTCAGTCTTCCTCTGTTCCAGTTCTTCCAGACTATATTACTGGGGCTGGAATCGATAGTCATGCGATAGAGGTTAGGAGCAAGCTCCATCCTTTTGCCCAGAAAAACCTGGATGAAAATGTCCTCCATTTATTTGAAAACACCTTGGTGCTGGGGCCTCACTGGTTTGGCCCCGTTCCTCCCGAGATGGCGGAGTTGATGAAGAAGGATGCTGAGGCCCCGCTATGTTTCGAGAGCTCTTCTGCCCTGGCTTCTCATTCTTGGGTCAGCAAGAATTTGAGTCGTTCGTTCCCATCCAGTGAGTGAGAAATAGTCCAATCAAGTGGGCTGATTGGATTGACAGACTTCTTCCTCGATTTGGGGCTCACTGGAAGCGGGCTGGAATCTATGACGCCATTCTCCTATCCAGGCAATCTATCAACAGGGATGAGAATCTGCTTGCTGCTGCTTTGTGCTTCTGGAACTCTGCCAGTAACACTTTTGATTTCCGTATAGGCCCCATGGCTCCCACTCTGCTGGATATGGCCCAGATTTTTGGTTTTAGGCCTCACGGAAGACCTGTTGATGCCATTGGTGATTATCACAGGAAGAAGGACCAGCAGAAGCTAGCCAAGCCATTCACTATTTCCCCAGCCTTGATCAACCAGAATTGCTCCTTCTCCAACTATCTCAGAAAATTTAGTGCTGAGAAGGACAAAGATCAGCAGCATATGTTGTTTCTCCTGTATTGGCTGAACAGGTTTATTCTGCCCAATCGTTCTTCTGCAGTTCTGCTTGAGTACAGACATCTGGCAGAAGCTCTGCATAATCACACTGATGTTGGCCTTGGACCTACAGTTCTGGCCCATCTGTTCAAGAACCTGCATACCGCTACTCTGGAGTATCCGCTGAATCTGTCTGCTCCTGGTGCCTTCTGGATGATTCAGATCTGGCTGCAGGTCTATTTTCCTGAGTTAAGGTATCCAGACATAGTTCTGCCTGAGAACCAGGTTCTGGCTCAACCGTTGCTGTCAGCAGAAGTCCCCAAGCGGTCAATTGATGAATACCTGATGATGTTCAGGCATTGTACCAAGAGGTCTGCAGCGCAGTGGCAAGTGGTGATCAGGAGGACCTATCCTTGGTTTCAACCTGGACATCGTCTGTTTGAGAAGGAGCCAGAAGAAGAATCCGCCAGAACTGATTTTAGGAAGAAGTTCCTGAGTGTGACCTTACCCAGAGATCTGCCTCACGGAGGGAGGGAAAGCCTCCAAATTATCATTTGGGGGCGGAAGTCTATCATCCCAACTTCTGTGCAAGGCAGCTCGGCTGCCCTCAGCTCATACCCCTCAAGTCATACAGAAGCTGCAATCGGGGCTCTTCTTGGAGGGATGCAGATGACTTGGAGGTCCACAAAGATGCCAGGTGTGCCGTGAACAAGATTAACAACAGTGCAGATGCCCTCTATCCTTCCTGGGAATTGAACTCCTGCAGTTCTGTGGAGTTTGACGCTTGGTGGAAAGCCAGATTCCGTGATCTGCCTGCTTCTAGCACCGCACTTCAGGTCCTTTTTAAAGGCTGGGACAATTGGAATGTCCATTCAGACGACGAGACTCACAGATTCATGGTGCAGACCATCAAAGACATCAACATGCAAATTATAGAAGGTAATCCCTCAATTCTGTTTGTTGTTGCCCATTCTGTGTTTTAGTGATGATGCTAATCCTTTCTATCTGTACTCAGATCCCTCTCTGACAAAGAATATAGGCAGCCAACCAGCCCAAAGCGGAGAGGTGTTTGGTAAGTTGTGTTTTTTGTCCAGTCTTTGGCTACTCTCTACTGGATTGACCTTTGACTTTTGTCTTCTGCATAGTCAATTCTGTCATTGCTGCTGGAGATCTGGAGTTGCCCTCCGGGGATGGAGAGGAGGAAGAAGAAGAAGAGAGAGGGAGATCAGGTAGAACAGACTCCTGTTGAGGCCACTTCTCCTGTCAAAAGAAAAAGAAAAGAAACTGCCCAGTCTGTGGCTCCAGGTATTCTTTGATGTTTCCCCTTTGAGTTCTTCATAATCCTGTTCTGTCTTAATCTTTAAGACTTATTCTGTCTGTTTGCAGTTGGAGGTCCCTCTCCTCCTCTTACTAAGTCAAAAAGACTTAGAAAGAAGATTGTAGAAGAATACGTGGCCCCGGAGGGAACTGGGGCAGTTCCTACCACCACTTCTGGCACGGATGACGATCTACGAGAGGCTTTCGAGGCTGTGGAGCAAGAAAGGGAGCTGGAAGAGCTAGAAGAAGCAGGAGAGGGGCCCCAAGAGAAGGCCAAGTCAGTGGAGGAAGAGGTGAGTCTGTATTTATATCTGGGAGTATTTGTTCCTGCTGCACCTTGATTTATTCTGTTCTGACTTTCGTGCATTCTGTAGGAGGAGATCCCTGCTGAGGTGATAGCGGAAAGTATTGCCTTGGCTCGGAAGCAGCAGGAGGATATGGGGACGAGACTAACTAACTCAGAGGTGGCCCTCTTTGATGATCCGGAGGCGGAACATTCTACTGCTGCTCCAGCAGATGAGGACCAAGTGGAACAATCCGGATCAGAGCCTGGGGATCAGGCAGAACAAGTGGTTCCTGCTCCTGAAACCGTAGTAGGAGTGGCTGCTGCCGTTCCCGGGTTTGTGGTGAGTTCTGTCCCTATTCTGTCTTTTCCTATTTCATGTGGTGTTGTTCTGTCCCTCTATCCCTCTGACCCTCAAATTTCTACAGGTAGAAACACAGAGAACTGCTGGGACCTTGGCGGTGAGGACCACCCCTTTGCAGCCTCCGATTGTTGCTGTGAGTGTCCTTTTTTGTACTCTATCTTCTTCTTTTTGTCTCTGCCTTGTTTTTGACTTTATGCTTCCTTCCGCAGATGCCTATTCATTCCCTTGCAGGTTCATCTGCCACGGCTTCTTTTGCTGACCCGGAGCTGGCAGAATTTGAGGCCATGGACCTAGATGCCCAGCTGGATAAGTTGGAAAAGCTCAGCTCTCCTGTTGGTAAGACAAAGTCCAGGGCAGTGGAAGAAGCAATGGAGAGATTGAAGATCTGGCAGTCTGCTGAATTGGAGCTGGATGAGGACAGAGAGGCCTTTGATCAACTGATGAAGGATCTGGACCTGCTGCATAGACAGAACATGGCCCCAAGACCCATACTTGAGATGAGTCTTGTCTTGGCAAGGGATGTGCTTAACCTTCACGACCGTTATGAAGACCTGAAGCCTACCTTCAAAACCTCTGAGTTCTGCAAGGCCACTCATGAAGCCAACTTGGCTGATTTTGCAAAGCAGAAGGCAGAACTGGACCAGATGGTTGCGGGGTATAAAGAAGCCAAAGCTGCTGGGGATAAATTGGAAAAAGAGATTGCAGAACTTCAAAAACAGCTGGCAGAGCGTCGGGAAGTGCAGCACAGGCTCGGGGCTGGATTGAGTTCTAAGACCAAGGCCACTTTCCTTGTGCAGAACATGGTTGCAGCTTCTAGGCCAGCCCTGGAGATTGCAGAAGCTTCAATTCATCAGGGTGTGCTGCTCCAAAAGGAACTTTCTACCAAGAAGACTAACCTGCAGGAGACTCTTAGAAAACTAGGATTTTGATTTCGTTATTCTTTGCTTTTCTGAACAGCTTGCCGTGGGGAAGGCCCCATGGTTTATTTATTTTTGAATAAAGTTCATTTTATTTCTATTGATGGAACGAACGGAAAACAGAAGTAGGAATACAACAAAGGGATAGACTGAAAGTAAATCTAAAACAAGGGTAACTTTTCAAAAGATTTTTAGTTAAATCCTGTGTCTATCCCCAGGGTCTGTTTGTACAGCCTGTGAATCCCACATGGTTGGATAAAACTTTTTTAACCATTTGCCATTGATCGGGGCCGTATGAATTTCTCCATCCCTATCCTGCAACCTGTATGCCCCCATTCCAAGGATCTGGTTGATTATGAAAGGGCCTTCCCATGTAGGTGACCATTTTCCATAACCAGCCACATGTGTTCCAAGGGGCAGAACTGCTTTCCAGACTATCTCCCCTTCTTCAAAACTCTTGTTCCTGACTCTCTTGTTGTAGGCCCTTGATACAGCCTGTTTTCCTGCCAGGAGTTTGTTGAGAGTGTCAATTCTGGCTGCATCCAATCCTTCCAGTTCCAGCAGCATGGCCTGGGAGTAGTCTTCTCCTACTAAGTCATGTTGGTGAGCAATTCTGAGGGACTGAACAGCTATCTCCATAGGCAGAATTGCATCATGACCGTAGGTTAACGCATAGGGAGTCATGCCAGTCGCTTCTCTTTTTGAAGTTCTATATGCCCACAGAGTTTCTGACAGCTTCTCATGCCATTGTTTTGGATTCTTTTCAAGCATTTTCCTGATAATGTTGATGATCACTTTGTTGCTTGACTCCGCCTGTCCATTGGCTTGGGCATAATAAGGAGTGGATTGGAGCAGTCTGAATTTGAATGCCTCTGCCATGTCCAGCATTTCTCTAGATATGAAAGATGACCCTCTATCAGTTGTGATTGATTCTGGGATGCCAAATCTTTGGATAATCTGTTCTTCTATGAAAATGATGATCTCTTGAGATGTAGTGGATTTAACAGCCTTGGCCTCCACCCACTTGGTGAAGTAGTCTGTGGCAACAATGATAAAGCAGTGCTGCTGGCTGCTGGCTGGATAGATCTTGCCAATAAGATCCATTGCCCATCCTCTAAAGGGCCATGGTTTTACCACTGGATTCATGGGAACTGATGGAGCCTGCTGGACTGGGCCGTGTCTTTGACAAGATTCACACCCCTTGGAATAGTTAATGCAATCTTTCATCATGGTTGGCCAGAAGTAGCCATATCTCCTAATTAACCAACACATTTTTCTCCCACCTTGATGTGCTCCACAGATTCCTTCATGGGTTTCCCCCATAACTTTCATGTATTCTTTCTTCCCGAGGCACCTTAAAAGCACCTCATCCTTGCTCTTTCGGACCAAATCTTCATTCCACATAAGGTAGTTTAAAGCCATGATTCTGACTTTCTTCTCAGAGGGCAAAGTTGGATATCGTAGATAGGTCATGATAGGATTCCTCCAATCATCTTCAGTGATTGTGGCAGAGTTGACATCTATCTCCATCCCCCTGGCCAGAACCGATGGTAGGCTTTTCTTTCCTACCTTGATGATTCTTTGCACACAGTCTTCGGGTATTTGTATGCCTGTTGCCACCTGGGCCAATTCATTGGCTGCAAAATTTTCTTCCCTTGGGATATGTTCCCAAGTGGCCTCTCTGAATTCTGTCAGAAGATTCCTAGCTGCCACCAAGTAGACAGCCAAAGAAGGGCTTAGGCACTTGTATTCCCCAGCAATTTGTTTTAGAACCAGCATGGAATCTCCCAGAATTTCCACAGACTGGATTCCTAATTCTACCAGCATTTCCAAGCCAATGATTAAGGCTTCATATTCTGCCCTATTGTTGGTGCATTGGAAATCTAATTGGAAAGAGTAGCAGTGTCTGATTCCAAGTGGTTCTTCCAAAACAATTCCTGCCCCGGAAGTTATATCAGTTTTTGATCCATCAAAGTATAGCTTCCAAGGTGTAAGATGGACTGAGTAGATAGGATTGTTGAGGCAGGTATGAGCTCTGGTTAATAGATCTGCATTCGCTATGTCTAAAGAGTCCATATTTTCAATCTCCTCTCCGGGATGATCTGCTAGGAAGTCTGCCACAGCTTGTCCTTTGACGGCTTTCTGAGGGACATATCTGAAGGCAAATTCTGTCAAGGCCAAGGTCCATTTTCCAATTCTGCCTCTCAGCATTGGTCTTGTTAGCATGTATTTGATCAGATCTGTTTTGGCAATGATATAGATGGTGTGTGGTAGCATGTAATGTCTGAGCTTTACAGCAGTGAAGTACAGGGCTAGGCAAAGTCTCTCAATTGCAGAATATTTCCTTTCCACTTCTGTCAGAGTTCTGCTTAGGTAGTAAACCGCCTGTTCCTTTCCTTCCTTGTTATCCTGAACCAATAAACTTCCAATGGATACTTCTGATGCAGATATATAGAGCTTGAGTGGCCTGCCTCTCTTTGGCGGGGACAGAACTGGTGGATTTGAGAGGTAATGCTTGATTTCCTCAAAAGCTTGCTGGTGTTGTTCTTCCCACTTAAAGGTTTGTTCCTGTTTCAACCTTAACAAAGAAGAGAAAGGCTGGATCTTTCCTGCAGAATTGGATATAAATCTCCTTAAAAAATTAATTTTTCCTAAGAGACTTTGCAATTCTTTCTTGTTCCTAGGCGGTAAAGCTTCTATGATGGATTTTGCTTTGTTCTTGTCGATCTCTATGCCTCTTTGGTGGACCAAGAATCCTAGGAAATTTCCCGCTTGAACTCCAAAAACGCACTTCTTTGGGTTCATTTTCAGTTTATGTTGCCTCATTCTGAGGAATGCTCTTCTTAGATTTGTCATGTGGTTTCCCTCCTCTGGTGATTTGATCACAACATCATCAATATACACTTCCAAGGAATGCCCTATCATATCGTGGAAAACAGAATTCATTGCCCTTTGATAGGTAGCCCCTGCATTTCTCAAGCCAAAAGGCATTACAGTGTATTCAAAAGCACCTATATGCCCTGGACACATGAAGGCTGTCTTGTGGATGTCTTCTTCTGCCATCATGATCTGATTGTAACCTGCGTTGCCATCCATAAAAGATAGCATCTGGTTGTGGGCAGCTCCATCTACTAGCATGTCTGCCATTGGCATAGGGTATTCATCCTTGGGAGAGGCTTCATTCAGGTTTCTGTAATCCACGCAGATTCTGACTGCCCCAGTTTTCCTTTTTAGAACTGGTACAATGTTAGCTAGCCAATCAGCATAGATGGCAGGCCTGATGAATCCTGCTTTGAGCAGCCTTTCTATTTCTTCTTTGACTTTCAGTTCTGTGTCCATGGACATTCTTCTTCTGGCCTGTTTGACTGGAAGGTATCCCTCTTTGATTGGTAGCTTGTGTTCTACCAATTCCCTGTCTAATCCTGGCATCTCGTGATAATGCCAAGCAAAACATCTTTGAACTCTTGTAGAAGTGCAACGAGTTCATTCTTAAGTGGTTCTTTTAATAGTGCGCTGATGAAGGTTGGCCTTGGATCCTCCTCTGTTCCCAAATTTATTTCCTGCAAAGGATCTTCTACTTCTGGCAGAGAGTCATCCAATGCGGCTGGTGCGAAATCTAGCACTTCCTCCTGTAGTTCCTCTTCCTCCTGGCTTTCCGTACTTTCATGAGTGAATTCTGCCATATTGATGGCTGGATTCTGTGCAAACAACCTTCTTTCCTCCCAGTATATCAACAATCTTTTTGTAATGGACCGGATTGTTGCAGCTCGATCCTTTTCTTGTTGATTGGGACTAAACATCAGTGCTTTGGAAATTTAGGACAAAAGGTCTGTTCCAATCCTCCAAAGAATTGGTTAGACCTTCTTCAATGAGTCTCTGGGCCGTGACACCATGGGGGCGGCCGTTCTGGTTGACTCCAAAGAAAGTGAAAGGACCAAGGTCATCATGATAGTACCTTGCCTCACAACACATGGCAGAAGGTAGGAATGGCCGTGGATCGGCCTCTACTATCTCCATGTAGCCATCTTCGTTCCATAAAGCTAACTGTTGATGAAGAGTGGAAGGAACACACAGACTCTGATGAATCCAATCTCTGCCAAGCAATGCATTGTAAGTGGTGGAGGTAGTATCTACCACAAAGAATGCAACCTTCAGCTTCTTGCTTCCTACCAAGACATCTACATCCAGAATCCCAAGGGTTTTGGTGATGCCCCCTGCGAAGTTGGTGACGGTCAGGCGGGTTGGGATTAGATCCTTTCTCTGTTCTGCCCATTTTGCTCAGCATTCTGTGAGGCAGAAGGTTGATGGCTGCACCTCCATCTACCATGGTTTTGGGGATAGGAACACCCCCAAAGTTTGCTGTTATAAACAAGGGTCTGAGGTGGTTTGCCATTTCTTTGGTTGGTTTGGAGAAGCAAAGGGGACCTGTTGTCAGCTTGTGGGTTGCTCCTTCTATCCTGGGATTGCCTGTTTGCTGTTCTGGCATTTCTTCCGTTTCTGCCAACCTGCATTCAAAACTTTCTTGGGAAAATACGTCTCCGTCCAGAGTGCTCTTCTGTCCTTCTACCGCCCAGAACTTTTCTGGCAGAATGAACACCATATTGATGCCTAGGTCAACACGTAACAAGTCCTCCAGTTCTGCACCAAAGGCCTCAGTTTCCGCATCCAATTCTCCGTCATATCCATCTGTTCTCCATCATATTCCTCCGTCCATTCTCCCAGTTCTTCTGTCCCGAGGAGGGTATTCTGGTCATCTGTGGATGGCTCATAATCCAGCTGCTCCTCTTCATCTTCCTCAACCCAGTCTTCTTGTCCTTCTCCTGAACAGGATCGGTTCTTTCCTCTAGTTGGGGAGTTTCAAGTAGACCTCTTGAGGCGGGGGCAGGATGGACAGAAGGTTTCTCTGAGGATTCTGCTTTTGTCAACTTCTGTAGTTGAGAGATTGCTTGTTCTGTCTGGGGAAGTATTTCTGGTTCTTTCCCTTTTCTGGCAGAATTGGCATTTGGAAGCACCTGTGCGTTTTTCTCGTTTGAGGAATGTGCAGTACTGTCTCTGAACCCTCCTCCTTTGGGTTCTTGTCAGCTCCATGGTTGGTCTGCCATTCTTCCCGATAGAGTACCACCTGCCTTCAATGATGGCCGCCAAAGGTTTGTCACTTCCGGGCACTTTTATTGATATTTCCTCCTTGGGCTGCTTAGTCACTCTTCTGTTGGATTGGACAGGCCTAGGGTAGTTTCTCTGTCTGGTCCCTATCATGGGGCGTGGTTCCGATCCGGTCAAAAACACTTGGAATGGGCAGCTCCTGTTTTTCCAGGACTACTTCCAACTCAGCCTCACAATTGCACCTGCTGCAGAGCACTATTCCAGCTGAAATGGTTGCTTTTGGTCTTTCCATAGTCTCCTTTGAAACTATTCTGCTTCCACTGGAGCCAGCCTGCATGGCTGGTCTGTCCTTCTTCCGTTCTGGCCAATTTAGGTTGACCATGTTAACTTGTGGCTGGGGAAAAGGATCTGTGGTGACAGATGGAGGTTTCTCTGCTAGCTTCAGCCTTCCTGCTGTTATTCCTTCCTGTATGACATCTCTGAAAACAACACAACTATTGGTAGAATGATTCCAAGAATTGTGCCATCTGCAATACTGCCTGCCCTTGAGTTCTTCTGGCTTGGGCATTCTGTGAGGTGTCTCTATTGCTTTCTGTAGCAACATTTCATCGAACAAGGCATCTACTTTGGTCAGATCGAAGGAATACACTTTGTTCTGCATGGGTTTGTTTGGAACAAACCCTCCTGTGAATGGTGGCGGCTTCTGATCCCTTGGGGGTTTTGTAAGAGTCTTACAACTGATGGGATGCTTTAATTTTGCCATTTCCGCAACTGCAACCTCTCTCTCCTCTGATTCCTCCGCATCTTCTTCTGACTCTACTTCAATCATATGTATTGAGGAGGAAGGGGATTTATAATACGTGCCTTTGGAAGAGTTTCTCTTCTGCTGTTCCTCTCTGAGCAATTCCTCGTACTTGGCCGCTTTATCTGCCAGTTCTGCCAGATCTCCAAACAGCATCCCATCAAATCTTTTCCTCAGAGAGATTTTGAGGGCAGCCTGAGCCATTTGAATGAAGTGTCTTTCTTCGATGGGGATTCGGCACTTCATTTTGAGCTTCCTGAACCTGTTTATAAAGTCTTGGGCAGGTTCATCTTCACTCTGTTTGAGAGCTGCAAGGTCACTGATGGTGACTTCTGGCTGAATCCTGTAATAGTAGTCATGGAAGACGCTCTCCATTTGCTCCCATGTCTGAATGGAATTTGCTGGCAGAGTAGTGTACCAGTGAAAGCTTGTCCAGAGAGAGAATTCCCAAAAAGCCTTAGCTTTAGCAGTGGGTTATTCTCTATGGCTATGCATTGGGTAGAAAATCTGCCTACGTGCTCAACTGATGAAGCATGAGGATCCTCTCCGTTGAATAAAGTGAAGTTTGGTACTTTAAAGCCTGGGGACAAGGGTATCTGATCAATGTAAGGTGGATATGGCTTCCTATAGGTGGGTCTTTCCCCCCTCCTGGCCTCAGGCTCCATCATTTCCCTGATCATCCTCTGCAATGCCCCCACGTCATTTAGAGCATTAACAGGGGGAAGGTTTTGTCCCTGTTCTGGCTGGGCATGATTGAATCGTGGTTCTGCCCTATATGGTCTAGGCAGAGCTTCTTCCCTGTGCTCCTCCGGCTCCTCCAGGCCTGGGTGGTTCCTCCAGTTTGCCCCCTGCCTGTTCCTGTCGTTATTAGCATAAGGGTAATTTCCCCCTCTGCCTCTCCTTCCTCTTGCAGGTGGAGGGAATGGATTGGGGTCCATCTTCTGGGCCTGTAGGGTACCACTGCTGGATGTTCAGGCAGAACTTCCATAGGGTGATCTTGTGGGGCCGCTTGTTGCGGAGCAGGCTGAGGCTCTTGCTGATTCTGTGGAACTTGTCCTGGCGCAGGACCTTCTGGCTGTATTGGGGCCAGACGTTCTTGGATAGGAAAAGCCACTTCCCCGGTGTCCAGCCTGGATTCCTCCCCGTTCTGGCATCCCAGCTATCTGTGCAACAAGAGGATTCTCTTGATATGGCCACGCCAACCCTGGTGGGGGACCATAGGGAAGGTCTAGTTGCTGGACCACCTCATCGGGATTGGGAATTCTGGCCATGGCAGCCTCTCGATCCTTCCTGAATTGCCTGTTGACCTGCCATTGCATCATGGCTGTCATATTGTTTAGAGTATCCTGGCTTCTTTGTGTTGTGACCTCTTGTCGTAACACAGATTCCTGCATCAGGTTCATCCTTCTGGAACCGGTCCTGGACCTCCTACTCCCTGTGCTGCCATGTGCTGAATGTCGGGCATCACTTTCTTCTGATTCCAGTCCTTCCCTGAGGGCCACTTGGTTTATTTCCATGCCGTGGTGTGGGTTCTGGCTAGAGCTTCCGGTATTCATGAACTGGTGAAGAACTCAATGAGAATATGTATACTGAGAAGTCCCACTGGGCGTGCCAAATTGTTCACCCGTTTTGTGTTTACTCCTATGATGGAAGGGCAAAGTTCCCCACTGCCTTGAGAACCATAGACTGGTCCACAAGTCAGCTTTCTTTGGTGTGCGAGCGTGCCACTGCTAGTAATGAACAGTCTAGCAGACTTAGTCTGGAATGGATAACTTGCGCCCCAAGTTACTGATTTCCTAAACAAACGATTGTGAATTTGGGTGAGGAATATCTCCCAAGTAAGTTCTTTTCTTGCCTCAGACTGGTGAGGACTTTAACAATTTATCTCAGTATAAAGAGGTTGTTCTGGCCAGAATAGTTGATGAAATTTAAGCTGTTTTTGGGCGGAAGTGCCTTTTACAAGACTACAAAATACATGTCGATGCCAAAAAGATAAAGAGATAGCTAGATCTCCATTTCTGCCTGGATGGGAGGCTCTGTGATGGGCTGGACTGGGAATGTCTGGGCTGGACTGGATCGTAGACAACTCTGATTGCCCGATTTCAACTACAAATCGATGCCAAAGGTTGATTCTGGCAGAGCTTTAATGTACCTCAAGCTTTTGCGAAGCTTCTGAGTAGGCAGAACTGCGGTTTCTTCAGTCTGAAAGGGCAGAAGTGGCTGTTCTTGAGGACGTTGGTGAGCTAGAGGCTATTCCGTGAATTTGGCTGGGGTTTTCCATACTTGGAGGAGGCTCAAACTCTGCTTGTGTTGGTTTTTGCTGAACCAAATTTGTAACGAGAGAAATCTCGTTTTGAATGACTTGCTTCCTAAGTCTGGATTCTGGGCATTCTGATCTGGGACTGGTTTTTCACTTGAAATTCAAGTGGACTTGTTGGTCGACTCTGAGCTTGTTTATGTGACGGTTTGCCTGTGTAGGACCTTTGTTTGGTTGAGTGATGAAATTTTTGGTAAGATTGATTGTGTTTTGCCCTGTTCACTCCTTCTTGTATTTATAAGAGATGTCTTCTGGAGTAGGGTAATTCTTTTAATAATGGGCGGCAAATCCTTTCAAAAGATTTTCCCTTTTTTTAAAAAAAATGGAAAAGAAAAAGAAAGAAAAAGGTTTCCTCAGTTTTTGGTAGATAGGCTCTCAACAGATAGGCAATCTCTTTCCCTGATTTTCTTGAAAAGGAACCTAATCTCTTTCCCAATTTCAACTGCCCCTCGTGATATTTTGCCCGGTGATGGTTAGTTTTGACTCCTTTTCTGGACAGCTTCCTACTTTCCTGCTTATCCCTCCCTGAGATTGTAACTTGCTTATCTCCTTGGGAGAATTACCTTCTGAAAAGACAGGGAAAAAAATCTCTGAGTATGTATATATATATCATGTATGTGTGAGAGGGATTTGATCTTTAGCTTTTCCAGAATCAATCTTGATATTATGAACCCTTCAATTACTTCTCCTGTGACAGTTGCCATTGCTGACTTTTCTTTTTTCAGAGAGGTCACGTGGGATTGTTCCTACTTCTGGGCTTTTTTCTTTCTTTTATATTGGGTTTTGGGCTGGTCTCCTCTGGCTTTTGGGCTTCCATCTTTCTTTGATTTTTTGCAGCTTCATTCTGGGCCTAAATTTTGCTGGGCTGGGTATGCCAATTAGTGGCCCAAACACCTGGATTTACCCTAGCTTGTGCATTTTCATGTCTTTTTAAACGACGAGATAAATGACTAGTGCCACTACTAGAATTACCAACCAACAAAGTATTGCAAATAACACACTTAGCCTTAATTACTGGTTTACCATTTTCAATTTTGTTAACCTTTTCAAAAAAAGACCAAACTTTACTTGTTAATCTAGGTGCACTAGGTGACTCTAAAGGGGGATGGAATCATTTGTACTTTCAGTCAAAGGTGACGCACTAGAAGAATCCATTTTGATGATATTACAAAAATAAAGACAAAATGGAAGATGTTACTTGATAAACAACAGAGCACAAGCTTTACTTTTGCAGCACAAGCACAAGCTTTACTTTTGCACCACTAACTCCTGCAAAATAAACCAAGAACTCATTAATAATCAAAGTTCAGCACAAAAACAGCATGAAGCCAAAAAGTGTAAAGACAATTGTTACCCCAAAAAAAAAAAAAAAAAAAAAAAAAAAAAAGACAAAGACCCACCGTCTCTACAATAACCCACACAACTCCTCTATTGCAATACCTCAATTTCAAAATCCACGACGAAAAACCTCTGTTTATTCTTTATCAGGTAAGTAAATAGAAAATTTCTTCAAGTTTGATCGCAGTCTACTCCTATAATTTAGTAAATAAATAAAAAATTCATGACCGTATGCCAAGAAGTAACACAAGCAAAAGCCAACATAGAAATTTGATAAATAAAAAAAGGGTGTGCTGAAATCAAACAAAAATTCTACTTCAAATGCTAAAATCAAGTAAAAACCTCACTGAATACACATATACAAAAAACATATATATAAATTTAAAAAAAGCGAACCTTTTCTTCTTGGAGAGGAGCTTGTTCTCGTTGATTTTATGGCCACCGCCCTCAGTGGTGTTACTGGCACCTTCCTTCCACTTGTTTGGCACTATCACCTTCGAAAGCTTCTTCTCACCTATGTATTTAACAAATTCAATTAAAGAAATTCAGAAAATTAGCAAAAATATTATCAATCAGAATTCTTTTAGGCAAAAAGTATCAATCAGAGTTCAGAAACTGCGTCCAATCTCTATTTTCGCCTATTTTTAAGAAAAGAAGAGTTCAAAACTTCTCATAATCTCAGTTTCTCTTGCACTCAAATAAGATCAAAGAGAGAGATCTTAGCTGAAAGAAGAAATTCAGATGGATACCTGAATTATTGGACTTGGATCGTTGTTTTCGATATGCAAACTTAGTTTCTCTCAGACTTGGATCTACAAGATCGAATGAGGAGAGAGAGAGAGCCGAAGAGAAATGAAGAGGTTGAGAATCGAGAAAGCCAAAGAGGAATGAAGAGGAAGACAGAGTCGAAGAGGAAGAGAGAGACGCAGGCAAGAGTGTGGGTGCGGCGCTAGGTTAGAATTTGGAGACTGATATGATAATTGCCTTTTTATATAGAGGTATTGTATTGGGCTGTCTGACCTAAATGGCTATTGGGCTTTTTCCCTTTTTTTTTTTCCAGAAACAAGCACAGCCCCTAACGGCTATATTATATAATGGCAATATATACGGGCCTAACGGGCCGGGCTTTTGTGGGCGGGCCGGGCTGGGCTCTCTTGGGCTTAATCGGGTCGGGCTTATGGGTTGGGCTGGGCTTCAGACACCTAAGCCCAAGCCTAGCCCAGCCCAATGCGGGTCAGGCCATCCAAAAGCCCATATTGGGCCAGGCCGGGCTATTTCTCGATGGGCCGGGCGGGCCCCCATCGGCCCATGAGCCCGCGGGCCAAATGATGAGGCCTATGCCAAGTGAAGCAAGCCCCGCGCTGCACCCTAGCACTCTCTTTGGTAATCCTCTGGTAATTCAGACTACGGTGGAAGCGGAGCTTCTGGCCCAAATGATTTCCCTTCGGAAGGAAATGGCCAAGCTCCAAGAACATAACAACCTCCTCTCGTCCAAAGTAGACGAAACTCAGTGGCTGCTTAATCAGCAGGAAACGCAGAATATTCAATCTACAGAACCTTCCCAGAGTCTGCAGACCCCCAGTCGGCAGAAGAATGGGAAGAAGGGGGCAAAGGCAACGCCTACGCCTTTCAAACAACTAGTAGTCCCAACCCCACGGGACCAGCCTCATGTACCAAAGAAGTTCTACGCCGACTGTCGCCATCGACTCAACGACAAGGATGCTGAACGGCAGAGGTCCCCAGTCATGGTCAACGCTCACTTGAGGGACCCACGGATGAGGGTCCTTGGAGACAAGTCGCCCCTTAGAAAGGTCCAGGGGTTGGGGTCGGAGGCAGAATCTGACGACCAGTATGCCCTCTCCAAGGGCACCGAATCACACTACCGTTCGGAAACTCCCACGGAGTATTCGAAGGCAAGAGCACCAAGTCCGAGGAGAACCTCCGAAGACTATATTTCTGAGGAGATCCTAAGCCGAGACCCTGCAATCCGTCTGCTCTCCCAGAGAATCCAGAAGATGGAGGACGACCGAACTCGGTCCTAGGAGCCTAACTGGGGGAAACTTCGGCTGGGACCCTTTACCGAGCGCATCAAGAAGTCCAGACCGGACAAGGAAGTACAACCGTTGCGAATACCGTTTTACACCGGCATGGAAGACCCCTTGACACACCTTCACTTCTTCCAATCGGCAGTAGGATGCAAGGGCCTCAGCGATGAGGGGCAGTGCCTGCTATTCCCATCCTCCCTTACCGGAGCTGCTATGAACTGGTTCTACTGTCTTGAACCAGAAACGATAGATTCGTTTGACGAGCTGAACCAGATCTTTCTGAACCATTTCATGATCCAGACGGACCGTCTGTCCTCTGCCGACGATCTGTACACGGTACGGCAGAGAGAGGACGAACCCCTATAGGAATACGCTGCGCGCTTCAGTCATGAGTACTCGAGGTGTCCAGAAACGGACGATAGGGCAGCCTACGACGCCTTCAAGAGTGGCCTTCGGTCCTCTCACTTTCGGTATCTCGTGCACAGTAGCAACTGGCGCACGTATGATGAACTGATGAAGCAGGCGGCAGTCCACGCCAAGGCCGAATATTTCAACTCCAAGCCTGGGCGTTTGGCTCGGCAGGAGGAATCGGTAACGAAGAGCTATCCCGGGCGAACGGACGATTCTTTGACAGGCCACAAGCGGAAGGACGACCGTGATCATCGGCAGGGTAGCTCAAAGAAAGGGCGTGGGAAATACGGTCGCAACGACCACCGAGCGCCATTGCCGAATCACGACCGCACTCAAGAAGTCTTCCCCCTGCTGAACACGACATATGAGGCCATCTTGATGAACGACCATAAAAAAATCCCGAAACCAAACAACCGAAAGCCCAATCGGCAGGATAATCGGGACACCGGTAAATTCTGCCGGCACCACCAGTAGAACAGCCAAAACACCGAAGACTGCATTACTCTGAGGAAAATCGTTGAATGGCTGATTCGGGAGGGAAAACTGGACCAATACATCGCCAGACCACAGCAAGCACCCACCCCAAACGCCAATCGGCAGATCAACATGATCAGCACGATCAGCGGATGCCTCACTCTGGCGAGACCCTCTAACCGGTCAATGAAGCAATATGAGTGTGCCGCTCACTACCCACAAGTCTTCGGCATAGAAGGCGATCGGTACCGCAAGGTCCTGAAGGTGGGATGGGAGCCCATCACATTTTGCGAAGAAGAGGAAGAAGGGATCATTTACCCCCACGATGACCCAATGATCATTCGGGCCGAGATTGCCGACTACGATGTAGGTCGGGTGCTGATTGACACCGGGAGTTCGGTAAATGTGATTTTTGCCGATGCCTTTAAAGGACTGGGAATTGCCGACAGTATGGTCAATCGGTAGATAACGCCTCACCTCAGCTTTTCTGGGGATCTGGTCCAGCCAGTCGGCATATTAGTCTGCCCATCGCCTTCGGTGTTACCCCCAGAAAAACGATGGCCTACGACCAATTCCTCATCGTCGACTGCCCAACGGCATACAACGTCATCATAGGATGAACGACACTCACCAGAGTCAAAGCCCACTTGTCCCCCCACAAGTTGCTGATGAAATTTCCTACTCGCAACGGTACTGGTGTTATCCGGGGTGACCAGCTTAGCACACGGACGTGCTATACCACTGCTCTCAAATCGGTAGTTTGCAAACCCCCAATGGAAGCTATGTCTGTGCAGGGACTACCGAACGGTAGAGGGCCTATAGACGACCCAAGAGAAGAAATGCCAACGTCGGTGGCGCAACCTGCCGAAGAGCTCGAAACGGTAATCCTGAATGAGGAATTTCCCGATCGGTGGATAAAGATCGGCACCACCCTAAGTCCCGACCTACGAGCGCAATTCATTGACTTCTTGCGGCAACAGGTGGAAGTCTTCGCCTGGTCTTACGATGACATGCCCGGCATATCACCTGACGTCATCAGTCACAAGCTCAGCATCTCCCCCGCCTATAAACCGGTCAGACAGAAGCGCCGTTCGTATGATGCCGAACGGTACGAGGCTATGCGTACCGAAGTTGACAAGCTCAAAGCCATCGGCTTTATCAGGGGAGCTACGTACCCTGTTTGGCTTGCCAACTCGGTCATGGTTCGGAAGGCCAAGGGATGATGGCGAATGTGTCAGGACTATATCGACCTGAACAAGACCTGTCCGAAGGAAAGCTTTCCATTGCCGAGGATCGACCAGCTCGTTGACGCAACCGCTGGACCCGAGCTGCTCAGCTTCATGGACGCCTATTCAAGGTACAACCAGATTTTCATGGACCCTGCCGATAGCGAGCATGCGGCGTTCATCACCGACTGCGAGTTGTACTGTTACAACATCATGCCTTTCGACCTGAAGAATGCGGAGGCAATGTATCAGTGGCTCGTCAACCGATTTTTGCTAAACACATCGGCGGCATTATGGAAGTATATGTCGACGACATGTTGGTAAAAAGCCGAACGGCAGGGGGGCATCTGGAAAACCTAGCCCTCATGTTCGGTATACGAAAAGACTACCGAATGAGGTTGAACCCAACGAAGTGCGCCTTCGGTGTATCTTTGGGCAAATTTCTCGGATTCATGATCAGCCAAAGAGGAATCGAGGCCAATCCCGAGAAAATCAAAGTTATAATCGACATGGAGACGCCGAGGACACAGAAGGACACTCAAAGCCTTACCGGACGTGTCGCTGACTTGACACGCTTCATCTCCAAGGCCACCGATAAATGTGTACCGTTCTTCAAAGCCTTGAAAGGGGGCAAACACCATATCGCGTGGACTCCCGAATGCGACCAGGCATTTTAAGACTTGAAGAACTATATGGACAAGGCACCACTGTTGTAAAAAACGCTTCCCGGAGAAGTTCTCCTCCTCTACCTTTCAGTATCAAGCACTACCGTTAGCTCGGTATTGATACGGAAGCCAGAGAAGGCCGAGCTACCAATCTTTTATGTCAACAAGGCACTTTAGAGCGCGGAGCTTCGGTACCCGCCTTTGGAACAGCTGGCACTAGCTATTGTTGTCTCAGCTTGAAGGCTCTGCCCATACTTCCAAGCGCACGAGATCACGGTACTGACCAATCAGCCCCTTCGGCAGGTACTCCAAAAGCCAGAAACGTCCAGCAGGTTGGTCAAATGGGCGATCGAGCTGGGAGAATTTGACATACAGTTCAAGCCAAGGCCTGCAGAGAAGGGTCAAGCCATCGCCGACTTCATCTCCGAGCTCACACCTGCACTATCGGAAGCATCCTCTCCGAACGCTGTTATTACAGAACCAGGAAACATGGATGCCGATCGCTTTGATCCTTCGGTACCTCTATGTATCCTGCATGTTGACGGCTCGGCAAATGAGCAAGGCTGTGGAGCTGGCTTGGTGTTAACTACTCCAGATAGAAGCAAAGTCGAATATGCCCTCCAATTCAACTTTAGAACCTCTAACAACGAGGCAGAGTATGAGGCTCTCTTTGCCGGCCTTCAGCTAGCCAGGAGCATGAGCGACAAACAAATCAACATTCACAGTGACTCCCAACTCATAGTGAAAGACTTTGCAGCGAAAGATGCCTCCATGTCTGCCTACTTATCGGCATCCCACCAACTCCTACAAAAGTTCCAGGCCTACGAGATTTGGCAGATCCCCAGGTCAGAGAACAGCCACGCTGATGCACTCTCGCGTTTAGTTTCGGCAATAAACGATAAGATCGGAAGGAAGGTGCCGGTGGAAATATTATCCCAGCCAAGCGCGAAAACGTTGAGGTGTGTACCGTACGGTACGAGGACATATGGATGTCTCCAATTTACGCCTTCCTAACGAACGGAACCCTGCCCACCGATAAGTCCCAAGCTTGGAAGCTCCGGTACTGATCGGCAAAATACACAGTCATCAACGATGTTCTGTACAAGCGAGGCTACACCATGCCGTATCTGAAATGCCTCACTAAGGAGCAGGGGGACTACGTCTTTCGGGAAGTTTACAGTGGGGTCTGCGGTGACCATTCAGGATCCCGATCACTGGCACACAAAGTCTTCCGGCAGGGGTATTTCTAGTCGACCCTACACCAAGATGCGAACGTCTTAGTCAAGAAGTGCGACAAATGCCAACAGTTCAGTAGTGTCCCTCACATCCCTACCGAGCCTCTCTCACCGATCGTAAGCCCATGGCCTTTCGCCCAGTGGGGACTAGACTTGATTGGTCCGATGCCGTAAGGTAAGGGCCAGGTTAAATATGTTGTTGTCGCCGTAGACTACTTCACCAAGTGGGTAGAGGCCGAACCCTTGGCAACGATAACGGCAGCCAAAATGGAAGATTTCATCTGGACGAACATTTGCTGCCGATTCGGAATCCCCTACGCAATTATCATCGATAACGGCATGCAATTCGATTCGGAAGCCTTTAGGTAGTTCTGCACTCACCTCAAGATCAATATGTTCTTCACTTCGCCAGCTCACCCTCAATCGAATGATCAGGTTGAAGCGATGAACAAAATAGTCAAGAAGCTATTGAAACGGCAGCTTGACAAAGCCAAAGGAGCTTGGCCGGAGAAGCTTCCAGAGGCATTATGGGCCATCCGGACATCCTACCGAACGGCAACTGGGGAAACACCGTTCTCCATGGCCTTTGGCTTGGAAGCGGTAGTCCCAGTGGAAATCAGAGAACCCTCCTACCGAACGGAAACTTTCGCCCCAAAGGCGAATGAGTAGGCACTCGCCTTGATCCTCGATCTGATCGAAGAACGCTGAGCGCAAGCCAACCTTTGGAACGAAGCTTACAAACAGCGCGTCTCTCGGTACTATGACTCCAGGGTCAGATCCTGCTCTTTCCGAGTCTGAGATTGGGTCATGCGAAAAGTCTCTCTAGCAAGTAAGGATCCCAGGGAAGGAACCCTCGGACCTTCCTAGGAAGGACCTTACGAGATCATCGGCATCTAGTGCTCGGGAACTTATCAACTCAGAGACTCCAACGGGAAGACCCTCGGTGATCCTTGGAACGTAGAGCATTTGAAATATTATTTTAAATGGAGTCACCTAGCCTACGGCAGGTTGAGAACATTGTTAAAGCCTTCGGCTTATTCTTACTCACAGCCTTCGGCAGTGTAGAGTTCCCTAGCCTACGGCAGGTTTTCAATTGTAAAACGAACTCCAAATGTATCATTGCCTTTGGCAATTATTAATGAAAAGGCCTTCGACACTTATATTCACAACCTTTGGTGTATTTATTTTTAAAAGATGCAGTAGATACCATCGGTCGCAGTATACTACACTTTTAAATCCTTTTATTAGCCTTCAGCAATTAAAGTACAACAATATTCTTTCATGCCGATCGAAGTTCAACTTGCCTTTTACTAAGCTTGTTAACGATTGGAAAATCACCTTATTTAGCCCTCGGCACTTTAAAGGTTCACTTCAGAGTTAGTCTGTTACTAGCCCTTGGCAGTTTAGTTTAAGCCCTAAGTTGTTTACCGATTCAAGGTTCACTCGAAATTTGAACTTATACTAGCCTACGGCAGTTAAGTCAATCATTCTCCCTTCGGCAATTACAATGATGAATTTTGAACTTCGGAAGTTAGCTTGTTATTGGCCTACGATTGGTAAACTTTTATCTAGCCCTCGGCATTTAAAAAGTTCCTAGGACAAGTTAAAGCAGAAACATGCCGAAAGTAAAACTACTTGACAATCAACTCTGAATAATAAAACTGCTTGAATTAAAAGATGCTCTCGGCATCAAGGTGTTCAGAACATATTGCCTTATGACATATTACATGAAATAAAACTTAAACAAGGCTCAAGCGGCAGTCTCCTCCTCGGCATAAGGGGCAACGGGCTCTTCCGGAGCGTCCTTCACTTCGTACTCTTCTATCATCTCTTAGAGCTTAACCAGCTTTAGTTGAAAATGAGAAGAAGCTTTTGGAGAAGATTAACATTCTGTGCTTGAGTATCATTGCAGAGCGTACGAAACTTTCTGTCAAGCACCGGCCTCTTCGGCCTCGGCAGTGGCCTCCCCGGCCTCGGCATCAGCAGGAGCCTCGTCTGGGGCATCCTCTACCTCGTAGTCCTCGATCATCTCTTCGGTCATGCCTTCAGGAAGAGGGGGAGGATCGGCAATGAAGTTGAGGTTGAGCTTTTTTCCGGGGTTGTACCGCTTGAAACGGTAGAGCAGATCCGCCATTTCCGAGCCCACCTCCTTGTCGAGCAAGGTAGAGAACTCGGAAGACTGACGGTACCCCTGGACTGCCTCTTGGACTGCAGCCTCGATCTCCAAAGCCTTGGCCTACTCTAACTCCTCAAAGGCCACTTGGACCGCCTCCTTCGCCTCTAGAGCCTCCTTTGCTGTTAGCTGCGCCGACTCCAAGGCTGCTGACATCTCACCGAACTTGGCTTGATAAACCTTGACCTGCCATTCGGCAGCCTGCGTGTCCTTCGCCAAGTTCGCATGAGCTTGGATAGCCTGGCCAGCCTCGGCAACCCTAGCCATGCCGTCTTCATAAGCCTTCTTCGCCTTTTCGGTGGCATTGATGGCTCGCTTGACACACATCCACATGTCCATTGAGGCTTGAGGAGCCAAGGAAAATGTTAGATAAAGCAAGAATCGAACAGTACGATAAACTGAGAATGGGTAGAGCTTACCAAAGCCTGAAGACGGAAGGCACGGCTAGCCTCCTCCCGAAGGAGCTTCTTCGGCAGGTCTTCGATCTCGGACAGCTCCATTTGTGAACCGGGGATCATGTGGTTCACGAACTGTACCGTTTTCGACAGACAGGCCAAAGTGACGTCTTCGGCAGGCACCTCGTCGTCCTTAGCAGCGAAGATGGCCCGAGCAGGCTAGGCCTGTCGCTCGCGCTTTGGAGCGGGATCGGCCTCCATATCAACTGTGAATGGCCTTTTACCGACTGCTTTGGAGGAGGTGCCCTCGGAAGGCACACCTCGGCTGGGAGACGGACCGGCTGCCGTCGCTCCGGCCTGCGCTGATTCACCGTTGAGTTGACAACGGTGCTCGTTGAGGGTTAGGTCTTCGGGGTCTACTCCTCCCGATGACACTGGTACCGTTTCCGGCTGCCGCCCTTTTTTCTTCTTCCCCTGGATGTCGAGCATTAGGCGCTGCTTGGAGGACTCGTTCATCCTCTTCGCCTCGGCAACCCTCATCTCTTCGGTCACTACAAAACCAAGATCGGTTCGATTTCTCATTATGGCAATAAGCTGAGTCATAATGGACAAGTACACTTACTCTCGGCAGGGTTGACAAGTTGAGCCTTGATGAGATTGAGGGTGAAGAGGAACTTCGGGTACACTCTCTCCACGGCAGAGACCTTCAGCCTTACCATCTCGATCTGCCGGATCTCCGCTTGTGTGGTGCTCGGCTGCTTCAATTTACTTGCATAAAAAAGGAAACGGAATTAAAACTCATGAGAGACGATACACTCTAGAAGGCCCACCGAACGGTACAATGGCCTACCGACTATTTGGAAGGTAGTGGGAATGTGGAAACGGACGGGATGTCCCGAGGGCGACTCCCAATCACCGGACAAAAGCACCCGCCGTTTCCTCCACGTCTTCTGGGAGGTTAGCACGACATTGACAAAATGGCCGCGCTCAGTAGCCTTCAGGCAGTTAGCCTGAACCCAACCCCCGTGGTCGGTAGACTTCGACTTTGTGACACTGTACAGATGGGAGAACTGTTCGTACGTCACCAGCCATGCCGAAGGCCGTGACCACTCCCATTAACGCTACCCAGAAGTTGGGGTTGAATTGGTCGAGAGCATAGTCTATCTGCTCCAAGTTTCTCTAAACGGCAAGCTGCAGCGGAAGCCTCACTCCTTTCAGAAGTACGTCCGTGAAAAAGACGACTTCGCCATTCTTCGGCTTGCTTAGAGATTCGGTTGGAGTTGGGATCCTCATCCCTACCGAATCTAGTATGAAATACTCGGCGCGATATTTCGCGATCTCCCTCTCGGTGATCCTGTTGGGCTCCAAATAATCTACGCCGAATAGGTGCTCATTCGGAACTCCTATCGGAACCCTAGGATTGCTGGGATAGACTACCGATACCCTCAGCCGAGAAGATGGTTCGGCAGCTGACTCCCCACGGCCGGAAGTGGAGGCCTCTGACTGGCGACTAGCGCTCATCTCCCCAGGCAAGGCTTGACCAATGTGGCGACCGTCGCTATAGACAATAACCAACGGTACCGGTGCAGTCATTAGCCCTTTCCTGATGCCATGTGAAGGTGCGGAGCTGGGGCCTTCACTGAGTATCTCAACATCGGTATCACTTCCGTCCCCGGAATCGAGGCCTACCGCTTCACTGTCAGAGTCAAAAAGACCATCCGATGACTCCTCACCGAACGCATTGGGCTCACGCTCCGAAAATGACTCGCTATCAGACATCTACAAAAGCAAGGACAAAGGAAACTAAGGCTCATGCCGGATACTAGCCTACCGATCCCTACATCGCTACCTATGGCGACTAGACTACCGAATGAAACCCTATGGTCAGTCTAGTTCAAACCAAGGAAGGACGTAACTCTAAGTTAAATAAGAGAGTAAATTAAGGGTGTCGAACGGTACCTTATGTCGAGCTCTGGATGAGGACCACGAACTGTGCTTCCGATTACCTTGACGGAAATCGCTTTTCTTACCGTTCGCAACGCCGGAAATCTCCTGGTTTACCGTTAGCCCGGTCGGAAATTGCTTTGAATACCGAATGCTATCGTCGGAAATCGCCTCAACAGAGCTCTCGCTTCTCACAAAATGCAAAGTGATTTCGTCTTCGGGGTCACCCCTATTTATAGGGAGATGGGGCGCAATAGTACACCTCGAAAAACCAAACAGCGCATTAATGCGCCACGCATCATGACTACTCTAGCCACGTGTCGCTCATCCTATGGGGAACTAACGGCACGCGAGGCACGGAAGACGAAGCGCCCAAATGTCTCTTCACACGTCAACTCGACGCGACCTTCTGACTTCCTCAACGTCAACCTCTGAATGAACAAGAACAGAAGTGCCAAAGTTGAGCCCCTCCACCAACTGGGTTACGGAACGGTTGGACAACATTTCCTTCCGAAGACAACTTCAAGTCCCCTTCCGAGAACTCTCGCAAGAGAACTTGGGGGACTCCTATTTATACCAAAATGAACAGCCAGTGAGCATCGGACACGTGGACCAAACTAAAGCTATGGAAGCCTTCGGCACCTAGCTTCAGTACCGTTCCTACCGATCGCCCGATTAAGGCAACTTCACCCCTAGGGACACGTGGCAGTCCCACAATTGAAGCCCACAGTCCCACATCGAAACTCTAAACAAATTGCACACCTCCCAAGGCCTATAAAAGAGGACAACTATCCCAGCTTAGAGGTAATCAATCAGAACTTACGGCATACTGCCTATTGATCTGTAGTTCAATCTTACCAAATCCGTACTTACTTAAGCATCGGAGAGCCTTCGGCCGGTACCATACCGGTGCCCTAGGTCTTACTGAGCCTTTGCTATCTTGCAGATCGAACGCCCTACCGAGGCCCAGAGCATACCGAAGGTCCAACATCTCTAAATTGTGCGGGAAAGTGCCGAACCATTTTTCTGCGTGAACATACTTAAATAAAAAAACTTGAATCATCACTAATGAGGATCATACTAAGGGGGTGTATTTAATTTAGATTTTAAAATAATTTAAAGAAGTTTCAAAGTTCGGGTGTATTCAATAACGATTTTATATAAGTCTATACAATTATGAGTGTATTCAATTCAAATTTTTTAACCTCCAGTCAAAATTGAATGTACTCAATCACGACTTTAAAAGACTTCATAAAAATTTGGGTGTATTAAAAAACTTATTGATTTTAAAGGAAATACAAAAAAGTGGTGTATTCAATTGGTATTTGAAAATACTATTTTGGGATAAATAAGTCTTGAGGTATTCCATTAAAACTATTATGATTTTTTAAAGAGAGTGTCCAAATCTAGTGGTATTCAATCAAGACTTTAAACAAGTAACAAAAAGTCTTTTATTTCGAAGGATTTTTTTAAAATGTGAAACTTGTGTGACTTTTTAGTGGAATGTATAAATATCAAACCCTATTTCAAATCTCACCCTAACCCATCAGACTTTTTACGTGAGATTTTTTTATTTGCTAGGGAAGATGAACAACTCTTCATGAACCAGGTTGCTTCCTTCTTATGTTGTGTCTTCTTGCGTATATGGTCTGTCTATTTGCTATATACCATGTTTGTATATGGTTTGTCTTCTTGCGTATATGGTCCTTCTCATGCTGTCTTCTCTCAGTGGCCCTTCGCAACAGTGGTTTGTATATAGTCTGTCTATGACCCTTCACTTCATATCCCTCTCCTACTATAAGCAACTCTGCCAAATATTTATCAAAGACCTGGGACTTGACCAAAACCCAAAGAAAACCAAAAATGACGCCATATATATTGTTTTTATTCTTTCCCAAACAATTATCAACCCAATTATATTGTCATGTGTTTTTCTATTCTTTTCGCACGTTTTTGTTAGAAAAAAAGTGTTTTGGTTGAAATTTGAAAAGACATTATTTTATGCTCTATCTGTTAAGTCACCCTAATGTTTATCTACACAAGACATTTGATTATTCTTTTAAGCTTCTAACTTTATTGTGAATATGAAGTTTCTGAATTTTTGTGATTAGAGTCAGAGATGAGTTCTTTTTTAATTACAGGGCGGGTGGTTTTGTTTTTCGTTTTTCCTGTTAATGGGTTTGCAAGGTGCCTTTAAAAAATATATATATATACACCAATTGTTCTTTGAATGGGGTTTTAAAAACTATTTTATCAAGCATCATGGGCTGATGATCATCTCCTTTACTGTTTCAATGGCAGAGACTTCGGGAACCTCATATTACTTGTTGGAGCCTACTCAGGATCACATACTATCATTGCAGTTTGTAAGTACAATCAATTACAAATCGCTTTATTGGGTAGTTTCCTAGTTATTTTATACTTTGTGATTCATTGAATAGAATTTCATGTCTCCTATAGCGTTTGATAATTTCTTTGGCTTCTTTTATTTATTGTGCTAATATCCTTATTTTTGTGCCAAAGTTAGAAAGAAAATAGGAAAAATGAGTGAAATTATTTTATTTTATTTTCTTGTTTGGTATGATACGGATTCTTGTGAAATAACTAATAAATTTCTTACATGTGTTGTAGTGGTAATTTAAATGAGGGAATCACAACAAGGGAATAACAAAGGAAAAGGCAAAGAGAAAGAGAACTATGAATCTTGGACCATGGACGATACCAATGAGTTGTTGCACCTCTTGATGGATGCTATCAACAGTGGATTGTGTGATGCTAATGGGTCACTTAGCAAGCAAAATGTAGAAAGAGAAAGATAACAGCTTCATATACATATTATATTGTTGGTAAATTTTTTTACAACCTACTACACATGGACAACTTTTAGTTTTTTTTTTATGCAGTTATTATATTGTAATGTGTATCTATATGACTTAACTTGAGTAGAGAATAGTTGGCATGCATATCAATTCATCTACACGGTATTATTTTCTTCTTTTTATTGTTTTGCAGCCTCGTATATTATATATATATATATATACGTATAATATCACAACCAAGCATGTATGAAGATAATGACATAGAGGAAGAAGATATTGATGACGAAGAAATAGATGAAGAATTTTATAAAGCCATTTACACATCAGTGATGGCAATTTTTGCAGTAATGCATGTGCTAAATCAGTTTCTAATTATGGTGTGTGGTGAACATATTGAACGTCCATTAACTCAATGGTGAATTACTAGCATTGGATATAATTATATACATCAAGCATTGAACGATGATCCTGCAATCTTCCGACAAGTTAATAGAATGTATCTAGATGTATTTCGAAAGTTATGCACAATTCTTAGAGAAAAAACATTTTTCGAGGATACAAGATTTATTTGTGTCGAAGAAATGCTTGTCATACAACCTTTTGGAAGGACAACTTCCAACAAACTTAGTACTCCCAACCTTTCAAACAACCATTTCGAAGGACAACTTCTAGCAAGTATTGGAAAGCTGGTGTTTGTACAGGCAATTGACTAGACAATCATTGCTTATCATCTGCCTAAAAGTTGGTTGGTTAGCATTATAAAAGTGAAAAATCCATGTAATCCTTTCAAATCTTATAAATTCTTATGATATAAATATTTTAAAATCGAAAAGTAAAAAATCATGATTATAAAAATCCTTAAATAAAATCTTATAAGTCATTACATTCCTAAATAGTCTTTTAAAATTCATTGGACTCATTTATCCATAAATAATCTTTTAAAATCCCAATTGAATACACATTTCAGGCCGTGACAAATCTTTGCTTCCCCAAAAAGATTTTAATATATATATTATTTTATTCTCAATTTCACCACCATCTTATCTTGGCTATCACCACAACCGCCGCCGCCACAACCAAAGTCATCGTCATCATCGCCGCTATCATCACCCTAAGAACCACCACCACCCACCACCGCCCCCATTACTAGTGCCATCACCTCCCACCGTTGCCCTCATTACCAGCCCCACCACCACCCTTACCCCCACTGCCACCACCACAACCACCCCCACTATCAACCCCATCATCACCCCCATTGTCACCACTACCACAACCACCGCCAACATCATCAACATCACCACAACTGCTACCGCTGCCACTACCACTCCCACTTCCAACACCACCACCTCATTCCCACCGCCACCACCACTACAAAACCCCACCTCCTCCATCACTACCTCCCCCACCAGCACCCACAAACCACTATCGCCACCGCCATTGCCATCACCACCATCATCACCCCTAAAATCTATTAAAATCAATGATAAAACTCTAACATTTGAGTTAAAATCTATACACGGATTCAGTCAAAATCTATGGGGAGTTTGTAGAATTCAGTCAAACTCAATTAAATTCAATTAAACTCAATCAACTTTATAACTCTTTTAAAATTATTTAAAATCTAAATGTTTCATGTAGTTTTTTTTTAAAATTATTATTTTGCAATTTAGCTGAGATGTTGGATTCACATATGAGTTTTTGAATGGAAGGATTATGAATCTACGAATTTAGATGACATTATAAGGTAAAATTGTTTGTATAGACAATTATAATACATGTATGCCAAAATTTGGGATACACGACAAGAGAAAGAAAGGACGAAAATAGATAAATTTTAAATGATTTATTGCATACAGTCATTTGAAGTTGATTTCAAATTTACTATAATTTCCCTAATTTTTTTTTTCAATGACAGCATTAAATTTTGAGTAGAAAATCAACAAGTTTACTTGTAATAATCAAATTTGTGGCGTCTTGCTGTAATTATGCCAAACCTGAAGGAGTCTAAGTAAAATTGAATTCTTTTCTTCCTCTGCCGTAGTGACAGGTGTCGACATATTAGGTAAGGGAAGAAGATGGTACATCCACTTCTTTGCTTGCTCCGCTAGTTTCCTTCCCAGACCTCACCATCAGTCTTCTTGATTGGCCCTCGAGTGCAAAGGAAGAAGGGAGCTTGACTGCGAGACCCACCCGTCGAGCAGGGACGAAAGTCGGCCTTAGTGATCCGACGGTGACTCTCACACACACACACTCACTGAGAAGCGAAGGCGGAGAGAGGAAAGGAAATGGTTGCCCAAAGAGGCAGGCTTTGGATTCGATGTGTGTTGTTACTCTGCCTGGCTATTCAGTTTGCTTTGTTCGCCGCCGCCGAGACGTTCTTCAAGCCATTCAACGTGAGCTACGACCACAGAGCTCTGATCATCGATGGAAAGCGCCGCATGCTCATATCTGCTGGCATCCACTACCCTCGCGCCACTCCCGAGGTACTTCACTCCCTCAAAAATTCCGCCATAGCTTTTCTGCTTCTACATGTTATGGTTTGACAAACAAATTCAATATTCATTTGTTTGTTTGTTTTTTTTTCTTTCTGTATCAAGCTTGTTGAGGATTGGGTTCTAAGTAGTTCTTGGGACACTTGAAGTGAAAAAACATAAAATCTACTAAATCAGTCATATTTTTCCTAAATTTGCTAACTAGACCCAACACTACTTTGTTAACGTGAAATGTGATGTAGAGAGAGTTTTGGGCCTAGTTAGCGAATTGATGGGTCCCAATAGAATTGCTCGTTGTTTTTATTGCATATTTTCATAAGTGTATGGTCGTTATGTAGAGGGCTGCTGAAGAGCCTGATTAGAGGGTTCTGTATCAATATTTGTTTTTTGTTTTTTGTTTTGTTTTTGTTTTTTGGGATACATTTACTACCTTTCACAGATGATACAAACATGTTACTTTTTGTTTTGAACAAATCTTAAGCCTTAAACATGAATTCAGATGTGGCCTGATCTGATTGCAAAGAGTAAGGAAGGTGGGGCAGATGTGATCCAAACTTATGCATTTTGGAGTGGCCATGAGCCCAAGAGAGGACAGGTGCCATAACTTTTTCTACAGCTAGTCTGGGGTGATACCCTTATGGTTGTCTTAAATAGGATGCATTTATTTTTGCTGAAAATTTTCTGAATAACTTGTTCAGTACAACTTTGAGGGGAGATATGACATCGTCAAGTTTGCAAATTTAGTGGGAGCCAGTGGACTTTATCTCCATCTACGCATAGGCCCTTATGTCTGCGCCGAGTGGAATTTTGGGTCTCAACTTCTTTCCCCTTTTTTTTTACAAGTTACCTTCCTACTTACAACACCTTTTGGGAAAAATGGTGCCTTGTTGTTCTCTCTATTTATGTGTTGCATGATATACAATAGTTCTTATTGTACTTTAGTGTCTGCTAGGTTCTTTGCACATGAGATAGTGGTTGGTTTCTGTAACTGAATGCTGTCTACCATGTTTATGGTAAATTTGAAATTCAAGAGTACAAGGTAATGAATTATGTTGGTGTTAAATTGTATAAGATAGAACAATGTACTCGCATGAAGTGAAGGGAATAGGTGTTGAAATATTTATATATAAACACTTCTAAAAGTTAGCATCTGCAACTCAGTCCACAGTACATTTGAAGTAAATAATTCCTAAATTACTTCAGTAAGAAAATGATGCAAAACTGTTCAAAATTCCTAGACACTTCTAGGTGATTGAAGAGTCATTCATGTATTTCATTGGGTAATTATTAATAAATCAAAGAGAATAGGTGTCAAAGAATTTATATAAAGGAACTGCTAAGTGGAATTTTGGGTCTCTACTTCTTTCCCATTCTGTTTTCAACTTTTTACAAGTTCCCTTCCTACTTATACACCATTTAAAGAAAATGATGCCCTTTAATCATGTCTCTATTTGTATGTTGCATGATATACGGTGCTTAACTTCTTATTGTACATTTAGTGTGTTATAGGTTCTTTCCACCGAAGAAGCCTTCTACCTTTTGTGGTATCAATAATTGCTTGGGAAAATAAAATGTCGTAACAAGTTGTAGTCGAAGTTAAAATAAAATGTTTTTTTTTATAAGATATTGTTAAAACTATTAATTTGGTACCTGTATATAATTTATTTGAAAATTTTTATCTTATTTGAACTGACTATATTGCAGAGGCTTCCCAGTGTGGTTGCGTGACATCCCTGGAATAGAGTTTCGAACAAACAATGCACCTTTTAAGGTTCAGTGCACCTAAGTTTTCTGCACTTGCACATACATATTACTTGTGCTTTTGCAGTACTTTTTTGTTTTGTTTTTATTTTGTTTTTATTTTAATTGAACATTTCATACTGTCCTATGCATCCAAAACTCTATTCAGCCACTTCAAGCAAAAAGAACACAAATGATAGGACTATCTCTAGATTTCTATTTACATCCCCTAATTGATAATTGATATTATGTATATATTATATATGCTTTTTGTATCTCTTTCTGTTTTTGTTTCGTTTGTTGGAATTTGTAGCTTCATTGTTTTTGTTTCACTGTGGGTGCCTGTAGCTTCATAGGTCTTAGTGGTTCTTGTTCCCGCTTTTGTACATCCTTTGTTTCTTTGTTAATAAAAATCGTTTCTATTAAAAAAAAAAATTATATATGCTAATTTTTTATAATAACAAATTCTAATCCACTATCTACTCCTGAGTTATACAGGTTTGGTCAATCCCATATAACTAGTATTTTAACGTGGGAAGTTTTACATAATGTTTCCTGAGAAGTTGTTGTGAGTTGTTCTGGTGTTGTTAGGATTCATGTAGAATTACAATTGACCTCTATTGACTAGTTTAATTTACACATTGAATTGATCAGTCTGTAGATTGCAGTTTGTAGTGGTGGTTTTGACATCTTATGTTGCTTTGTTTTTTCTCTAGGAGGAAATGCAGCGTTTTGTTAAAAAGATGGTGGATCTGATGCGAGAGGAAAAACTATTTTCTTGGCAAGGTGGTCCAATTATTATGCTGCAGGTTGTAAGACAATTTTGAAGTTCAATTGGAACATTACATAGATTGGCTGTTTGAGCTTATTTATCTACATGAGATCTTAGGGCCCTGTTTGGATTGTGAGATTTGCAAGTTGAAAGCAGAATAATAGAAGGAATGGGATTGTTATAAGTTGTGGATATCATATTCTGTCCATCATGCATTATTCTCAGTTGGGGTCATACCTATGTCTGGTGTGAAGGCCATTCCATAACCATGACTTGGATGCGTGGGGTTTTGTTTCACGCAATATTTCCCACGGTGACACACACACTGAGTACATATTTCCATTCCCATTCAGATATTTAAATCTGTTCTTTCTCCATTCCTGCTTGCTCAGGATGAATGCAGATGAGCTTTTTCTTTAAATAAGCTCATTCATGATCAGATTTATTTCTATGTTTTCATTATTTCAAATGGCTTTACTCATATATGCTTTTAATGAGGCTGCAATGAAATTTTTATCAGATTGAAAATGAATATGGAAATATTGAAAGCTCATTTGGCCAGAAAGGGAAAGAATATGTTAAGTGGGCCGCTGAGATGGCTCTAGGTCTCGGTGCTGGGGTTCCATGGGTCATGTGCAAGCAAGTTGATGCTCCAGGAAGTGTTGTAAGGCCTTTACCTTGTGTTGTGTGTCCGTTTGTCACCAATGCTTATGAATGTTATTTTGCACTGAAAAATGAAAAATGACAAGTATTAAAATTCAACAAGATGTGATGGATAGGACAAGTAATTAAATGCACTTTGTTTTGTGGAAGCCTGTAATGTTTAGAAATTTCTGCATGGCTGTAATCTATGTATAAATAGTTTTTGTTTTTCACAGATAGATGCATGCAATGGATATTATTGCGATGGTTACAGGCCAAATTCCTATAACAAACCAACACTGTGGACAGAAGATTGGGATGGATGGTATGCTGGTATCCCATGAATTTGCTGGCCTTACTTTCTTTAAATCTATGTATTTGTATTACGCCTCCAACTTTGAATCATTTATTTTTATAATATAATAAGGTCACATGTTGTGTTGCTAAAAAGATAGTACAAAAAGATGGTTGATAAGTCCCTCAAAAAATATATAAGCGACCTCAAAAAAACACAAATTATATTGAATACAACACTCTCTCTAGTCCAGAAGAATCACACAGAAACGAATGTTCTTCAGTTTCTTTGACGAAGAAGCCCATAGAGCAGCTAAACTTTATTTCTAACTTCTATCCCAATGCAACTCTGCTACTTCCTCCTTGCCCTCAAAGAATTTTTCCAATAAATCTCCAAAAGAGGCCAAAAAACACCTACCAAAAAGTCATCACTTTCTTGCCAGCTTGGACACATTAGGAGACCGGGAAAATCCTATAAAGACAGGAAGAAATGGTACTCAATGAAGAATTCCA